TCAATTTCGAGCCTAGGTAACTTGGACTACTCCGTAGAGTAGTTACTACTCTGTACTAGATGCTCCGTGAGCTTCGAGCCATCAAGACCTGTAACCATGGGTCCAGTTCTCGGTTCCTCTACTCCTGCTCATTGTAGTTATTCCGTCTTCCGTGGCTCCGTCCTCTTCTACCTTAAAGCCATCGGTTCTCCACTTCAACGTGCACCGTGCGACTCGGATCAGCCACGCAACCCTTCGATCTGGTATTAAATACAGTCTCAAACCAGACACGGGTAAATCTGGTAAGAAATTCAGTCTGTCCTCTCCTCCCCGCCCGCTAAACCACAAGAACTCTCCGCCCATCAGATGCATGCACTTTATACGGAAAGTACCTCTTCCCATTCCGACAACGGCCAAGCAGCCGCCCCGGGATCTTCCTCTCTCCAATAATACAGTAGTACATAGTACTACACATACAGTACATCTCTTCTCTCCTCAAAGTTCGATGAAGTCCTACCGAACTCACCCAATAACCATCCCCCTATCCCGACCATCATCAACAACCACCACCCCCCGATCTCGGTGTCCCCCAGCCGTCCCCCAGCATGCCAGCCCTGCAACCGGATTGGCCCCAACCAGTTTCCCCCAGCTCATTCTTTAAGGTCATCCAAACTGCTTATCGCGGCTTTCTTGAAATTACCTGCATCCTCACTCGTCCAATCCTTCTGTTCTTGTATGTCTTCCTTCACCCCGGGTTAAAAGTTGAAACATTAACTTGACGGGGTTGCAATCCATACTGTATTTGCCCCGGATCAACAGCGACCCTCTTCTCCCCTCCCATCCCCCTCCACACCATCCATCCATGGCGTGTCCATAGCCCCTCCTTTTACGTTATTTTTTTCTTATTCCCCAGACACAAGCTCCGTCAGTCCGCGCCCGGGTGGGAAAAAGAATGGGTCGTGGATGAGTTTGTCTAGACAACTCTGGAGTATGTTTCTTTATTTTTGTCTATGGATTTTGGCTAAGTTGTTATGCACGTGTCTTGATTGGTTCGAGGGGAAGTTTGGCTCAGGCGTGCATACTTTTGAATATACTTCCCGTAGATTAAGTACAAGACTCAGATAATACTCAACCTAACTGCCTACAAAGTACTACCGTTACTATGTAAACTATGTAAACACTCCTCCGTACTACTGTATACATACTGTGTAATATTTAACACCCCTCATTCTCGGACTTAAGCATAAGCATTCAGCCGGAGGAATCCTTTCCGGCCCTGAGTCCTGACACGTGAAGCGGGACGTCTGATGGTCTCTGATAAGCTCGTGGGCTGGACAGTGCACAAACCTTTAGGAAATCGGAATACATAAACACTTTTCCAGCTCACTCCTCAAGAGCCGAGTCATCCAGTGCTACGGAGAACTCTTTTTTTCTTTTCTTCTTCCTCCTTCTCTCCGCGCTAGTTCGACGGAGAACGGTCCTCTTTCCCTATCCAAGCGGGACATCTCATCCGCTCTGCCCTTTACACGGTTATCCGCCGGAACGAGGGAGTACTAACGAAGGATCTTTTGTCCCTTTTTCGCCTAGGCATTGACTCATTTACTGATTGACTACTGCGTCTGGGTTTCTGATTTTTCGCCTCTTGCCTCTGGATTAACAGACGGAGAAGAGAAGATCAGCCCATCCATACAGCACAACCCATGAAATTGAACAGAAGGATCGAACGACGCAGCTCTGATCCACATTCAACTCGCCACCATCTTTTCCAGTCCTACCGAAGCGATCACTGATCGTGTGCCCAACCATCTTGTCTTGGCCCTGCATGCCTGCACAAGTACCACCCATATGCACTCCGTACTGTACTAACAACAACACTGATTGAGTGCCATTCATTCATGACTACAGATCGACTCCGCCGCGCCCGAGATCCACACAGTGGGGTACATACAGTACCAGTATCACATGATCCCTGCCAATCAGATCAGAGGTGAACATAAGACCAACGGGTGCGTGTCTGTCTGGGGGTGGAGTCGTGCACAGTTCAATATGCAGAGTGAACACAACCCGACTTTCCCCGATGTCCCCAGTCCACTTTGGGTTCACCGAGTTGACGGGGCGGAGCGCTGCCTGTTTCGGGTGTTTTCGGGACTAGCACTATGCGGACGCTGGACTGGGAGCGAACACGACGTGCAGATGGTGGTAATGTAAAGTAGTTCCTCGGAGATCTTGTGAGACGGCCGAATATCGGGATTTTTGAAGGGTTTGCCTTGGTCGCATGTCCTTTTCAGCTCCGAAATACCCGTCCGTAATTCACGGTGTGGTGTGCCTGCGGCATGGACGCCTAGCTGCCGAGCCCTAATACTAAGGTTGGTCCTGGTCTCGGGCCTGACGACTTCAGCGGCTGAAACATATGAACGGGCTTGATGTATGTGCATGCCCAGACCGATTGACTTTTGTGCGGCGTACTATTGGGTATAATACCATCGTATTGGGACTTGGTTCAACAGCACTACTGACTTGCCCTACGACTAGAAAAATATAGATGAATTCTAGCCTTCAATGATTTAGAATAAGTAGTACAGATATATATTTTGACATTGTTCTATTTTGACTTGTCCTGTTCGGTTCCAAACTACTGAGCGATGGCAAGACTATTGATTTTGCTCCCATTATATCTCCAATAGTGCCCACGCGGACTAGGAACCTGCGATAGGCAGACAATGATTTTAGAAGAATTAACCTCTAGGTCCTATAACTGTTAAAGCTCGCGGGTCTGAGCCCTCAGATTTTGTTAGGTATCTCATCCGCGTGCCGTTTACTTTATCCATCGTTGTACGAATTAACATGGTCAGAATAGCAAGACGTTCCCAGACAGCTGAAAGCCTCTTGTAAAGAGCGTTCGGAATATTGATCGAGTCAACATGAAGCAAACATCTCACCTTGGCATGGCTTCCATTCATTAAGCAGGATTAGGTATGGGCTGGCAATGTGCAATGAACATTGTTCCATGTATATATTTTATTTCGATACCAAGTGGCTGAGAAGCCCTCTGGTGTTTACGGCAGAAACGCACTCTCATCGCACTCGTAAGGTTGCAATATTAGCCAAGTTCGCTCGAGTACCTCTTCCTCTTCATATTTCCTCAGGTGTCGACCTCGACCTTTGGTTTTGGAAAGTGCGACATTCTTGGCAGGTGTTGGTAAGCCGGTACAAGTCCAGATCTAGATCATATCTGGGGCCATTTAAAATGCCACAAACATGACATGTCTCCAGTCCCCCACATGCCATATCTCTTTCGAAATCTTTGGTATGTCGTCTGGGTTGGGGTTATATGCCCTTTCTTGATTGCACTGTTCGGGTTTGAATCCGATTTGTTGGAAGTTCGCAGCTTCCAAAATCTCCAAGTTGGTATAGCCACCGAGCAGAACGCCTTTGACAAGTGGGACTCCTCTTCCTTCAGCCTCTGATGATGCGCTGCAGCCAAGAATATCCGTAGCATCTCGGTCTATTGTCCCTACTGCAAGTAGTGCCATTACACACTTCCAGTGGCCTCGCACAACAGCTACCATCAGTGGTGTTCGGCCAAATCTATTCGCCAGATTCGGGTTCGCACCATGTACACAGAGAAGTTTGACGAGGTCGTCGAAACCCAATACCGCGGCGCGATAGAGCGGCGTCTCTCCATCTGCAGATTTTAGGTTGGGAGCGCAGCCGGCTATCAAGAGATGCCGTATCAAAGACTTGTCTTTTCGAGAAAAAGCTACAATCAGGATTGGTTCAAAACATTGGGCGTGGAATTTTGGATCGGCACCGTGTTCCAGCAATATCTCCACAATGGCTTTTGAATCACTCGGTGAGTGATCATCCAGATCCCCTGATCGTAGTGGAAGCCCTCTGCGAAGTCTTTCCTGCATACAATGGCCCTGCGATCCAGCTGCTCAGAGTAGGGGAGCTTGTTTCGAATCCCCTCTAGAGTTTGGAATGGCCCCTCCATCCAAGAGCAGCTTCACAGTTGTCACACAGCCGTACCTGGCAGCCCAACACAATGGAGTCTCTCCATATTTATCTTGCACTTTTGGGTCTGCTCTGTAATCGAGTAATAGCTTCATCATGCCATGATGCCCATTTCCAGCTGCAAAGAAGAGAGGGGTTTGGCTAACAGGCTCATCACGCTTAAAGAGAGTGGCGCGGTCTGTTGCAAAACGGGCAGGACGATAAAAATCGATGTAAAAACCACAAACCAAGCTCTGAAATGAAATTGTGGGAGGAGCCTCCGTCCTCAATAGCATTAGGATTTGCCCCAGCCAGAAGTAGAGTCTTGCCAACCGAAAAATTATTCATTTGCACCGCCCAGAATCAGGGTGTTCTCCCATAAATGTCCTTCACGTCAAAGGAAGAGGCATTAGCCTCAATCAATAACATGATAATCGGTTCAGATCCTTGAATTGCGGCATGATGAAAAGGTGTCATGCCATTTTGGTCCTGAGCATTAACCTTACAACCCATACCCAGGAGTAGTTGGACAGCTTCGTGATCTCCATCGGTCACTAATGAAATCAGCGCTGAGGATCTTGCCATGTAAGGAATGGCTTCTTTTGATAACTGTAATTTGACTGCAGCAGAATGGCCATATGTGGCAGCACACTGAATGAGCTGCTCGAAGTTCACTTGCATGGGTCACTTTCCAAATCTAGATGTCAACAAAAGATCGATCATCTCTAGATCTCCATTCTTTACCGCAATCATCAACGCCGCTCTCTCCGGCGCATTTCTGATTTCAATTCTTACACCGAGTCCCGAAAATTTGCTGGCAAGTCTTTTGCATCCTCTTTCAACTGCCCAAGTGAGTGGTGTCACCGTACCAATTTGCCACTCACGTCTCCGCGGGGGGTCTGTTGAGTGACTCAAACGATATGCGAATACTAGTAACTGTGGGCCATCCATGGACAGAGTTCTACCTTTCAAGTAGCTCCTAACAAGACGCTCACTCTCCGAATTCAGCTCCGACTCAATGTCTGGTCTCAAATTTGACACATTTTTTCCACCAAGAGATCGTACACGCCTATGGTGTCAGTGTCATGATATGTCGGATCGACATTAGCTCCACGTTCGACCAAGAGATGAACCGTGGGAGTATATTTTTCCTCATTGAAAGCATCCGCCTCGCTGGCTGCATGTAGTAATGGTGTTTCGAGGAACATGTTACGCGGATCTGCCTCGGTGCCGCGTGTAAGAAGTAGATCAGTCACTGTGGCATGTCCATTCCGGGCAGCCCAAAACAGCGGTGTTTCCATGAGGGCATTTTTATGATGAATATTTGCCCCTTTCTCTAACAAAAGCCTAGCAACCTCCTCGTATCCTGCACCAGCGACATGAAACAATGCTGTGTTTCCTGCGATATCTTCAGCGGACACTATGGAGCCTCGATCAAGCAAGTAGTCGACCATTGACAGCATTCCTTGCAGAGCAGCCACCGTTAGCGGTGTCTCCAGGTAGTAGTCGGAAGCATTGATGTCAGCACCGAGAGATAGCAGAGCTTCAACCTTTTCTCTGTCCCCACAAAGCACTGCCCAGAAGATAGGAGTTTTCATATATTCGTCTCGGTCATTCGGGTTGCAGCCTCTAAGAGTAGCTTCACCATCTCCGCACTGCTTTTGTTGGCAGCACTGTTTAGAGGAGACCACTTTTGCTCGATTTTTGGTTTAAAATTCGCGGCATGATCCAACAGAAGCTTAACAACTGTGATCGATGCACTTGCTATGGCTCTCATCAATGGCGTGTGTCTGAGTTGGGGAGCATCCTCTCGGGGACATGTCGCATTTGGATCTCCTCCGGCTTCTAAAAGGAGTCTGACAGTTTCCTCACCATCACTCTCGCGTTTGATATCCCTCCAATGAGACAAAGCAGCATGAAGCGGGGACGTAAATCCGGGGTGCGGATCCACACAGGCTCCTTTTTCAAGGAGAACTTTCACCACGTTTGTATCGCGCGCCCTGGATGCTTGATGAAGGGGAGTATCTCTATAAATGCTTGTCACATTCACATTGGCCCCCCCTTCTAGAAGTAGCTGTACCGAAGGCCTGTTTTGTAAAGTTGACAGAGGAGTAACGGAGTGTAGCGCAACCTATCGGCGTGGTCAATCGCGGCGCCGCAGTCGAGGAGGGTCAGAATTAAACTGACGTCCCCGACTCTTGCGGCATGAAGTAAGGCTGACTTTTCTTGCTCATCTTGGACATTAACATCAGCACCATGACCAATGAGAAGTTTGACCATTGGAATGTTCCCTTCAGAGATTGCTGCCAATAGCGGTGTCCTGCCAGATGTGTTCCTTGAATTTATATCGTTGTGCTTCGAGGAAGTGAGAATGAATTCAACCGCTTCTATATGCACCTATATAGACCGGATAAAGTCTGGCGGGTGGGGCTTTCCTATCTCGGCTGCCGCTGCTTTTATGAGGGCGCTCAGAGTCAGACTTACTGAGTAAATCTCAGTCCGGAATTAGATTCACTGAGCTGCTCAGTCATTCACGTGATGATTAGTAAGGTCTAATGATCGCTTACTAATCTCTCACTGACCTAATCCTCGGCCGAGCTGGCTACACGGTCGAGCTGGCCATCCCAAAACACCGTACTGAATGTGAATTTTTACAACTTCGTATGTCAACACTAGATGCTTAGCATATGATCTTAGGGTATCCTAGAGTTCAATGTATCATATTAGATATCTTTATAAGGTCGAAAAGTACATAAATATGTGACAAGATGAAGATATATATCTTCATTGCTTGGTTGGAGCGTATTTTTTGGTAATGCTGGTAAATAATCATCTACTGTATTTCTTACTGAGCTGTGCTATTTCTGACGCTGAGGATATTATCTGATTGAAAGTCGAGTAAAATCAACGTCTCGTTAATATACAGCGACCTGAAAAATCACACTTATTATGGTGTTTTGGGGTGGCCAGCTCGGCCGTGGATTACATTAGTCAACGTAATTCCCGGTTAACCTGATAACCCCTCCAAATTTGCGTCTTCCCGTCAACACACTAACTTCAATCCCCAATTTGCACCATTTTGCCGTCTTATTAAGCAGTGCCAAGATCCCGCAGTTCGGCACGTAGATCGGCTACCCCACATTTTCAGCCTTTCGACTCCGAAGATAGCAAAACTAACTATATTTCCTATTTGCTGCTTAAATCAGACCTTTTCCTCCTATAAATCACTTCGCAATACTAACTGACGCAGCGATATTGACAGTACCAGCGGTCTGTAACCAGCCCGTGCCACTACACCAGGGCCGGCCGTACTTTACTGCGCTTCAATCGCATTGTATACTTGAACATTGCCCAGCCGTTAGCATTGACTAGTAAACGTTTAAAATCTATAAATCTATATAACTTTCTCAAGGCCAAAGTAGTATCCACTGCACTATTGAGTTTTCTCCTTTGTCTGCTGAATAATCTCCTGCGTCGCCATCGCCATCATCTTGGGCAGCTCGTCATGACGCACCCACCTCAAGCCGTGTTTCAAGGTATCCAATACTCCATGCATTGCAGTAGCTGCTTCCTCGTGAGCGTTAAATAGCCGTTTAATTTCTACCGCACAGTGCTTCACGTCGTAAAAGCCCGAATCATACACTGCTCGCTGCTTCTGGGCCATGGACGCAAACCAGTCGTCCATGACGCCGCACAGCGCCTGGGTCATCTCTTCGCATAGCGACAGCTTACCGAGCATTGCCACCCACGACGCGGTGAACTGGATCCATGAGCCCTGAATCACTTCTGTCGGGGGTACCCGTGGTAGTTGGTGGATGGAGCCCGTCGGTCGTTCCTCAAAGCGTGTAGAGTTGGTCAGGTCGTTTTGAATCTGAACAATGGCGTCCAGGCATTGATGGACTAGGCCATTCTCACCAGGAGCTTCAGCTTGGAGGTAGCCCACTTGTAGTTCGTTCAGGAGGGATTTTACTTCGAAACTTCCTGCGTGGACCGAGTTGAACATGTCGTCTGCTTCGAGACCTGCGCGGCACATCAAAGTCTTTTCTCCTCCAGGGTGAAAAATCGACAACAGAGAAATGTCCAAAATGGCCCCGTTCAACGATATCCAGATATCTCCTGGTGCATTATGGCGCGCCAGTTCCCACCGTGAAATGGGACGAAGTGTCTTCTTGCACTTCGGCGCCGCCCGCGAGGAGGAAGCAACGTGAAGACGCAAGCTGGGCATCTTTGAGGTAACAATGGGTGAGAGTCGAGAGCTGAGGATACTCTTCTTGGCCAAACGCGCTCCTTTGATCTCCTTGGCAACGAGGATACCAAATTCTGCTGAGCCACAAACATATGTCGCTCTAGCTGGCGGCAGAGATTCACTGGCAAGGAACTTGTCAACCCTACCAGCAAAGGGCCAAACACCTCTAGACTTGACGTGCTGCACATCCCCACAGTTTGGTTGAGAGAGACAAAATATAACTTGGAGCTGATTGCCGAATTTCTCGGCGCAGTCGTAAATGTCCGACGCATACAACAGTTCATCAAGTCGCCTCACGCCCACGATCAGCACGTATCTTCCAACCAGTCTCGCTTGTCTCGAGAGCCACGCGCAAAACAGTCCCACGCCGCCATTTTGTGCAATAAGCAAGGTGATCTCTTTGGCGCTCTCGTTGCCTGATATGCGGAAGTGAGGGTTCGGTTGAAGTGCGAGCCGCACGGTACAGTCGCCGCGTTGCGAGCACAGAAATGACGAAACAGTTCCCATGTTGCGGCAGCAAATTTCAACAGAAGTAGTTGGAGATAAAACAACATGCTCATTGCATCCATTGTCAGTGGAGGGGCTGAAGCTGGTGACAGAATACGTTCTCGACTCTCTGATGCCGCCAACCACAGGAGTGATGATGACTGCGTCACCTGCGCCTACGACGACTGGCGTATCGAATCTGAAACGAATTCTGGCAGATTCGACACGACCCGTAGAACTTAGTATGCGGGAAACAACCCTACCATAGGCAGGTATTGTCCGGCTCAGTGCGTCGGTGCCGAACCGCACGTCCATCGCGGACTGCAGCGTCGCCGCGAGCTGGCGTTCTGGGGACGCTGCCTTTTCCGTTCCCGAGGAGGTATACAGCTGGCCCGCCCGCAAAGCGAGCACAATCCTCAGCGCCTTCTTCCGGTGCATCTCATACAAGCTGTACATCAGCTGCTGGAAGACCGCAAATGAATGGCGTAGCTCCGGGCTGGCGCTGCTCGACGATGCCAGAGCCCGAAGCGACGGTGCAGACGCAACATCGTGGATCAGGGACCGAATGTTGGGAGGGAAATTCCGCGACCGCATCGTTAGTTCTTCCAGGAGCGCGTCGGCGGCTGTGGGGTCGTGTCTTCCGCAGAGGGCATCGAGCATTCGAAACATGGGGCAGTCAGCGCCGCCAGCGCCGAGCGATGCGTAGCCAACTGGCTTGGAGAACTTGGCAAACGTTTGGCCCCAGATGACTTCGTCAATCATCATGCCAAACAGCTCTTCTCTCGCCAATGAAACACTCGTCTGAAGCTGTTGCAGGGCGCGGACGACCCCACCGGTCGCGCCGGGCAGGTCGTGGAGGAGAGCATGTAGCGTATGTAGATACCCGATACCCCCATTGTCCTGGAATATTTCCTGCACTGAGCGTTGCGTGCCGTTAGTCCGTATCACCTCGTGCAGTCTTCCAAATTGTTCGTGGGATCCGGCGTGTCGATAATCGCCCTGCGAGTACCAGTCCTGACTGCAGTTGCGGAACAGCATATTGACTTGGTCTTGTACCGCCTGTGGCAGAGGAATGCTTTTTGTTCTTGCTTCTTCCGCCAGCTGGAGCAGCTCGTTCGCCATAGCCAACGCCAAACCTGACAATGGAACGGGGTTCCCGCGTGTCTCGGTGGCCAGCCCGCGTCTTTGGGACAGGACTGCTGCAAGATCTTCATGATACAAGACTTGAACGATGAGTTTATGATCACAAAGAGCCCGCGGTGTCGCGACCGTACCACGCCTCGGCCAAGCATACGTTTGCTCAAGAGTAGTCAGGTACACACTGAGCGCAGCGCACAGCTCCTTATTTGTGGAAGATTCCACGGCAATTGCCTCGAGTGTCTCGGCACTGAAGGTCTCGTCCAGGGCGTCAATCAGCTGGCGATGCTGGCCCAGTTGTACTGCTCGCCCAAGGTTGCTTATTGTATCATGGATGGATGAGTAGCATTCTCGAGTGCGTTTATCGGATATCGAATTTCTTAGATGCTTGAATCGCGGAACCCGATCCAGATATCCATTCATCACTGCTGTCATAGTGGCTCAACGATCACCAATCCGTGGTTGTTGCATTTAGTTGCCCTCATGAGAGTGTACCTTTCCTGTTTTATATATGAGATGACTCAATTACTCAGATGGACTCTTCAGCCCCTTTCGGGTATACCTAATATTAGTTGCGAGATAACTTAATGCTCCATGCACTGCAGGGACATCACATTTGCATGGACAAAGCACTGTGGGGACAAAGCACCACAGGGCTCATTCAAAGTTTGGGCGATCAATTCCGTCTTCCCCATCACTGACGAAACAGCTTGCTTGGTCTGGCGGTAGCACCTTTGCAACGCCATATATCCGTACGGAGGTGCGCATCAAAAGTCTCTGCCCACCTCATAAGCACTAGCGAGTCCTAGTGCCGTATTATTGAGACGCTAGGCCATTCGAACCTGTACCCGGCTTTCTTAGTAGTGATCTCCACTCAAACACCAGAAGAGGCACAATTTCCTGAGAATCTCACCATATTGCTTTTGAAATTTAAAGCGATTTTGACACCCATAATCCCCCTATATACACCGCTTCCTGGCGATTTTCTTGGTTTACCCCTATTCTGACCACAAATTATGAAAATCTCACTAATTATAAGCCTGAGATAGGACGACCTGATGTACTGGCACTGCGTGTGTGCAGCTGCTTCGCTTTCATACCAATATGCCTTATTCTTATGAAACTCGCGCCTCGGTGCTCTCCCTGATTAAATTGGATCATCTTACGCCTTTGCAAGTTGCAAATATCTTTAATATCCCCAAAAGAAGCGTCTGTTTGATTATTCAACATGCCATTGAGCGCGGATGTAATCCTGCAGTTAGCCCTTATATTAAAGCTCATCATATTGCTGATGCTCCCTGCTTAGGCCGGCCAAAGTAATAACTGAAGCAATTAAGTAAGTGGTAATTGACTCAGTAACGTAATTCACTAGTTAGTGAGCTGCGCAGCTCACTAAAGTGGATTTCGAAAATAGACTACCCCCCAGACACACGCTTCTTTCCCAGCGCTCCACTAAGATTGCACTAAACTGATTTTGGCTAGATAGAGCCCCTTCCTTGAGACGGCGCCGTATTATTGACTGCGGGAGAATCTAGAACCCGGGCGATCCGGATGAGGCGCTAAAGTGGGTCCCCGAGAGAGTAAACGTGGTGTCTGGGGGGTAGTCTATTTTCGAAATCCACTGTAGTGGTGCGCAGCTCACTAGGTCATTAAGTTTAAGGGATGCGAGCACGGCATAACTTCCGCACAGGAGACTATTATTATACGGCGCAATGCGTGGCACCCGTTTTACTCTACCTGCCGTCAAAAATCGGCACCAATGCGGCCGAGTCTATCGAAGAAGAAGCTTATTTAATTACATTGTTAGACAGGGGTCCACCGTTTTCCCAAGACCGTCTACATCCCAAGCGGCCCCTTGTCTTGCATAGATGACTAGTTACCCTTGCCCGGGCGGCTCGCGGTCCATCCACCCACCCGGTCGCTGCGAAGGCTGTCCAAGCTGTTTCCTCATTTCTGGTCATCGATGGGCAGTATCTCGCCGGGTCGTCATCTAACTAGGTCGCCAGATACTGGGCCAGTAGCCCGCTCGCAATCAGAAAGCCAATGAAGCCAAACGACGAGCCCGCCCATTTTCCACAACTCACCGGATCCTTCAAATCTACCAGCGCGAGCATCGTGGCCGTGTAGACAGCGCATCCTCCCACACTAAAGACGTGATACGCCACGCCGTCGTGAGCGCCGGAATAGTACAGCAGCATAACCATCGCGACCAGAAGCAGCCACAAGGAGCATTTTGCGTACCCCTGCACAAGCACCGCCAGGCTCCTCACCCCGACCTTGCAGTCGTCGGCCAGGTCCTGGTGTGCGTAGACGGTGTCGCACAGAACCGTCCACACCGCCGTCGCCGCCATCAGGTAGACCACGGGCTTGTAATTCATCCAGTGACCCCTGTCGTCGTCGCGTCCCATCGCCAGGCGCCCAAACATGACAGCCCAGCTCATGCAAAAGGCAATCACCAGCTGCGGCGCCGGAATATGTCGCTTCGCAAAGGGATAGTACCCCGTAGACACCACGATCGGACCCATCGCAACCACCGCAGCACGCGGCACTGGCATCAGGCAAATGCCAGCAAAGGCGACCTGCGAGCAGACAAAGACGAATGCCGCCGTCCGGCTTATGGCGCCCCTTGCGATGGGCCTGTTCTTTGTGCGCTCAACTTTTGCATCAATGTCCGCGTCGACGAGGTCATTCCACGCGACGCCCGCGTTGCTGATGAAGAAGCTGTGGACGAGAATCACAGCGGCCACACATAGTACATCTCTCCCCGGGCTCCTGAGAGCCGCAGCGGCGTGTAAGACGCCGAAGATCTCAGGGAGGAAGACGAGGAACCACGAGATCGGAGGGTTCAGACGCGAGAGCTGGATGTAAGAGAGAAGCCAGGAGGCGTTCCTCTCGTGGTCGACCGGGTGCCGCGCTTCGTCGTATCCGCCGGTGTACTTTTCGGAGCAAATGGCAGCTTTAGATGTCGCCATGGCTGGAAGCAAAGGTCGTAGTCTGGTGCCGTAAGTGCACGGCTTGTTGCAAGACTTGTATCTGTTATGACAAGAACTGCAATGACCTAGTTGACGGCGCGCTGAAAGCGGAATAGGTATAGTATGTGGTCTTGACCTCTTACTGGTACTAGTCAGAGCATGACGGCGAATGGACGACCGTGGCCTCAAGTATGTGACGAAACTACCACACTAACAACCCCAGGCATGGGGGAAATATCCATGGAATTAGTACAGAGGTGGGCACAAAAAGTCTTTGTAATGCGCTAGCTGACTAGTGCGTCTGGCGGTTATTTGTGGAGGTACTATTGTTACCTAGTAATTTATTAGGCACGCCAAGTACTCCTAAAATGCGCACTGGATTGCAACTAACCACTCCTAAAGCTCCAAGTCTCACTTTGCTTCTTCAAATATAAAGCTATTTACACACATCCAACGCCCTATAGGATACTAATATTTAGTGGTACTTTTATTCCAATGCTCTTGATTTTAATAGCGTACGCACTTACTAATAAATATGCGAATATTTGCTAGTTTTGTGGATACTGATGCTGTCGTCGGCGTATTCCACCACTCCGCTGTCAATGTTGTCAACAATGCACCTGGCAACGTGGAAATGGAAGAGGCCATGCCCACCAAGCATGCACCCTAGATGTAGGTAGGTAGGTGACTAGGCCAAAAAGCAAATAAACTCTCAACAAGCAAGGCAATGGCAATGACCTCCAGTTTTCAAAGTAGCCCCCTTCTCTGTTACTCTATCCATCTGTTATAACCCCGGACAGCTCGATTTTGTCTCATAGCTTAATCTCTCTAATGACACCGTTTCGGACAAGAACACAAAGCCCAATTTCACCAACAACATCGCAATATGATAGCGAAGCCCTCATCCGTCCTGGATCTTTTCCTGGCACAGGCTCGGCAGCAGCCGAGCGGAATCGCAGTTTCCAAAGCAGGCGTGAATCTGAACTATTCAGCGCTTGATCGTGAATCGGACGCCGTCGCTGAGCTGCTACAGCACCGCGGTGTCGTCTCGGGGGATATTGTCCCCGTCATTTCATCGAGATGCTTGGAGCTGCCTGTGTGTGTCCTTGCCATTCTCAAAGTCGGCGCCGCTTTTGTCCCCATCGAGGCCGGCACCTGGAGCCGCGCGCGCATCGACGCCGTGCTGGCTCGGCTTGACTTCAAAACAGTAATTGCCACCGGCGACGAAAATTATGGAGTATCCATGATTCAAGGTGTCGAGCTCGGAGATGCTATCCGGGCCGCTCGCACAACGGCCACGCCAACACAGCCTCGTCAACGATGCCTTGCGCCTCGTTCTATGGCGTACATAATATTCACCTCGGGCACCACTAGCACGCCGAAAGGAGTGTGCGTCGCACATGAAACTCTTCTGAATTGCGTCGCCCCGGGGCATGAGGATGCGCCGATAAATTTCGGCGTACGTCCTGGAGACACAACCCTGGCGCTCTTCTCCATCGCCTTCGATAGTGAGTAGATGGCTCCATCTCCGCGAACTGACTGTTGCACATCTGACCAAAGCCACACCCTCACAGTCTTTTATGGTGCTCTATTCAACACAATATGCAATGGTGGCCGTTTATTATTCTCCGAAACATCCTCCTTCATAGACGACGCGAAGAACTGTACGATTCTACCAGCCACTCCTGCGCTGCTCTCAGCCATCGCAGATCCATCGACGTATTCGAACATTCGCACATTATTTATCGGGGGTGAATCTTCACCGCCGAGTCTTATAAAGAAATGGTCAGCCCATAATCGCCAGCTGTGGAATGGCTACGGCCCTACTGAAACTACCATTTCCTTGACCATGGGAGAACTACGACCAGGGCGTCCCATTACTCTCGGTACACCAGTCAGAAATAGCAAGCTGGTCTTGCTAAACCACAACTTGGAAGAGAGCGATGAAGGGGAGATTGGCGTCATGGGATCAGCGGTCTTAGCCCTTGGCTACTACAAAGATCCGCAGAAGACGGACGAAAAGTTCATCCACTGGCGCGGCAATCGACTATACTTGACTGGCGACTTGGCCAAGCGGACAGAGGACGGGCTAATATTCCTCGGTCGGAAAGATCAAATGGTCAAGAACCGAGGCTTTTTGGTCAATCTGGAAGCCGAAGTTGTCCCTGCAATCTGCTCCCAGCCTGGAGTCGAGTCAGCCGCCGCTGTCATGCACCTTCAGCGCCTGGTCGCTTTTATAACACCAGCGTCACTTGATGGGACAACGTTACGACAAAACATGCGCTCAGAGTTTGATTCGTTTATAGTACCGGACGAAGTATACTCCCTTGATGAGCTTCCACAAACCACAAACGGAAAAATCGATCACAGGTCGCTACTCCAGGAGCTGAGTCGGAAGAAACTACGTCCGCCACCGATCCAATCCACATCTACGGGCATTCTACTGGCCCTCGAAGAAGCCGTTGGGCAATGTCTTGAAATCCCAAGTACGTTTGTGGATGTGAATAAGTCCTTCACTGGATTAGGCGGAAACTCACTGCTTGGAATCAAGCTGCTTTCGATTTTGCGACAAAAAGGGCTGACAGCGTCAACAATCGCACTTTTCTCACTACCCAGCCTCGTGGAAGTTTCCAAAGTATTAGAAGTCATCGAGGATGCTGATGGTGTATTGGATTTGGTCCCCAATGTTGGCGTTTCTAGCTTGAAGCCGAGCCACAATGAATCCTCAAAGGCTTCATTTGCCATGACAGATGTCCAGAAAGGAATCATCAGATCATCATTAAAAGAGCCGTTAACCGGGTATATGCTTGTAACGATATCACTACATGCATCTCAGAACGACATTGATGGAGATGCCCTGAGTAGGGCATGGGAGTTGGTTTTGGCAGATTATGAGTTATTTCGCTCCAGTTTCGAGCCGGCAAACGAGAGTTTCACGATCTCAACAACATATGTGCATGACTGGAAGACGGCATTTTCAACGAAAGCTACCATGCCAGACGATATTGCGCGCGAATCTGAATTACTACTGCAGGCGGCCAAGTCAAACACCAGGGACGGCAACATCTTTACACCAGTGAATGCGTTTCGACTTATTTTGTCCCCAGAAAAATCCTCTGTTCTGTTATGGCTCATTCATCATTCGTTGGTGGATGGTTGGTCCGTCGGAGAAATTTTGAGCCAAGTCAGACGGCAGATGGACAACGATCGTCACGAGCCACCGACAAAACAATTCTCGACATACTCGCAGTCTTTAAGCGCATTCTCAAAAATTGCACAAGGGAAAGCAGAGAAGTTTTGGACCAATCGACTCGAGAATGTTACGGAGGGAACAGCTCTCAACATTTGGAACCCGCTCGGCCAAGCCTCAAAGGCCGGAGCTATTGCGGACGAGAGCATCAGCACTGGCCTGTCCTTGGCGCAGCTCAACGTCGGCGCTCAATCGCTCGAAGTTTCATCTGCAGTAGTTTTACATACTGCTTGGGCTGTCTTACTCAGCAATTACGCAGACAAGGATGAAGTCGTTTTCGGCAGCGTCTTCTCTGGCCGAAGCTTCCCACGGGAAGATGTTGCCGAGGTTGTTGGGCCGATAATAAATACTTGCCCTTTTCCGGTCCGTGTCTCCGAATCTGGCAGCAAGTACGATGCACTTCAAAGTGTAAAGGAAGTCCTGCTCGGGATTGCGGACCATCAGTGGTCTGCATCTGCGATGCTCCAGCAGTTAGCACCCGGAACAATGTCCCGACTCTTTCAAACTGCCCTCTTCTTAGAGTATGATTTGCCAATGAACAGTTCTGTTGCTGGCAAGCCCGAAACCAAGTGGGACATCAATAAAAGAGGCTGGCCAGAATTTGGACTTACGCTTCAAGTCCAACAGGCTGCTGGAGAGATCATCCTGCGTGTGGTTTACGATCCTGGCGACTACCAAAAAGACTCCATGTCTCCACTTCTCCATCACTTCCGAAATATTTGTCTTGCATTACTGGATCCAAACGTCTTGCAATTGAAAACAGTCAAGGACATGATGCTTACTTCCTTCACCCGTCTCAACCTGACTCGAAACTCGCCTTTGCTCTACAGTCCCTACTCAGGGTCACGGAGTCTAAAGGAGAAGTTCGAGCATGGTGTGAGATGCTGGCCGGATGCTGTTGCCATTGAGTCCAGCGACGAATCATACACATACTCTGAGCTGAATTGCATAAGCAATTATGTGGCCAGGGTCATCTCCGAGCTGGCAGGCCCAAAGCAAGTCGTGGCTGTGCTCGCAGACGGGAGCAGATACTGGTTGATTTGTGCCCTGGCAGTTATCAAAGCTGGAGCCATATACCTCCCTTTGGATACGAAATTACCTAGTGAGAGGATGAAGAGTATGATACGTACTGCTGGCGTAGTACTATGCGTCTATCCCAACTCAAAATGTCACGAGCTTCGCTCATCGCTTCCGGGAGCTCACTTGTTGGCCGAGAAGATTATCCATAATTTCAACTCATTGGAAAATCGGATCGAGGCGCTGGAAAGCACAACAGACATAGATGATTATGCTTACGTCATGTTTACGTCCGGCTCTACTGGCACTCCAAAGGGGATCAAGGTCACTCATAGAGCAACTCTTTCGCACTTGTCTTTTGAGCCGGCCAGACTACATGCCCGACCAGGCAGACGGCTCGCGCAAATGTTCTCACCAGGATTTGACGTGAGCATTGCGGAAATATTTGGCACTCTTTGCTATGGAGCAACCTTGGTTCTCAAAGATGACGCAGACGGGCTCGCCCATTTGAGCCGGGTGAATGCAACCATGGCGACACCTTCCCTTCTGGCTACGCTGCCCCCTGACAAATTTCGGAACCTCGACACAATTTATCTCATTGGTGAAGACGTACCACAAGTGCTATGCGACTCCTGGGCTGGTGGTCGAACTCTGTACAACTTTTACGGGCCCTGCGAATGCACCATTGCCGCGACCTGGACCCAGATTGAGCCGGGGAAGCCCGTTACTATCGGAAAGACGGTACCTCGAGTCGGCGCATACGTGCTTGACAGATATAAACGGCCGGTTCCTGCTGGAGTGATTGGCGAGATCTGCATCTCCGGTGTACAAGTCATGGAGGGCTACATCGGCACGGATGCAGAGGCCATCACCAAGAGAGCATTTGGCCCAGACCCTTTCGACCGCAATCACCGCATGTACAAGACGGGCGATCGCGGTGCTTGGACATCGTCTATGGATCTGAAGTTTCTGGGTAGAGTCGATCATCAAGTCAAGGTTCGTGGCTATCGAGTGGAACTTGATGAGATTGAGAACTTGATCCGAAACGCCGACGCCAGTGTCAGTCGTGTGACCGCCATGGTTGTCCAAGACGCTATATATGCTTTTGCTGTACCAGAGACCGTAAAGGAAGGCGATTTAATAAGTAAGCTATGTCGACAGTTGCCCACGTACGCTGTACCACAACGCATATTCGCACTCCCAAGTCTGCCTTTCACTCCGAACCAAAAGCTGGATCGAAAAGCTTTGGGTACCATGGTCACGACTGCACCGAAGATTCAGAAAAAGAATCAAACCCTCACCCCAATAGAATCGCTCATTGGGCAAAAATGGGCTGAAAGTATCGGCCTTGAGACTCCAACTGGACTGGGACCGGAGGATGATTTCCTGGCCATTGGTGGCAACTCTCTGCGCCAGATTACCGTCGCTCGGCAAGTCTGCGCACATCTCGGCCAAAATATCCCCCTGAGTCTCTTCATTCACAATACAAAGATGCGCACACTCGCCAAGGCAATAGAAACCCACACGGCAGGGCAGCAGAGGAACGGTGGTGTGGGATTCGACCTGTTCACGCCAACCGCTCACAACGGGGTTTCCTATCTTGAAGAAATGCGATACCACAAGCATAACAGCTCCACAACTCCATCAGCCCTCAATGTCGCCTTTGTTGTCACATTTTCTGGGGATGTCAAGACCAATTTGCTGATGCAGGCAATCAAGAAGGTCATGTCAGCGAGCGATATCTTCAGGACATGCTTTGCAAGGCAGGGTGCATCGCTTCGGAGAAAGATTTTACCGAAAACACCCGAGGTGATGCACGAGGAGCTTCATTCAGGCAGGATAGTGTCTGCATTGGTAGACTTGCCTTTCAACCTCGAAACTGGACCGCTCACAAGAATTGCAATGATGGGAAGCGGCCAAGTTGTTCAGGTCGTCTTCGTACAGCATCACATCATTACCGACCAAACTTCCGTCGCCCTTTTCTTCAGACAAGTGGGCGAAATATACTCTGGCCTCCTCTCTGGGACGGATGTTGTCATGAAACCCCCTCGACCATACGCCGACTGGGCGCAGTGGAAGAATCGTCGACTTACAGAACCCCCGACTACAGAAGATGTAAACTTTTGGAAATCCCATCTGCGCAACGTCTCCAATCTGGTGCATCGTTGTCCTCAGCCGCCAAAAACTCTCCAAGATGCCGCGCATTCCACAGTGGCAAGGCTCAAAAAGCCAGCGTCGGCCGCAGCTTTGGGCTTGTTTCTAGGGGTGACGGCAGTGGCCTGGAGCCGTGTTTTCAGTGTCGACTCTGCCGTTATAGCGATCCCGTGGATTGATCGCGCAGAGCCAGGCACGGGGGACATGTACGGAATTTTCCTGGATGCACTGCCCGTGTGTATACGGTCAGCTCGAACACGTAACTTGGGCACCATTGTCACTGAAGCAAGTGCGGCAGTGAAGTCAGTTTTGAGTCACGCTCTCCCCTCCCCGCAAATCCGGCGTATTGTTCAAGAAGAGTCACTGTTTGGCGTGGTGCTGGTGTACAACAGGATGCAGGACCAAGTGTCTGCTGGGCTTGATCTACAGGGCGTGTCAGTTACGAGCGCGGCGAAGCGAGCGGCGGGTGCCAAATATCCCGTGCTCATAGAGTTTACCGAGGGCGAGGATTTTATAAGCCTTGAGATTGAATATTTCAAAGAGGCTCTAAGTGCCAAAGCTCTAAAACAGCTTGAAGAGGAGCTAGCCAGTCTGTTGGAGGAAATAAGTCAGTAGCAGTCTATTTTACAATAAAGCTGTATCAGTTTCATGACAGGAGCAATGAAGATAATTGGCAAAGTTAGTGCTCATTCAGGGGCCAAGACAGCTATACTGTTTAGCCGAGAGAAGTAGGGGAAACGGGTCCCAAGTGGTCTGATTGTCTCGGACACCAGGTGTATCGTATGAGGTCGCATAGAAGGGTGGTCTTGCAAATTGGGATTCCATCTGCAGCTGGAACCCATTGAGGCTATTCTTGTTCAGTAGGATAAGAAAAGATGGCGTGTCAGACGGTGCCTTGCGTTTGCCAATTAAAAATAGCCCATGCAATGATTGCTGTGCCATCTTCGGTCCGGGGGTCCGGTTGAGCGTCTGAGGGGTAAGATACTTACACCCCGACACAGCCCGACCCCTGACGCAGCGGCGAATGAAAAGCCTGGGTCATACCGATTCTTGTCAACATCAGATAAACGAAGCAGGCCAGACTACACAGGGCTAGATGGTTCGTCTACGAAGAAGAGAAGGAAACGCAAAGATAAAACTAAGGGTGACCATATTGGGAATGATAATATGCAGAATGGAAAAGACGCTGTGGTAACTCAGAAAGGTGGCACACCTGTCCCGTATCCTCCAACGAGTGAGAAACCAGCGGAGATTGCCCCCTGCCTCCAGCTTCAGGCTCTCTCCAACCAGCCGGCCATCCCTATAAACACCCAAAGAATTGAAACGGTTCTGAACAGGGTGCCAGATAGTATCCTGGAAAACGTACAATTGTGTGCGGTTGAACGATCAGCTTGGAAGGTACGGGCAAAGGTCTGCACAGACAACTGTGACAACCAGGGTCAAGACTATTCAAAGCTTCGTCGATGAAATTATCCAGCTAGACTATTCCGATGCTATCTAAGCGATCAAGCAAGAAACCGCCTTTTCAGCCAGCAAGAACATCCAGACTCGGTTTGAATAAATTGTTGAACCTCAGCCGAGAAGGACATAGAGAAATATATTTACCTATATACCATGTGTTTATGGACATTTGCATTGGCCAACGGTTTCCATCGACCTTGCTCAAGTATCAAATACAAATTATACGGGACTATCTAAGACCCAGATTATACTACACAGGAACGAAGACTTCATACTGGAACAATCTCACAGTCAGTCCAATGAGAAGGCACGATATTGCGGATCCAGAGCATGAGTTCCTGGATTCTCAATGTTCCGCTCGCGCGCTGTGTGGGAGCGGGCATGTTTATGCGATACGTCCTAACTTCGGCACATGGCAAGAGCATGAAAACATCATTAACTTCAAATGGACAAACACACGAATGTTAGCTGAAAACGGCTAAGTACGTATGAGTACATCAATCAATGCGGTATAGGGGGGTTACAGTACATCGCTCGAGGTCCTTGCTTCCAGAGCACCTAGCCTCCGTCTTATTCTTACTATAGGTTACAGTATGTTTACCGTACTTCTCTTGTTGGCTACTGCGGCTCCGTGAAAGTTTTAAGTTGTTGGAATAAGGAGCCCTCCGTAGAGTCGGTGTAGATGTGACGTGATGCAGCGTGGGCAGCGAGGCAACCCCAATAAAACCCCACCCTATATTCTGAGCTTGCTCACTCCCGACTTTGGTTATATTCGATACCACGAATGCTAGATGATGCCTCCCAATGACGACGGTCAATAAAGCCTAAATTGGTATGGTCAATGATATAGGTGGAGAAGTGGCTTTAATGAATCATAAAAATCGCAAGCAGGCCAGTGGTGTTACGCGGAGCCGACTGGTCACTGCGAGTAAGTGCAGATAGGGCAAGAGTTACCTGGGTCGTTATAGTAAGCTGGTACATTAACAATATGTGCTGAGACGGCTGGTTCCGGCCTCATTGACACAAACCTCAATTCCAAGAGTTTCAACCATACTGTTGCTATGCAAAGCCTAAAACGGGCTTGAGCCCTTTTGAGTATCTTCCAGAACGTGCCAGGGTGCGTGCGTGCCAAAAAGTCAGTCTTGAGAGTGAACTGTGAAGCGTAGAGTACTAAGGACAGTAACCAAGTAACAGTGTGCAATTGATTGTGAAGAACTCAATAAATGATGATAAATGAGGGTCCTTAAATATCCAGTTCTTCCTTGTGGTATCGATGGTAGATGATTCTTGGCAAGATCTACACGTATACCTATCTACACCTCTGGGGCTCTACCGCCATAAGTCACGTGCGGGCTTATCGTCACCTAGTGTTGTGACTTGTGTCGCAATATCCGCACGAGCTAAAAATAAGTGAGGAAATGGAAGGGATGGTAATATAGTAAAGCTCACGCTGCACGTAGAATAGAACCTTTCATGATAGTGCTCGAACATAGTGTCCGGAGAAGGTCACCTCAGTCTTGCCCCATACTCTAAGATTTGACTCCGTGTTGGTCCCAGTTCTCAATAGTCGTTTTGATAAATTTCGCAGGCAAGTCCGCATCTAGCTCCGCCAACGGACATTTCCAGGCATCCGCTACCAATTGATTTGGATGATAGAGATCTGGACAACGAAGCTGCCACGCTGCCTTTCCAGATGAGGCATTGGGCTCAAATTGAAATCGAAAGTTCGGACTATGTGAAAGCTCGTACAGCATGTACTTCAAACGGGGCATCAGACGAGCTGCGTTGCCTAAAGAAATTAGGGTTCGGTGGAAATGGTCGTTGTCAAAAATCGGGCGGGAAATTGTTCCTTCTTCCAAGTCACAGATAACCCTCTCCCAGTCCTCGATTTCGTCGATTTCTATTTGGTCTTCGGGTATTGGATGTACAACCCACTGGCCTGTATAACGGAAGTATCAGTAAGACCAACTAAGCAATATCTAGCGTCTGCAAGTTCACCGAGTTGCAATTAAAGGGCCGAAACCAAAAGTGGATAGCGAGATATTTAACGCACCTGAAGGAAGCCTTGGAGGTACTCCAGTCAGCTCTACTACTTCCAATGAAGGCCAGTATAAGGACTGGGAAGTCGACAAGGGATGGTTTTCTGTATCCAGAGGAAACAGAACGTCTGGTGCGAGCGATAGTTGGCTAATCCTTAACTCTCTGAGTGATAGACTCAGACCTAGGATGTTCTGCGAGAGAAAGTCGATAGGCGAACGAAGCACATTCAATCCCGCCATCATATCTTTCCAAGGGCATTCCATCTCATTGAGAAGCTGGAATGTTCTCAGACTACGTGGCATCTTCACAAGACCGTCGGCCAGAGCTATCGAAATATCAGCGTTTCGGCTCGCAAAGTAAGTACCTTATCCAAAGTAGATATTCCTCTGACCTTGACGCCTTGCTTGGATATATTCAATGTGATCTGGACGGATATACTCATCGAGATTCAATATCATCTGAGTAAGAGTGCTACAGCGCTGAGCAATTTGCAGGGCCGATCCGGCCCATATTCGATGGAAAGGAAAGTCATCATCAAAGCAAAGACGGTCGATACAGGCGACATCCGGGAGAAAGGACGCTGCGTTGTCTAGGAATCGTGCCCGGTAGACAGGGACTGACTGCGTCCTTCCTTCCTTATAATCATAGCAGTATTCGCCTGCGATATCCCAATCATATGTGTGAGGCTCTATTCCGGGTTCGCGACCTAGCAGCGCCACCTCAACCGAAAGGCGCAGATAAGGATCCCACCATTTCAGCGTTTTGAAGAGGTCCAATATTGCGGACTGAAATGCAAGATCATTCTCATGACGAATGTTGTTTTCGACTTTGTATCCTTTTCTTTTGCGAGTCTGCCAATCCGGGAGATCACTAGGAACCACAATGTGGTAGCTCAAATGTTGGATCAAGGCTCGCCGGGCAAGTCCTTTCCCAGAGGTCACGTTCTGAAAGTGACTCAACGACATAGACCTCTCACAGTCATCTTTGCTGACTCCATCAGCACTTATCACGTGGATCGGTCGGGAGTAGATTAATGCCTCGAAAGCCACCTGCCACTCACGGCATACTCGAGTGCATATAACCAGAGAGGCCTTTGCGTCCTGCAAATAAATCGCGATCAAATGCAGTATCTCCAGGGGAAGATGTAGCCCCATGCTGGAATTGGGGAACGTAGCCTCGGTTGCTCTTGGAAAGAATCGTGTGAGGTTGTTAGAAAGGCAAAGAAACAAACGGCGTTCCTACGGGGGGCCACAAGTAAATTTTGCTATCGTAGTGAGCCAAGAATCCGAAAAACAAACCCTCAGGGGTTCGCCCCCGCCCCACGCGACTAGAGGACTCCACAAGACCGAGTGTATAAAGCTGCATAGAGGAGCGGCGTTTGGCCCTTGGAATCTCCAACTGCAAGGTCTCCATTGTTGTTCAAGAATTGGGAATTAAGGTCGCTCAGTCCAAAGTGGGCTGCGAGGTGCATGTTCGTGACCCCACTCGGGCATTGGCTCCAGTCTTCATCGTATGAACTGTTAAAGTACCTGCTTCCGAGTTTTCGAATGAAGCCAGACATAGCTCGGTTTGGTGCCGCGCACCAAAAGCGGGATTCTCGTATTTGCGTAGTTCAGCACATCTTCATCAACTGCCCTGATCTCCTTGGACGGATATCCTTCAATGCGCTCATGATCTCAGAAACAAAGCGCGAAGCTGACTGGCAAGTCATTCTGTAGCTTGAAAAGTTCCGACAGTAGTTGCCGTCGCTCCTCTGGGTTCGAAGGAAGATGCTCGTCAAGGCCGTCAACAACGATAAATATCTTCTTGTATGAGCGTGCCGTATGTGATAGTGCAGAGGTCATTTTCTCGTGATCCAGGGCTGTCCAATCAGCTGCGAGTCTTTCTTTGTAAGGGTCTTCTACATGCGAACATAGCTTCCCGCTGTTCCTGTACGCAAGCTGTCTCAGAAGATTTGATAGCAGGTCGTCTGACTTTTGCACATGCTGAGATTGGTAGCTGCAGAACAAGAATGCAACCTTGACGTCGGCATCTTTCCTAAATGTGGTGTTGAGAAAGTGGATCACGATTGAGCTCATTACCGTCTTACCAGCTCCTGGAATGCCGGGACAGATCAAGACTTGTTTGGGCGCAGATAGCCAATGTTGGAATTCAGGCAAATTTAACAACCAAAGCCCTGTGCCTTCCTGACGCATCTTGAATGCCAACTTTTGTTGTACACTAAAATCGAGAGGGCTGATTCAGCCAAGGATATTCTTTACTTGTCCTGTCATGATCACGGCTTTCATTTTGGAAACATCTTCGGAAACTATATACAATAATCAATAATCGGTTCCAGTGCTGATCTTTCACCGAACGGTCTCGAAGTTCGTACCTTGACCAAGGACATCTTTAGCGGCGGAGGCCAGGTCAACCTCCTTTGGCAGGACATATTGAAGAACCTCCTTAGCGCATCCAGCCGCGGCCGCAGCAGCATAAGCATGCCAGCGATCATTTTTATGAGAATCAGCGCAGTCAGAAATCCCTCCAATGATTAGGCAAGGGAAGTTGTTCATCAATCCAGATGCCTCCATTTCCAAACAAATCGCATTGTGCGTCTGCTTGAGTTCCTCCCTGGTAGGAGCATGCTTGATGACAGAATCACCAGTAGCAATTGTCCATAGTGGATACTTGTCTTGGCGTGGTTCTCGAGATACCTCCTCCGAGGGATCACATCCTTTGCATGTCCGACCAGCGGAATGTTGATAGTGAGCATCGAATAGGCGATCTGTGTCCTGAGCCGGCCGACGGTAACCAGCCTTTCGCATAATCGGATGCTTCTGCAACATAGTGTCGATATAGTGTGAGATATGGGTTTCGCGTGTCATATGTGCTGCCTCGAGCTGAACAAGGGCAGAGCTTAGCGATCTGGGTGGGCGGTTCAATATTGAGATGCGCTGAAAAGAGCCGTCTGCGAGACGCTTACCAAAATCATAGACAACGACACCTCCGCTCTCTTTATCACTGCTGAAGACCACATCGCCGAGTCGACTATCATTGTCTTCATCTGGAATTCCAGCACCAATTCCTACCAAAAGGCCAATTCGGATCTTAGGGAAGGTAGAGACTATGTCTCCTGCGACCACTGCGGCGGATACTGAGCTAATCTGATCGTTAGGCAAACAAGCGACGACCACCTTGAAATTACCGACTCTTCCAAGAAGATAAGCATTCTGATCTGCCTCTGCTGTGGGAGTCTGCGGGGCCCCGTGTTCCTCGTCTAGCGTGCCTTTGGCTACTGCCAACTCGATTGGAAGCGCACAGATCCATCCCACGGTGTATTGGTCATTGGAGAAGGGTGACTGTTGGAGAGTCTCCATGGTTGTTGATCTTGCCATGTCTGTTTTCGCAGAATCGGATGGAAGAAACAGATCACTCAACTAGGGACACTTGAGGTCCTTCGATCTGGGATATTGTGAATGCAACAGTCAAATAGTTGCTTGTTCTCGCACTCAGCTCAAGCTTTGATGGCGCTTGTAGACAAGCTTACTTACTTATTCCAAGAGAAACCCGTCTTACAAAAGAGGGGTCGGTCGACATAGATCTTTCAGCCTCATTATGCCACGGACTGACGGACACCAACGAGGATGCGATATTAAGCGCTGGGCATTTTGCCCTGCCCCAACTAAAAACACACCAGCACATATGAGGCAATTAGCGGCTGCTGGATAGGAAAATCCGAGTGCAACTAATCAATTACTTGTTAGCAGGTCGCGGTTCCTTCGCCACAACTGACTGGACTATCGAAATTAATTGGGCTTTGGGTTTGAGGTTCAGAAAAGCTCGAACTGTAACGAAAGGCCATTGATCATTTCAGAGAGGAGAAATCGACAGACTTCTAGAGCATCAGAATATTGTACACAATTCACGCCAAACAAGAGGTATTATATACACGGCAGAATCTCAGAATCTCAGAAACAATTCGGACCTCATCAAGAGGTAGCGTTTTGTTTCGTCTCCTCCTCGGCCTTCATCTCCTTCTCAAGGGCCGCAAAATCGCCCTTGAAGGAGTCCTTCGCGGGTTCAAGTCGAACATCCCAGACATCCTCGCTACTGGGTCCAGTCTTGTATTTGATAGCCTTCTTCTGGTTATGTGCGCGGATGGCTTTCCTCCGCAAGTCATCCGACCATCCGCGGGTCTTCATGCACAGCCAGAAATTATCCCAGTGCTCGCTACAGGACCGGAGCTCTCCATAGCGATAGACATTGACGAATTGGCCACCAAAAGATTGACAGAAGAAGGCGTAATCGAATGTTGTTCGGCAGGACATGCTGTCTGCGTAGAGGGATTCTGGGGCGATGGAGGAGGCGGGCTGTGCTAGGGGTGCGCCGGTGTCGGGATTGGCTGGTGCAGTAGTAGAACCATTGAATGATTCTGGACCTTGCCTTTGGTTGCCGGAGAGCTCAGCATCGGCTTGTTGAAGCTCAGCGAGGATTTGCTTGAATTCAAGATCGGCTTGTTCGTCCGGGGACATTTGCTTGGGCGGTGCTGCAATCTGAGGTGTTGATTCGGGGACACTGGTTGTGGGGAGTGTCTCTTTTGGTGTATCCTTTGTAGGACCTGAATTCCATAGCCAGCCCATCTTGGTTGTTTGTTTTGTGAAAAATAACTTGTTCGCAACGACAGCGATGCTGTCGAGACGCGGTTTTCGAACGATAATCAGATAAGTCACGTGCTTTGTCTGATAACGATCGACAATCCTTATCGATAAGAATGTCGCGCGACGTCATTCACCAGCGGCCGAACGAAACCTTGACACCCTTGACATTCTTCAACTCCTGTGCCTGGCCAGATGTGCCATAATTGAGATGAGGCATGCACTCATTACGAGAGCCTATACGGCTGCAAGAGCTTCACCATGGAGCTCTACCGGCCGGGTCTACCACCCTTCTATTCTGGGATGGAGAGCTGCTCCACTTGGACGAACCTCACCAGTCAGCATACGTTCGACGTCATCCATACGGTCAGGGCATATCAAGCTCAACCAGAATGAAGGCATTCTCTACGTGAATAGTGAGTCTCAATAGATGCAAGTGGAATAAATTTCATCTTTTGCTAATCAGTAATCAGACATCTTCCCACAACGCCTGCAATGGTTCCTGCGGGGTCCACTCAGTCACATACAGCCCCTCGAGGGGACCTTAAGAAGAATCAACAATCCAGACCTCGCGGCGTCAGACCCAACATCTATTGCACAGCGTGCTTTGCCAGCTAGCCTTGGCCTGGAAATCAAAGAAGTGGTTCCGCGATACAAAGAAGGAGGCGCATTCATCAAATACTCCCGGAAGCCTGATATGAACGACGAAGACGTCAGAGCAGCTGTGCAAGACCATCTGAGCAAGAACCCAATAAAACCATGGTACAATCCATTCCAGACAGCTGAAATTGACCTGGTACAAGGCAGACCTTGGATCGAGGATTTGGCAAGGATCCCGAGCCAGTCCTTGAAAGTTGAATTTTTGCCGGACTCTGCAGAAGGCCGAGCTGTGGAACTAACACAGGAAGCTCTTTATACGCTTTTCCGTCCCTTTGGAAAGCTTCTGGATATCCAACCCCAGCCCAGTGATTCCAAGGTCGAGCCGAGGTATGCCGTTCTGCGATTCAGCCGGCCCCGATTCGCAGTGATGGCAAGAAATTGCATGCACGGGTATGTGGTGCGCGAGGCAGAAGGAGGTGGCAAAACTGGAACCCGCTTCAAGATTAATTATGAGCGAAAGATCAAGCTGTCTATGATCAAGGACTGGATTGTCAACCACCCCCGCATCGTGATTCCTGCTATCGCAGCCCTGGTGGCGGCAATCACAGTAATCATTTTCGATCCGATCCGTACATTCTTCATCAAAGTCAAAATCAAGTCCACGCTTCATACCGAAGATTATCCAGTCGTGCAATGGGTTCGCAAACAAGTCAGCAAAGCCAACAGGATGTATTTTGGAAATCGCCGAACGGATCCACGAGGGCTGGCTGCTATCTGGGAAGACCGTCAAAATGATATTTCGCAGCTGCAAGCGTGGTTAACCGAGACTGTTGAAACCTTCATCGTCATACACGGACCACGCGGCTCTGGAAAGCGAGAATTGGTGCTGGAACAGACGCTGAAAGAGCACAAATACAAACTGGTCATTGACTGCAAGCAGCTTCAAGATGCTAGAGGTGACACTGCCAAGATCTCTCGAGCTGCATCTCAAGTTGGATACCGACCTCTCTTTTCCTGGATGAACAGCATCAGCAGTTTCATCGACTTGGCTGCGCAAGGAATGATTGGTACCAAGGCCGGATTTAGCGAGACTTTGGACGCGCAACTCAGCAAGATCTGGCAGAACACCGCCGTCGCTTTGAAGCGGGTAGCACTTGAAGGTCGACGCAATGAGGACAAGGATGCAAATATGAGCGACGATGAATATCTCGAGGCACACCCTGAGAAAAGACCTGTCGTGGTTATCGACAATTTCGTGTATGACTCGGAAGGTGACATTGTTCTTGACAAGCTCACCGAGTGGGCAGCCGGCTTGACGACGGCGAACATTGCCCATGTGATCTTCCTCACTACAGACTCGTCGTTCTCGAAGCCTCTGAGCAAGGCCCTTCCAAACCAGGTATTCCGCACCATCGGTCTGGGCGATTGTTCCCTTGAGGTGGGTCATCGCTTTGTGATGAGTCACCTTGATACGGAAGCAGACGGCGGTGCCGATGGCGCTAAAGAAAAGCCGACACGCAATCTGGCTGGCTTGGATGACTGCATTAAGGTCTTGGGCGGCCGTATTACCGACCTCGAGTTCATGGCACACCGAATCGAGGCTGGAGAGACTCCACAAGGTTTGTTCACTCCGAATCACTTTTACTGTCCTATATTTACTTACATATATACAGCTGCGGTGGACCGCATAATCGACCAGTCAGCCTCGGAAATTTTGAAGATCTTCATTCTGGGCACAGACACCGTCACCCCTCAGTGGACTCGCGAGCAAGCCTGGCACTTGATCAAATTACTTGCCCACGCCAAGGATGGATCTCTTTTGTACAACAAGGTCCTACTATCAGACTTATTCAAAAATGACGGCGAGGCTACTCTTCGAGCCTTGGAGCAGGCCGAATTAATCTCCGTCGGTTCTGTCAAGGGCTTCCCACGGTGGATCAAGCCTGGCAAGCCGGTCTATCAAGCTGCTTTCCAACGACTGATCGAGAACAAGACACTTGAGGGTCGTCTTGATCTGATGATTCTCGGACAACTCATCGGGCAAGAGAACAAGAGCATCAGCAAGTACGAAGAGGAGCTACAGGTGCTGGGATCACTTCCGAAGCACCCTCGGGAGCTGACATCTCGCATTGAGTGGCTTCTACGCAAGATCCAGGGCTCGCAAACTAAGATTCTCAAGTACGAGAATGACAGTGCAGCTTTGACTAAGCTGCTGCAGAGCGAGAAATAAGGTAGTGGCTTTGCTTGGTGCTCTGCTTTGGAAACCGTCAAGGTTGCTTGTGTATTCGAGTTCGATATGTTTGTACATAGGTGCATCTCCAGTCAAATAACCATTTCCGACCTTTTCAGCAAAATCTCTTTTGCATATCACACCCTGTACTGGTAGCTCTACGGCCTACTTAGCGCTGGCTTGCTTGGATAAACACTTTCCAGTCTCGATATATAACACAATTTAGACTTGTGAGTTTGCAGCACCTTCAAAATAAGTGTAATAACCTTATTCCCATCGTCGAATTATATTCTTATTCGAAGAAAGTCGACCAATAATAATTGATAACATCTCAGAAAGATATGGCCATTTGTAGTACTGTCTTGATATACAGAAGGCGGTGAAGACTGCAACATTGAACCTTCGGCTAAAAATAGACAGGCCCCCTTCAGGCGATAACTTCGTAAGTATCATCCGAAAGGACCGCGAGTGACAATATTTTGGATATGTCAAATAGAGGAACAACTTGATCTTCTCATATATCCTCTTCCACTCACACCCGAGCCTGTGTGGGTCCGAAAGGAGCAATCAAACCCGTGTCTACGGACAGCCAACCCGACATTGTTTTGCTGTTTCCTGACGCAGTACGCCGATCACAAAAATGGCGACCTACGATATCTCAGCTCATGGAGCGATTCAAGCAGCAAGAGATGGATTATCTGAGTTGACCTGGACCACAATCTTTGCTGTTTTCGTTTTTTCTTGCATCGCCACCCGCGTCATCTCGGGTCTCCGGAGTCGCCAGCGTGTCAATGATCCCGCAGAGCCTCGAACTTCACGATTAGCGCCTTATTGGTTTCCATGGGTAGGCCATGGGATTTCTTTCTTGTGGGATCATATGGGCCTTATTGGGTCATTCCGGTTTGTACCAGCATCCGTATCATGAAAAACCTTCAACGACGTGCTAATCAAATATACAGAGACTCTATGGGCGAGTCTGTATTTGGCGTCTATTTGCGCGGTGAAACCCACGATACCGTCGTCTCGCCATCAATGGTGAAAACTATTCTTTCTTCACCAGACGCATCAAGTGCCCCTTTGCTAGATCAAGCTCTCCAAAACGTCTTTGGCGATCGCAGTCTCATCCGCAACTTGCGCTTGGCGGGTAACCAAGAGATCAGCGATGGTGTATCTGGAATTATGAGCCGAGAGCCATTCATCAGCGATGTCTCGACCGCAATCATCAACATGCTGCAGCGCAACATGCCGAACTTGGTGACCTTTAGCCGCAGTCCAGTTGACCAATTCCAATGGGAACGCGATGGCCGCGTCTCCACATCTGAGGAAAACCAATCAACCTGCGAGGCCAGGCTCTTCGAACTCATCAGGGGCTTTGTTGGTCAGAATTTGAGCTCATTCCTCATGGGCGAGGCTTTTGTTGAGAACTTCCCTCTTTTCCTCACAGACCTCTGGACCCTGGACAAGAATTTTGTCCCATTATTTATCGGCCTGCGTCGATGGGTGCCTACTACGCCCAATATCTCCGCAGGATTCCCAGCGCGCGATCGACTTCTCCATATCATGTCGGTCTTCTATCGGGCATTCAGCGCCTGGGACGACGGGATCGACCCCGGAATCGAACTCCGCGAGCTCGACGACGTATCCGAGCTGGTCAAAGAGCGCATGAGAACATTCCGCAAACTGGAACTCTCCCCAACCGCCAGTGCAGCAGGTCATCTATCTCTATACTGGGACGTGATCGAATACACATCCAAGATCACATTCTGGACAATCACGCACATATTTGCGGATAGCGAACTCCTCAAAGAAATCCGAAAAGATATTTCCAAGTACGTGAAATCATCTCGACGAAGCCGCCAGGAAACAGGCTTCCCATTCGAAGAGCCGCCCAGACTCAACATGGACCTTGACAAGGTTCTCGACTCATGCCCTCTCCTCAAGGCCTGCTACTACGAGTCCGTCCGCCTGCATTCTGCGGGCATTTCTTTCAGAAAGCTCGAGGCTGATATGACTCTCGCCGAGTCTGCGGAAGATGCGGCCCAGCCGCGTACGTATAAGCTTCGCAAGGGTGAGAATGTCATTATGCCACATGGTGTTTATCACAATGATCCGCAGCGGTTCTCGAATCCAGATCAGTATGATCCTCTTCGGTTTATTGTGACGGATCCTGTTTCCGGGGCTAAGCGGGTTAGTGCTGCTAACCTTGCGCCGTTCGCGGATGGATTGTATGGGTCTAAGAATAATGCTCTTAGTGAAAGGGCTATATTGGCGTTTACTGCGGGTATTGTTTCGATGTGGGATATCACTTCTGTTGACGAAGGTGGGCTGGTGGTTCCTAAGAATTGGACGACGTGGGGAACTTTCCAGCCTGCGAAGGATGTGAAGGTGAAGATAAAGTTGAGGGTGTAAGATCTAGATACAGTCAATCGAAAAGTGCTGTTTGAATTGAGAAACAAGATAGAAAACTTGTCTCATCTTCTAATTACTATATCATTTGCTTCACTACTCTTCTTAAAGAGGCAGCTAAAGCCTTATCGTAGAATACTGAATATGTTCATTCCAAGTAATACATCAGACAGAGGGTATAGTACACGTTGACAATAAAACAAGAGAGGCGATTGGAGAGAGATGTCGACTGCGATCTCCATGACCCAGCCAAAGATTATTCAAAGAGAGGCGGAGGTGAAACAGTGGTAGACACAGGTTATCCTAGTGTTATGAAGGTTTTCCGTATGATCCAATGAAAGCTGCACTCGAAAATGAGTATCAATCACATCATTTTGGTAATACCAACTAGGGATCAGCTTTATGAAGCGTAAGCATAGATTCGAGGAGCCGAACTCGTGGCAAGCTTATGAGCGCCGACAATGATAATCTGCGTGACTGGGTGCCGACCCATAGTTCTCACAGGAAATGGCTAGCCCCGGATTTGGCGTTGGATCAAGAGATTCGCGAGCCTTACCAATAAGCCAGTCAGTCAACGTGACAAACTTAGAGGTTCGGTCCCAGCCCTCCGCTTCATCAGCATGCTCGATAGTATGCGTCAAGATACGACCCTTTTCGTCGAACGAAAAGATGAACAGCCCAGTGAACTGTCCCTCTTTGGAGAGTTTGAAAATGGGTTCTTCGCCACCGAGGAGCACACTGAGTCCTCTATTTGTCCCATTCTTCGAGGACGAGAGGTGACTCTGTCCCGGCGTCAAGCCTGCTCCTGCTTTCGACGTCTGCGATGAGCCCGAGCTGTCGCTCTGCGCTCCAGATGACTTCTTCACATCGTGGAACGGCCGGCTATCTGTGCGCGGCTCTGTTCTCCATCGTACGACTAGCCGTTCATCGCCGCAGTCATGTTGGTCCTCGTGCTTCGGGTCGAGAATTGTCCCCGCGCGCACGATGCGCTCGCTCAAGATTTGTAGTTTCACGTTTCCCACAAGTGGGACGCTACTCCATGCTACAGGGACAGTCCATAGCGCAGCGCGGTACAACGTGCGTCCCTTGACGGTGGGGAGATGTGGGTGGGTTGACGGGAAGAGGTGGAGGTTAACGCTCGGCGCGAGGATTTCTGGTGGAAGGGTATTGTACAATATTGTCGGTAGTAGAGGAGATAGTGTTCGTAGCGCTGCAATTTGCAAAAAAGCTAGTTAGCAACACAGCGACATAGACTGAGAGGTAACTTCCTCAACACTCACTCTTTCCAAGCTTCAAGACCCGCTCATCCGGCGGTTTGTGGTCATTATTCCCAGGACCGCCACCTAGCCCATTCAAATCTTTGCGTACACCAGTCGGCGAGAAATATGCTGTAGGAAGTGGCACTGTAGACGGCGCAGGAAGCCAAGGGTCATTCAAGATGCCATGACGCGGATGTGCGAGGGTTCTCCGCGGCGAGGAAGTGACCGAGCGGCCCGCCGCTCTTGATGGCTGGAGCGCCAAGCGAAGGGAGCGTGAATGCGATGGCAGCTTCGGCATTCTGCCTTGCAGTGAGCAGGTGAGCTCGAGAGTGCGATCATGCCATGGAGTTGGGTTCGTTGGAGGAGAGTGGAGGAGTTGAAGATGCGGCTGGTCGAGATCTCCGCCTTTCCGGTTTCTCGATTTCTCGTCGGGATCTGCGGGCCAATCGTAGCGCTTTTGTATACAATGTGTTATCGTGTGTACAAAAGGAGACTAAACTGTGCTATTTACAGCGTGCCAATGGGGATAATTTTACAAGAAGCGAGGCAAGTCAAGTTGAGAATGCTAGCAAATCCAATTTTGCTCAATAATAATGTATCAGAATGCTCTATCCTTGGTATCCCAACACCAGTCCCCAGCTCAAGCCAGTTCATCGTCATCACCCATACCCATTATTCGTCGCTCCGCCATATCACGGATCTTATCTTCCAAAACACCTCGGCCATAGCGCTGTGCAACTTTGGCGGCCGCCTCCATCATCTTGCCATTACGATCATTCATCATAGTCACCAGTTCAAGTGCCTTCATACCACGCTCTTCGCCTTCTCTGCATTCGACGGCCAGCATCTGAAGAAGAGTCTTGTCAATCTCCAGTTCTTTGCGCGCCAACTCGGCACGTTGGCTAGCGGTGGCATTCGTAGAGGAAATGAGGTCTCGGAAGAGCGAGAGAAGGATGTTTCCACGAACGAAGCTTTCTTCGAACCGTGAGCCATCGTTGGCTGCATCTTCGTGGTCGGGGTCTTTCGGCGGGTTGCTGGAGACGGGGACTTGGAAGTCGAATTCGCTGAGTAGTGGTCGCGGGAAGTATGGGTGTTTGTCGCCACCCTTGAGAATGATACAGTGGAATTTTTGTTGCGCGACGGCAACGGGCCAGTAGGTTTCTTCTTTGCGACCGCCTGCAAGACGAGAGAGCTGCTTGGTGTCTAGGAGAGGTACCCATCTGGCTTGGCCGGGCGTGCGCCAGTGCTGAAGCACGACCAGGACACCGGTCGAGTCGTAAATGCACGGGTCCTGGAGCAAGGTTAGCGTTGTGTATCTCGCACTCTTTGTAAATAGAACGAATCTGTATGTAACGTACTCCTGTGTCCGAGAAGAAAACACTTTGCAGCTGCGCTCCCGTGGGCAGGGCAACGACATCCTCATTTTGGCAGATCTCGTCACGCTTGACATTTTCAACAGTGTATTGCAAGGTTGCATGTCGACCATCAGCTCCGATAGGTCCATTTCCGATGGTCATGATGTAGTCTCGCCAAGCAGCGCAGGTCACAGCTTGACTCTTCTGTCGGTACACTCGGAAGGGAGTGCCAAATAGAGTATATACGCGCACGTAGTCCTTTGTTGTCACTGCAACGATATAGGACTCACTCAGAGCCAGAGCTTTTATGAACAGTCAGTATAAGCATATTGTAGAGAAGCTCGTATCGTGAACGAACCTCGAACCATCTCTCCCTCGGGCAATTGTGTTCGCCAATCTGCTCGTGCAGTCCATGTCTCATGTGGCCGATAGAAGATTGTTGCAGGGCTACCATCAGATGGGTTGTTGGAGAAAAGAGTGCCGTTCTCATCTGTAGTCGGTTAGTAACAAGAAAGAATCACAGTTAGGATTGATTGTTACTTACTAAGACACGCCTTGTCATATTGATATGGGTCGGTGAAATGGAAGTCCCGATGGAGCTCTCGATCATAGAACTCTACGGTCACAGTGTGATGTGTTTCTTGGTCGACAGTCCAGACGGCACCCGTCAGGTTCAAGCCTGGATATGTTACCAAATGTGACCCTCAGCGCCAAATCAGTAATACATACACAGATATCTTCTGTTGCCAGCCCACGGCGTACTGCCTGGCTGAAGTGGTGGATGAGCCTTGGGTGGCAAGGGAGTTGTGTAAACACGTTTGTTGTCGGGCCCGTCTAGCTCATCAAGATAACCATTTGGTCGCTTGCCGAACAAATTGAGCTCCTCCGCATAGCCGGCTCCATCGTCATCGTCGACGAAATCACGCATATCCTCATCCTCGCCCAGGATATCATCGAGCGAGTCGGGCGAGCCTGCCCGTACTGGTCTCTGAAAAGATTCTTTAGAACGCTCCGCCAATGTCCGTGGCAGATTGTTGGAGATCTCGGTCAAAGGTCCCGGGAATATAGGCGCAGCCTGGAGCGGCTTCTGCAATTGGGACTCGTGGTCCTTGGGGACAAAATTGTCGTAGATGAACAATTCTCCATCCGAGGTAGTGAACGAGAGAGAGTTCTTGGTAGGGTGCCAGGCGAGGTTAAGCACGTTTCCAAACTCATAGCGCTGGATGATCCTTTGCGTTTTCGTTTCCCAAAGCACAATCCTCCCATCAGCTCCTGCAGATACGAGCATAGTTCCATTGGGGGACCAGCTCAGCGAGGTAATGTCCCCACTATGACCACCCGCAAAGCTCTTCTCCTTCTTCCATTCCGAGATCGAGTAGATTGAGATATCTCTGGTGGCCTCTGCAACTGCGAATGCGGTGCCGTCTGGGTGCCAGACAGCCTTGGCTGTCGCCTCCGCATCCGGCTCGAGCTTTCGGATGACTCCATCGAGTTTGCGGACCACCTCTGGTTCCTCGTTGGTCAATGAGTAGACATATAGAATACCATCTGTCCCTGAGACTGCCACGTAACGCCCATTGGGGTCAAATGTGACGTGCTTTGTTCCCTTTCCTTGTTCCCGCAGGTATTTGACCTGTGTCATGTCCTCGATTTTGACGACCTTGACCGTAAGTTCGCTGAAGGAGCATCTCGTTAGTGTCTCCCTGCATTTGGAGGGTTTCTTTCAGAATGACACTCACTCGCTTGCAACTGCAGCCCACACGCCATCACGAGACACGGCAATGTCTCTCACTGGCAAAGCGCATCGAACAAGCAGGCCTCCCATTTTCCCCGAGACCGCATCGTAGGACCAGACAGTTCCATCCTCGGCACCCAGCAGAAGCGTTTCATTCTAGATCAATTTGTCAGTTCTCCCACATCATGGTCCGTCCAATTGCCTGTCGTCGTACCGTGGCACCGATCGCGAAATGTCCATCAATGCTCCCATCAACCGTCTTGGGCTCTCCATCCTGGTCGACAGTGTAGATTCGAATAGCCGAGTTTGAGCCACCAGTGATAACGCGTCGTCCATCGGGGGTGTAGGCCAGCACCGTCGTTCCTGGGGTGTCTAGATCGCAGCAATCAAGGTGTCAGTAGAAGATATTGCAGGACATTGAAAGGCGCGGCTTACGGGCTGGTCGGCCCCGAGGGCGAAGGGGATCGAAGCTCATTGCGAGAAGATGCCCACCCTTTGAATCTCAATCAAAAAAAGGTGCAATCACGATCAGAAAATCCGGGGCATGTCCAACCCCTCCCTGTAGTGTCGCAGTGTCCGGGAGTTGATGATCGACTTGTCCGACGGAGACGCGTTCGCGACGCGCCGCGCGAGGGATTTAACCCGATTGGGAATTAAGTAGGGTTCAGGGCATGCCACCTTATACTTGCATCTCTATACCTCACATCTTCGCATTGATCATTTAATTGAATCTTATTTCATTCCGGTCTTATCTATTTCTATGTTCAACTCACTGCCCCGAAACACCGTTGGCAGTGAGAAAGTCAAAGTCAGTCCCCTCATGCGCTTGGTTCACCGACCGCTCATACAAGCCCCGATACCCTCTTCTCTGCTGCCTCGCTCGAACTGGTCCCGATTCACTTTCTAAAATTTGCTTTCGTTCCTCAATCCGAGATTTTAGGATCTCATCTGAGACGTCAAGATGAAGTCTTCGATTCTCGAGATCGCAGGTAATAAAGTCACCCGTCTCGACTGCTCCAAACGGTGACCCAGGCAGCGCTGCTTCGGGTGAGATATGGAGAATGATCGTACCGCCAGCAGTACCCGACATACGTCCATCAGACAAACGCAGCATATCCTTCAGGCCTGCTGCAGCCAGTTTCTTGGGAATTGGAATCAGGCCTGCTTCAGGCATACCCGGATTGCCAATTGGGCCAATACCCTTGAGAACTAACACGCTGTCCTTCGTGACCGCAAGTTCTGGATCGTCGATCCGGAGGGCGAGATCCGCGGAATTCTCAAACACCACCGCTGGGCCCGTGTGTGAGAGCAAGGATCGATATTTTGATGCCGATGCTTTGACCACTGCACCATTAGGAGCAAGATTGCCATAGAGAACGGCCAGAGAAGACGCGGGATAAAGAGGATTCGAAAGTGGTCGAATGATATGCTGCTCGAAGGAAAGACTCTTGGTCGAGGCTGCATCCAGAACTTCCCCTAAAGTCTGCCCACTGATTGTTTTCGCAGACAAATGAAGCAATGGCCTGAGAACTTGTAACAGCGCCATCATACCCCCTGCATTGTGAAAATCGTTCATGTAATTATCTCCACTTGGCTTTAGATCGATCAATAGTGGTGTCTTCTTGCCAATCTCTTCAATGGTTTGCAAGGTTATCACTCCTTGCAGATCTGGATGTCTGTTGGCGATAGCCAATAGATGGACAACAGCATTGGTTGATCCACCTATCGCTTGCAACACAGTAATCGCATTCAAGAACGACTCCTTGGTCAATATCTCCTGAGGCTTCTTATGAGCTTTTGCAACCGCAACTGCGTTCGCCCCAGTCTCCTCCGCGATTCGCAGTCGAGCAGAAGACACGGCTGGGGCAGATGCACCTCGGAGAGGCATCATTCCTAGCGCTGCAGTGACGCACGCCATGGTGCTGGCGGTTCCCATAACGCCACAGGTGCCGATCTATCGAGTGTATCTGCATAAGTCTTCGGTCACAGAGATTAAGAGGCCTTTACGTAGAATGAGTAGGGGAGCATACTGTTGGTGCAAGCTCCTCATTGATAGCAGCAATCTCTTCAACATCAATTTCACCAGCCCGAAATGCCGCCCAATTATTACGGCAATCAGTGCATGCTCCGATCCTCTGACCACGATGACTACCCGGTAGCATTGGGCCTGTGATCAGCGGGAGAATCGGCTTATTAGCTGAAATTCCGCCCATCAACTGCGCGGGAACAGTTTTATCACAGCCTGTACAGAATGAGAAAGTCAACATCATTATACAATCGCATCGACCTCCAAAGAAATACCACCCATCAAGTTCAAGAACAAAATTTACTCACCTCCAATCATAATACACGCATCCAAAGGCTGCGCCTTAATCATCTCCTCAGTATCCATACTCATCAAATTTCTTAAAAACATGCTCGTCGGATGAGAAAACGATTCATGAACACTAATAGTCGGAAATTCCACCGCCAATCCACCATTTAGGTGCACGCCGCGTTTAGCAGCTTCGATAAGTTGAGGTACATTGGCGTGACAGGGATTGAAACCCGAAAACGTGTTGATAATGCCAATAATGGGTCTGGAAAGGGCATCTTCGGAATATCCCAATGCTTTGATAAATACTTTGCGGAGGAAGAGAGAGAAGTGGGCGTCGCCGTAGGATGTTAGGCCTTGGCGGAGGCCGGAGGTGGATGTTATAGGGTTGTCGAGGTCGTAGTCCCCATTGGGATTGGGGTCAGCTTCGGTCATGGTGAATTGACTTATATCGAATGAAGGATGACTTGCTTTGTCAATCCCTGTGGTTGTTTGTGTTAATTGCTAAATAGTCTGTGCAGGCTTATATATGCCCATTTCCTGAGTGGATGGTGTCATTCGGCCTAACTCCGACCGGATATAATTCCGTGACTATCACCCCGCATTTGTAGATCAGTGCACTGGCTCGAAGCTTGCTTTGATGCAAGATGTTTAATTTGGTTAAATACTGTTCGGCGATATTTGACATTCCCCGACCTCAATACATTTGGATCATTCTCATTCCCTTACTATTTCGGCGTCGTGGATTATGAGCCGAAGCTTTCACTCAGCCAATCAGCCCAACCTACGCTACTAAACTAACGATGCAAAACACCAAAAAAGAAAGAATAATCTTGTTCTATGCTAATCATATGATTCGTCAAATACATTACGCAAACGCGCATCCATGTCAAATGCAGCCTTCCAGGCCGAGTGCTCCACTTCAAAAAACCTATTACAGCTTCGCAGCAGGCTGCAAAAGATGCTTCATCTCCGAGTTAGGATACTCCACATTCTCCGAAGAATCAGGACGCTGGCGATCCCAAGCCCACTTCTCCACCAATTCAGACTCCAATTCACCCTCAAGCATCTGGGTGATATACTTGCCCAGCACGGGGAAGAACTTGAAGCCGTGGAAAGAGCCGCAGGTTGCGACGTATAGTCCGTTAGAGGCGGAGTGGGGAGAAATGATAAAGTCAGAGGAGGTTGTGAAAGCGTCCCTTTTGAGCGTTAGATTAATTCTACCCACAAGTAAAAGGGTATTTATTAGAAATGGTTAGGTAGGTACTCACCAGCAAATTCGGTGTTTCGTCATCTCCCAGTCCGCGCTTGCGGGTCCATACCACAGATTCCGGGATTCGATGATATCTTGCTTGAGAGGGCCGGGAACCTTCCACTGGTTGTAGTCGTGGGTTGGTGGAGGTGATGAGATGTAACGACCAGGCAAGACCTCCCGGGTGTTTGTGAAAATCTTGGATCCCCACCACTTGAGCTCTCCATCCTTGGTGGGTGGGATGCTACCGATGAACGGTTTGCCTGAAGAAAACAGTTAGCAACAACCTCATGTATACTGATTCAAACTCCAACAACGAATAGCTTACCCTCCTCGGGGGTATAACCCTGGAAGCCGACCGGCATATCCTTGAACTTCTCATACTGCTCCTTCTTCAACTGAGCCATTCCCGTCGTGATTCCCGCAGCCAGAATCCTCTCTCCAGCCCTCAGACCCGCATTGCCACTACTCGCCGCACTCCACTCCAACAACGTGGGCGTGAAAGCGCCCGCGGCGACAATAACATGCGTAGCAGACAAAACCTGACGAGCCTTCGTCTTCGCACCCGTGCAAGAACCTCGACCATCGAACTCCAGCGTGGCAACCTCAGCAGTCACATACTTAACACCCAGTTCCAAACACTTCTTAGTAACAGCTCGCAGGGCATCTCCAGCCGCAGCCCATCCACTAGCTTTGTTAATAAGCACCTCCTTAACGCCAGTATAATCCGCATTATCAAACAGACCGCCGTAAAGCTTCCGCGCCTCAGAAACAGGCAGGGCAATGATATCATCATTGCGGCCAAGCTCCTTGTGATGGTTGATCACGTTCTGCGCATAGTCGCTGCGACACGTCCAGTAGACACCCGTCTGGTGGAAATAAGGTTGCCAGAGCGGGTCAGACTTGAAGATATCTTGTGCTTCGAGGGCAAGTCTGCAGTAGATCTTGTCGTCGTAGTCGGCGCGGACGACCTTGTTCCAGTCCCAGGATGCGGCTACCCGAGACTCGGCGTCGTATGCATCTCGGTCCACGAGAGTGATTGAGGCATTGGGGTATTTTTGGATTAGGTGGTAGGCGGTTGAGACGCCGAAGACACCGGCTCCGATGATGAGGTATGAGGTGTTGCTTGAGGTCATGTTAAGCAAGCCAGAAGATGAGTTCTTTCGAAGCGGGTTCTGATAGCTGCTCAATCAGACGGTGGTGATTGAGAACTACGTCGATGTGATGTCTGATCGACGGATTGGCAAGAGATGATTTATCCTTTTTCCAATTCCTGGGGCAAATCGACAATTTATATGTTCAATTCATCCAGACTTTATGTGACTAGTTTATCTCGAATGGCAAGCCACTCCGCTCTCGCTCACGGGCCGTGAACCGTTGAGCCGGTCACGTGGTGATATAGTTCGCATATTGAACCGAGAATACTAGATATTCTGTAAGATGATATTGGCGAGAAGTAGAGCTGTATTTGCAATGAAATTACTATCCTAGTCCATATTCCCTCACTACTATCTATATTAACATATGTTGTAGTCCCTTTAAATACGATGCACTTTTGAATTAATCGCGGAGTGCTCGTCCAACCAGCGGGCCGGGCACACGGACCGTCTTCACGGACCGGGTCCAGATGCCCCTCAACCCAAATTCAAATCCATTGAACGCCGCCGATTGATCTACGCGGCTGGACCTCGTGACATCTAAAGATAGGAAGATAAATTGACTTGGTTTGGGGAATGCGAACCAATGCCAGAAGATTATGTGTCAGATATATGAGAAATCCAAAGCTCTACGAAAAACACGTCTTGAGTTAAACTAGTAAGTCATAGTGTTCTCGCGTCTAACAAGGCACTGCCTAACTACAGTGTTCAGTAAGTCCTCTTGAATTAGTCTAGGCCGCCTGGCTATCGACAGGCCTTCTGAAACCGAACTTTCCCCGGGGCGTAGAACTCTTATCAGTTTTCGCTCCCCGCTCGAACAAGCCCGCCACTTGACTAAGTACCCCGCATGTAACTAACTGGATAATTGTGATAGAATGATTAAGCTGGATTATTGAGCAATGGTGTTGCCGATCAACATGAGAATCAAATATAACGAATGACTTCAAAATTCGTTGCCCTACAGTCATGCGCTGCAAGTTACAGTCAAAGCAAATCACAATCACATCCGGAAAACCTCAATTCGACGCAGACTATTCATAATACATACACCGCTGGCTCCACAAATGCAGCAAAAAAAGAAAACTCAAATCCCCAGCACAAAGTCTATGTACACGGGAAAGTATGTACAATCAGCCAGGGCACGACGGCACAACCTACGAATAGGACCCTGTCCCATCCATTCCACCATAGTTCTGTTTACAGCACCTGCTGCTGGTTCATCAGCTGCGCAGCGCCGTCGCGGAAGGAGACGGATTGCACACCGACAAAGGCAGTAGAATTGGAGTGCACTGGCAGACCACTGTCGTTACTTTGGTTCAACACAGCCTTGTACTATTTTTAAAGCGTTAGTATAGGATCAAAGGGATAGATGAGGTGGGAGACGGGCACGAACCTTAAAGGCAAAGTTGAGGACTAGCGCAACAGCCAGACCAATGCACACTACGATCGGACCGAGCATGTTGTCGAGATCCTTTCCGCTGCGCTGTCGAATGAGTCGCGCGCGCTTCTCGTACATGTACCAGCCCCAGGCGGCAGAGAACAGGGCAAAGAAAGTGTAGACAATAGCCAAAGCTTGAGCGATCCGGTTGTGTTTGCCGGCAGAATTGTACAAGCCCAAAGACAGACTGGACAGGAGGATACTGATGTGTAGCCACTTGATGAATGTACGCTGGTTGGCGAGCCAGACCTTGCTTTCCACACGAACGGGACCAGAGTCCTTGATCCAAATGCCCGGGTGGCGCACACCAGGGGGCAGGGAGACAACTTCCCGACCAGTCCAGTTATTGGGGTTGATACCGAGCGACTTGAAAACTGCGGCAAATCGGGAGGGAGGCTCCTCGGGTTCCTGGGATTCCTCGACAGGCTCGGCAACGGGCTCGGGTTCACGGCGCGGGTGAGGCGCAACGACAGAGATACGTCGTTGTGTTTGGTTCTGGCCCTCGCTGATGCCAGAGGCACGACGCATGGCAGAGCGGCTACCAGGCTCACCCCACCGGCTGAAGGGAGATGCAGACAAGGGGCCACTGGGGCTGCCTGTGCCGCCCATGAAACTGCCAACGGCCATGTCGTCCTCAGCACGCTTGGCTAGGCGCTCTTGTTCCTCGTGGAACGCAGTTTCCGGGTCACGACGGATGTCGTTGTCCAGCGCACTAAGCCAGAAGGGGAAGCTGTTGACGTGATCCTCGAAGAGCTGGGCGGTACCATGAACAAACTTGGAGAAGCGGGGTGCATCCTTGACCAAGTGAGAAGACATCAGGTCATTCACCCACTCAGCATCGTGGGCCTTACCACGCAGCTTAATCTCGAGCAAAGCGTGGGGGAAGCGAACTATTTCGCCAGTTCGAATAGCGTCGAAGGGGTATGACATGCGAGCATCATCCAGATCAGTGCGATGCCATTCGGAAGGCTCACGGCAAGGGCGCTCGCTATCGAGGGAATCCTCACGAATCAGAGCGAGATTGGTGTCGAGGGAGATGCGAATGCGATTATCGCCAGGAATTTGGAATGCAGTGCGGGTATAGTTAGCTCGTAGCATGGGCTGCAGGTTGTGTTCCTTAATGAAAGCCTGCAACTCTTCCACATTGCTCTTCAGGGTTTGAGCCTCGACGGAGCCCTCGCCATCATTCATGTCTTCCATTCGGTGAACTTGCTTGTCCAAGTGGTACTCATCATCCAGGAACTCCTTGATGTGCTTCTCCTTGAGCTGCACTCTGATCTCACGGCTGCTGTCGTCCTCTGCTACAATCTTCTTCTCCAAGAAGATAGGTGGCTTGTCCTTGAGCTGTCCGGTCCACCGCAGCCTCAAAGAGCCGGCTTCAGAGGCACGAGCGACCTTTTGGTTATAGAGATCAAACTGGCGGTTATCAAAGTAAAGGGAGGTGATGGTTGGGTCGTCGGTCAGACCATCCAAATGTTTCGAGCTTCCGGGGTTGTAAATCAGCACAGGCAGCCGGCGGAGGATAAAAGTCTTGACCTCGAGAACATTGTCGACGTGCACCCAGAATTTATAGGACGAATAAACATCTCGTCCGAACCCACGTTCTGGCTCCTTAGGTTGCACAATATCCTGGCTCAGGGTCTCGCGCACAAACGAGTACATCACCGACAGACGATGCACCAGCGGGGAGTAGTCCTCGGAATTGAAGGGTGTTTGAGACAGGCGCACTTGCAGCAGGGGCTTGACGCGGTAACGGGCACCACGCTTGCGATCGTGCTTCTTGGCGGCTTTGAGGAAACCCGTGAAGTTGATACGGCTGTACTTTTCGAGCTCACTGACTTCCTTGGTGATGTTGTCGAGTTCTTGCAGAACTTCCGAAGCGATTGTGCGCTTCTCTGGATCGTCCATGTCCGAAGGTTCCTGGCTGGTGGTCGGTGCCAACGGGCGAAGCTTGGCCTCGCACGCGGTGGTACGCTCTCGGAGCTGCTGCGAGGTCTCTGATTGGAAGGTATTGACCTTGTCTAGCTGAACGTTGAGAAGTTCCTGCACAAAGGCCTCTTCGTCTTGCTCGGTCCACTGGCTCTCGTCTGAGTCGCTGGCGTCCGCATCCGCACCTGTGACATCATGCTCGCGCAGAAGGGACTTCAGCTTAGCGTAGTCAATGTACTTGCCCTTCCAGGGCGGGTACACCGCATTCCGCAGCGTCTTTCCGAACCTCATGGTGTCTCAACTGAGGGTAGGTAGGCCAGATGAGAATGGGAGGGGTCGTGATTGTGATTATGTCGCCTCTGCCGGTGGTATCGTAAGTGTCCACCGGGGGCGGGCAAATGGGGCAATTGCTACGACGAGGCCCGGAAGTGATCCAACAATACCGGACTTCAATGACTTGAAGGCTGGTTATCACTCGCTGATTGAAAATGAAGCAATTCGTAGAAAGCTGGAGGGTTCGACGGCGAAGAGAAAAAGCGAAGCGAGTAACTAGTGAGTGGGATGGCGTTGAGGTGTCGGTTGCACGTGCGACCTTCAGTGGCTAGCTTTCCTCCTGCCGCTTGCAGCTTCTCAGCCAATCAGCGACTCCTGTTCGATTAGCTTGAGACCAGAGCTTCATTCTGCGACTCGGACTAACTTAACTTGGCCCGGACTAATCCTAATCCGGCAGCGGTAGTACGGGTAAATGATGGTCGTCTTCGACATTGCAGCGTGAATGGCTTACGCTAACTTGTTAAGACTGGGGCTGGCCACGGCCCTGGGGCCGCAGTGGATTTCGGTTGCTTACCTGAGTCCCGGCCCGTCTATGTTGCTCTCCGGGAGGTTTACTTCGGGTATTTCTAGAGAAGCTGGAAAATCAAGTGATGCTAACAACCAGAGAAGATATGTCAACGATTGATGCACGATAGCCATGGTCTAGTAGACGGACCAAACTTCCTACTTGCGATATATCAGCAAACCCTCGAGAACTCAATCTCAGCCAGCGCCCCACACCCATGAACATGGAGTAAGGTCAGCCTTGAACAATCGCAACTATGGAACATAGCTATACGTGCCCATTAGCGGTAAACCTGTTGTTATAGATGTCGTGCCATTTGTTAGGCTGTTAAATATTTGCCTGCTTCAATGACATCTTGATCAGTCCATGACTCTATATTCTCTACGCTATTCTCCTTCCCAACATACTATCTAGACTTCCCCGTTGTCCTTGGCTATACACATCTGTAACTGTTCATCTCTGGGCACCCAGAAACTTCTCCCCCTTCAATGTCAGTTAAGCCTATTGATCCTGGACACGTTCACCTTAAAGTATACGATTGTAAAAGGCCCAACCAAGTCTATATCCAAACCTTAGGAACCCATTTCGGATCTCGCCGATCACGTTAGTCAGCCTCGGCTCAGTCGTCGGAATTCATTCCAGTCTCCGCGGGCATCATATTGCCGATAGTCCATATACAACAGTACAAACCCTCCACACGCGGCCTCAGTTCGGCGTTTCATATATTCTGGTGTCGCGTGCCATATTCCCTGATCCGCATCCGATGGCGGAGCCTGCCCAACCCAAAAACACAACGGGCCTGTCCCACCCCTCTCCACGGCGTCTTAGCCGAGCTGCGTCGACGGCCGTACCCGCATGTCCCCAACCCACCGGGCTGCAAGAAGCGAGCCTCTGTCGCCCTGATTCTACGAGTAAAACCGACCTATGACCATTGGCCAGGCTCGGATACTATCGCGAATGACACGTCCTTACCCATTGAGCAACAGTTGCAGAATTTCTTCGCTCAGCCGTGGGTCGAGCGTGGGGATCCGGAGGTGTTGTTCATCAAGCGTGCTTCGCGCGAGGGAGATCGCTGGACTGGACATGTCGCATTGCCTGGTGGAAAGAGAGATCCAGAAGATGAGGACGATCGAGCGGCGGCGGTTAGGGAGGCTTCAGAGGAGATCGGCTTTGACTTGACGACGGATGATGTGATCAGCGTGGGCAACCTTCCCGAGCGAGTGGTCACTACGAGCTGGGGATCGGTCCCGTATGTATTGCTTGTGCTTGTTATCAATTTTCTTCAAATACTAATTGCTTCTCCCTTGCAGACTTATGGTCCTCTGCCCGTTCGTTTTCCTGACCACCCGCAACGATTGTCCAACCTTGAAACTCCAGCCCACCGAAGTAGCTTCGACACATTGGATCCCACTCCGAGCTCTCCTATCGCCTTCCCTCCGAACCGTTGAATATGTGGACATTTCACAGCGCTTCGCAGGACAATACGGGTATATGGCCCGTCTGGCTGTTCGATCTCTGATGGGCTGGATGCAGTTCGCGGCCGTGCGACTACTCTCCTCAGAAACCCAGCAATGTACCTCGGTTCCCGGCTTCGTCCCCGACGACACTACGAAACAGAAATCATTGATATCAAGATTCAAAGCTTGGACTTTGAGCAACCAGGCTGAGTCAGGTGATCTGAACCGTCCTCTGTTACTCTGGGGCCTGACACTCGGGGTCCTGGCCGATTTCTTGGACATGCTTCCTCCTCACACTGCAGTCGAGCTGTGGAAATACCCCACATTCACGGCGCCCGATCTCCGATTGATTGTGAGTATCTTGACATATAACCTTCGAAAGCGCAATTCGCGCGAAGTGAAAATGGGCGCTCGGCCCACGGACACCGCCGCAGATAGCGAGACCGCCGCGCTGCCTGTTACCCCCGGTGCAGATGATCATGACCACAATGAAGTAGGTATTGGAGGCCTAGGTGTTGGTCGCTACTATGGCCCTGCCGATCGCACCGCCGATGGTACCTCGTATGCGGTGGGTATCATGTTGCGAGGATACTATCAACGGTTGCGGGTTGCCATCTGGGTATTCCTCGCCTGGCGCGCGGCTCTCGGCTCAGCAGCAGCATTTACGGCCTGGCGATTCCTTCGTCGACGACTTTAATGAGGCGATCTCAACTTTCTTTTTCGCTAGCTAGATCTAGATGGTATATACATAATAATTGGGACTGTAATACATAGACATTACCACTGGTCAGAGACCCAGGTTTAAAGAGTGATTACCTAATCCAAATATTCCCCACACCTTCAACCCGCCGCAAGCTCCGCAAGTAACTAAACAATCCCCTCGTCTCTCAATGATCGCGCACTCAACTCCCACCCAGCACCATGGCAGCAACACAGAAGCTCTACCCCCGCGGCACGGTCAAGCGCATTGTCAAAGCGCACTCTAATCGCAGTGTGAGCAAGAATGCCGATATCCTGGTATGTCACAGCTATGAAGTGTCTCCCAACGCGGCTGGATCTCGTTGCTAACGGGGGCTTTTGCCTGTTTCACCAGATATTCCTCGACTACATGCTATTCATGCAAGAGTATGATTAAATCTTTCCTTCCCGCCTTATCTTTCCTGGTCGCGTCCAGTTGCACATCTCGAATTCGGAGCTTTGCGGTCTTACAAGGGTCAGCAGGCTAACCACCCACAATTAGATTGATGCGCGAGGCTTCTATTCGATCACGCAAGTCAGGCGAAAAGAATATATCGGCCAATTCTGTCCGCAAGGTCACTGAGGTATGGTTGCCTCTTTTCGTTTGGAATGGGGTGTTTGTCTGGCTGGGAAGAAATCGCTGACATGAATTGGTTCTCTTTTGGAACAGAAAACCTTGCGCAAATTCCAAGGATGATCGAGACTCACTAGGCACATTCTGATCGAGTGATATACCGGAGCAATATTGGTGGTCGCGTGGGTGGATAACAGCGGAGTCTCTTGGGTTTTGCGGGTTTGGGTGTACTAGCATTATGGCGTAATTGGTGTGCGGAGTTCAAGATACCCCAGAATTGAGAGAACTACCAGACATGGTAGTGTTTTGAACCAAGTGAATTTCACAACAAACACACATACGCGAACTTTCTTTGTAGCTTTGTTGGGTATAGACCAACTTGTTTGTTGAAGGTACTTTCCGGAGGCTTAAATGCGGGCAGCCCACCGATCAGGAAAGGGTTCGGGCGACTTCCACCCACATCGATCCTGTGGATCTTCGACTGATCTCTCTCTCCAACTCTCTCAACTCCCCCAACCTTCCCACCCATCCTCCTCTTTCATCTGGTAAACCCCCGCGGTTCTGGGCTTGAACGTGCTTGCACCTTGTACAGCACATCTCTACCTATTTTAACTTTCGAAGCTGTGTCACATACATTCCATCATGGCTCCCGCTTCCGCCACCTCTCAGAGATCCAACGACAAGTCCAAGAGACAGCCCTCTCAAGCTCCCAGCACCTCCAAGGCTGGGTCGGAGAGTCCTGTCTCTGAGGCTAACGGCACTGAACCAACCTACTTGAAGGAGCTGCAGAAGTGCGTATGACGCGATCGGTTTCTGCCTGACACGTGAAGCTAATTGGATTGCGCCTCTAGGAGTCTGCGCAACACTGCAAAGAAGTTGGTATGTTTCATGAGATTTCTGCTTCCTTTGGCTCGATTCTCGATGATTTTGATTAGTATACTGACGATTGTTGCTCTTTGTATAGAACGCGACTGCCAAGATTGACGCTATCATCGCCGAGAACGAAGGCAAGTCTCTGGACGACCTTGTGGCCGAGAAGAAGATCAATGCCGATCAAAAGGCTCAGGCCCTGAAGAAGCCTGCTCTTCAGGCAACCATTGCCCAGATCGAGGAACAAATTGGTCACTACAAGCAGTTCGCTGCCCAATACGAGGCGCGTCTGGAGAGCGAGAAGGCCGCTTTGGAGAAAGCCCACCAGGAGGAGCTGGAGGCAGTGCGTGCCAATGCCATTGCTGATGCTACTGAGACCTCGGCGCGCGTTCTGCGCGAGCAATTGCTCACCTTGACCAAGTTCTTGTGCGCGGCGGCTAACATGCGTCATGCGGGCGAGACTGAGTCTCTTGAGAGCCGTGCCTTCGAGGGTGTGTTGTTCCAGGTCTACGGAGGTAACAAGAAGGCTGTTGATTCCATGGTGAAGCTGGTTGAGGGTGCGGACGAAAAGGTGATTGGTGTTGAGGGTGAGGCCCTCGAGCTGAGCTGTAAGTTTTGTCTTTGATCCCTGCCCCGCATCGCCTCTCCAAGCATTTTGCTCACGCCCACTGTTTTTAGATGGCGATGTGAAGCTGGCATCCAACAAGTTTGCGCCTGCGGAAGTGACCACCGAAGTGACCACCGAATCCGCCGTCGTGTCCGACCCTACCGTGGCTAATGCTGGCCTGACCGAGCTCCAGGATCCCTCCGTCAGCGATGAGTTGGCTGCCTCCGAGGCGGCCAATGCTACCCCTCAGGCCGGGCAGGTTGCGCCTCCTGCGCAGACCCTGATCTCTGATGCTGCGAACCAGATCGCTGAGACAACCTACAACCCAACCTCCATGGACTCGTCCGCTACCACCGATGGCTGGGTGGAGGTCCCCCGTGACCCGGCCGAGACCGAGACTGGTCTCCAGGCCACTCCTGCCGACGTGAACAACAACACCGCTACCGCTAAGGAAACTCCAGCCGGAGCTAAGGGTCAGAATGGTGGCCACCGTGGCCGCGGTCACCGTCGTCCTCGTGGTGGCGAAGGTTCTCGTGGACGCGGAGGCCGCGGTGAATTCCGTGGCCGTGGCCATGGAGCCGGTCGTGGAGGTCGTGGCCGTGGCGGATCCAACGCCTCCCCAGCAGCGACCCCTGCTCCCTCCAACCAGGCCGCCGCTGACTGGTAAACAAACCACAGTTCAACATCCCCTCGATGCTGATCACTTGATACCTATCTAATCACCGGCTTCCCCCTCAAATCGGACAATGCTGCCCACCCCCCTCACTGCCATTCTCTCTTGCCGCTGGTCTGGTGGTATGGATCACGAACGCAACGAATTTTCTTTTTCGGAAAAATGATTGGGGTCTCTGTTTTCTCCTGACACAAAAAATTGTCATCTCCTATCTAATGCTTTGTTTCGAGCGTGCATATTCCCCCCGATCAGGGTTATCTTTTCTCCATGTATTCTATTGTCTATTTCCTGGGTGATTCGATGGTGATGGAGCAATGGTGGGTTGGCAGCTAAATTCTGATGGGAAGGTTATTAATGAAGAATTGTATGGCGAGTCTTGATGATCTGTGATTGTAGGTGTAAGATCAACGTAGATTTAGCTACTGTTGATGGCATTAGTTTGGTACATAGTGACCGATTCTTGATGTATAGATAGGCAATCGAGTCCGTGCGGTAGCCAATCCTACCGTCGCTGCTCGAAGTTAGTGCCGAGCCTAGTTTAACTTCCCCAGTGACTCGGAGCCTCTCATTGACAGACAGGATGTTTGAGAAGTTATCCTCGATTTTCAATACAAAGCACACTTTTTTCCAAATCCTCTCAGACCTCCATCTCGAAATCAATCAACAATACTCATCCTTCGAGATCCCCGTACGCGCCAAATATCTCATACTAGCCGGTGATATTGGGCGCTGAGCAGACTCGGCAATTACCGCACTTCCATCCAAAAGCAAACAGATCGATTCGAGTTTGCCTTTCTCATTCTTGGAAACCATGAGTTCTACAATGACACCTTCACTATGGGATTACAGAAAGCTAGGAAACTTGAGCTAGAGCTTTACTTGAACAGGCATCTCATCCTCCTCCATCAGACGGCCTACGATATTCCGGGGTCTAGTGTTACGATCCTCGGTTGCACACTGTGGTCGAAAGTCCCCCATAAAGCAAGAGAAACTGTCCACTCAAAAATACAAGACTTCAAAAAGGTCCAAGATTGGACTGTGGACGATCACAATGCGTCTCACGACGCGGATCGGACCTGGCTACTAGACGAGATAAAGTCACTCCAAACCAAGAACAAGAACAAAACACAAAATAAAAAACGAGATATACTTGTCGTGACACACCATGCCCCATCTCTCAAGAACACTTCTAGTCCACGGCATGCGAATAATCCGTGGAACTCCGCGTTTGGAACTGATATCCTTTCGCAAATTTCGGATCTGAGGGGTGTCAAAGCTTGGGTTATTGGGCATACGCATTATTGTACGGAGTTTGTGGAGCGAGGGATTCGAGTTGTGGCTAATCAGCGGAGGTATGTGCTTCCTTGGAATGAGTCCAAGCGGGAGAAGGGGGTATTTAATGTTGGGAAGGTTATAGATGTGTGAGTTGGAGCTGTGTTTTGATTTTGACTTGGCTTGGCTTGGTTGCATCTATGTGTTCGTGTTCGCGGTTATTGTACTTTACACAACAACGCTAGGTAGTTAGCTGGGCACTAGCTCTGTACTTAATCACAGAAGAGCGTCTGCCGCGCTCTTAGCTATACTGTCATCTAAGTAAATTCACTAGACAGGTCCGCTCTTTCAGCAAGCTAATAAGCCAAAGAGATCAAGCCTCACTGGACACCGTGGCTGGCTGGCCATCCGCAGCCCCTAGTCGCATCTAGAAAGGCGAACAAAATAATTGGGGCCCTTTTTTCTTAGCAGAGATACGGCTGAAGGTCTCTTTAGACATCATTTCATGCAAGGGCAAGCGAACTGTGGGAAGAATAGGATATGAGTTACCAAGCGGTTCGAGGACACGGTGGACTTAAGCATTCCATTGATCAGGAAATTGAAGGGGAGAAACGAGGCTGCGATGGAATTCAAAGGCGATACCATATCTTTACATCGATCTATAGACAAGAGAACAGTTAAGAACATCCGACGGCTTTGATAAGGGATTCGTGACGAAGGATGTCAGTATAGCATCAAATGAGGACGTTAACCTGGCCACTGTGCTTTCTGAAAGTCGCACATCCCAGTAATTGAGAGTAATCTTGATATAGTTAGGCACTTGATCCACAACGACCACAATGTCATACTGTAGGTTATTATCGGCTGCTAAAAAGGAGAGAAGAAAAAAAAGGAGGGGGCTTGAATAGAACTTACAGCCATAGGGTCAGTAGAAGAGAGGATCTGGAAATGAAGATCAGAGTCACCAATGGATTTCGGATCCGATGTCGGGAATTGGCGATGGTTGACCAGAGTATTGAAGAGAGGCCCTGATATTACCTGTTCCATTTGTGTTAAAGCTGGAATCATGCCCGGGTGGTGGCCGAGGGACTTGGCATAGTCACCCTGTACACTAGTCAGGAAGTCGCCGAGAGAATGTTTTGACTTCAGATCCAGCCTACAGACCAGCAGGTTCAAAAGTGGACCGACGACCTTATCTATCTCAGCGATGGGCACATCTCGCCCGGAGACCAGATATCCAAAGCAGACAGAATCTGTGCGCGTCCAGAGAGCCAAGACCATGGCCCAGACGGATTTGATCAGAGTCGGGACGGTGATTATCGACAGAGGACAGCCAGGTACTGTCCCTGATACGACGGACATGATCTAGACTGCTCAGGCACCCAAGGCTCTTGGGGCCTGAGTAGGCAAGACTGGAATCAAAACGTCCAACGGTATCAGAGCAGTCGAGGGATGGGTTGGCTATGTCTCGTCCAACCTACACCGCAAGAGACGGCGGCCTGCGATCGGGAAAGACCAGATAGTATGACCTAGCCAGTGCCGCCAGGATGATTTGCCACGGTTGGACTTGTAATAACTCGCGGACATCTCCGAAAAGAAGATGGCAGGGTTCACTGTCCAGGGCAGCTGTCTGTCCTCGTAGTAGCTTCAAGCTGCTTCCGTAAATGGGGATGTTCGAGTCATCATCTCCACCTGCCCAACCCTCAGATGCTAATTCTCGTAAGATGTCGTTTTGTTTGGCCTTCCCTTGTATGAGATTGTACCATTCCTGAAAGCTGGGCACCTCATCGAGGGTGTTTTCACCTAGTAATTGCTCTAAGTCACTCTGCAAAACAACCCACGAGCGACTGTCCACAATCAGGTCATGGGCAACTAGAAGCAACATCTGTTTCCCTCCTAAACTCTGAATCAGATAAACCCCAACGACTGGGCCTTTGCAGGGATCCAACAGGCTGATTCCTGTCTCTCGTAGGGTTTCAAAGTCCTCAGACAGCTTGATTTCGCGCTCTCCAAAGAGCAATCCGCCGTCTACGGCGTCCATCATCATCTGGCGGACTTCACCGTTTTCCAACACCACAAAGCGGGATCGCAACATGGGATGCTGGATAACAAGGGATAGAATCGCGTCTGCTACTTGGCAGCTCTCTTGCTGCCGCTGTAACTCAATGAGGACACTCGATCCAGTAGGCGACCGCTCCCCTGATAGAATGTGCCGCTGCATGGGTGTTAATCCAAAAAGCGAATTCCGATCGAAATCAATGGTCTTTGTGTCGATTTGTACTTGGGCCCTTTGTGCAAGGCTTGCAATCGTAGGCGCTGGGAAGATATCTTGGAGAGGGATCACGATCTGCTCTGATTGGCATTTGCGCACAAAGGCCATTGCGGTGAGAATCGCCACCCAGCTTCAAAAAGCTTGCGTTTACTGCTATGTTGGCGCATTCGAGCTGCGGAGTGTCCGCAATGAGAGTGACTAGGCGTTTCTCCATTGGTGTCGAAGGGGGCAGCACCTCGGCAGGCTGGCCGTGCATCAAAGTGTCCAGCTCTGCCCCGGTCAATGCAATGACTCTCTCCGTTAATGCTCGTCTATCAACCTTGCCGCTAATGGATGTGGGGAGAGCAGAAACTAGCAGATAGACAGCCGGCACCATGTCAACAGGAAGACTTGTCTGCAAAGGTGAATCTACCAGCTGTATTCGAGCACTAAGGGAGGTGGGGTGGGCGGCGAAGCCGTGTCCATCTACTGACTTAGAGCTTAGTGAATGGGCATCCTTCGCGAATAAGAAGGCGGCCAGTGTTGGCGTGCTGCCCTTGGGAAGGACCGATTCCACGAAAATGTCAAAGTTCGGACCAAGCTGAGGCCGCATCAATATTTCAACCTCTTTCAAATTCACCCGCTGGCCACGGATCTTGACCTCGGAATCTTTGCGGCCAAGGAGGTTGATGGTGCCATCGGCATTATATCGTGCGAGGTCTCCAGTCTTCAGGAACCGCCCTCGATCGGAGAGGGTGGTAAATTGTTTGACGCCCCACATATTTAAGGGGATAGTACATTGAATATATAATGCATGTCCACTTTTACTTCTCACCAGTCCTCGTGACATCAAATTCAACCATGTAAATGTTTGTTCCGGTACTATGAGTTTCGTAGTCGAACAGTAAGCTCCAGTTCCTTAGCAATTCCAATTCCCGTTAAACCCTCATTCATCACGCGTACGGTTTGATCATGCAGAAAGGCGTAGAGATCACGCTGCTGCGTGACATAACCCAGCAGAGTCGTCTGACCCTATGTGGGCTAATGATGAGATGCAAATACAACGTCTGGAGTTCCAGCGAAGAGAACAATCGTTTCGTCCAAATATGAAGACTATGCAAGAGCATCTCAGACGGCAGCGCCTCGAAGGGTAGCAATATTATTAGGGTATTGGGTCGTATTCTCTGTAATATATAAGGCTCGCCGTTGCGATAGGTGAAAATGTAAGGTGGCATTCTCGCCCTCGTCAACTCCGTTCCGACCGCCATTGTGTCTCTTCGAAAAAGGCCTGCCGCCATCATGATGAACCAGGGAACCAGGTCGGATACACGGCCGGCACGATTCTTGGCCCGGTGCTCGGTGGTTTAATGGGGTAGTATACTACCTGGCCGATGGATTTTCTAACTCAACTTCCCCATCTGCGGCATCACCGTTCCAATCCTTGTCTTTGGCTTGGAGGGCCACCGCAGCGTCATCTCTCTCAAAGAGCGGCTTCCTTGTCTTTAGTACCTTGGGGCAATGCTCTTCCTTGGAAGCACCTGCTCGTTGTTGATTAGCATCTTCTGGGGAGGCGAACAGCATCTGTGGCGGAGCTGGAAGGCCCTGTTACTGATCTTCTGCGGCGTGATCAGAATCATCGCCGCTCTGGCATGGGAGTCCTACCTACCATATTTCCCCCAGTAGAAATGTCATAGCTAAATATCATAGCTAAATATCATAGCTAGAAGGCTAGAAATGATCATAGTCCATAAGCCACATAAGCTGCCAGATAGCTAAGGCCAACAACCCAGCATAGGAAGCTGGCCAAATCGGGTATAGCCTACCCGCAGGAACCGGCCTTAGCATCTCCCATCAAAAATCATCCAACCAAAAGGGCCCCTTAGGGTAAGGCCCTTTTACCTGATAATCCTAGAATATTATGTGACATTTAGATAAAACTAGGCATGGGATAACAAGATCAAAAGGATCCGACCGAATATCACCAAAAAATAGTGGAGATAGAGGGGGAGGGGGGGATATCGTGTTGGCTCAATCCGCCCTCGGGTAAACTATTGGGCTCGAATAGCTTTAAGGCTCGTTTCAGTGGTAACGATCATTACAAGGAGATAAGACAACCAGCCTCTGTCTATCAAGATAACTACCGTCTTATCTTCTCCTGATTGTTATCGCAACTTTAATTGATAGTTAGTTAACTATCAATCATGTCTGACTGTTGACATATAGAATGAACTTCGGCTATACATACCTGGCCTGTTCCTAAGACGCACTCCGTACACATCTAAGAGATTTCTTTGAGTTTTTTTTTTTTCTTTTGTTTGAGTGAAGCTATTGTATCATGGCTTTCGCTTCAGCTACCGCTTTAATGACATCGTCGTTGCGTCGTCGTGGTGAGCGGATTAAAGAACATATCAAGCAGAAGAAGTCGCCCTCTGGCTGGGTGCTACCGAGGCAGATGACAACTTTCGCCGACGAAGATAGCTGGTCTAACATCGACTCCGGCGTGACTCCTATTGAGCGACGAACCTGGTCAACATGGACTGTCCTGGGTTTCTGGTTCAGTGATGCGCTCAATGCCCAGGGCTGGGAGTGCGCAGCCTCTATTATCGCCATTGGGCTCACATGGTCAGTTTGAATGACTTCCAACTTGTTTCCTCTCTTTAAGCCCGTTAAGGATACACGCATACACACATCAATATATATTTCCGTTTACCCGTGCTCATAGTTTGTCTTAGGAGGGAAGCTCTCTACTGTCTCATCATCGGCTATTCCATGGTCACTATTCCTCTTGTGCTCAACGGAGCCATCGGTGCCCACCTCCACGTCAATTTCGCCGTGGCCTCACGTTCTTCTTTCGGATTCTACCTCTCACGAGCAGCAGTCGTCATTCGCATGATAACTGCACTGTTTTGGCACGGTATGTGATTCTGGTTGCTCACCTTCTATTGACTCGACTAACACTGCTTTAAGCCATCCAAACATACACCGGATCAACAGCCATGACGCAAATCATTCGCGCCATCTGGCCCTCATATTTGAACATTCCGAACTCGCTTCCTGCATCCGCGGGTATCACGTCACAACAAATGTGTTCTCATATTCTGTTCTGGAGTCTCCAGTTTCCTTTGCTACTGATCCCGCCACATAAGCTCCGTTGGTTCTTCGTGTTCAAGACGGTCGTTGTTTTAGTCACGTCGGTCGCGACGGTCATCGCGCTATGCGTTCAGGCAGGTGGCGCCGGTGAGATTTGGGCACAACAAGCTACCGTTTCAGGCTCTGCCAAAGACTGGATGATTCTTCAGTCTATGTCAAGTATTACTGGATCATGGTGCGTTTTTCACAACTCTAATTTCCCCCCTGGTAAACGTTGTGGATCTCACAGGTGGAATGGCAAGTGCTGAAATCATTCGGTGAATAGGCTTACGATGGCAACTAATATTCCTGACTTTACCCGTTACCTGAAGAAATCCAATGGAGTGTATTGGCAGGCGCTCTTCATGCCATTCCTCGCATCATTGATTGGCGTCTTCGGCATAATTGCGGCAAGTGCTGGTAAGGTTCTCTATGGTAGTTATATCTGGGACCCCGTCCAATTAGCCGCACAGTGGGATGGGCCAAGTGGTCGTTGTGGCGCCTTTTTTGTTGGCCTCTCCTGGGTCATAGCCCAGATCGGAACGAACATTTCGGCCAATGTTATTTCATGCTCAAATGATATGGTACTGTTTGAACCTTCCGGCCCTTTGATGTAGCCCCCGCTGATCTGAATCCTGCAGACAACCCTTTGGCCTAAGTATATCAATCTTCGGCGGGGAGCCATAATCACAACCATTATGGGAGGCTGGGTAATGGTACCGTGGAAAATTATCTCCTCGGCGTCTTCCCTGTTGACTTTTATGGCCTCACTCGCCGTTTTCCTGGCCCCAATTTCCGCCATTATCGCAGCTGATTTCTGGATTGTCAAGAGGAAGCATATTGACATTCCATCTCTATATCGGCGTCGGGGCATATACCGATATAAGGGAGGATTTAACTGGCGTGCAGCTGTTGTCTTCCTTATTTCCATTGCTCCTAATCTTCCGGGTATGGCACATGCTGTGACGCCAAGTCTTTCCGTGGGCACGATCAATCGTATCTACGACATTAGCTTCATGTGGGGTTTCACCAGTGCGTTTGTTATCTACTGCGCGCTGAACTATTTCTGGCCAGCGACCGAGACGCTCGTTCAGTGTACCATTTCCGACGAAATGACGATGGTGAACGGCGTCCCGGTTTACAATGATGGGCAAGCAACCATGTCAGAAGGGAAACTTGAAGCGAAATCCATTTCACCGGTGATCAGTTCTGTTTGAAGTTCTTTTTAGAGTTCCGTTCGGCAATTTTGTTCTTGCATTCACCAAGCTTGAGTTTTTCTTTCTGTGTCGAGAACGTGCAAATCATTTGCTTTGACGCTTACCCCTACAATAAATATTCATTGCTGCCAAATTGTTACAGGTGTACATTTCGATCATTCCTTGCCTCTTGCTATTCCTACTCGTGCTCATTGTACGACAGTTTCAAGCAACTAAATACATAGTCTTCATTGTTACGAGTCACATGTTTGCCAGGTGTTGATGCCTGGTTCCTAAGGCATCAATGTACTATCTAGATAGTCTCTTCGCCATCTTCCCTCCTTCCTTCTTCCCTCTCTCTCATGCTTAGTTGCTTCGTGAATGCTACCACTTGATGATTAAAACCTACCTCGTGCTTTAGCGTAACACTAATCAGTGTGCCGATATCGAAAATGCTGGCCAAACTGGGGAAACATTGAGTCGGCTCGAAATCTACCACATTCCGTTAGCCTGGTCATTAAGAGTTAGCGACTCTTATCTTTGTGTGCCTAAGCGCGAAATATTTATCTTATCTTTTTACACCTTACCAAGCCTTGTCTTATCCAGGCACACCTAACTCCACGGCACGGTCAGCTGGGACTGGCGATTGAGCGGAGATTCCTCCTTTGCTGTTTGCGCGAATTTTTTTCTCGCTATATAAACATGAGGGTCTTTTGTTCGCTGCGTTAACCTCATATTTCTATCACGCTTCACGAATCAATAGCCCAGAGAGGTTGCATACAAAATGGCACCAACGATCAAGCTTTCTTTTCCCAATGCTCGACCCTACTCTTTCAACTTTCCCCTCGCAACCACCGCATTTATCATTATTGACATGCAAAGGGATTTTCTGCATCCAAACGGATTCGGTTCTATTCAATGTGGGGATCCTGAGATATTCGCCTCCGTCAGCAAGATCGTACAAACGGTTCAGAAAGTGCTAGGCGTCGCCCGCTCGATTGGCATTCAGGTCATCCATACTAGGGAAGGCCATCGCTCGGATCTTTCAGATCTACACGCAGCAAAAAGGTTGAGACAGATGAGCGCGCCGAACGGCCACCATATGATGGGAATCGGCGACAAAGGGCCGATGGGAAGGCTGTTGGTGAGGGACGAGTGGGGTCACGATATTATTGACGAGTTGCAGCCGCACCCTGGAGAACCTGTTATCGACAAGCCAGGGAAAGGGAGTTTTTGGAATACTGGATTTCACCGGGTCCTGTTGGCCAGAGGTATTACCCATCTAATTTTCGCTGGCGTTACAACCGAGTAAGATACATTGAGAAGAAATCTTGCATTGTTCACATTGGCTGACGAGTAGATCAGGTGTTGTGTGACGACAACTTTACGAGAATGCAACGATCGAGGGTACGAGTGTTGTATCTTGTCAGACTGTACTGGTGGTTTTGACCAACAGATGGTGGCAACGTCCCTCGATATCATTTGCGGACAAGATGGCCTTTTTGGATACATTGGCCACAGCTCGAACTTCATTGCTGAAGCACAAAAGCTGTGCGAGTTGAAACAGCCTTGCGCTCCCCCCACTTTTGACGGTGTTCTTCCGTCAATCTCTGAGCTGCAACAACAATACAAAAATGGTCTCCTGGACCTTGAGATGATCGTCCGATCTGTTTTTGATCGGATAGAAAGATATGAGACGGTTGACCCTTCCGTCTGGATCTCTAAACAGTCTCTTGAAGATGTACTTGAAGCAGCAAAAGAGCTCTCTGCAAAGTACGCTGGAAAGCCACTGCCTCGTCTTTTTGGAATACCGTTTGCAGTGAAAGACAGTATCGATGTCGCAGGCCTAGTCACTAGTGTAGCGTGCGAGAGCTTCGCGTATATCGCAGATTCTACGGCCCCATCTATTCAGCATCTCCTTGACGCTGGTGCCTTGTACATTGGAAAGGTGAACTTGGACCAGCTTGCAACCGGTCTATCGGGATGCCGGTCACCTTATGGTATCCCCCACTGTGTCTACAGTACTGACCACATTTCCGGGGGCTCCTCATCGGGGTCTGGTGTGGCTGTTGCAGCTGGGCTTGTTTCATTCGCTATTGGAACCGATACGGCAGGTAGTACTCGTGTCCCGGCAGCCTTGAATGGCATCGTTGGCTTCAAGCCGACCAAAGGCACCATCTCTGCTCGGGGGTTGGTACCTGCATGTAAAAGCCTGGACACAATTACCATCATGGCGCCTAACCTACAAGATGCACGGGAAGTCTGGTATATACTTGACGAGCACGATCCCTTGGATCCATATGCCAAACTGCCAAGCAGTTTAGTAACTTGGAATGTGGATTTCCGGGGGCCAAAGGAGGGAGGCTTCACATTCGGCATTCCTCCCCTTTCTCTCCTGGAAACTTGCTCCAAAGCATACCAAGAACTCTTCCAGGCTACCGTTGAGAAGTTAAGATCTTGCGGTGGCAGATTAGTTGACGTCGACTACACACCATTCACCAAAGCCGGCGAACTTCTTTATGATGCATCGCTTGTACACGAACGTCTCGCCTCCATGGGTCACGAGTTCTTCGTTCAGAATATCGATACCCTCCATCCCACCATAAAATCCATCTTTCAATCCGCACTCTCATCCGACATTAAAGCCTGGCAAGTATTCCATGATCAGGCCGCACAAACTCGATACACCATGCAAGCACACAAAATTTTCAACGCCTTGGAGGGCGGTATTGATACTCTGGTCGTACCAAGTGTACCATTCCATCCTACGATCAAGGAGATGTTGGATAACCCACTTGTTCTGAATTCCAAGCTTGGTACGTTCACACATGCAGGCAACGTTGTTGATTTATGTGGTGTTAGTGTCAATGCCGGGTGGATGGAGAACGAAGATGGAGTGAAGCTACCGTTTGGGGTTACTTTTCTTGGTGGAACTGGATATGATGGGAAGGTTCTAGATGTCGCCGCGGTTTTCATGGATGTTGTCAAAGAAAGCTGTCGAGACATGTAGTGGCAAGTTGCCGCTCGGAAATATGTAATCGAAAATAGACACACATTTCTTGGTGCTTTCTCATGGAATTAGTAGTCTTGGCTAATTTTTGGAACAACCGAGTATGCGCATGATCTCTGGGATATTCCAACCTCACCGGGAGCAGTCAGTCTTTCTCTTCAATCAACTCAACCCATAGTTAGTTCCTCCTGGTCTAATTCTGACCCGATTTGCCTTCTCTACATAATGGCACGACTTTAGCTTGATTCGATATCTAGCGAGATTGAAACTCAGCATTTCACGTTGGGGTGCGCTTCCGTGGATATCGACCAACCTTAGTTGGTTCAATCTCTTCCCCCGCTTCGTCTTTTTCTGCTGAGAGGTCACGCTCTGTCCCTCTCTTTCTTTTTAAGACCCTGCTCGTCCGAATTGGTATCATGGATTGGCCATGGTGGATGAAGAAAGCCAGCCGATCAGATTATTCCATCATACAGTACGAAGATACATCGGGAAGAAAAGAACCATCGGTTACGATACAGATTTGAGGTGTCAATTAGTTGTGTGAGAATTCTCATTCGATTCGATATACACGGTACCTGACTGAGTGATGAGGACTTTTATGCGCGGCTGCAACAAATCCAATTTACGAATTCGCAGCACGGAATCGGGGGGACTATGCTCGTGGTCCTGAGATGGACGTGAGAAACATGCTTCGCGAGTTGCCCGAGAGTGGCACAAAGGCTTCTGCCTCAGGGCAATCTCTGGAAAAAATAATGCGCCGAACTTTGACTATCAATCAATCAACACTCTAATAACCTGTTGCAGCCTAACTAGTGGCGTACTGGCTATGCAGGCGCTTCCTTCGGCGGAAGCAAGAAGGATCCGAACGCCAGCCAAAGCATATGAAACGGAAATACAACTGAAAACGGCGTTTTTCCATACGAAATTAGCCCAAAAACAGTATTAGAACGCCCGTAAGGCCCTCGCACTGGAGAACTTTGATTATAGTTTCTACTACATATAACTACCCAATAGCAAGTATGGAAACGGACGTACAGTCGAAGCATAGCACCCTGTAGAGACCATAATGCTCCATAAAAGCTCAACTTGGCGCAGTCACTAGATTCAATATTCTCGAAAAAAATTCAAGAAACCAAATAAGAATTATCCCTTCAACCTCCACTGTTGTAATCGTACATAAATAGCTGGTGGTATGGTTTAATACTCCACTATCCGCTCTTGGATGCGGGATTGAGCCTTTGTAATCTAGCCGTATTCTTAATGACGGCAGCAGTGAGAGAATGACCCTCATCATTGAACCATATTCCAACGCCTTAATGGAGCTTGGCTGGTGGGACTGGGCTATCCAGGTATCATAGCAATAGTTCGATAAGCAGGATATTCTGAATTCTAAGGGTGTGTTGAAAACCGAGGCTTAAGTAATGTAATGAAGTGGTTTGTCCTCCGCCGTCGGCGACCGCGCCGACGGCGCGCGTGGTCGGCGCGGGTCGGCGCGATCGGCGAAAGAGCGGGGCGGCTAATTGCGAATGGATCGGAGCAGATTATATGGGATGTATCATTGGCTGGAATTGTAATCATGACTAGGTATGAATTACAGTAGTTCTCTCTGGTCACTTCAGACCAAACAGTAAACACTGGCTAAGAAATTTTGTTTCGACTAAACCTTCGAGGTGCATTGTGCTTCTAAGGCTTCCTGATTTTGTGAACGGATATTAATCATTATTTCCCATTCCTCCAGTCACACAAGTGCGCGAAGACTCGCGAATACCCATATTCGTCGCTTTATCGACGATGCCGGCGATAATATCAGCAAGAGGCAAAGCAAGCCCACTCACAATCTCTCAATGGCGTGCTTTGCAGGAATCAGTCTCCGGACCAACGAACCATCTATCACTACTCGAGCAAGCCGAACTTGATATATCACATGCTTGGATTTCGTTAGCAACGCCAGAGCAGATTAACGTGCAATGGAAATAAAATGTATCACTTCTTTCGCAAAGAAAAAGCTCCCACTTCTCGGGGTACCTTTTGCAGTGAAAGACAATACTGCTGTAGCCGGTTTTCATACAACAGCCGCATATCCATCTTTCAGCACTGAGCCTGCGAATACTGACTCAACCGTCGTCGCACGACTGAAATCTTATGGAGATATAGTCATTGGAAAGACAAATCTCGATAAATTCGCTACAGGTCTCGTCGCTACACGCTCCCCCTATGGAGCCGTTGCGAACTTTTTTGACCCAAAATGCATCAGTGGCGGGAGAGCTCCGGTAGTGGAGTTGCCGTTGGCCAGGGACTAGTTCCATTTGCCCTTGGCACTGATACCGCAGGTTCGGGGAGGGTTCCTGCTGGGTTCAACAATGTCATTGAACTGAAACCTACGCGAGGGGCTTTGAGTACGCATGGTGTAGTCCCTGCGTGTAGATCATTGGACTGCGTTCCTATCTTTTCCTTAACTCTAGAAGATGCTGAGCTGCTATTGCAACTGGCGAAGGGTTATGATCCTCAAGATGCATACTCTCGGAGCAGGCTTGACTATATCACTAACAAGATCTCTCGGGGCACTCCACTTTCAAAACAAGTAATGGCTGTTCGCTCCCATCCAAAGTGGTTTGGTCAATCCCAGCATGCAGATGCATACTAAATGGCACTAGCCAACGCCGAACGACTTGACTGGCAATTAACCCCGGTCAATTTCATGCCCCTGTTTGCTTTGGCGGCACTCCTTTACGAGAGTCCATGGGTTGCGGAGCGATATGCTGCCATTAATAAATTCATAGTATCTGTGGATGCGATGTTGATGGACCCAGTCGTGTACAGTATAATCATGAACGCGAGGGAGTTCTCGGCTGCAGATGCCTTTCAGAGCCAGTACCTCCGGCAAGATCTATCCCGCAAGATTAAAAAGACCTTTGGAAGATTTGATGCGCTTCTCGTGCCAACGACTCCTACGTTCCCTTCCATCGAATAGCTTCAAATCGACTCTGTTGGAGAAAACAATCGATTAGGGACATATACCCATTTTGTGAACTTTCTTGACTGGACTGCTCTGGCTATCCCTGCCGACTGGCGAGAGGATGGTCTTCCATTTGGGATAACTCTCATCGGAGTTGTTTGCGAAGAACGACGTCTATTGCCTCTGGGTCGGCGTTGGCTCTCCGATTGGCCACGCCTATTAGGAGCGACTTGTGTCGACTACCAGGAAAAATCCTCCAGTCTTCTCGTCGATGTCGATGTGATTCCAATAGCAGTGGTCGGTGCCCACCTCTCTGGTTTTCCTTTGAACAAGGACTTGATCTCTCGGGGCGCAACACTCGGGGCGCAACTTTCGACGCTGCCACAGCCACAGCACCAGATTATAAAATAATATGCGCTGTATACATCCGGCCCAGTACAAAGGCCTGGCTTAAAACGTGTCGCGGAAGGTGGAGAATCGATTGACGTGGAAATTTGGAGCATGCCACACGCTTAGATGGGCAGCTTTCCAGGCACTGTCGCGTCGCCTTTGGGGATCGGGTCCATTGAATTGCTGAATGGGAGTTGGGTACAGGGATTCATTTGCGAGCCAATTGGTCTTGATAATGCGCAAGATATCACCTGTTCCAGAGGATGGCGAAGGTATATCCAATTACTTGCCATCTGACGCCGTCTTTAGGTGGAACCCAATGCATGCCTGTTTCCTACTCTAGCCAGAATCTGACTTGTGACCGTTCTCATTGCCGAACGCGGTGACATTTGTCAATGTCTCGGCAGACTTGTTATGCACGCTTCCCCTTGGGGGTTCTCAGAGTTTAGATATCTTCAAAATAGTCAACTAACTGTCATACATGCTATCACTTCTTCTATATTCTATCCTTCATCTCAACATGATTGCCTTATGTTCGTTCATGCGCACCTTGAATATGGCGGACATCAAGTCCATCGCGATTTGTTTCCAGTGCTATTATTGTCCATAACATGTGACTTCTGCAGAATTTCTTGTGCCTTTGGTTGAAAAGACCGTGACTTACGCATATCTCAATGGTTGTCGATTTCTAGACCTTACATACCAAGCTGAGACTTGTGTCATGAAAACTGGTTATGGATCTTTTCCGAAAAATGCGACATAGCAGCTGTGAGGAAGTTATGCGCCTGATTTGGATTCGACCGACTACGAAGTACATCAAGGATCTCGGTGTTACGATCGTCGTTCGGAGGACTGGTAAGACTGAGGACGAATGGAGGAATAGAACTAGGCCGAATGGGGATGGTGGAAAGTGGTCTGTGCTCGGGGCAGCACTTAAGCTGGTTCCCTTTTGGCCAAACGTCTTCTTTCTTCTCCTTAGCTTTAATTTTCTCATCAAATGGTACAGATTGATCCTTGGCCCTTCTCTTGACTGTAACACTCGGCTTGAAACGTCGTGCTCGGAATTGCATCAGCTACGGGAACTCAGTCGTTCCTGAGAGCGATAGACTAATCTCAAACTTAGAGGATGCCATCACGCAAGCGGGGAACACTGAATATCTGGTGTTGGTCAAGGTCCCTGCTAAAAACGGTAGAATTGGCTTTGCACCTTGCAGTGCCGTGAATTCTCTTCGATGGACTTTTGGTAACCTGCGTCAGCTTAGTCTGATCCACTTTGGCCACTTGGTCGTCTTTATTGAGCATTTATTAATCGTGCGGGGCGCTCTAGGTTGCAAGTCCTTAGTAGTGGTGCAGGATTCATATTTATGCTGGTGAGCGGGAATTCTCCCCCCACCTGTGTTTTGCTGGATGTCTCGCGGAATATGACTGAAGCCGCCTCGACGTTGGTCGTTCTTGCGATACCGCAGTGTGGGCACCGTCAATTTACGTTTGAAATGAAAATCTGTAATTGTGACTTCCTCGAGATAAAGACCTGCATGCAAGTTGAGCATTCCGTGACAGAGGGAGTGATAGGACTTGGCTTGGTCGGGTGCATTCTACAAATCACCATTGCCACCCTTTCGCTCTGGGGGTAAACAATTTCACAATCAAGATGCTGGGATTAAATTGCCCCTCTACGGCGAAATTCCCCTAGTAATTTCGCCCTCGTCTTAGGAAGCATCTAAATTTCAAATTTTCCACGCTTTTTTTATGGCAAAAATATGGGTAGTCTGGTCAAGATCAGTGCTCTAAGCATGGAATCGAGCGAGGAGACGTCCTTATCCTTGGGGGCATTATTGCTACTAGAGAATAGACTACACTGAGGCATAAAATCGAAATAAAATAAAATTTTCATAAAGGCTATGTAGCACGCACCCCCCGTGTTGAATTTATATAAAAAATATATCATGGCAAAAGAAGAAGACACCAGCCGCGCTACCTTGTTAGACCCTGTGATAAGATGGAGCTATCAATCACGACCTGGGGTCACATTCATCGCAGCTAGGTCACCGATATCTTCATCAAGCATCCGAAGTGCTTCACGAGCGAACGGTATTGCCGAAGCCCAGACTTGAAGAATCCAGCGAAGCCTCTCCAGGTGTTCAGCGTATTCTGATGCTTCATCAGCGTTGGCACTAGTTGCCCACAGCAGACCAGCCAAGATTCCAACTAAAGTCACCTGTGCTGCTGCTGCGAAACCCCAAAAAGACTGCAAGTGCTCTAGCTGAAATGCTCCAATCAAATTAATGGCAGATACAAGGCGCGCCCGAGCAGCCCCCCGAATGGCTGAAATGAGACTTGGGGAGTCGTCAGGGGTTAAGATTCGAAGAAGTGCACGATGAATTGTAAGCTCTGCGGCAGCGTGTGACAGATGCAAAGCCCCATTTGTGGATAATTTCAAGGATGGTGTGGAGTCTAGCTGGAGGCTGAGAGGTAGTCTTGCGTGCCAGTCGCGCAGTTGCAATGCTAGAGGCTTCGCAAATTCAAGAGCCCCTGATGCTCCGATCCGATCCAGAAGACCCCCTTTCCTGGTTGCACCAGTCGAGCAAAAGGTCGCTATGATGGAACTGAATATCTTCGTTAATTCAATAAAGTGTAGAAAGGCATCTCGGCCTGCAGGGCCGTCTACAACCCCAGAGCTCTCATCCCCAGCTGTCGTTTCAGGGAAGTCATTGAGAGTACACGGGCGGACCACCCAGTCGCTTTTATCTTCATCACTGTCAATCTGTGCTGGAATAAGAGGCGGTCTGCCATGAATGAGAGTGCCCCATTTATCCTGCATATATAGCGCCCAGGCTAATCGTTTTCGTATGCTTTTCTCCCATTCAGGAATTGTCCAGTGGCTGCAGTCGACATGGACACCCAGCGTGTATGCAAGGGAAAGGAGTTTGGCGGGCAGGGTGTCATTATGGGAAGAGCCTTTCCGCTGTAATAACAATAGGCCCGCCTGCAGGGTTGACAATTTGGGTCGCTTCCACTCATCTTCCATCGCTCGCATGGCCAGATTTTCCAGGCGCACTGTATCTGGTGCTTGTGCTAAGTTGGCCAACTTTCGGTCCAAGAACCTCATCTCTAATGCGAGCAGGTAAACAGAGGCGAGCAATGGCGGAATAAAGTTGCGGTATGACTGCGTATATTTCTCCAGGAACACGTTCTTGTCCAAAATTGGAAACGTCCGGTGTATGGTATGAAAGTAGAGATTCACAAGAGTCTGGCCTAAAGGACGGATGCATTCTTCTATTTGGTCCAGGTCCGCCCAGCCTTGCAACTGCAAGGCAGATTCATCATCGGGATATGTGATGAACACGGTGGATTCACTGACTCTTCGCGGATACGGGTTATCTTGGCCGATGGTAGATATGGCGCACTGCTTCAGATCAATAAGAGTGGGTTCATGATAGCTTGCGGGGCCAATATATTCCGAATGCCAGCGTAAGCCGAGGCCGAGCGTGCCATTCAACAAAGTATTGGCTGAATCAAATCCAGAATGTGTTCTGGGAGACTCTGTAGTAGAGAGCTGCGTCGGTGAACCTTGATTTTGTTGAAACCTGAGGCCCTTTATTTAGCACGCGTCTTCGACGGCATCGATGACCCAACGTACCTGCCCGGCCCCTTGGCGAATTCTCTGGTTGTACGTGTCCGTGGTTGTGGACCATGAAGGAATGTACATTCCAGGTGATACATATCGCAGGCCGTACAGTTTTCTTTCCCGGCTTCTTGAACACATCGCGACTTTCGTTGGCGACACCGGTCACAAGGGCGCCGCCTAGGGTCCCCCCGCGACCTCGAAGCCATCTACTCCAATAGGAATATGAAGTGTTTTGCTGCTTCACTTTTGACAGGTTTATGGGAACCGTATACCGAAAGTCAACAAGATTCGATTCGAGAAATAATAGTGTGGCTGGGGCATCATCATGCTTCGACTAGCGTGTAACGAAGTCAGCGTCCCAGGGTTACCGGTTCTTCCCTATAAAGCAGGCAAGTAATCAAATATTACTGTATGACCCTGTCTTACGCTCACGTGTTTAATTCCCGCTCTCGCTCGGCAGTCAGTACGGAGTACATACCAAAGGTCTTTCTACGTCCGTTATCGGCATTGGCAGATGTCTTCCTATGGCGGGAACCTTTCTAAACTTTTACGTTGAACCAGTTGAAAAAAAAAACTTCGTGTCTGCAATGCAACATTTGCTCACGCTCATGTTACTTCAAGGGTAGCCTTTTTTAACTACTCATCGTGTCTTAACAACATCTGTACCTTGCTCTTTCGCTCATCGTTGTGATTTCAATTATCGCGCATCATCATTATCCTCATTATTGTAGCCTTGTTCTTTATTGTCATAGCCTCTTTGGTGTCTACATCCCTAAATTGCATCGTGCCCAGCCGACTGACACTATGGGTACTAAGGTCGCACCAGCGCTAGACCCACCGGTAAATATTTTCAAGGAATTAGTTTTCGCTCTCTTTGGCAATCATCTTTTGATCAATGATCATCTGAAAATTTCTCACAGTTCTCCCGAGGATCTAGAGGTTTAGGGGGAGTGCTTGTAACAATCAGCATATCATGCTAGATCCATAGATCTCTACACTGTCCGCTCAGCGTGAAATAGTAGGATTAGTAGTTATTTATCTACTTATAAATTACAGGAGTTATAGTAAAGCCTTACGATCTACAAGGTACTTATGCTCACATACCTAGGGGATCTAAGAACTCATGTACTATCCATAACTTATGTACCTTAATGATTCTTCACCTAAGTATGTAATTGAAACTCTTCATCTAGCTCGAGATCGGTAAATTATGATCTACATATATACATATATGTATGATCAATGCAGGAACGGATAAGCATGGCCGTAATAACGCGATAACAGACAGTCCTCCGGAAATTCACGTTTCCAAAGCTAAGTAATCTAATATAGAACGTAATACACGCTCATCTTTGTGACCAACGTGCTGTGCTGGGACTAGAGGCAACCTCAAGTGTCTATTTAAGCCCATTTTTATGATGTAGTACTTAAAGCAAAGAAAGCAAAATTATTTTAGCTCAAAAGGTCGTATACTAAATTCCTAGGTAAGTCTCCTATAATACTCATGACCGGATAATTCCTTCCAGGACCTTTGATACAGCGACGATTTCTTCGTCGCAAAAGCGGTTCCCCACCTAGAATATTGCGTGGGAACGTTAGCTGAGATGCCTGGTAGAGAAGGCCGGTAAACCTACCAACTGGAGACCGATCGGTGCATCAACAAACTTCACTGGCAAATATGGTTTATACTCGGCCTCGTCTTCGGCGCTCCGTGGCCGGTAACCGCTTTCCACGACGTCTAGCTCTGGGTCTACTTTCAGGCCCGTTGGGAACACAACACCGGGCATTTCCAGAACATTCCATATGGCCGTGTAGCTAGAGTAGCGTGCCTCGTTAGGCTCGGCAGCAACGCCGACATATGCTGGACAGAGAATAAAATTGATGCCGCGCTCCTTCATCAACAACCGGTGTTCAGTTCGATAGGCTTCCCGCTCCAGATTGACTGCCCATGTCTCCGACACGGTCATTTTACGAGCTCGAACAAATGCTTCTTTCGTGAGAGGAAGCCACGGCTCTCCTGAAGCTTCGAGGGCTCCAGTCTGGACAGATGCACCATCAGGATAAAATAGGTCGTTGATGATTCGCATGCCATGCTTATGCTTGTATGGTTGCCAATCTTTCATCTGAACCCCAGCAGCCTTCATCTTTGCCACGGCGATTTTCATGGCGCGCTGGATAGGTGGATGTGGATGTACCACCATATCATCCCAGAGTATACCGACGGTAAATTCCATTGTCGGGATGAGTTCTTTCCAAGGCAGAGGTACTAGGGCGGTCTCCTCTTCCCATGGCTTGCCGTCTGTAACGGATTTCATAAACAGATCCAAGTCGCGTAACGAGTTAGTAATTGGTCCCAACGTGCAGAGAATTCCCTCCTGTCCATTTCCTGCGAGCCCGACACCGTTCCATGGAACTCGGAGTGTTGTTGGTCGAATGCCGTAGCTGCCACAGAAAGCAGCAGGGAGACGGATGGAACCACCGATGTCACTTCCAATTCCAATAGCTGCGCAACGGAACCCTATGGATGCAGATTCTCCGCCAGAGGAGCCGCCAGGAGAGAGTCGGATGTTATGAGGATTGTGTGTACGACCAGTGATCTTGTTTTCACAGTCCAAGTGCTGAGGCAAGTATGAGATAAGGTCAATTAGGAGGCGACTAAGAAAGCACAACATACCATACACGTTTGTGGCAGGTTTGTTCGTACATGAAATACTGCTCCTGCCTTACGTAAAATATTCACGATCAAAGCATCCTGCGACGCCACATTAGATGTCCAAGAGACATAGCCCGTGTGGGTGATGCGGCCCTTGAAAGACACCATTTCTTTGGTAGAAATCGGAACGCCGTGCAAGGGACCGACAATCTTGCCAGTGTTGCGGAAGTGGGCATCAAGAGCGCGGGACCGGGAAAGAGCTTCTTCGACCATAAACTCGGTCGCAAAATTCAGCTGGCACAATGAGAATCTCTCCTGGAATTGGGGCAACCCGGGTACTTACTAGCTGATGTCCGATGGTCGCCCTTTTCAAAAATGCGATTGTAACCTCCTCTGCTGTCCAGGTACCCTCGGCCATGGTTTCAACCAAGCCCGTCGCATCAGTCTCTGTGATTTGGAGCTCTCTCTCACTTAATATTCCGGACTCTCTGGGGACTCCAAGCACGTTTGTCCGCTCTGGAGATGGTAGTTTGTCGACAGGGAGCAGCCATTGCCTCGGGATTGAGTTATTAAGGATGTCTCTGCAGATCTGTGCCTGAGTTTCCCAGTTATGAGCGGCCATATTGACATTCAGGTCAGAGTAGAAGAATGTAGTATTCTGAGTAACACTCCCCTCTTCGTCGCACTTTTGCTCTATTTAACAAGTTAATAATCTAGATAGAGGATGGCGTTCTATCATAGCTCTACTTCTTATCTTTACTCCACTGCTTATCATCGCGCCGGCGCTTATCGTTACTTCGAGTAGCACATACGGTGGACAATCTATCCTAAGTCTAGCTAAATTCGACGAGAATAACGGTGCAGATAATTAGCCGCCTAATATAGGCCTACCTAGCCTAGTATACATTATATTAATGGGCGTTAATGGGGGTGATTTAATCTAGGAATCCCTCCTTTCTCCTCTAGAAATCCCCTCCGTCTTATCTGGCATCATTGCCCTCTTCATGTCATTTCTTCCATTTCAAGTGGCATGATCCTTCATCTTATCGTATATAGGGAACTCTCATCGCTGAGAAAGAAAAGTTACTAGATATAGAACGAAAGGGTCCTATGTCTAGAAGAGGTGATCGCGGCTAGACTCGGAGCGCTTACCCTAACTAAGATAACTACTAAACCTACCTAGCTCCCAGGCCCTTTCTGTGCCTGTCGCTATTCGGGGTCCCAGCGGCGAGTGCAGTCTATCTCGACACTTGCTTCCAAGGATTTGTGGTACGTGTCTTGTTCGTCCCCCATGGAGAATCGATCACCTAATTGACAATCTTTAGTTGTTTCAACTGTACTATCTACCCATCTATTTCGAGGGTATGCAAGGTTTCTCTGTCGCAAAGACCGGACTGACTTTGCTCCCGGTTACCGGGGCCATGATAGTGGGCAGTCTGATCTCTGGGCCCCTCATCCATAACACCGCTCGATTGCGCTGGATCATTATCGTCGGCTGGACGCTGGCCCTTGTTTCGAACGGCCTGCTCTTCGTATTCTGCCAAACCACTCAGATCGCAGGGCTCTCGATCGAGTTCAGCTACGGCTCTGATGGATATCATGGATCTAGCCGCTCATCCCGAGTTGCCTCCAGTTCTGTTGATCAGTTTCCAGTATACATGTGCGGTGATGACGTAGCTGCTGCGGGCTTGGTGCTTTCATTCGTGTATGCGTGGTCTTCTTCAAGACGTCCGGATATTAGAAATGGTTAATAAAAGAGAGGAGAAGCCATGGAAAGACCAATTGAGTCAGCGCTGGCTGATTTAACTACCCTAGACTGTAATATTGTCGAGATCACCACCAAAGGCGGTAATCTTCTTCTTTACCCTTCTAATGGCAGCCAACTAATCTTGAAGGCCAACTTTACCGGACGTGGTTCTCTCTTCATCGATTCCAGTTCGAGCCAAAACACTAACTTCCTCATCCTAGGGTACCCAAGTGCAGTCAGGAGTCTTATATATGGGCAGTGTTCGGACCCACCACCCTGATTGGTACTCAATTTCTGACGACTACACACAATTCTCACTTTACGATTAGGATCAGATGTTGGTAAGATTTGATAAAATAATTAGTCCTCATTATTCTGTCTAGAACTAATTATTAATTTCTCTCTTAGAGCTGTCTTATAAAGGTATTGCTGGATTTTTACCAGGTGCGTAAACCATGGCACTGCGGGCGAATTCACATGCCCCCTAAGGCATTTTCCGAACTGACCAAGATACCAGAAGTGACCGAAAGAGACAAAAACAATTAATCAAAAACATACAACAGCCAGGATTCGCATGTGGTCACCCACCATACTACTAACTGGCCGGCGTGTGGCTTAAGTACGGCTGAGCGGACGGGAAGCCCTGTTCTCCACACCCTATGGTCGTATGTGCTAGTTTGATGCAGAAGATAAATTATACTGGCTCAAAATGCCAGATCCCAACTTATTGGGCACTGTTCTCCCGTCTTATGTGCACAGTGGAAGTAGGTGAAAAGAGACTGATCATAAGAGAACAATATCAGCTCAACAGATATAAGGGTCGAGGAACTAGTAACTAGTAATTAGTGGAGGGTTAACACAGAATGGTCAAGTATGCATGGGAGTTCTAATCACGATCAAAAGAGATATCAAATTTATTTCATTATGCTAGGAGGTTGGGCAGTATTTACAACATTAGGTACACATTAGAAGATCGCATAAGAAAGGCAAAAACATTCGACAAGTAGAAGGGGATCGCGAGAGTGTTAGGATTCTCGTTGCTTTTCCATCTGATGCGATTGTTGAAGATCGTCATCAACAATTGATATGCAGGCTAATACACTCGCGCCGCATCGCAGAATACGACTATACACGTGCAGTCACCCTTCAAGTCACGTGGGGCAACTTTTTTCACAGCCTATCTCAGCATTAACCTATAGAGATCACCTTCCATTCTCAAAGAGTCTCACATGCGTATGCATATGCTGACCCATATGTTGACACGATGATTAACACGGTCTCCCGACCGACTAGTTAGTTATTCAAGGTAGCCAATTAGAAACTATTTCAAGCTGCAGAGTAATAGTAGGTTAAATAATGGAAGCATTCCTAGGTAGATAAGATCGATATGGATCGCTTAATGGATTTCTCAACCAAAGAAACATTTATGCCGAGATTATGTCCACCTTTGCATATATCCCGAGGCGGCAGGTACCGTCACCTAGATTATTACGGATTAAAATCAAGTTGCGTAGTAAACTCGTGGGCTAATATCCTTATGAATTCTCTTCATGTTGAGAGGAGATTGCACTCAAAACAATTACAATTATGGTGGTTGTTTTAGTAAATATAAATCATGCTCGACAGCTCCCCGCTAAATGAGGGCGTTCCGCGTGGCCGCTCCACTACTCAAGGTACCTGGCCTGGAAAACTCAGAATTTGCTTCTGATTGCCCATGTATAGCGACGCAGAGGAGATATTGTTGGCTTCTGCGATAGAGGTACAACTGTCACCGGTCACCGTTGTGTAGAAATTCTCCGAAAGGCAGAAGTCTGATTCTTCGTCGATCGTGGCCAAGGGATCTTGAGAATGTCGGTCGGTCCAGAGAGACCACAGTGTTTGTTGATAGTTTCCTCCGCTTCGTCATACCTGTTAACTACATCAAACGCCCTACCATCCTCCCTCTCTCCTTAACCTTCCTACCCTCTCGCCCCCTCATCTAATTGTCCAATTGCTACGCCTTCCCACGGCGCCAGCTCACATCATGGCTATCGCTGGCGCCCAACGAAAACAAGTCCTCAAGGTGTTGATGATCTCGCTCCTGCTGGACCTGGTACGATCCATCTCCCCCTCCATCTGAACCAACTTGACACGCTTAACACCCAGAGCATGCACTAACCTACAATCACCATTAGATCTCCTTCACATTCATCCTCCCCCTCTTCCCATCCCTCCTCTCCTTCTACCGCGCCCAAGACCCCTCCCCCAACTCCCTCCTAAACCGCATCTTCCACTACCTCAACGCCTACAAAAACGCCTTCGCCCGCCCCATCGACTCACGCTATGATATCGTCCTCCTCGGCGGAGCCCTCGGCTCTCTCTTCTCCCTCCTCCAAGCCTTCGCCGCACCCGTCATCGGTCACCTCTCCGACCGCCATGGTCGTCGTCGCGCCCTGTTAACCGCAATGGTCGGGAATATCTGCAGCGTCGCGCTCTGGGTGTCTGCGACGGATTTCCGCACGTTCCTGGCTAGTCGAGTCGTTGGCGGGCTGAGCGAGGCTAATATCCAATTGGCCAATGCGATTGTCGCGGATGTCACGGATGAAACGCGTCGGGGCGCGTCGATGGCGTTGGTCGGGGCATGTTTTAGTATTGCGTTTACGTTCGGGCCGATGCTTGGTGCTGCGCTGAGTTCGGTGGAGATTGTTGCGGCGAATCCATTTATCACTGCCGCGCTGGTCTCGCTGGTTTTGATCTTTGTTGAGACGGTTTATCTGTGGGCTTGTTTGCCGGAGACGCATCCGCGGTTTACAACGTTGAAGCAGGAGGATGTCGCCGAGTCTGATGGGAAAGGGAAGAATGGGTCGAAGGGTGTCACGCCTCAAGGACATACGAATAGCCCGGCTCTCCTGAATGCCGTCCACTTCCTCTTCCTCCTCCCATTCTCGGGTCTGGAATTCTCCCTCCCCTTCTTGACGGCGACACTTTATGCTGGAACCACCACAGCCAGCCCGGCCGCTTTGAACGGCCGCCTCCTTTCCCTAATGGGTCTGATCGCGTCCCTCCTCCAGGGCACGCTCGTCCGCCGTCTGCCCCCACTCGTCACCGTCCGAGCTGGTGTCGTCGCCTGCACGCTATCATTCTTCTGTCTAGCACGCGTCTCCTCACCATCGGGCCTCTACGCCGCAGGCGGCTTATTAGCCGTGACGAGCGCTACCGTTGTCACCGGGCTGAATAGTCTGGGCAGCTTTGAGGCTCGGGATGCGGATCGCGGGGCTGTGATGGGTCGACTCCGTGGCTGGGGTCAGGCAGGACGTGCGGCTGGTCCGATCCTGTTTTGTACGCTGTTTTGGTGGGCTGGGCGTGAGGCGGCTTATACCGTTGGTGGGTTGGCTATGTCTGTTGTTGCTGTAGCGGTGTTTGGGTTGTTGAAATCGCCTGATCTACATGCTAAGACGGAGTAAAAGGGGAACTATAACGGGATGGCTTTAGAGCGCTCGTCGGTTCCCTACAGCTTTTCTATCTTTAGAGGGTCGGTTTGGAAAACTTCTGGAAAGCAGCAGCTGGATTATGGTTGCTTGTTGTATTTCTACTTGACTAAGGATATATTGGAGTGATTCAATATCCATGCCTGCAGCAATTTCAATACAAACCTCGGCTTGCCTCGGTACAACCGCCATTCCACCACAGCTCAATCCAAAAATAGTTGGCCTGCAGAAAATTACTGTATCAAAAAAAGCCGCCTTCGGAAAATAAGCTATGATGAACGAGTGGATCCCCAACTGGCGCTGCTGACAAATTGACAGCCGTTGATTCTGCAGCCGATCTATAAGCAGAAGTACTTTGTCTTGTCCCTTGAAGCTTAAACATTTTACAAAAGAACCTAACTCTTTCCCCCTCTTCTCCTCTCTCGTATTCTCCTCTTTCTTTGTTTCTTCACCTCCCCCACATCCCCAAAGAGAGACACACACAACAAACATGACCAACTTCAAGATCCAGATCATCTCAGACACCATCTGTCCCGTAAGTACCTCCCCCCGCCCATACCACATTCCATCTCCATTTACTAACACCCTCCCTTCTTCAGTGGTGCTACGTCGGCTACCGCCGCCTTTCCCGCGCCATAACAGCACACAAAGCCAACAATCCCACCGACACCTTCACCCTAACCTGGAACACATTCTACCTCAACCCCGCCCTCCCCGACTTCCCCGGCGTCAACAAAGCAGAAATGTACACGGTGAAATTCGGTCCCGAGCGCATGGCAGCTATTTTCTCACGTCTATCCTCCGTCGGCGAAGGAGAGGGCATCAAGTTCAATTTTGGTGGGAATACGGGTAAAACGAGGGATTCGCATCGGTTGTTGTGGTTTGCAGGGCAATTGGAAGAGAAGAAGTCTTCCCCCTCTCCTTCTACTTCTGGTGATACTTCTGCGGTGGGCGGCTTGCAAACACGCGTCGCGGAAAAACTCTTCCGCGCATATTTCGAAGACGAGAAGAACATCACCGATCCGCGGGTTTTGTTGGAGGCTGGTGTTGAGGCGGGCTTGGATCGGGAGGCAGTGAAGAAGTTTTTGGATTCGGAGGAGGGAGGGGCTGAGGTTGATTCTGAGGCTAAGGTTGCGTCCAGACGGTTGGTTACTGGTGTGCCGTATTTCTCGATTCAGGGGAAGTATTCGGTGGAAGGGGCTGATGAGCCTGAGACGTTTTTGGAGGTGTTTGAGCAGGTTAAGGAGGATGAGAAGGCGTAGAGCTTTCAATTGTGCTGGCTTAATCGGGCTGTTGTCATCTAATCTTATCTAATCTGAGATTAGATTCATCAAGTATAATGCCATTTAATAATGGGTTCATATTTGTCTGAGCATGTTGACTTGGAATAGCTGTTACCTCCAAGTCACCCATTAATTTGAACCTCAATCTCCTGTCGTCCTCTGCTTCTGCTATGTATGATATCGACAAGTCGAGTCAAAGTGGATTTCCTGTTTCAAAGCTGAAGGCGTAGGCTGAACCCACCCTTATGGTTCTCAGATCAAATCAATTGAACGAGAAATTCAGCTATCTAGATCAGAGATACAAGCAAGTCCTTCCACGTACCGCGCTCTAATCTGCTCACAAACCCCCCAAATCCTTCTCCGGTTCGCAAATCCCAAAATGTAATCATCACTCTCAGATGTATAAGCACTCTTCTTCTGAATGTCCAGAAGTAGCTTGGAAGCTCTATCCTCGGACTCTTGGGATTGAAAAACATTGATGTCGTGAATCTCCCAGACCCATGGCACCTCAGACCTTAACCTGTCCCTCCAAAAGTCGCGCGATAAGGTCGTAATATGCATCGCCCACGACGCGGACTTCAGGGCAAGGATAGAGCCAGCGGGGAGGAGTTTGAATATTTCATGGCGTAGCTCATGCGGGAGCTTATCGAAAATATCTTCTCTTGGTGGAATTTGACTTGAATTGGCATTCTGGTTCAGGGATTTTTTGATAAAATCAAGGTCGGCATCGATCTGGGGAATTATCACCGGGTTGACCACCAGAACCTAATCAAATTCAGCTTTTCCTCACTTTGTCAAACAAGGTTCACAAAAAACTTACTTCATGACCTTTTTGCTGACACCAAACCTGTTCCGCACGAGGCTCTGGTTCGCCATAACTAAGCTGCAACCTAACATATCGACCCCCATTCAACCCTTCCAGAACATTGAATAAGACATCTCCCCGAATCTTCTTCCCTGGTTTGTCTTGCTTCAAACATCTCAGTAGGATATCGTGGTAGCAAATTGGGTGAAATGGGAATACATGAGGTTCTCCAATTTCAGCAAAATCATGATAACTAATAGAGAAATTAGAAATGTATAGCGAGAAGGGTGTAATTGCTTACGCAACCATAGGGATCTGATCTGCGTCCCTTCCGAGAGGAAAGTTTGGGTCTTGTGGCAATATTAGTTACTTCATCCGCTATTTGGACGAAGCCTGGAAGGTAAGTAAGAAGCGTACCAGTTCCCCCGGAAACTTCAATTCCGCCCTAAAATACACTGTCAATTGAGAATAACTTTGGAAATGCCATGTATCGCGCAGAGCTTGTCTTACATAATCCCAATAGTAGCCATTCCCAGTAATAAAAGACCTAGAAACCAATAATGAGAACGTGTCCATTAATATCAGGGGGAATAATAACAAACTTATCAACCCCACCCGCCTCTAGATTGAAACCAAGAGCACAGAGGTTATCTAGCCATCCCAGATCGCAGTCTTTCAGGACGTCATAGCGATAGGAGTCCTCTTCGGTTCCCTCTGGGTCCATTTCCACTTGACTAGAGAATGGACCACCACATATTGCACAGTATATCTCCCAACCGCCCATGTTGGATATTTATTTTCAAAGCTGAATATTGATTGTGAAGATGGCAATCACAGGGTACAATTGAAGTCAAGTTGTTGCGTGGGGGTAAAACCGAGAGGGAAACTTGCGGCTCCGTGGGAAATTCGTGTTCGCCCCACTGAGCACAGTGGTTATCCCACCACGAAAGCGGGGTGGATGCGGACATACAATAATATTATTAATAGCCAAGGTTTCGATCTTTATTAGAGCGATTACTTTATTGCCGGTTTTTCCGGCTTGGCCTCCCTAAGCTAGTTACAGTAGTTAGGTTGGCCCGAATCAGGACAGGACCTTAGGACTAGGCCGTCTACTTCCCTCACTTCTAGATATCACATTTCGACCACTCCACGGTACGCTAAATTGGGATGATGGACTATGCCGGGAGTCAGCTCAATTGGCCCCAGAGCGAAGCGAGACAGCCCATCGACGATTATGACGCGGAAGCCGAGGCTGAGGCCAACAAGCAACGCCGGAAAGTCCAGAACCGGAAGAATCGAAGGGCACACCGTCAGTATGCCCCTTGCTACTATGACATGTCCTATACTCAGAAACCCTTATCGGATTACGGCTCAAGCCAGAGACTCGGGCAATAGTCAGGAGCGGCGCCCATTCCAGGTTAGGCGCTGGCGCCTCGACGAGTTCGACCATATTCCCTCCCAAGAAATCTCGGGAGCATCTTCAGAGTGCGTAACAACCACTCCAGGCTTCTCTCTTCAACTGTCTCATAGGTACACAGGCATATCACCCTCCACAGTCAAGCGTTAAGTCGTCCTACGAGAATTCGTCATCCACTGCACACATCCACGCCCCCGTCAAATTGGACCCCAAGCCCTTTACTTTCCCCCTCTCCTTAGACCACCTCCTTCATCTCATCCAATATAACGTATTTCGCGCCTTCATATTTAATATGCATGCCCTCAACACCGTACCCGCCGACTCGACCATCTGCACCATGGCCTCGCCCTGCCGTGACGACACGGCCCTTTACCCCCTCAAGCCTGACATCCCTCCCTCTCTCATCCCGATCGCCCTCCAGTAAACTCGCTACCAGTCTGCCTGGATTAATATCATCCCCTTTTCCCACGTCTGCGACAATTTGATCAGATACGAAGGCCACTTCGACCCCTGGGAGCTGATGCAGGACCTTGTCGGTGAACTATTAACCTCGGCGCCCAGCCCCGCGGCAGCCAGGTGCCCCCGTTTCTCTCGACATTCCCGAGACTCAATGGCCCTTGACCCTTTCATCCGGAAGCGATCCAGATGAAGTGACCGCCGGGCGTAAAGGTCTCATTGTCTGGGGCGAGCCGCACGACATGAAGAGTTGGGAGCCACGCCCGGTTTTTTCGCGAAATGGGCATGGGTTGCGGAGGGCTGTGATGAGTTGGCAAAAACAAGCAACTACTGGAGGATGAAAAGGGGGGAGGAACCTTTCAGACACGCGATGTCGAGGAGCTATCCGCCACCACCGCTCTCGCACGCCGCGTCAAGTGGAGGAAAGATGCGTCAGTACTGGCGCGGTCGACATTTGCATGTGTTTTCTACGGTTCACTCCTCTCATATCGGTCTTGTATCTTGTACAAAGCCTGATAGGCATAACGCAAATGATTTTTCTTCGAAACTAAAAAAGTACTATGGTTCAAACCCGGAGGGGACGTAGAGATGTAGGAGGAATAATAGCCTATTATTTGTGTGAAGTTATACAATTACTGTATGGCCTTGTATGTATAGATGGGGCTAAAGGATCCAAGAGGAATGAATTTAGATGAGATGATTGAATTGCTTGAAGAAGACATAAAACTAGGGCGAGGGCCTGTTGAGGTGTCCTCGCTTTTAAATATAACTGTGGGAAAAGGGGTTGAAGTCCTCGAAACTCGCTGGCTGTCGTGAATCCTGTGTTAAGACCAAAGAATTCACGATAGGTACTAAGTCAAATCTACTTTAGTTGTATATTACCTAAATGCACAATCCTTGATAGCTACTGACTATCAGCTAGCCTTACTATCTTCAAGGAGTCTTTCCAGAGTCGAGCCTCGTTCTTAGTATTATACGTATACCCTGCAAACCCTACGCGAGCATCGCCGGGGCCAGAAGGGTTCGAATGAGCTTCTGCGTAACGGGATATGAGAACTTTGGCGGTTTGAAACTGGCTAGTAAGAATAATGGAAATAGGTTGGATGGCTTAGGACACATCATTTGGAAGCATCTGTGACTTATTTATCTTTTTCGCCTTCCGACTTCTAGACCTGTGTTGACAAAATTTGTTCTGCATTTAACAGCACTCGGATTTATCCGCTAAAGTCCAAAACACTAAGACGAGAGTGATGCTCAAATTTTTTGGTATTTCAAAGCACTGGATTAGTATTTCAAAGCACCAGTCTTCTGAAGATCACCTCGGAGAGACCTAGTTTTCTTCGCCTTTCTATAGTTCAGACCCACGATCTTGTGGGATGGCATTCCTGCCGCTTCTGGCCTAGCCTGCTGGACTAAATATGTACGACCTCCCGGAGCCTCCATGATAATTTCTCCTCTTTCGGCCTAGCTCGCGGGACTAGGTAGGCTTAAACAAACGGTTCAGACTTTGCGCTAGCCTTGATTTCTATCGCACGGAGTCACGGAGACAAAGGTTTTTTCGAAGTCCAACTTGAACCTGAGACCTTGGGAGCATTTGGGCATCTCGAACCCTTGGAACTATGCCATTCACACAACTTCCCCCAGAAATAATCCTTCAAATTGCGTCCTGGATTGACAGTGAATCTGATCTTGCATCTCTTGCTCAAGTTAACCGTGATATATACAACACACTTATCACAGAACTTTACCTGCGTAATGCAAAGAATCCGAAAAAATCAGCTATTATCATCGCAGCTCGATCAGGAAATTGTTCCGCATTGAAGAGAGCCCTTCAAGCATGGACAGTGGCTAGAGGTCCTTCCGAATTGCCGACTTCAGGTGGCCCCTCAAAATATACGCCTCTGTTATCTGCAGCAATAAGAGGACACCTAGAGGCAATAAGGATACTTTTGGAGTATGGAGTCGATCCAAATGAAAGGGACCGATCTATGCGTACACCACTCAATGCGGCGAGCACACGTGGGCATACTGCAGTGGTTGAGGCACTCCTAGCTCAACCGAATATAAAAGTGAATGCGTACGACACGGACAAACAAACTCCAATATGTGGAGCTGCACGAAATGGCCACGCAGAAATTGTGAAGATGTTACTATCAGCTGGTGCTCACGCCGGTTTTGTGCGCAAAACGGGATGGCAGACCCCTCTTCATTCCGCTATCCGGCACAAGCAGGCCGAGTTAGTCCGTCTGCTCGTCAACCGGGACGATGTTGATCCAAACGCACTAGGTTCAAATGGCACCCCATTGGAGACCGCAGTCGAGGCGAACGAAGAGGACTTAGTGAAAATTCTGCTTACAGACAAGCGGATAAATCCGGACCTAACAACGCGCTCGATGTTTCGGACACCGTTGTTAGAGGCTGCGTTAAAAAATAACGACGCCATGGTTCGCCTTTTACTCGAGGCCGGTGCAAACAAAGAGATCCAGGATTCTACATCTCTCTCACCTGCTATGTTACTTGATGCGCCTAGTGCAGAGGCTCGCCATGAACTCATTCGAGAGCGATCGTTGACGGGCATAAAGGATCATGATGCATCTGTATTACGGATGCTTTCAAGTCGCGATCTGTCTGAAAATTGACACGCAGAGGAGCATCTCTCGAAGCCTTCTTTGGGATGGGTCGATAACACTCTGCTTTTCCTATTACATGATTCCTCACTTTTTAACTCTCTTTCCGAGTGCACTGCGCAGAAGTCATCAATGTTTGGTGCTCTAGGGGACCCCATTTTGTCAGAGTGTATAACTCCGCAAGGACGGCTCGCTAGCTTTTTATTATATTATAGTCAAACAGATATAGCTCTCTCCATTCCTCTGATAATAACTATTGCTAACACAAGAAAAGTTATACACTGATCATCCTTATCTTCCGAAGGTCCTAAATTTTTCTACCGTCTTTAATCTTCACGTCTCCAAAGGCTACGCTTCTTACGAATATTCCTTCGCAATATATACTAATTACTCCAAAGAGGATGTTATGCCAAGTAATCGCTTATAGTTCATCGCAACACCTCGTACAGCCTCGAACCTGTTAATCCGCAGTTTGGCCACCAACTGACAGCCCAATACTACCCAAAGAGAGTACGTCTTCTACCAGTATTAGATGCATTAGAAGAATCGGGATGTGGCTCACCATATGTTGACTGGGTTTTTATTTTCGCTCCAGAATTCAAACTGTCTTTTGATATTCCATTATTGGGCTCCAAACTTCTTCGTAAGCTTCTGTGGTATCTTGTTTTTAGGTAAGTTCGGAGTAAGGTGATGCTATAGCCAGACTATACTTAACCTTAACAGTACGTCTTGAGTTGCTCGGTTCTCAGCAGTTCTCTTTATACAAATTCTCTACACAAGTAATAATAAGAATGTTCCTAGTACATACGACCATAGGGTGTGGAGAACAGGGCTTCCCGTCCGCTCAGCCGTACTTAAGCCACACGCCGGCCAGTTAGTAGTATGGTGGGTGACCACATGCGAATCCTGGCTGTTGTATGTTTTCGTTTTTGTTCCATTTTTCTTGTTCAACCTGTCTGGTACAGTGTCGCCAAAACTAAGTGAATTTTGGTTTGCAGTTTCGGCATGGGGTGAAGGCCGGTCAACCATCAAACTTAATCGAGATTTAATACGCCATAGAATCATTGACCAAGAAGACAATGAAACATTTGAGATTGACATGCTAACCCAGTTTATATATTTCCTGTTGTCTGTGCTCTGTTTAATTATGCTTAAAAAAGTTTACTTGATAACTGAGACAGTATTCGTCATAGACCACAATGTATTTTAGCATTGTAAATATAAAAAAGTGAAATTCTATCTTAGTGGTGATTCTATATTTTACTCCTCTTCTCAACCTGACCACCAATAGCTTTAACTAGACAGCCGGGCACAGCAACGCAAAGCGCATTGTCCAATGACCGTTACCCTAAGAAAGTACAGCAGTCATTCGAGCGGAAAGAATGCGCACCATTCTCGAAAGGAGGCTCACCATCGACAGTATCGCCAACCAGGATATCTAAAGCTAGTGAAGTGGCCCATTGCGCCATCGTCGGGCTAGAACGGTTATAGAACATTAAGTAGGGGTCAAATTGCATTCTGTGCTTCCTATAGCTTGTAATGCCCTGTGGGATAGAAGAGGGTAACGTAAGGTGTCAGTCGAAGATGAGAAAACCCATCTCCGATGCGCCCTACAGCAGATTGTGACTAGCTTCCTATACTATACTATCTTCTGTCGAAGGTCACCTCTTTCTTTGTTGTGACCGAGCTGCTTTCATATAGATTCATGATCAATCAAGAATGTTCTCTATCAAGCCGGTTGAGGGGGGCGCCATATTGTTTCGGATAGAATAAAAGCCACCACACATAAGACTGTCCACTCACCCACCGCTTAGGTAGGCTCAAGTGGCAGAGCATTTCCAATCTCGAATAGAATATGTTATATTGAGCCGTTCATTCAGCGTGCCTGTGTGTGACGGGATGCATATAGGTCCATCTTACCGAACCTGAGCGACCGGAAATATATCGTACCGATATGCGTGTCCAAAAACAAGCCGGTTCTGCAATAAAGACGGATTTCTCATCCCTAGTCTAAGCGGAGACAAGCGAACACAACATGTATCAATATACTACCGCCCATTACAAATACCACAAAAATAATCAAATCCCAGGCCAGCTGACAATCAGAGGGGCGGGCCAGAAGGCAAAAACAATAAAAAGGTTGACCAGACTGGGGCTCGATCCCAGGACCTTGTCGGTGTTAACGACACGTGATAACCAACTACACCATCCGGCCGATGCTATATTCATGCAGCAAATATACTGCTATATGAATCCATTCCAGCCTTACTAGTGTGGTATATCTTAGCACTGGTTTATAGCCTCTTGACGAGCAACTACACCATCCGGCCAACTCTGTAGTCATGACTTGAAGATATGTTATATGAATTAAAAACAGAGTTAATAGTGGAGCGTAATCGATTAACTTTAGGTACAAGGAAATGTTATCTACTCAGTAGCTGTGTTATGATATACCCTGGCATGAGGTTATTCCCAAGTGTTGGTGCCTCAGGCTTCCCGGACCTGATAAGCCGGCAGGCTTTCTGTGGAGGTTCGCTGGGGCTTCGTCATCAGTACGTGTACGAGCTCCTGCAGAGAACCCTTGACAGAGGTTACACAAGACCCCGCTCCTATCCTTCTACCAAGGATATATCTCCTTCCTGTTTGAGCGATGAGACTGTATATATTGACCCATGTTGGAGAGGTTTTACGATCCTCAAGAAACAGTCTTTGACTATCTCACACTATTGACTTGGCCCCATTTCTCCTACCTGATTGACATGCCTCTATCCTGACTTATAGAGTATATTCTTACACTAGATAGCATAATTAATTAGTAACACCGAAGATTAGGCTATATTAGCTATAATATTATATCACGCCTATTAGAGTATATATCAAACGTCACAATTAAAGATATATCTTCGCTAATTAGCTATTGCGAAGTATACAAACTAGCCAATTTAAGGCTGGGTGACGTCATTGCTCTGGGCCTTCCCCAACGTACGTTGATATTCTAACGTGTTTTAGAGATAGGTTGGACATGAAAGTGAGACTCAAATTAGCATCGCTCTGAATAGACTGTCGGATTTACGCTGTGTGCATAAACCCTGATGTGGTGTGCTTGTAGGCGCACACAGGTCGATCGAATACCACGATTATGGAAGAGAGACGAAAGTGCAATAGAGGTGGGTCGGCAGCGAACAGGTTGAACAGTGGAGGGTCAACACAGTTTAATCAGAATTGCCTTGAGCTCTATTCGTGAGTGAAAATGGTGTCAAACTTATTCAATTTAACTAGGGAAACAGGCAGTATTTATAACTTTGGGTACATAGCAGAATGTCACAGGAAAAGACTGATGAAAATCCGAAATAATATGGGGGCATACGAGAGTGTTAGGAAACTCGTTGCTTTTTCCATTTGATGCATTAGTTGATAATCAGCATCGTATATCATGAAGCGGTGTATAGGGATGCAGATTTATGCATCCGATTGCATTTAGCGCGCGCATGCATGCATGCGCTCGCTTATTGCGGGATACGCACACACACACATGTTGACATAGACAGCATATCCTAACTATCTGTACCTCGTAGCAGTTATTCGTGTTAAAATGGGGCTCAAGGGACCGCAGGAAAAGGAGACAGAAACCGTGAACCCGCGGATGTTTATTGGAAACCCTCATCAATCAATATCAATCCCAGAGCCACTCCAGCGATCCCAGAAGTACTTCAGTCATCCGGAGATCCTCTGTTGACCTCTAAGAATGGCTTGAGTTTCCAGGAGCAGTAGGGTTACGAAATTACCCAACAAGTTCCTGAATTCGATAGGGCTGTGAAAGAAAGGAGTGGATCCGTACACGAAACTGCCGTAAAGTTTCTTCATCCATGCTTGAAAGAATTCCGATCCCATCAACCCTTCCGTTGATCCTGGGATGGCCAGTAGCGGCTTCTGGGAACTTTACCTATAGTTCCAGGAGCAATATAGCTCCCCGAAGAGGTGGTTACACTCCCAGGAAGCTAACCCTGATCCTGGCTTTTGAGGGACTCTAATAAAGCTTCAGTTCAGTGGCAAACCTAAGGATGTCTGCATTAGATCAATCCCAGAAGTATTCCATTCAATCCCCGGACGCAGAAAACTGATCAGATCGGAATGACAGCTCCAAGGGCCAGCTCATCCCGGCTCCCCGCCTATATTTTTCCGAAAAATGATATAGGTTCAGGCTCCCTGCCATAAGAGGCATGGTTCCTAGTGTCACCTCCAGCCCCATTGAGGAAATATCGATCCTAGGAATACTCGCCTGGATCCCCGGAGAACCTGTGGCTGCTTCTGGGAACGGTACCCGAGGTTCTAGGAGTAAAAGAGCTCCCAGGACCGACTTGTATGTTCCTGGAGCCGCTAGCTTCCTATAGCTGGAATATACGTTCCTGAAGTGGATGGTAGATTGCACCTTCCCAGAAATAGGCAGCCAGACCCAAAAGTTATAACTCTGGCCTGGCTCTTTTGGTGTCTCCCCACCATTGCGGCTCCTGAAATAAACGGAAGGGTTGTGTTACCATGAAGAATAGATTAACACTTTTCTTCTAATCTTACAAATCACTGCTTCAGTTTACGACTACATCCCTTTTCTTTTCTATGAGTTTGGAAAACGAAGACAAACCGATTTCAGAGATACTTCCGTCGATACTGGGATGACATATGGTTGCCTCTGGGAACTTTACCAAGGATTTCAGGCGCAAGATAGCTCCCAGGGCCGGTCTATGTTCTACTAGAGAGACCTGTAGGGTGAGAAAGTGCTAACAGAGAGGGTCGAAGGGTCAAACACCATGGTCGTCTCCAGGTGAGAGCTTCTGCCGGCCATCTATTTGTTGGACAGAGAGACCAATAGCTTAGGACGACTGTTGCAAGTCCTGACGAATGGTGAAGCCAGTAGGCTTATGACAGCTTATCCCGGCTCCCAGCCGGTGCATTTTTCCGAAAAATGATATAGCCGCATAGGGTTCCTCCAGCCCCACCTGGCTTGGCTGGATCCTCGGGCCAGAGTGAAGCTCCCAGGCACAATTTGCTTGCTCGTAGTACAGTTCGTCTCGAAACCGGTATGTATCACCAACTACACTCTTCGACTGTTTCTCGGGCCCACCTGCCAAGGCCCGCTAGACTGTATGAGAAATTGAGCCACGTGTTGTTAGTGTTGTGACTCATTGCTTTAGCTAGGAACCTATCAATGCACTTTCATCGACTACATCCCTTGTCAAATCATTAATCTGCACAAGAAAGCTAACTACATTTCACGATGGAAAGGTCCATGCTATTGAGGCTCCCTAACGAACTTTTGGTTACTCTGATAGAGTACGTCGATAGCCCCAGCTATACGGCATTGGCACAAACATGCCATACGCTTAATCTCTTGACAACACCGCATCTTTACAAATATGCAAACATCCAACTCGGCAAAAGCAACGAATTTGTCCGGACAGTCAAAACTAAATATGCCGATTTAGTCCGTCATGTCTCAGTCGTGATCGAAAATGACGAACTCGAAATTTCTCCTTGTCGAATTGTACCATGTCTCGAAAAACTAGAGAATCTGCAGAGCCTCAAGCTAGCTGGTGGCTACTGGATGTGGGACACTGAAGAGGAGAATTGGGATACCCTCGAAGGTTGGCTATGGGAATATTTTGAAAGAGCGAGCCTAAAACAGCCTGGGGAATCGAGACTTGCTAGGAGTCTTCGATCATGTAAGTCACTGATATCTATAAATAAATATTGGAGAAAAACTAAAAATCTATCTATTAGTGACCCTTGACCGTTCTGAACGCAATGGACAAGCAGCGTTTCTTCACTACTCGTACATCTTCATCATCCCGCAACTCCATGATCTCACAATACGTGGTTTTATGTTCGAGGAAGAAGATGGCGAGATTGACTCACAATTTGAACGTCAGACGGAGCTTAAATCCTTGCGTATCGAGCGCAGCTTTGTGAGCTTTCCGGCTTTAAGGAAGGCCTTACTTGCTCCGCGTGCATTACGCTATCTCAGTATTTGCCATGTAGATTCTTACTGGCACCATGAGCTCAAGAACGCCGAAAGTAACCACGCAACAGTGGCTGAGTTCGTGGAGGCATTGTTACCGCATCGCGAATCACTCGAAGAGATCAAACTTGTCGTTGATGATGATATGTATAGAGGAGAGGTTCCAACAATCAACGCTCCGAGCTTCCGTAATCATGCAACGCAACTTCTGGCACTGAAGCGCTGGTTGGGGTGTGATAAGATGACGTTAGCGGGTTATCTGAATCACAGCGAAGATGATGAGTGAACGGGCTGAATCAGACCGTCTGGGTCGATCCTACTGTACATATTGTCATGCTGCATCAAATCTCCTGTACGGTCAGACCTGAATTCCGGCCTTGCACTAGCCACGTCAACACACCACAAAAGGATATTATCAGCTAATGTCACCGAAAAAGGCATTCAGCATACCAAGGAACGGTGAATTTCGAGAAGGAGCATAAAGGTGTCGGGAGTATTATCAATACAAATGAATACAACCAGCTAGATCCCTGGTCACCAATTGTAGAATATTGATATCATGATCGACAGGGATAATCCGGTAAAATTCCCAAAGTAAACAAGCGGACCTTGGCAGGTGGGTCCGAGGAACAATCAAAGAGTGGACTTGGTGACCACCACACCGCTTCCGTTGGGAACGTAGTTGGGCGGCCGAAAGACGGCAACCTGGTGAAGACAATGGCACAGTTAAGAACTATATAAAAACTAGTTTGGGTCAAGGGAATTATGTGATTAGCTTTATGACACTCATACGAAGAGATAATGGGAACCGCACATCAATTTCCTCGGTCTGGGACTGTGTAAATATTACTCAACGGCAATCTTCGCCTAGGCTGAGGACGGCGCCTATGCCAACTTCCTCTCTATAGACCCCTTAGGTGGGATCATACTGAAATTCTGATTTCCTTGCGTCTCGAAATATTGACCGTCCACGATTTTCTGTGTGCCCTTACCGAACAGGTTATACTGGCGATTATTATCGCTAGTCTGGTTGGCAGAGTTGGGCTGCTCGGCCAGATCGGAGTCGGCCAGTGATAGGGACGCTTTCGCCAGCTCCTCTCGAGCATCTGCCAGCGGCTTGGTCTGCATTTGTGTCTCCGCCGGAAATATGTGGTGCGAAACAAGAGCTTCCAGGTCCTCCAAAATGCCGTCCATCAACGTCTCGATGCGATTCTTCCCTTGCTTAATAACGATTGCCCGGTACACGGAAGAGTCGTATTGGTCCTTCGAGTTCTTCGCGATTTTCTTGAAGATCTCTAGCAGCTTGTCGGCCTTCTCATCGCAACTATAGAGGACGGTCCCTAGCACCTTGGCCTCGTCGGAGGACTTGAATTTCTTTGCATCTCGAAGGGTTTGTTCCACGAGCGGAAGCAATTTGTTCACTTCCTGGAAGGCTAGTGAACAGCCACTGTAGTTTCATGAAATTCCCCCGCATTACGGACCAGTCTCCGTCCCACCACAGAAGAGATCTAAATTCTTATTACCGAGCCTATCTGGGCGCTGGTTTGGGTACAGCAACGTAAGCAGCTGGTAAGTCTCTTATTGGTCGTTCTCTGGTATCCTTTTCTCCACATTGGAGTGGTAAGGTAAGGCGAGGAACAGAACGTCACACGAAAAGTTTTTCAAAATGCTGCCTGGTTACGAAAAAGAATAGGACTTCATGTTTTCTTATATGCCAAATGTGTACTCGTATCTAGACAGAAAATATTCTTGATGGAGGGCGGTGATTAAAGAACATTTGATTTGATTTGATTATTATTTAACGTCGCCGACAGGTCACGTGGTGCGTGACCACTACCTCCTAACCGGACATGCCAGAAGCGAGGATTCACTACGGAGTTACAACTAGCTAAACACACGCGGAAAGGCAGCAAGTTTAAACAATAACCGGCCCCTTACAAATATTACATATTTTTATCCAGTTCAGACGCAGGACCAAACGGATATTTTACGGACCCTTGCAAAATATGTAATATTTGTAAGGGGCCGGTTACGTGCTGAGAAAGGAATAGACGAAGCCAGGCAATGGCCTGGCCTGGGCTTCTGGGGTGGAGTACCCGATCTGACATAGATAGGAGAGGGTGCCAGCCTCTCCTATCCAGGCAGAGGGAATCCACCAACTGGCAATTACGCGGAAAATCACATGACATTGTCCGCTCACCTCCCCCGATAATAATAGGATTTCGTTAACGGCACGACAATAGCGTTTATTGCACGACATACTAGTCCTAATTAGGAAACCCTTGCCCCACCACCAAAAAGTAACATTCGACACCTACATAAAGACTTCTAAGCCCTTATGTATGCATATTCCTATATGTAAGCGCTTCTCGCGGTAGGGGGTTAGTATACTGTTTGTTTTGATCATAAAGATTATCTAATTGTTGAGGGCTATATAAGTCACGTGTGTAGGTAGCGGTTGACAACGAGGGCAACCGCGAGAAGCGCTTACATATAGGAATATGCATACATAAGGGCTTAGAAGTCTTTATGTAGGTGTCGAATGTTACTTTTTGGTGGTGGGGCAAGGGTTTCCTAATTAGGACTAGTATGTCGTGCAATAAACGCTATTGTCGTGCCGTTAACGAAATCCTAATAATAATAATTGGGAGGCAGCCTACCCATCCCCCATCCCTGCCTTTGCCGCAACTCCCATACAATCGAAGTGCCTACTCCACAGACCAAACAGGATGCAAAGACAATATAGGAGAAGAAAGACCTCCAGTTCTAGCAAGGTAAGGGTGGGCACATGGATGGATTTCGAGGCAAGCCTGAAACCGTACATCCACCTCGCTCTTAGCCCTTCCTTGTTGTTGGTTTCTCTTCGCTTGGTTCAATCCTAACTCAGCAAAGGACGATCAGGTTTCTAACCATGTGGAAGAGATGCATAGTTCCTCTACTCATGGCCCAGGCTCTCTCTTCCACCAAGACGGCCGTTCATCTGTCTCATCCCCACCACTGCCTCCAGGTATCGACTTGACTCCCGGCCGCCAATTTCACCCTGAAAATGTATACCCTCAACATTTCAGCCAAGACGACATTGAGGTTCCGACGGGAGACCGCATCTATCTTGCATGCCCCGGATCAAAGCGAAAGTGCCCCCATTGTAACGCACACGTGGCCCACAATGACTGCCTTGTCATTGCGATTGATGGGGCATGTTCGAACAATGGCAACGACGAGGCGCGTTCGGCGATTGGGGTATTCCATGGCTATGACAGCGACCTCAATATCTCCTATACTTTAGACAGCTTTGACCGTCACACAAACCAGATAGCCGAACTGGAGGCTTGCTCGAGAGCTCTATCTGATGCAATCATTATCCAAGCAGAATGGGAGATGGCAGATGATCACCTTCGTGCAATTGTGATCAAGTCTGATTCCGAGTACGTGGTGCGGGGCCTGACTGAGTGGCTTCCGAAGTGGAAGAAAAATGGCTGGAAGAATGCCAAGGGCTCTCCAGTCGCGAATTCTACCCATTTCCAACGGATTGAGCGGCTGATTGAACAACTTGAACAGGATATCTCTGTCAAATTTTGGATGGTGCCCCGAGAACGGAACGGGATGGCAGATAGTCTAGCGAAATCTGCCCTAGAAGGGAAGGGTACTGGGCAGCAATATTACGCCGTGTAGACTACTTGATATCTCTAAATATATTCTACTCTGTTTGAAGGAACATAAATAAACATACCCCTCAAACCCAGTGGAGGTAGTATAATCGCGCAAAATATTGAAGCATCAGAAGGGAGTTTAAAATCCATCATAGGAGATGTGACCTGTCATGCTGGATTAGGAAGCCCACTATTCAAACACAAATCCTAACAACAAATGATCGTTTGTGGATCGATTGAATCGGGCTGCGAGCGTTCTCACTCTTCTCACTGGTTATTATCCGTACACTTCGGTCTACCCTTCCATCTGGTCCGTTGGCCAATGCAACATTAGGTCCATGACTTCTGGCTGCAAACCCATCTTGTGACGGGAGTTGATCCGTCCATGAAACTGCCCTAAAGTTTCTGCATCCATATTTGAAGGAATTCTGAACACTTTCGTCGATCCTGGGATGGCCCGTGGCTACCTCTAGGAACTTTACCTAGAGTCCTAGGAGCAATACAGCTCCTAGGAGAGGTTGTTCATTTTCCCAGAGACAGACTCTACACTCCTGGGGGCTTTCAAACCCTCCTAGGAGTAAACTTGCCCATCCCAGGACTGGAAAGCTTTTGACGGACTCTAAAGAACTTCAGCTAAGGGGTAAACCTAGGGTATCTGAATTAGATCAATCCCAGAAGTATTCCACTCAATCCTTGGACGTAGAAAACCGATTACAGTAGCACGATAACTCCCAGGGCCAGCTCATGTGTCCCCAGACCGTGTAGAATCGTTAACAGGGCTAGTAGCTCCATAGAACAAACAGCGTGATTCTAGAGGCGATGTAAATCCTCCTGATGCAAGAGGAGGAATTAATGATTATCGAACAAATGCGCAAAAAATCTCGCTAGAGAGGTTATTCACTACCAAGGCTCTATGAGAAATGACAACATGTTTCTTCTGGTCACAGACTACTTGTTCACTTACAACTACGTTTCTTTCGTACATCTTATCAAAATATATCAAGGTGCGAAAGCGGATCACTTATTCAATTATCAAATTTGATGTGCGCTCGATCTAGGTGCAAAATTGACTACGCATACACATTATCGCTAGCTAATTTTCTTTGCTTGTTGTTCTGACGTCACGCGTTCCCTTAATACAGCCAGTGTTCGATTAAATATAACAACAAGGATGGTTCAATGTATTGTTAGTCAGCTTCGCAAAGTTCGAGAAACCCCCCTCTTTGCGTTCTCAGAGGATGAATGCAGCACGTACTGCTCCTGCTGAGCAGCCACGCGAACGAGAGGGTCGAACGGCATTATGGGCTTAGTGGCTTTCACAGAAACTCTCCATGAGGTGCAACTGTACGAGAGCAGCAACAGTAGGAAAAATAAACAAAACCAAGGAAACAAAAACAGCAAGGCAGGAAATGGACAGCAAATCAATTAGCATAGGGCTCCTTAAACTTATGTCCGTTCAGATCCACCTCGGACCACGGCAGTTGCTCGTCCCTTGAAGGGACTCCCTTCTTAAGTAACCTCAGCAGAAGTTTACCTCTCCAGAAGACTACTGTACAGTGCGTGAATACGTATCACTCCAGTACCCATGCATATCTACATTAAAGTATAGGCTCTTTCCTCCTATGATTTAGAATGCATTTTACCTCAGTATGGATCGATATACAATATAACCCGTCCTTGGAACACTTCCTTCGCGCGCACTTTTGGAAGAGCCCGCAGAACTAAGATAGATACACGTCAACAAAATGGCTGTGCTGCCCACAAAACAAGTCGAGAAAGAATAGTAAGAAATGATAATCTAATACACATTGACTAACCTGCGGCGACGGTGAACCTCTTCTTGCCGAAGAAGCGTCTTTAATTGTCACGGGAGAGGTTGTAAGGATATATCTATAAGTCAGGATAGAGGCCTGTCAATCAGGTAGGAGAAATGGGGCCAAGTCAATAGTGTAAGATAGTCAAAGACTGTTTCTTGAGGATCGTAAAACCTCTTCAACATGGGTCATTTTATATACAGTCTCATCGCTCAAACAAGAAGGAGATGTATCCTTAGTAGGGAAATGGGAGCGGGGTGAAACACGAGGCTTGTGTAACCTCTGTTAAGGGTGTTCCCTGCAGGAGTTCGTACACGTACTAATACCGAAGCCCCAGCGAGCTTCCACAGAATGCCTGCCGGCTTATCAGGCCCGGGAAGCCTGAGGCACCAACACTTGGGAATAACCTCATGCCAGGGTATATCATAACAAAAAGTCCTGCCATGTATAGCTTAGCTATTCTCGTTCATGTATCGAAGCAGAACCGCCCCAAGCTAGGTTAATGGCAGGACAGCTTCTAGCTGGGTTAAGGAGGCTTCCATTTCGTCAAGATGATCAAAGTGGGTTTTAGAGGATAGGAAACAATGAGCAATATGTGTCTTTATTTCAGGCCTAGTGTACCTGGAATAGGATAGTGAAAACCGTGCCACTCACGATATCCCAGAAACCGTGCTTTCCACCTAGCTGCGGTGGGCGCCCGTTTAGTTTTTCCATTAGGTAAGTCGCAAAAAGCACCTCGATTGAAGTCCACAAAATAATCTCCGATATTCCTCCTGGTGTCTGGCTATCTTTTGATTAACTTCATATTTCCCGCATACCTGGTTGTCAAACTAGTACTTTTGTATTTTGCTTAGCGTTCTCAAAGTCACAGCACAGTCTATGGGTAATAGCCCACGGAAATTGAACAAAGGATGATACACTAAGCTGATGGGCAATGAGGTAAAGACATGAAATAGAAACACTGTTCTAAAGACAGCATTATGAAATTTACGCTATTCTTTTGAAATATTACATAATTTGCTATAAATTGCCAGGACCACGTCGCTCCAGTAAGCATACAGTCATCTGCTCTGCAAAGGTTCATGATCTTGCGCGTTTTGCTTACGAATTTCCATATGAGATGCATTCGGGGGTTGTTTCTGGTTTGCACTTAGTTGATACTAGATATCAAGATCACAAAAGAGTAGCTAACAGTGACAGAAAACACCAAAACTGCAGTCATTACTGTCTATCTAACCCTAAAAAGACCTAACCTCAGGTGAGGTCGCTCACTGATGAATAGATTCCTTGAACTCGGCCGCCGCCAGTTGAAAGGCAATCGCAGTCGACTGAAGCGCTTTCTTATCCTCAGCAGACATAATATCTCGCGCGTCAACGGGCTTAGCTCCAAGCGGAGTCTCCCAGCTGCGATCGCGGGCAAAGTGCCAGAATGCATTCATTTCTCCCATCAGGTCACCAAAACCAGGCCACAGCAAGCGGTAATCATCATATGAGATTGTCACCACGGCGGTCGAGCCTTTCCCTTTCGCAAGACCGGTGGCTTCGCCCCACAGCTCTAGGTACGATTGGAAGGTGAAGTCCTCAACGACGCAGAGTACGTAGGTGCCGGCGTCGGGCTTGTTGTTCAGAACGGAACGGACGAAGACACCTGCGTTGACGCTCGCGTCGCCGATGGATTGGAGAGGCGTGGAGCCATCCAGAGGAAGAAGCTGGACGTGCTTGTTGGCAGGTTTCTTTGGTTGACGAAGTTAGCTGGTTCCTTCTTGGCAAGATGTATACATATCCGGTGGATCGATCTCGGGCAAGTAGGGCTGATACTCACCAGGTACATTGGGATGTACACTGGATACGACATATTCTTCGAGAAGAACGAGAAGTATAAGAAGGTTGTTTTAGCCAAGAACTCCTTGTCCTGGCGAATGTAGTCGTCGACGGAGGACTTGACGTCGAAGAAATGAACGTTGAACTTGCCCTTCGACAGCGCATTGCTGTTGGGCAGTGTGCTCCAAAGGTAATGCTGTAAAGTGGGCGTTCTCTTCGCTGCATGGACCATATTGATGGCCTGCTGATATTCGATCTTTCTTGCCTGCTCGACACCAACACTCATAGCTGGTTCGAAGAAATTGGTCACGGCAAAGATGGCGTAGGCGCCTCCAAAGGCGTCGACCAGACTCTCTTCATCGTTAAGATCGGCGCCCACTACTTCGGCGCCCTTGGCTTTGAGGGCTTTTCCGGCATCACCATCTGGGTTGCGGGTGATAGCGCGGACGCGATAGCTAGAGTCCTTCAGCAGGGTGTTCACCACGGAGCCTCCTTGGGTTCCAGTGGCGCCGACAACGACAACCAGATGGGCCATGTCTGAGGAATAAGCGAAGATGAGGAGGGTTTGGAGACAGAGAGTTGGTTGGATTGACTCGTAGGTGAGTCTGTCGTGGGATCACACTTGGTACAGATGATTAAATTTCGTTTGCAAAAGGGGAGGGCCCCTTAAATACTCCAGGGGAATGTCGAGGACTAGGTTGTTCGACAGAGCGACCGTGACGTGAATTCCCTCTCTGTGCAACGGACACACTGTGTCATCTACTCAAAAAAAAGTCTGTGGAAATGCAATTTTTTTTCATTAATCAGCCAGAAATCTCAATTTCCAACGTGAAGATCAGTATTTCGGGTCTCGGGATCTGTTTGACGCGACTGTTCATTGTTAGTTTCTCAGTCAGTTGAGCGGGTTCTGCGGCAAGGATCTAACACTCGCGACGTCATCGACTTGCGGCTGGTCTGGGCTCTGTGGCAACTCCTCGCGGTTGGTGGCAGATACAGCGGCCCGTCCAATGGAATAAACTTGTAGCACGGGGAGGATTTCGCACTTCCGGAGAGAGGAACAATAAATTGGGTTACACGGTTGGGCCGTGGCCTGAAACTTTAAAGGCAGTATAGCGTTACCAGAATATCTGTGCCATTTGCGGTCAACGCTATCAATGCCTTCCAAGTCGAGTCTGGGTCTATCTGTTTAAATCCATCACGATACCGTGATTCATTTAGTTCACTCGCCAGTATGATCATAAACGTCAAAAATAGCGTACATTTGGCGGCCTACTTGTAAATTAGATATAGTTTCCTTTGACGCTATGTGCAATGGGCCCCACAAACAACACTGACGACTGCCGCGAAACATCCTGCATCTCTCGATATATGAACAGTACGATATGCTTAAATATCGTCATATCCCATATAGAAAAAAAGTGGGTACACCTATTAACCTGCACCTTTAGGACGATGCTCTCTTCCCCAAGTACTACGATTCCCTGGCATGCGACGCTATTGTCTGTCATCTCCATCGGCACTACTCCAGGTAAGTCGATGCTAAGTTAGCCATGCTCATTAGTGGAGCAGCAAAGCCCACACCGAGCTTGTGCATGCGGATTTCCAGGACTTGCACCTCCAGCTGCTCCGCTTCTCGCCATCGGCCCTGTTGCCGATAAAGGTGACCATGCTGATCAGCATAGCGGCATGCCTACGCCAGCTTCGTTAAGTCTCATGAGCTCCACCTCCAGACTCGGACCGACAACCCTGGCCCCGCCGGGCAACGTTAACTTCGACGTGTTAGGTTTCGTAGACGCTACCGTGATGCTTTGTAATACGGACATATAATCCCGTGGATTTAATGTCTCGACCAATGAGATCTCTCATGTTGCCGTCTTCTCCGACGATACTTGCAATACAGCCCAAAACCCTAGTTTCTCATGAACACATACTTGCTGCTACCCTCACTAATTTTTATCCCGTAATTACCGATGTCTAAGCCAGGCGGGTCCGGACCTTGGAGTTTGGGAATCTCCCCGCAGGCTCGTACAATAGCATCTCTCCTTCAGCCGAACATGCCGCAATTGAATTAGTCACTTTCAAATTCGGAACGTTCACGTTGCCCTTTTGATGTCTTGCCATTCAGGGACCCCCTAATCTTGCCACGGAGTTGGTAATGCGAATCCGCCTTTTCGGTTTCCTCTCTTAAGCGAAACAATTTGGCATCGTGTAGCTGTCGATATAAATATGCAAAATGAACCTCGACGATATACCTGGTCCCTGTCACTCATCATTGCGAATATTCAAGCAGAGCTCTCCATCTGCATCGCTGAACCCTAGAGTCTTGCTGGCCATGCAACTCCCGACGACAGATCGCGCAGATCAACGAAAATTATCAGCAATTGAGACCCCGATGTCGACATGGCGCGGCTTCATTCGCAGATTCGCTCCGTCGTACGTATCATCGATCCTCCAAATCACTTATTAATCAATAATAATAATAAGTATGCATTTAATAGGTGGTTTGCCATTGTCATGGGAACAGGAATAATCTCGATCCTCCTCTACAAGCTCCCTTACAATGGCGCATGGCTCTACTGGATATCAGTGGCGATTTTCGTCATCAACGTCACCCTTTTCGCTATATTTTCCTTAACTTCGGCTCTACGGTACATCTGCTACCCGATCCTCTGGCGCGCTATGATCACTCATCCCGTGGAGTCCTTGTTCGTGGCGACATTTCCCATGAGCGTGGGCATTATAGCCCAAGGAATCGTGAACATTTGTGTACCCGCTTGGGGTTCCTGGGCTGCAACTCTGGCCTGGGTATTATGGTGGATTGAGGCTGTGACTTCTGTTGTGATCTGCTTCTACATTCCGTTCAATATGTAAGTGACACTTTTCTAACAGCAAATAGATGGCACAACGGCTTACGAGAAACTCATTTTACTAAACTCAGCATGTCCATCCACAAGACCGACATCGCGTCCGTGACACCTTTTTGGCTTCTACCTATCGTCTCTACCATAATATGTGCGGCCACCGGCGGCATGGTTGCAGGCGCACTGCCGAGCCCTACCCATGCCCTCTGGACCCTTATAGTCAGCTACATACTTTGGGGAATCGGCATCCCTCTCGCACTCTTCACCCTCGTTCTCTACTATCACCGCTTAACACTCAACAGTATCCCGCCACCAGCAGTTCTTTCGTCTATATTCCTCCCTTTGGGTCCACTGGGAGAGGGCGGATTCGGCATCATGCAGCTGGGTGCCGTGTCTCGAACCGTATTTCCACTAACAAAGACTCTATCTCTCGTATCAGATGCAGGGGACATCCTTTTTGTCTTCGGATTCTTCACTGCGTTGTTAATGTGGGGATTCGGGCTTGCATGGCTATTCTGGGGAGCTATGGCTTGTGCACGGACAAGACCACCCTTCAACATGGGTTGGTGGAGTATCGTCTTTGCGATGGGTGTTTTCACAGGGTCTACTATTACTTTAGGTGAAGAGATGGGATCAAGGTTCTTTGAAATCCTTGGAACAGTAAGTTTCTTTCCTGTGACGGCTTGAGCGCTCGTCAGTAAAATTACGGATTTGCTAACGTCTCGTTACTCATAGGTCTGCACAGTCATTCTCGTTCTCTTCTGGATGGTAGTATTTGTGTTTACCATCCATGGCACTGTTACTGGTGACTTACTCGTCTCTCCTAGCTTGAAACAGCTCGAAGATGAAAGCAGTCGATGATAACCGTGTATCCTAGTGAATTGACCTGAATGACTCGTCTTATCAAGAATATGGAATAATTAGCTCTCGGATAGATTCCACCGCCTGTGACATATAATCGCTGGGAAGACAAAACCTAGATATTTGGGTTTTCCGTAAATGTCAATACCTTAGGTAGGATAATATTGGCGGTTCAGTGGAAACGCTGCCCTTGTATTTATAATCATCACTATGTCCATACCCCGTTATAGTCCTCGAAATAATCTGCAAGCTATAGAGCTCATGGCAATAGAAATAATACCGACGTCGTACTGAGCAGATACACTCTCCTGAAACGCCTATAAGGAGCTAGAATCCGTCTAGGGGTGGTTAGAACAGCTCAATCAACACTGTCATGATCGGCTTACAAGCAACGGCTCCATAAAATCTATAACGAGTCTTTCAGAATACTCTCTCTTCCACAAAATTTACCTCTTACTCTACAAGTACGAAGCCCGAAGAAAGTGAACCGTTATTCTCAACCTCCCAGCTATTTGGTGGGAGGCATGCCCTTGCCAGTCTTTGAGGTTGTAGCCCGCAGCTTTTACCGCCTTTACCAAAGGCACATCCGCCGACCGAAAAGCGGGCGGGTAGAACTCTATTTGATTCTCGACGGACGACTTCAATCCATTTGTTCCGCGATTCCCGATTCTCGCTCTGCGCTCTTCCCTACAACATTTCCTCGCTCAATATGTCGAAGTCTTCAGAACAAGATTTGCGAAATGATCCTGGCGCAACACAAGAGAGAAATACCCACCAGGGTGCGCAAGAAGTGTTCGCACCATCTGCTGCTTTAGATACCTCGCTACTGGATAGCAATTCCGACAAGCTGGTCTCTCCGGAGGCTGCAACAGCACAAAAAACGCATCGCGCAAGAAGGGCCTGTGATGAATGTCGTGGACGGAAAATCCGATGCGATGGGGGACACCCTTGCCTGCACTGTAGTGCACTAAATCTTGGTGAGCCAGGACATATACCAGAAGTTTAATAGTGTATTTGACCACTTGACGATTGGACCTAGACTGCAGCTATGATCAACCGGACAAACGATCTACGCGACTTTCACGGCGAGAGGTAGAAGATCTTGCGTCTAAGCTACAGCGAGCTCGGAACCTCCTGCGGGCTCTCGCTCCGAATCTTGATTTGGATGACCCTCATCTAGATAAAACTGTGCTGAGCAAGTTACAACTTCCGATCTCTCATATGAAGTCTCCGGCATCTACTGGTGCCAAACCATCAGAGTCTCCTCATCATACCCCGCACTGTCCTGCGAGCCCTGAGCAAGATTCAAACCTAGCCACTGTACTTGAGGAAACGGGGCGACTGGATCTTGATGATATGGGTAACTGGAACTACCAAAGTCACGGATCATCATCTGCATTCGTGCGACGACTGGGCGAACGTTTTGGCAACATGTCTGATTTGAGTATCGAAGACAAAACGACAAACCTCCGATTGCGAGGCACATCCGACATCTTCGAGTCACCAAATCGTCTGATGAATCCTGCATTCGAAGATTCCTCACGTGAATTCATTTCACTGCCACCACGAGAGGTTGCCATCGAATTGGCCACTAGTGCCTTGAATGAGGCCTGTGTTCTATTCAACTTCGTGCATAAGCCAAGCTTTTTTTTATGTTAGAAGAGATTTATCTCCTGAATCCTGCACAGTACACCGACAAGGAGCATAGATTTCTGCCACTTTTGTATACAGTTCTGGCTTTGGGCTACCTTTTCTCGTGCAATGAGCGGGCGCACTTTGGCTATACACATGCCATATCTGAAGGGTATGTGTGAACCCAAGGTTATTTGCCGGCGAGTCTTACTAATCGACTAAGGATGAGATTCTTCACTGCGTCTCGCCGAATGATTGATATCGCGCAGTGTCGAAATATTCTCGCTCTGCAAACGGTTGTATTCATGACCTTATTTCTTCATTCCTCGGCGTCTATGCCTACTTGCCATTCATACATCAGTGCAGCTATGGCCGCCGCTCTCCAAATGGGTCTACACCGTTCCCAGCCAGCAGAAATGGACTCGGTTGAGAGGGAGACTAGAAAGAGATTATTCTGGACGATCCGCACCTTGGAGACGTACATTATTGCAATTCTCGGCCTTCCAAGGACCATCTCGGACGATGATATTGATCAAGAAATGCCATGTGAGATTGATGACGAGTATATCACGAAAGAAGGAATCTTTCCGATGCCAGAAGGGCGGATATCGCTAATAACGGCATCCAATGCGCATATTCGATTGGCCTGCATTCTAGGCAGAGTCTCTACGGACGTTTATCCGGCGAAACGAATGCAGAGGGAGGCGTCGCAAAAAACTAGGGCATATGTCGTCAATAATGCAAAAGTTCGTGAAGTCGAGAACGATTTGCGAAACTGGATGACGAGCCTTCCAACCCACCTTCAGCCAGGCCCGGCTTCATCGAAAGATTTAACAAGGTATTCAAAATTAAGAATGTATTAACCACTTGGGATCATCATCACCACTAATACTTCAAAGAGCCCAGCATCTTCTACGGCTAGCATTTACCCATGTTCAAATAACTCTCTACAAACCGTTCCTCCACTACATCTCCCAATCTCGCGTGGACGACCTCACTAGCAATCAGTGCTACGCATATGCAGCAGCGTGTGTTGATGTCGGCCGAAATACGATATACAACGCCAGACAGATGGAAAAGCAAGATATTCTTACCGGTCCATATTGGTTTTCGATTTATACAACATTCTGCGCAACGCTCGCTCTAACATTTAATGTTTGGGAGAACGCGGAAGTTGAGAACGCTTTGGGGACAATCAAAGATGCTGAGTATGGTCGGCATGTGCTTACGAGGCTGGCTTATCAGAGCACAGCTGCAGAAAGCCTTTCGGAAACGCTGGGTGTGAGTTTGTTTCCAATAGCATATCATAGCTTTGTTGGGGAGCTAATCGTAAGACTAAGATCATTTTTACACGGCTACCTGAGAGACTTGGGAATGACAAGCAGCACGCAACGTTGAAATTGATCCCGCAAAGGAAACGACCGCAATCTCCGTCTCGGCCGAATCTCATGGGGGCTCAGCAGCAGAACATCCCTGTACAAAATGGTCATTCGGCCACAGATGCCCACTATCTTAGACAGCGAAGCATCGTCAGGAATGATCCCCTCGACGTAACCCCCGGGGATCTGAACTCCAATCTCGACTCAACTCATTGGATCTCAAGCCAAACTTTGAATGCGCCGAGCCCGTTGACCACGCGCTTTCTCGGTCCGGACTCGATAGAAGATGTTTTTGGTCCCGCTCAGTTAACACCAGGAAATAATTGGCCAGAGTCTTCATACCCGAGAACAGATTTACAACTGAACTTAGGACTTGGCAGCCCTACTTTTGGTATGGATCTTAGTGATCCGACTTCACCCCATACCTTCTCTTCTTTGGACCAGTATGTCAGCATGTTGAACTTAGATTATGATGGGGCAACTGGCACGGTGCTAGACCAATTTCCCCATATCTAAGGTCACACTGCCATTGGCAGCACTGTCAACAGTGGGGCTCCATATGCTAGTACAGAGTCGTCAGATGAAGTTAGTACTTCGCGATGGGGATAATTGCTATTACTTAGCCCTTCAATCTCCAATGACCGTATCAGTGACGCATCAGTGCGTGTCAATCTCTTTCCAGTCATGACGGCTTGTTCTGACTGCCTCTTTTGCTTTTTGCGGTGATCCGTTTAGAAGATATAGACGTCGACTCTCACATTGCTGAGTACCAGAGTATGACTTTCCGATGAAATTCTTTCTCTTTTAATTGAAAGTCCGCTACAGCTGTAGACCAGCTGTTTAGCGGCTCCCAATAACATGGGGATTATCATTCTTCATTGGTGTCATACTGAAGGTTATAAATGCTCCGGATTTCTAATGGGCTTCCTATGCATACCTCAGTCGCAAGCAATGGGCCGTAGGCCAGGTGGAGAAGATGACTATCAACAAATAAACAAACAATGAATTTATCCAGGCGGCGACTCGAGATATAAGAGATATCATTTCATTATATTTCACACATCAACCAAATCTTGAGGGTTTTTCAAGGTCCTTCAATGTAAGGCATTCTGTTTCCAAGGTCTTATTATACGTGATGTAATCGATATTGATCCTTCGCCAGGTAGGAAGATTTCAAACACCACTTTTGCGGTAAAATCCAATCAGCGAAAGAGTAAAGCTTGGGTAAGGCTTTGAATAACACACTTGACAAAGGAAGGGGGACATGATATCGTTAATCAAGCCTTTGGGGGCGCTGCCGAGGACGGCGGGGAAATGACAGGGTATCGGAGGACCCAAAATTAGGCCACCAATGCGTTAGTGAGATGAATATTCGCTCAGCCGGGAGACGCAAAACACACAGCAGGAAATCTTTCAGGTCGAACCGCCACTGAATCAGCACACCTCCCAGCCAGTACACGGAGAGGGAACGATGAGCCGCGAGCTCAAAATATATCAAAATAACGTGCATAGATCAGAGGATGTGGCGATGGCTCAGTTTCTGCGTGAACAGGAGGTTATCAGCGCCGATATCATCGCTATCCAGGAGCCCTGGGAGAATCCTTTCCAGGATAACACTCACAATCCGTTAAAGCAGACGCCTGAGCTGCTGTTTCCGCCGGCTATTGAGACAGGGCAGCATGGGGAGAGAGTGTATTTTATCTCGACGACGCTCAGCAGACACACTCACCTAGTACACTACCGCGACTGCCAGGGGGTTCGCATTAAAACCGAGTTGTCGAGGCAGCTTCGAATCATCAACGTATATAACGACTAGCAACATAGGGTAGCTCTGGAGCTCTTATAGGGCGTGCTACGACGGTCTAAGAGCAGAACCAGAAAGGGATTCCCTGCCTAGTTCACGGCGATTTTAACCTACACCACCCGGCCTAGGGCGGAGACGATGCCCTAAGCGATTCGAGGGCGGAAGTACTACTAGACGTGATAGAGACTGTCGATATATGTGTGCGATACCCCGTACTAAGCGTGTGCGTACGAGTGCATACACCAGACCAATCAGATCATAACTGTCGGAGCAAGCTGAGACAGTAATGGCTAGTAATCCTAATAGGCGATTGGAATCGAGGATAGGACCAAGCGGAACCAATCTTGGATGCAAAGGTTGATTGATTGAGGAAAAAGAATGACTACCATGGGAAGGTTCGAATAGTTAGTTACATCCGAGATGACTAAGATACATGGTGCTACTCCAACTCTGTCCTACCGGTAGGTAAGTTACCGCTCCATGTTTCGACAATAACATACTGGATAACGGCATATCCTACCTCCGCTATTTATTCGAGCTAGTTAATGTCATCCTTAAGACCTATCGTCGTTCCCGGCACTAAGAGGAGCATTTGAGGTGCTAACTCAGTTCCCATCCCATAGATTCCCTCGGTCATAGTTAATAATACTGCCCTAAAAACTTTCACGTATTTCTCCACTGCGGATTAAGGGTCAAAGAGAGTCGCAGATCTTATTCAGGACGGTACGCTCCTGACCACAGCACCCCTCACAAGGCCCTTTAGTGGAATATTTAGGAAGCACTTAACTTAGTTATTTAACTAACTACTAGTTTCGGCACGGTTAGATTCCTGTGTAATTTGTCGATCGACCCCTTTTAAGGAAAAATACAAAAATTATGTGGGGTAAACCTCATATCCGGGCTTCACCCCAATGTTGGGGGTATCGAGTCAGCCTGACATCATTCATTCTCCATGGGGTTTGCCGCACTGCTCCAACCACGACTGTCACGAATACTATCCTGTATCCAATTGGGGGAATCCATCTCATCTACAATATGCAACTATCCGTCGTTTTTGGAGATCCGAGTTGTTTGAAACGATAATTATTCTATACGTTGACTCTCTCTCTCAGCTATGAACCTTTCGCCACAGAAACGTGGGAACTTGGAGTCAATCAGCCTGGTCACGCAATTTCTTTGCTTCAGTGTAATTCCGCTCTTAGTCGCTATACGAGCCTTTGCCAAATACAAATTACATCTCGCGTTCGGGGTGGAGGATGGTACGTCTGATTTTCAAACCCATAGGTTTCTCAGTTTATCTTGGCAGCATCATGTTATGCAGCGTCGGTACGAAGACGCGAACCTGACAGACTACTTATATGTACCCTGACACATGACAGATCTTCTTTGTGGGTCATTCAATTTCAACTCTGCTTTGTAAGGAGTTCCAGTCAACATGCACGGCTTAATCCAAATTGCTTATGAATCATCTGCTGCAGATACCTATGTTGGAGGTGCAATTTCTTCCAACCCGTCCGCGACCTGGGATCGTGAAATCAAATACAAAGTACCAAAATTGTCAAGCTCCTTCGAAGCAATATATGCTGATTAATAAGATATTCTACATAGCCACGATGTTCTACGTCCCCATGGTTCTTTTCGTCAAGACCTCCCTAATATATATCATGATCCGGCTGTGGAGTCCCTATCGGGGAAAAGTAATCGCCTTGTACACTTTCCTGGGTTTCATTATCGCGTACTATACTGTCATACTATTTGTGAAAATTTTTGCTTGCAGCCCGATTTACTTATTCTGGGATTTCAGTTATCACGATGGGACGTGTTTGAACCGGTCTGCTATCATCATCACTGATTCGCTTGTCAGTGTCATTACCGACCTCGCCATACTCATCTTTCCAATATGTTTGTCTTGGAAGCTACATATGCCTATGTCTAAAAAGCTACGTACCATTGTCATTCTCGGATCAGGAGGTATTGCCGTCGCTTTCAGTATCTACCGATTGGTGCTGGTCATATGTCAAAGAAATAGCCCTGATGACATCGACGTGTTCATGAGAGTTTTACTGTCCGAGTGAGTCTTTTCTTCGAACCCCAATTCCTTAAGAATCATACTTAATCAATACAGTAATGCGGAAGGTGGACTAGGCCTTATTTGCGCATGCGTGCCGTCCATCAGCAAGATTCTCTGTTACTACAATGAAATATGGCGCAGGCGCAGGCGAGAACAGCAATGCGAAATTGAACTTTATGCAAGCCTCAATCGCTGTCGGAATTGTGATCCCGAGGAGCCCCATATATTTCCACAGATTTCGCCAAGTACATTGGGTGAAGAGCATTGCAACTCCACAATGAAGAAGTAGATATCATTCCTCTGGGGGCTACGTTCCCTTATAGAATGATTAAGCGCTAGTGTTCATCACGGTATCTCAGCCCTGAACCATATTCGTTAACATTTATGACCAGAGAATATTAAACTTCTCAAATTTCCGTTTTGGTGGCGGTTCGGGCTCAGAGGCTTCCTGGCTGAGGGAGAACTGCATCAAGCCAACAATCGGAATTTTCCTTAAAGTGATGATATGTGTTTTGCCCCACCACTTGTAGCCAAAGTAAAGAATCAGAAATATCGGAATATTGATGTATGCTGAGACAAATCTTTCAGCATTCCAATGACCACGAATGAATGTGCTGAACCCTCCGGTGAAAAGCAGGAGCAGGAACAGAACAAGTGAAGCCCAAGTTGAAAAAGGTTGAAATGGCGCAGCCCACGGGAGTTCTTTATGTCGGTCGATTCTTTGCTTCTTGCAACCGTAGTAGAATCGAAGGTAAACAACACAAATGACTATCCAATCAATCAATGTCGAGACTCCCACAAGGGCCTGTAACCAGCTAAAAACTGTTACTGCTGTGTTAGAGACAACCATATACCCTAGGCACATAAATAAGCCGAAAAAGGTAATGGCTGCATACGGAACCCTGAAACAATTCAGCCGGACAAAGAAAGCTGGAGCAGATCCTTGCATTGCCATGCCGAAGAGAATTCGGGAGCCAAAGAGCATAAAAGAATTTCCAGCAGACCAAGCAGAAGCAATTATAGCAGCATTGATGATTGAAGGTATATCCCGTATTCCTGCCCGGTTAGCGGCCAGAACAAACGGAGACTGGGAAGCCGTGCCGGTTGTATGGATAAGGTATGGGTCATTTGAAGGAATAACAAGACCAATCATAAATATGGAAAGAACATAGAAAATGAAAATCCGAATCAAGATCCGCCTTGATGCCTTCGGAATAGCGCGCTTTGGAGATCTCGTCTCGGCTCCCGCAAGGGTGATATTTTGAACACCTGCGTATGCAAATGTTGCGTTATTCAGAGTTGACCAGAAACCGAGAAATCGACCCAAGGAACCATTGATACCAAGATATTGGACAAAAGGCCCTGGATTCTTCCAGTATCTGAATCCAATTGATTGGCCACTTGGACCTCCACCACAGGTTATCACTAGTGCCATAATGTCGACCCCAATGATCAGGACGATCTTCAACATTGCAAAAACAAACTCAAGCTCTCCATAAAATCGAATAAACAATAACGCAGTCACCAGTATAAGTATACCGAAAACCGTGATCCATACTGCGCTACTGACAGAACTCCAAAATTCGACTAAGATCGATGCCGCCACGATCTCAGCAGGGATAGTGACCAGGTACGAGCATACTTGGTTCCATCCATTTGCGAAGGACATGGCAGGGTCGAGAAACAACTCTGAATATCGAACAGGGCCTCCACTGAGAGGCACTAAGGTACCCATCTCTCCGATTATGAGGACGACACTAGAAACAGCAAGCCCCATAATAGAATAGCCAAGGAAGGCACCTAAGGGTCCTCCCATTGCGAGGGCTTGGCCAGAGTTGAGAAAAAGCCCAGAGCCGACAGTACCAGCTAAGCCAATCATTTGAATGTGCCGCTGATGAAGACCTTGACTCACGACATGTCTTTCTTGGAAGATTCGCGCAATGTCACCCGTTTCAGTATGTGCTATTGATGAGACGGATGGTTCTGTGAGAGCAATTCCTAGGCCACTTGGCCAAGACATTGTGGTAAAGTGTGCAGAATGAATGACCGAAAGTAAAGAAGCCAATCACTCCTAAAATCGAGTATAAGTGGCCGAGAAATCGTTTAAACCGACATCATCAATTTTTGATACGTCATGGAATGGTTCTACCCTTGTTTTTAGCTTCTTTGGTGAGTAATCATGTGACTTTATTCTCGAGGCGCTGACGCCAGGATGTAACATTACGGTTACTGGCGGGAATGCCACGGGGTCGGGATAAAAGAGCACGCACAACCGTGACTTTTCCACCGATACCCCTTAATTATCACGTGTAATTAACACCGACAAGGTCCTGGTCGAACCCCAGTCTGGTCAACCATTTTTTTTGCCTCACTCCTCTGAAAGGTGTATTCCACACCCCCTCAAGAGGTTCGTAATACGCCGTCCCCAAAGTCCCTGCTTCGCCTCGTGATCTATTTTGTAGAGAAGTAAATATCACACGAGACCTTTCGGCACCGCAGCAGGCCCGCCCACCCCCCTTCGCGTTATCACAAGCAATTGGATGAAAGAGAAAGGTGAGTTTGAATCGTGACTACTTTCCCCAAGACGGCGGGCGTGGCACATGGCTTTATACCTCTCGTTGGACAAACCACGCCTGGTTCATTCTGCAGGGCGGGCGAGCCAGGGTCAGTTTCAAGCTCAGAGAGCAAATGCTTCGGCAGCATGATATCCATGACGAGACCTGTCTGACAATCAATTATGTGCCTGATGCGTGCAGGGTACTACCGCAGGAAAACCCTGGCTCGGCGGACGACGACAGGAAAACTACGTAGACGAATAGATGTTTGCACACGAGCTAACGAGGTTGCTCGGCGAGGTCCTCCGGATCAGAGATCGTTTTCAAGTTTTGACATGGCGACTGTGAAGCCATGCGGTCATTGTGAAAGAACAGTCATCATCTCGTCAACCCTCGCGGACTTCACAACCACTAGCTCATGCAGAATGGCGGCCGGCACAGTCCGGTTGTTCACGTGCACACTCGATGATCCGCCAACCGATTGACGTGCGAGGAAGCTGGCAGGGGACCAAAAGGATTTCAACTCGAGCGCCACGACGGGCGAGCTGAGCGGAAACCAGTCAAGTTGAGGGGAGAGCACCGCAAATCTGTGCTCGAGGGCTCGAAAGACGGCCACGGACGGGCCGGTTCGCGCCGGCGACCATAGTGGCGGCGGAGCTCGGTGATCCAGATTAATGGCAAAATGGCCTCACTAGCCGGGCGCACATAGGGAAATGGGAGAAAGAAAGAGCAGGAAGGGTGAAAAACCGCAAAATGTTGAAGCGGCGATGGAAAGGACTCTATAGCACCACGCACCGGGACGAGAGGTCAGCTGGCTGCACTAAACCCTGATGGGCACGCTGAACCGTTTCGCGTAATTCATGCAGCACCGGATACAGTAGAATTCGAAAACTGATTACCCCTCCAAGACACACACTTTCTTTCCCAGCGCCCCATTCTGATCACGCTAACCCGCATTAGGCTAGAGCAGTCCCCCCATATTGCGTTCAATGTATCTCTAGTAGATTACCAAAATTGTCGTACTAACAGGTTCTGGCATGAGGGAGATCATATTGACCCAAGCACCCCGTGGCCATTTGATATTCAAAACAGAACAAGATGAACTTGTCATCTCCTGGGTGGCCTCCGTTGGTAGAACAGTACTTCGTATCGCTTCATAGGACGAAGCTCTATTAGTCAATGATCGGCGACCGCTTCTAAATATGATTGAAATGGTTCCAAATCACTTTCTTTAATAAAAGACGCATAATATGCCGTTTCCCTGTTTGGTCTCTTTTTGTTATGTGGCCACCCTCTATGACTGAAGATAGCATCTCTTGCCGCAAACGTTTCATGACTTAAGATGTGAAGGGCTTGAAGCAAGACTTGATTTCAATCTAACTAAGCTACAAAACTGTGTACAAAAAGCTTGAAGAAGAGAGGTTCTTCCTGTGTGTTCTCTATGTCAACATGCTAAGGTACACGTGACTAATTTGGGCACTGGCCCGTGACAATAATATATATAAGAAGTTGTTAATATAGAAGGTAGATATCTCAAGCAACTGGACCCTCCTAACCACCCTCTCTTGTTAGGAAATTATTTAAGATCAGAATTCTAGTTCAATTAACATATGCATCTTATAAACTGGTGAGCGGGGTGGGACGACTATAAGTTACGAAGACTAGCCCGGCTGACCAATAGACTCGGACCAGATAGTTGACAAACCTTAATATCTATGCAGCGCTGGTCAAAATCCAAGTTCTGATCTAAGCGAGTCGAGCCTAGACCATTATCCTCTTTATCTAGTAAAGGCCTCGCCACCTGACATCGTTCTCTTGAACAACTAGAAACCAGGGATCTTAAAACTCACTTGGTACAATATACTGCGTAAGTGGGCACAATCAGTCTTCATTAAATCTACATCGAGTCTTGGACGTCAGATATATGTCATACAATATTTATAAATGTTCACATATCCTTTCCGCGGATATCAAGGTGAACCAGAAACACTATTGAATGCTCTTACTGTATTAGTTTATATCTTTAAGTTGAATCAAAAATGGCCAGAGGAACAACCCTTCTGCTTCTTGCACTAGGTAAGACCATTACCGAAGCAGTCCGCTAGTCCAGCTATCTGATATAGTCAACACATCTAGCCTCCCCAGTTTGGTGTCAAAATCCTTTGATCAAGCTTGCTGAATGCACTACATGGTGTCTTCATAATTACCCGAACCCAACTATTACCTGTGTGCTCCCAGCTTTGCGTGGGGGAGGGCCTTGTTACATTTGTGGCCCCTTCAAAACCTCTTCGTCCCAGCAATTATGCAATGGAGCTTGCAAAGATACGAGTACCGACATAAAAAATTGCGGGCAGTGCAATAAAGCTGTAGGTAACATAATCTATGGTTTTCCTATCACATTACTGCCGATCTAGGCTTACTTCAATGTTAGTGTCTATCTGGCTTAGTATGCTCCTCGGGCGCTTGTCAGTGTTCCAACGGAGAACCGCTCTGCAATAATGCCTGCCCAAATTTGCAGACAGATCATAATAACTGCGGTGGCTGCGGAATTACTGTATGATTCTCTACCCTGCTCCGATTATAACCTGATAGATACTAATCCTATAGTGTTCGTCTGACCGTTCATGCTTTTCAGGCACTTGTCAATGTACCAATGGTGTGGACTGCGATGGTGTCTGCGCAGTGTTCAGGACTGACCCTAATAACTGCGGTGGCTGCGGAATTAAGGTATGATTCTCTACCCTACTTTGAGTATGGCCTAATTGGTACTAATTATATAGTGTCTTCCCGGCCAACCATGTGTTGATGACAACTGTCAGCTTTAACATACCCCTCTGGCACTTGCTAGTGCCCTAAAGGGAGAACCGCTCTACGATAACAAAAAACTAAATTCACCAGTTGTCCTCTAGCACGCGCGCAATCATAACAAACCGCTCTATATTCGGGTATGCTTGCCCGGAGTTGCAGACACTTTAATTTAACTGTGGTCGATACGGAATTTCTGTAATAGTTCCTGTTTCTATAAGTGTCCGTTTAACTTAATATGTTCCTCGGGCGCTTATCACTGCCCTTCCTGAACAGGGGTCTACGATAGTGCCTAGTATCTTAGCTACTTCCTATAGATATGTATGGAATGCCATAATAGGCACCACGGTGTGACGAATGTGACGTTCTGGCGAGAACAAAGGAGATCGGAAGATATAGGAATAACCTCAGGCGTAGCCATTCACGGGTATCTGCCTCAGATGTCTGTTCGCTTGCTTTGAGGAAGTTGTGTACTTAAATCCCCTCTCTCCGAATTGTCTTCCTTTCCTTCTTCCTTCTCCCTTCAGCCTTGAGACCTTCGTTGAATGCTATCATGTTGATTTGATATCTTCGTGACTGAGTGTAACACACGGTAACATATAGCAACATAAATAATATTGTGTTCTGGAGCTTCATGAGGTACAAGGTCTTAGCCACATTTTAGGAGACCACTGCCGGCGTTACTGTAAATATGATGCATCATGCCAGAATCTGTTATTACGGCAATTTTGGTAATCTACTAGAGATACATTGAACGCAACATGGTGGGGCTGCTCTAGCCTAATATGGGTTAGCGTGACCAGAGTGGGGGCGCTAGGAAAGAAAGTGTGTGTTTCTGGGGGTAATCTGTTTTCAAATTCTACTATACCGAATAACTACCATTTCCAACAATATGACAGCTCCGTAAAGCGCAAAAAAAACTGCCACCTCGGGGGCTGATACAGGCACGACTCAAGACCAGAAAATACCCCCCAAATACCTTCTAGTCAGAGGAGTAAAAATAACAAGCAACTAGCAAGCCATCTTACTACCCCGAAAAAGATATACAGCTACGACACACATAATGGATAGAGAAGAATAAGAATGGATAAGAATATGTGTATGACCACTAAGGTAACGCCTAACTTCCGGCGACAAAAGCATAAAAAAAGCAAATGTCTCACCGTCACGGTCTATCAACCCAGTATCGCTAAGCATCGAGAATGCCCAACGAAGAAAAAAAAATGGAATATCATGTAGTCGTGACGCCCGGGGGCGGGTCATAGGTAGCATAACACCCGCCTGAACGCCAAACCCATGCAAAAGACGCGCGGTGAGAAAAATGAAAAACATAGAGTTGAAAAGCCTGATGATAAGAATAAAGAAAAATCCAAAACGCCCGTTGATGCAGCGGGGTTTGGGACAAAGCAAAAACCAGGGTGGAAAAACAAAAGCGGAGCTGGGAAGTGAAGTGGCGAGAGATTGGGAATGATGATACAGGGAGGGGTCGGGGAGATGGGTAGAGATACAGGAGAGACCCGACCCCATCAGAAACAGGAGTGGAAAACGGGACATGGGGCTAAGGCGAGAAATCATCTGTAGGGATGGATATGGATATGGATATTGATAATGTTGACTAGGCTGTATAGTAACGGCCAGTGGATGTGATGTTGAAAAAGATGTCGCTGCAATTCATAGCATGTCATAAGATGGGGAGCAATGTGGAACCCAAAAGCCCCAAGTAAGGCGAGTAAGATTCGGCTTTGCAAATCTACTGTGCACCAACTTGGTGCAGCTCATAGTTGGGAACGTAGTCGAACCAATCGGTCTCAGGATTGTACCGGTAAGCCTTGAAGTCGACACCATATGGCTTGGGCTCCAGCATGTACAGCATGCCCATGGGAACGTCCAGGTCGGCGACCTTGTCGCGCTTCAGACCGCGGAAGTAAGAAAGGAGGACGCGGGCGGTGGATCGGTGGCTGACCAGAAGGACGTGGTCGGTGGTACGCTCGACCTCAACGATAACAGTTCGGAGACGGTTGATGATGTCCAGGTAGCTTTCTCCACCGGGACCAGGGTAACGGTAGAAGAGCTTGTCCTTCTTGCGGTGTGCATACTCCTCAGGGTACTGCTGCTGAATCTCCTTGTAGGTCATGCCTTCCATCTTTCCGGAGTGGAGCTCGTCGAGCATGCGCATCTCCTTGACGTCATAGTCATCTTCATTGAAGTGCTCAATGGTTTGAACCGCACGCTTCATCATTGACGACCACACGCAGAAGTTGCGAGGGCGATCACGAGGAATGTACGACGGATTGGGAGGGGTGCTGTCACCAGGACGGGGTGGGAAGTGCTTGATCAGGTTCTTCTGACGCTGGTAGAGCTCCCACTGCTTCCGCTGGTGATCAACGAAGCGAGTCAGCGCCTTTGCGTAGCGCTTGCCATTCTCGCTGAGGTCAGAATCTCCACCAATGCGGCCGGCGGCATCGTCCTGGCTCTCGCCGTGGCGGGTGATCCAAATCTGGCGTGGAGAAAGATTGAAGTTGAGCAAGTAGTAGACGACCTGAGAGGAGAGGAAGCCATGTGTCTGATGCGAAACAATCTTGCGACCGACATCGATCATTTGAATGTAGGCCATGTCGTGCTTTTCCTCGTACTCGCCAAGTGGAACGTACGAATTCTCGTACAAAGCCACACGCTTCTTGAAATCTTCCAGGGCAGTGACTGGATCCTGGCCCTTGTAGTCAGGACCAGAAAGCTTCAGTCGCATGTTGGCCTCCAAGAGGTTCTCATCCACACAGCGACTCTCAAGGAACAGGATGCCGAGCTCGGGGCCAGCGCGCTTGCGAATATGATCGACAATAGCCTTGCGACGTTCCATGGTGCTGTTTGTAGCATCGAGAATGCCAACGCTGCCACCCTCCTCGAGGATGTACTCGAGTAGCTCATCGAGAGTGTCCAGGGCCACCTGCTCACGGAGCTTGACAGCAGCCTGGTTCTGGGGATCGAAGAAGTTTGCACTCTGATCCAAAGGCTCTGGGGAGGCTTCTCTGATGACATTCTCGTTGCTGAAAGACTGGTCAGAGCCTGCATCGGTTGAGATCACGGTGCTTCCATTCTGGGAGATGGAACATCCAGGCTCCTGTCCGTTGATGAGAATCTTGGCCGGAATCACTGGAGGCGGAAGGGCAGTATCGTTTGGTGGCGAAGCATTCTGAGGCGGAGAAGACTCATTCTGGTTCATCGTTCCAACGCTGACACTCAGTCGACGCACGGAGTCCACGAGATCCTTGTGGACATTGCTCGGACGTTTCTCCAGGGGACGTCCACCCTTGGCTGGCGAGGGTGACTTGCCAGCAGCCACACGACGACGTTCACCGACGTTGAAGATCTCGGTATCATGCTGGAGCCAGTTCAGGTATCGAGCAAGCTTCTTGGTGATGTAACTCTTGCCTCGAGCCGGCAGGCCAACCATGACAATGACAAGCTTGGAGCCGACATCACGCTGAGCGATGCGTCCATCCGGGGAGACCTTGGACTTGGTCAGGCCGGGAATATCAAGAGTGGTTGCACGAACTCGGCTGGGGGTGCTCGTGGTAGAGATGCCATTGCTGTAGAGAGATGGGTGTGTTAGCTAAGAGTCATTATCACAAGCAAGAGCCGAGCCACCGAAGACTCGTGAGCAAAATGCAACCAGATCCCATAGTGAGGCTGCAGAAGCGGGTTCAGCCACATCAACCCAGAACCAGTCAGTAGCGGTCAAGCCCAAGCTTTGCGTCTCTGGGAGTCGGGACAAGCTCCAGGCCCGCGCTTGCGGGAGGGACTTCACCCGACTCCCCGAGGCACATCGCAGGGTTGCCGATCCCAGGTCAGCTCTCATAGGTCCGGGGAGGAATAAGCAATCATTTGACACGAGACAAGGTTCTAGACTCAGTGGCCATCGACGAATATTGACGACTCAGACGCAGGGGATACTCACATCTGTGGGGACGGGGGTGCGGTAGAAATCGGAGTGTCAGTCAGAGCGGTTCCGACTCCGCCCTTGGGCGGCTGTGAGGTTTTGTGGGCATCGGAATGCAGGTCATTCCCTAGCGCTCTCCCGACCACAGTCTTCGGAGGAGGCATCAGAGCTCCTTCTTTTCCCGAGCCGAGACTAGCTCCGTGGGAACTGATGCCGTTGGGCCGTTGGTTCATAATTCTTTGATCGCCCAGGCCTGTGAGATCTGGCGAGGTGGCCGACGTCATGATAGCCGACCGCGCGATGGAGGAATGCTGCGCCATCCCCGGCTAAAGGATGATCGGATCTTCCGGGGAAAACAGTATTTGAGAGTACTGAGGACCCGGTCTTCGGGGGTTTGAGGAGTTGAATTTGTGCTCTCAAGGATGAGGACAGGATCTCTTTGATGAAAAAAAAGCCCTGAAGAACAAAGCGGGAGGGGAGAAAGAAGGAGGGTGCGGGAGAGGCGGATGACTCAACTCCGGCAAAAACGTCACTTCGACTGTGTGCTTCACTTCAGTGATCTGGTTGGCGAGCAGCCTCACTCCCACGATCGGAGAGTTCCAGCACGCGACAGATAAGCCAGAGAGTTCAATAAATGAGACGGGGTTTCTGGATTCTCCGGATGATGGTGTTTTTGGGGCGGTTTGAGGGTCAGGTAAGTTCACTGAAAGGAAGGGTGATGGTCGATTGACGGCGAGGGGGTGAGGTTGAGGTTGATGAAAGACAACGTGATGGTGCTGACACGAGTCAAAGTGGTGAGGTGACTTGTCTTCTCCTTTCTACGCTGTTGGAATTAGATAGAAACTTGAAGATGAGGAAAAGTTCACTTCAAAGCACAAGAGCGCTTTCCCCAGTAAATGAAGTCACTGAACACTGATCGCCAGAACCCACTTGGTGGATCTTTGGGGGCATAAGTGGCTTCGTGATATGATGTCAACTATGAAGTGAGATTCTATGCAATGCGAAATGTCCGTTCAGAGCTCGAGAGATTGGATTTTGCAGTCTTCTAGCTTTCTATATATACACGCTCTCCTGAGAAAGGACGAGGAAGGTCTTGCGAGTCTATTGGCGATACATCGATCTTTATCTTACCCAGAATGCTTGGCTCGAACATCCACAGGCCAAATCAGAATGGTGGATCAGCCTCCATAGCTCCAATCTGTTACCCCTGTGTAGATCCCCCGTTCTGCAATCTGCAATACATAACCCCATAACTCCAGAAAATCCACCGAGGCGTTGCGGTAGGCATGAATATGGGGTTTGTCTCCCCGTCTTGCCAAGCAAGTAGCGCCCAGTCCGCGGACATCCAGAGTCGCTGAAAAGACCAATTAAGGTCATAAGCATGCAATGCATCGACCAATTTCAATCCGAACGACTCCGGTGAAGGCACAGCCGACTCTTGGGACGCCTTGTACGACGTACGCCTCACCGCTCGGGCTTGTCTTCCTCCCATTCCGACATACTCGGCCTCCTTGGCGGTTTCTCGGTCCCCAGCACAGCAGATCGGACTCCGACCAACTGTACGCCGCCGCGGGCTCACGGGTGCTCTCCTCCGCCGCCCGTACCCGGGGGCTGATGATAATGTCGCCGGGGGTGTGGTACATCATTCTTGGCGCTTGGCGGTAACGCAGGGGGGGGAAGGAGGGTGAGAGCGGGCGTGATCCTCTGTGCGCGGAAGATGTGGTCTTGCAGGAGGGTGTTCCATGAATAGGGGGCGGAGTAGTATCCCACCACACCCCCGAGAACCCGGATTTGACTAGTTGCTCAGGTTTAAAGTGAGGCCGATCAAGCAGGCGTATGCTGCTACACTCAGCGCAGTCAGCACTACCACGGCATTTCCACTGGTCCGAAACTTGTGTCGATGGATGCCATCATCTCCCACTTCCGAGAAAAATTGTCGGTTTCCTTGGGAGCGACGGAATAGCCCGATAATCAGGACCCCGGTACCGTAAATGGCGAAGAGCGCACCGATGCTGTAGAATTCGGCGGTGAAGATCTTGAGGACGACGAGGGCGAAGGAGAACTGGGAGAGGGCGGTTCGGACATAGGCACCTTCAAATGTTCGCTGAGCGGCGCGCACCTCGACAATTTCGTCCGAGGTCAGCACTGCGGAGCGGGCACGGTGCATCCGCAGACGATATCGATCGGCCGCTCGTCGCTAGTTCAGTTAGTGAGGTGGAACAAGGCAAGAAAAAACAAATTATGCGAGAGTCAAAATATGTATGGTAGTCAACACACACCTCGAACATGGTGATAAGTGCCCGTCCAGCTGTGTCGAGGCTGAGGTTCCTGAGAAGTACCTTGAGAAGTACCCTGAGAAGGCAGTCGATGCGGTCATTGGGATGGGGAAAGATGGAGAGGGAAACCGCGTGATTAGTGCTCACGTGGACTCGGCCATCTCCTCATCGCCTCTCATCTGCGACTGTTTTCGGCTTAGCATCAACCATTTAACCACAAACAGCATTCTGGCACATTTGGCACTCTAGAACCTTGGAGATCGATTTCCGAAAGTCTGGAGTCACCATGTACTGATGACTGCGAATTCCAGAATGCCTCCCACTGGCTGTTGAGTCGTGCAAAAACCCCCGTGTAAATTCCCCACCAATGACGTGGGGGTGTTTCCAATGCTCGAGACGGTCGGCTATCGAATTTGCCTAACGAGGGAGCCCCATCGCCGGGAATTTCCCCAAGAAACCCCCACACGCTCATCGTTGACGGTCGGCGCCTTCTCCGAACACTTTCCTTTTCCCCGACTTTTCTTTTAACTTGTCTCTTTTCCCCTCTCTTCTTGAATCTTCGCATGTGAAAGCGACTATCTGCGATTGTTGCGCTGCACTGATTCAACATGGCAAAGGTCTTCGACGCTGCAGAAGGTACGTTTACGTTTCTCCGCACCGGATAAACGGGGTTTCCAGTCAATTCGTGGGGCCACGCTGACTCAATTGCACAGTTGCGAAGCACAACACGCCGGAGAGCTGCTGGGTGATTCTATACGGCAAGGTCTATGATGTATGATCATTCCCGTCTGCAATTGATCGCCAGCGAAGTAAGACACAAGAGCTAACGCCATTGGCTATATTAGGTCACCGATTTTCTGTCAAGTCACCCCGGTGGTGCCAAGATAATTCTGAAGCTCTCAGGCAAGGATGCCACCGAGGAATATGACCCTATTCACCCTCCGGGTACTCTAGAGGAAGAACTCAAACCAGAGTCTTGCCTTGGAACAGTGGATCCAAACACATTACCCAAGGATGAGACACCAGCAAAGCCCCAGGAGCCGGCGGCAGGACCCCCTCCTATGCAAAATCTCCTCAACCTAGACGAAATCGAAGAAGTAGCCACGAAGCAAGTTAGCCAAAAAGCATGGGCCTATTACTATTCGGCATCGGACGACAAATTCTCCAAGCGCTTTAACACCGAGGTCTACCGATCTATTCTTCTGCGGCCGAGAGTTTTTGTTGACTGCACCAAGTGCGACTTGGATACATCAGTGCTGGGACACAAATTGGGAATACCCATCTATGTGTCTCCCGCGGCCATGGCCCGTCTCGGCCATCCTTCCGGCGAAGCGGGTATTGCGGAGGCATGCCGAAGCTTCGGTGCCATGCAAGTCATTTCCAACAATGCATCAATGACTCCAGAACAGATTGTCAAAGATGCAGCTCCAGACCAGGTCTTCGGCTGGCAGCTCTATGTGCAGATTGACCGAAAGAAAAGCGAGGCGATGCTGGCACGTATCAAGAAGCTCAAGGCTATCAAGTTCATTGTTCTTACTCTCGATGCCCCCGTACCGGGTAAGCGTGAAGAGGATGAGCGAAACAGTCTCGTGGGCGCCTCAGCACCCGTATCAAGTGGCGTGAAGGCTGCTGAGCGCACGGCTGATGACACTCCCGATGTGAGTGGATCGGGCGGAGCTGGGGGTGTTGGCCAGCAGCTGTTTGCCGGAACCGACCCGTCCTTGACATGGCAGGAGACTCTGCCCTGGTTGGCCAAGCATACCGATCTGCCTATTATTCTCAAGGGTCTGCAAACCCATGAGGATGCATACCTTGCCTCATTGCACGCCCCGCAGGTTAGGGGAATCATCCTCTCTAACCATGGTGGCCGGGCCTTGGATACTGCCCCGCCAGCCGTGCACACTCTCTTGGAGATTCGCAAATACTGCCCCGAGGTCTTCGATAAGCTCGAGGTCCACGTCGATGGCGGTATTCGTCGTGGCACAGACGTTGTGAAGGCGCTCTGCCTTGGAGCTAAGGCAGTTGGTCTTGGACGCCCTGCTCTGTGGGGTCTGGCAGCCGGTGGCCCTGACGGCGTTCGCAGGACATTGCAGAGTACGTACCGCTCTAATTTAATACATCTATCCATACTAACGGTCGCCTATAGTTCTTGTCGACGAAACCAAGACTTGCATGCGCCTCCTCGGTGTGGAGACTGTGGATGCGCTCGGTCCCCAACATGTATGCATGCCCTGTTCAAACCTCTCTCCCTTGATATAATACTGACCCGTATAGATCAACACCCGAATGGTCGAACAGCAGATTTACGACGGTCCCTCTGCTCTCGGCTCTTTACGAAGTGCTTTCCGGGCGAAGCTTTAGGCGCATATGACGTGATTTGTTGGGACTGTAGATACCACCCTCTCTGTAAACATTTTCATTCTTCTGTCTATAGTAGGATTGCCATCATTTACTATACTGTTTATCAAAAGATTTATTGTCATCTTCTCTTGGGTATTTCCCGATAGTTTGCATACATTGTGGCGCCTTTTTTGATATCGCACAGAGCGATTTCCTGGAATATTAATGCGTGTTTTGGTGAGGTTGGCAGATGCTAAGGTATGAGTGGCTCTGATCTGATCGGACAGTTTGAAGAAGAGTAGGACAGAAATTTGAAAGGTACAGATCAAAGAGTCATATAACAAGGAAATTAGGAATAGTAGAGTGGTGGTGAATGGAAAAGACTAATGCAAACAAATGAAAGTCCAGGTAAAGAGTTCTGTCCATACTTGACCGAAAAACTATCCATATCGAGGAAAACCCAATGGTGTTCATAAAAACAGGCCTAAGAGAGGGTGTCAAGTAGAAACTGATATCAGGAGTATCGTCCTGCTTGATGTAAATCAGATCCAAGACATTATCACCATTCCAATCATACATCATCCAGGTACCATTGTTCTCAATCGAGAAGGTAGTAGGCACACCCTGAATAAGAGTCTGATAACCAGAAGCGGCCGAAACAACATTCACCTCAACATACCCCGACGCCGTGTTGATATTCTGGTTGAAAAACAGGTCATACGATCCAGCCATATTCCCATCCGCCAAAAGCCAGATACCATCATTGCTAATGGGTAGACTCGACACAGTCTGGCTAGTGAGCTTAGTGAAGGTCGAAGCTCCCGATGCGACAAAGACCTCTGCGTAATTGGATGCTGTGTTGCTGTTCTGAATGTAAACGAGATCAAGCGACCCGTCACCATCAACATCAACCATCTGCCAACGACCATTGATCTGCACATCAAACACGATAGGCAAATTCTTCAAGAAATAAGCTTTGTAGTTTGATGCGCCAGAAACAACACTGATCTCCACCTTGCCGGAGGCGGTGTTTCGGATTTGGATGTAAATCAAATCCAGCGTGCCATCGTTGTTGTAATCGGCCAGTTCCCACACTCCGTCATTCTGCAGTGTGAACGCGGCGGTATTGTCGGACATGACATATCCGTAGTTGGTTGGGACGATCTGTATCCGGACGTTGCCAGAGCTTGTTCCAATGGTTTGGATGTAGGCGAGAGCGGGGAGAGTATAGGATCCGAGACCGTCGTAGTATTCTATGAGGTCTTCTGAGTATGATACCATCTGCCAAGTGCCGAATTCAGCGGGTGCTGGGAAAACAGTGCCAGTCTCTTGGATACGGCTCTGGTATGGAGAGGCCGTAGCAATGCGAAGCTGCAGTGCCAGGTGGCATAAAGAGAATAGGAAGGCGCGACAATGCATAGTGAAGTTTTAGAGGAGAGTGAATCAAAGGAGTGACTAGTCTTGCCTGGATGCAAGCAGACTGGAGGTGAGGAGAAGGGAGTGTGAAGCGGATGATTTATCAAGGCTTGATTGTGTTTACATCAACTTCTTTTACAAAGTGGTTCTATGTGAGGGGGATTGCACAAGTAGTTTTCGCCAATGTCCAATAACGCCCCTGTGGGCCAGTCGGCTCCATTTGCCTCTACATGAGAATTATGTGTAGCTTGGTGGAGCACAATACATAGGCCTCAGCTCATTCAAACAGCTCTTGTGGAGGGGCGCTTCCCTAGCGATCTGGAAGATCCACTCCATTCCTAGGTCCAGTATAAACACGCGAGATGTCATGATGATAGCCGCTTATGTCCTCGACATCTTCAAATATTATTCTCCAAAGACTGCTAGTGTGCACAATCAAGAGACTATTGAGTTTCATTTCTCACAGTGGAGGCCACAGTAGTCAACTTTAGTCTAAGCTGCGTCTCTATTTGTAATTAGAGCTATCCGCAAGTCCGTCTACATAGAAGCATCATGTGTCATCCGTGGTGGATATCGTTCTTTTTGCACCAGCGCATTCAACGCAAGCCCTTCTTGAGTTAGATGAATTCCCTTTGGAAGAAAACACGATATAATCCGCCTAGAGTCGAGCTAGCTGGGGATGACCGCATTGGAAAACACATAGCACGCTAAGATCAGAAAGTGACAATATAAGCGATGTCCTCTTCGCTAAAAAGATATTTAAGAAAAGCATTCAATTGTTTAGCGACTGAAATTTACTGTCAGATGAACACAAATACCGCGGAGAAAATGCACAGAAGAAGACCATTTACGTGTCTGGAGTGTGAGGTAAAGAGAAGATGAGTAGCGACGCAAGTGAATCCTTCCTAAAAGGGGCATTTGACCGAAATGCGCTCGTTTACGGCACCGAAATGCCTTGGAGGGATCCATTGGCTGAATTCATAGACCTCCCTAGTCTCTACTGAAAGTAGGAGCGTAATTATTAGTTCATAGTCAAAATCGGGAATAATGTTCATACTACTTGTGTACCCTTTGTCTCGTAATGTTTTCGTGGAGATGTTATGGCCTTTGATATAGTAACGCGGTTGCCCTAATTCCTCGCAGCCGAGGGTCCGAACCGATCGGCTGGGACTTCCATTCATTGACATTTTTGTCAGTGGAGAAGTTATACATTGGTTTCTATTTACATCGTGAATGGCTAGGCTGGACCTAGCTGGTATGTTTTCTGCACCGGACAGCGCCCACTGTGGCGTAGGTCGGAATGGCCGAGAATTAAACTCTCGGCCCTTTTGACAACGTCTGGAATTGCTTGTTTTCTCAAAGTGGGACCTGTCGGGAATTGTATCTCGGTGTTCCCGAGCGGCTTGCACAATTGAACTCCACGATACTCGATGAAGTCGCCTACAAATGTTTAGCACAAAAAAGGGAAAATAAGAGAGAAGAAATCAATTATTAAACTAGAAGAAACGAAACGGAAACCCACTGTCCAGACCAGCCAGCCCCATAGCAGCATCGTTCTGGGCGCACGAAGGATACAAACCTCTTCACGTGGCCGCCAGCGAGAATCGACCGGAAGTCGTCAAAGTGCTGCTTGCTGCTGGTGTTAATCCATTAACACCGAAGACAAAAGAAGCCCCAGGCATGTTCTGTGGCAATGCACCATCATCATGGGGTGACACGCCACTCATGTACGCCTGCAATAATGGACATACTAAAGCAGCGGCCGAGTTTTTACCATACCTTACTGATCCCGATAGCATCACGAAGGCCCTTTTTTGGTCTGCAGGCTCAGGGCATGCAGCCTGTGTAGGTCTGATTCTTCAACATGCCACTGTGGACGTGAATGCAAAGTACATGGGAGAAACTCTGCTGTTCAAAGCCGGAAAATGTGCGGGAACAGCTAAGCGCCTCGCGGCAATGTCCGTGATTTCGACGGCGCGGCTGAGATCGTCCATCGAGCCAATTCCCAAGGTTGCTTAACGAACTGGCTCGATCAGGGTGGTTTTGAGGAGTGGATTTCACGTTGATCCCACTGTACCAGGCATCGGATAACCCACATGACTTGAGTTCCATGCCCCGACACATGCAGAGTGACGTGGTAAGTTTGGTGTAGATTAAATATTCCGAGCAAAATAACTAACGGGGGTTTTGATGAACTGGGATGCTTCTCCCTAGAACGCAATCCGCAATCATTGGGCTAGGAATCCGTAAGGGCAGCGGATCGGCTCTGGGCGGCAAGATGTCTGACATGCTATGATCTGCCATATACGTGGTGAAAGGTCTCAACCCGCACATCCCTGATTGTATGAAGATTTGATTCGAGCGTCACAAATGGATGCTCAATCATTCGTCTCAGAAAGCTCCTTCCACAAGTCCGAAGAAAGCTTCTCCACTAGCATATTTAGCATCCATGAGATCTCAGCATTCCTCTCTGATAGATTATTCTTGGCATTCTTCAGCATCCCCATCATCATATGTTCAGACTTCGTAGATGAGAACAGTGGCGTGAGCTCAGACAGGCTACCGGCGTCGCCCTTGGCCTCTAAGAGAGGGATGATCCTAGACCATGTGCAGCAAAGCTCTTCCTGATGTTCAAGAGAATCAATCCTTGTCATGGAAATGAGGTTTCCGATTTCTTCTGAGAGCAACAGCCGATAGTAAGTCGAAGCCCTCCAGCGTATAATCCGGTGTTGTTCGTCTTCGCCCAAGTCACTTCGTTTATAACTATCCTGTACAGATGGCGAGTCTTGCCTGGTCTCTAAATGTCCCCCGGCCTGACTCTCAATATTAAGACCTGAAACTCGTGGCTTCGGTTTCGGGAATTCGTTCGTGTCAATCAAGTCCGATGAATGTAAGGAGCGACAGACATAGTCGTGGTCATGATGCTCCTCTGGGCGCCCCCTATGAAGCACATGCCGCCATATCCAGCCAGAGCAGAAAACCAGCCATATATGAAGCGCATGCCCTATGGCCGTAACCAGATTTGCTAGAATCGGAATGGCCAGTAATGACCAGAAAATGAAGAAGACCTTGCCGAGATTGCTTGTGGGGAAATAATCCCCATAGCCGATCGTCGTGAGGGATGTGTAGGTGAAATAAAGAGCCACAAAATAGGTCCAGTTGTTGTCCTTCTCGGAGCGGCAAAAGACACCGGCACTGACGAGCCACAGAACGAACCATACAGCTGAGAATAACCCGAGCTCAGCCCATCTCCTTCTTCCATAGAACGTTGAATTGACTTTATGTATCATGAGAATTTCTTCACCTTTGGGGATACAACTTTTGACTGAAGCCATTTGTGATTGGGCTCCTTCAGCTCTTAGGAGACCATCGGCAGTCTTCTCTGAATCTGCGTTATCAATTTGCCTTCGAGCTTCCTCAATCTTCCACCTGAGCTTCATCTCCCTCATCTGATCTGTAAAAGACGCCACAGCAGTGACGAGAAAACCTAAGCTTGTGATCCCTAATGTGGCATAAGGAAACAGCAGACTGCGCCCTAGATGAGTCTGGGGCGCTATATTCCCAAGACCGATAGTCAAGAGGGTGTAATCAGTAAAGTAGAGAGCATCCATCAACGACCAGCCTTCAATGGTGCTATACACGGCGGCCCCGCCGAGAAGCAGAATGATAAAAGTGACGACCCGGAATACGATGCTTGTACATTCGATCTTTCGCCTATCTGCTGCACTGACCGGGGACACTTTCAAGCTGACCGTGTATATTGAGAGTAGGACTGCAATCAGAACATAGAGACTGGCGGATATAATCCCGGCGAAAAAGTTTTCAGTATATGCGAAAGTTTGGTGGCCTTCGGATTGCCGATGACGTCGGACCTCAACGCCGATGAGGCTGAACAGGATAGTAGCCGAGGCGAGCCAACTGATCACCGTCACCATAAATCCTGTGATTGAGTCAACGTGGAGAATCATCGTAAGTAGGAATGTCAGATAAGCGGCAGTAGATAGAGCCAAAGAAGTTGCTTTAAGCCCAGCGGCCCTGAAATGCGTTAATATCTAAATGAAACTGGTACTATAAGTAATAATTACCAGCTGGGTGTTTGTAGCTCAACCGTTGACCCGTCCGCTGAGACACTCTGCTGCCATCCATTTACTAGCGAGCAGATGTTGAACATAATACCCATAGCACAGAAGGCGCCCTCCCTGTTCGTCAGCGGTGTGTTAATATGGGTCAACAGGGCATATCAATCATACCGCAAGAACAGGGAACCCCGTCGAAACATCCCACCAGTGACTGCTAACTGTCAGAGAAAGACCGAAAGTTGAAAGTGAGGATGACGACTCGCCTTGTTCTTGACCGAGTCCTAGTCATCGACGCCACAACATCCCCATAACGATCTGTTGACCCTGGCATCGTATCTTTCGACCAGTTACCGTCCCATGCAGGAGATCGCATATGTAGGGAACGACCACCGACGTAGTAATCTAATGTACTGGGCCGAGACCACATGATGTGACTACTGTCAGCTGTGGGAAATGATTATCTAACATCAAGTGACCTAGGCCGTAGCTGCTGGAGGTACCTCTTCCTCGGTCCTTCATTAGTCCAGTAGCGTGATACTAACGATACTAACGGCTTACTTCAAGAGCAATAGCCTCGTGACGTCACCACTCTACCTCCCAGATTTTATCTCCGTAAATATCCGAGAGAGAAGGGGGACTCGTCAAGTTTTCATTTGGTGACTGACTCCCAACATACGGTTGACTACTTTGGCCATTGAACGAAAGAGAAAGGGAGACTCCGAACATGCAACCTTTCACGGACGAGTCTCCGAGGAGACACCTGTAGCAAATCCGAGACCGTACTGCGTTATAGTATCCTGCTTCTTGTATACCCGCTTGAAAGATACTTGTTCACATGCCAGGGGTTCATTAGACTCACAAGCTTGAAGACTTTATGCGAAGCACAGCTGAAAAAGGAAGGGGAGGGGAGAATGCATGTTGCTGCGCCCATTATCGTGGCTTGCAGAAGACCAGGGTTGAAAAACAAACGTCCCCACATGAGAAAGGTTAGAACAGCAGCCAAAATAGCAGCTAGTCCATATGGATTTCCTGGCCCATTAGCAGAACCAACATGTTGGAGATAGGCTACAGTGCACACTGGAAGGTTGATGAGAGTGTAAAGAGGATGAAATTGTCTAGAAGGGCGAAGAGGTCTAGATAGCTACGAGTGGGGCCGCTCCGCCCGCTTGGCGGCCACGTGACCCACAATCTATTTCTAACACAACATACCAGATCAGCAGTCCGAGCACGCCTCCAACAACAGTCCCAATGGTTCGACTGATCATTGAGAAGGTAAAGTCTGCCATGTAGACCAACAAAGTTGTTTGACCCATTATAAGGCCCCAGATACCCTTCTCACGATAGTAGAAACCTGCGCTAGACGGTATGACCGCAGGAATCGCCATTCTCAAAGCATATAAACCATGGGGGTTGAACAACCACTCCTTTGTGGTAATAATAAATCTAGCCAGTCCCCTTCGTCGTTTGACTCCATATCCACGAATGATTCGGAGGCGTCTTTGGGATTCATTAGCTGCTTTATTAGCTGCTTTATCCACAATGTTGGGATCCACGACACTCGATTGGCTTGGAATGGGAGCTGCAACATTTCCATTGAAAGCCCACGCAGCTGCATATCTGATTCCGCGAGGGAACCAAAGCTTCACTCTCGTCCGTCCATGGCATAGCTGGATGATTCGTTCCAAGAGTTTCTCCAAAGCATCAGACACAAGAAGTACCTGTTTCTCAAACACCATCCCAAACATGACGCCCCGGAAGGGATGGATTGCAATGTTGCTGGAATACCGCAGATGGCCGGTCTCCTCAAACATGTCCGCGTGGATTTGGAGAAGTCGCTCTGTCGTCTCAGTCGTGAATGCGGCACAAGCCGACTTAAGTGCTTTTAGTGGTTTCTGACATCGTGATAGAAGTCGGTCATGTTCTTCATCTGAGGAGCGAGAAATCCATCCTCCAGACATTTGTGCACATATATACGCGGAGATGGCGATGATCGCATCTAGGCAGGCAGGGAGAATATCTGTTGTAGACTGTCGCAGCACCTCAACGGCCTCCGACCGTATGGCTTCACTCTCAGGACTTCGCAGTGCCTGAACGAATTGTGCACTTTGCATCAACTTAAAGTGCCCTATCTCGCGGGGTAGCTGCTCCGTTGCATGATATAGTGCGCTTTCTACTCCAGGAGTATCTGGGAAGTCTTCCAGTCTCTTTTGTCTGACGAGCCGTGAAGTATGGTATTTAAGTAGTGATAAACTCGACATCATGATTTGACGTATTGGATATCTCATACTTTTGATGACATCAGCGTTCCAGAGACCTATAGAGCAGTCCAGCAGTGGGAAAGCAATCGCCAGTTCCATTGTTTCGTGTGCTGCGACAATTCTTGGTTTCACTTTTTTGTAGAACCCGGACATCCAGCTCTTCCGAATTAATGTCTAGGCTGGATATAGTAAATATCAGTGGCTGCTTTCCGAGTTTAAGTAACCCTTCAAAGGCAGTAAAGAAGGCATAAGTCGTGAATTGGGGAAAAATAATATGAATGCAGCAACACCAAGTCCGACACCAATGGCGGCTGGTTTAATCAGGGAGATAGGGAGGGTTCATAGAAAGAGGGCTGGGATGGGCCAACGGTGAGAAAAAGGTCTGAGATAATGGTTGCGTATATCTGCAGTAGAACAAATTTCGGGTTAGTTGCTCCCAGCCGTGCCTAGTGAGTCATGCGTTCAGTTGACTGTCAATTTAAGAAGATTCCGGCGCCATATTTTGCTTACCATGAGATATATAAAGAGACAAATCAGGACGAAAAACACCACAGTCACTTGAGCATCCAGCATAAACCCGTTCGATACGAGCACGTATGTTTCGCTAGCAATGCTCTGGCCAGAGGCATTGGCCTGAATAGACGCCTGCTGTTGCAGCGCGTTTATTCGAGCCTGCGTCCTTGATGCGGAACGAGCTGCTAGAGCTGCCTTCATGACAATCACTCCCCATGCCCAGGCAAGATTCATACCAAGAAGAGTAAGATCCCCAAGAATGAAGATAAGCAGAATACCTGAGGGGGGCCAGAATAAAGAGTACAATGCAGGTAAAGGATGTCTCTGTCCAATCGTATGTAGCGTAGGGCCGATGAACATGAGCAATGCAGCAACCCATGCGGCAGCCCAACAGCGGAACAATACCTTCAGATCCTGACCGTTGAAATGATCGAGCCATGAGGGGAGCCGTCGTTTTCCCTTAGTGACCTTAGTGAGGTTCATAACAAATCCTATACTTTGTACGAGGCGATACGTCAGCGAATGATACTACATCAGAGTATGTGGAGAAATAGTTATACGTTCTGAGAAATTATGTCAACCAGTATTACTCCACTGTTGCACTTGGAAAGTACCGACGGCATCGACAGCTGCATGAAGTGGAATTTCAATATCGCACGAAACATGCAGGGGAGTAACAGGCATATGCTTATACTGTGCTAACGGTGTTCTTCTGTTTGAAACCCCTAGTATTAGAACGTTTCGATCGAACTAACACATAAATATGGTCTTCCATTCACGTGGAAGATCCCACGGGCTGAAGTCCAAATAAATTTATGATGTCATGATGTACGGGGGCTGATGACGCGACGGCATTCCAGTAACGGCGCTACCTTTAGCCAACATTGTGTCTCGAAAGTAGGAAGAATAATCATCCGTAATTCATAGCTGAGTCGGAATTAAGTGGAACAGCTTTGTTCCGATAACCCCTCATACTATTCTGTGGGGTCGACTTCGTCCTAAAACGCTCCCTTCCCACTCTAAGCTCGCTGGGTAGTACGGTGCTGTTGAAGTGACGGTGTAGGCTATCAGATAGTAGGATGAAGGATCTCTGGCTGAAGGGGATAACGTATCTCACAGCAGATGGAACCGCTCATACGGTCGAGCCGCTCACCCCCAAAACAGGCTGTAATTGTGATACTTAGAGCCCCATATTACAGTACAATGCCAAAGGCTTAGATTAGAGTCTTAGCATGTCTTAGTACTTTATATATCATACTCGGTATCTTTATCTGATCCAGAAGTATTTGAGGTATTAACATGTCGATAAATGTAGGTTCCTCGCCGACAAATGTTCTATGATATTCTGATAATACCTTCTTCAGTCAGCACATGATTACATACTCCCTTTGGATGGCCATGTGTTCGCATGACGAGGAAGACCTCCACTTTACATATGCAGCTGTCCATGCTCAATCCAGCCAATATTGCGGTACATCTGATACCATGTCTTGTGGTGTGACTCTGAATTTGTACATGGCCGAGACCTAGCAGCGTCTGATTTCTGTAGTTCATGAAAAATTTGATGATGTCATGGGCTCGTTGTCGATGGCCTTGACCGTAATACAACGGCGGGTTTTACGGGGTACACCGCTTAAGAAGATTGATAAACATCATCATTCAGTGCTTATCTCGAAATTCCTTCTATTTGTTCGCTATTTTCCCCAGGGTTTCATTACCGTCTAAAATATTAGGGCCACGACACTTCTCTTTATAGATAAGCGAGACATTACACGGCACGCAGTATCTATCCAAGACAATTTTCAGAGAAATTTTCACATAATGAAAGCTGCATCCCTAATTTATGTCCTAGGCATCACATCCATTGCTCAATGTGATCCCCAAGTCGACTTTAGCTCTGTTTTGAGCGCAGTGATAAGCGCAGCAGGCAGTGGAGCTACGGATTTCAGCAGCATTTCTTCCGAACTAGCCTCTTTATCAGCTCCATTGAGAATGAAGTAAGCACGGCAACAGGATCGGAAGCATGATCACTCCGCTCCGAAATCACATCGATTACTTCGAATGAGCCGGCTATTGTTTCCTCTATTGAGAGCGCACTTTCAACGGTATCCATATTGTCGAATACCCATACAACCACAACTGCTACAAAAACTGGGGGGCCAGCTGTTGCTACAAGTACATCGGCTGGTGCTACGCGGACTGTTCAGGCTGACCTTGTGCTATCAGGAGTGGGTGTTTCCGGACTACTCGCTATTCGCCATTAAATGTTAATAAGGGCTTCTTTAAAGTCTGTGCCTTACGAATCGTGGAGGCAAAAATCGGAGCGAAGTCCTTTCGTGAAAGACAGCAGGGCCTTATACGAGAAGGAATCAAAAAATTAGCCGAACTGATTTGGCTTGACGCATTGGCTTGACGCAAGCTTCCGAGAAACGCGAGGCCAAACATACTAGGCAGAGGGTGGGTTAACAAAGCCGAGGCGGAAAAAAATTGACCAGACTGGGGCTCGATCCCAGGACCTTATCGGTGTTAACGATACGTGATAACCAACTACACCATCCGGCCAGACATGAATATCCAGATTTTGTTTTGATAACCTATGAAGATTTAGAAATCAAAAAGAACAGATCCACACATTGCGTGTGCTGTTTGCTTCATTCTCGGGGAATAATTCTCAGTCTAAACTTGTGTTATTCGAGATTCCTTCCTGGCTCCCCGACTTCTGCCCTTGGTCAAAAAGCGACTCAAGTTCGGTCAATTCGTGTACTGCCCCCGCGAGAGATTGAGAGTGTGCCAGGTCTGCATCGTCGAGGACAGGCTCTAGCCCGGAGGAAACCCAGTTGTTGAGTGGTTGACTCTGTGACTCTGTGACGTTCTGGCGAGTACAAAGGAGATCGGAAGACATGGGAATAGCCTCAGGTAAATGAACTGCTCTAATACTCTACCTCGTCAACCAGAATGGCACTGGGCCTATTATTCTTTTCTTAATAAAGATTCTAGTTCTAAATGATATGAATTAAAATATCCTTTAATTAATTTCATAACAAATATATACGCGACAGCTCGATCTGGCACAGGGGGGGGGGCTCGTATATACGACTCTATAGACAGGATAAATGTCTGACGGGTGGAGTTTTTCTGTCTCGGCTACCGGCGATTTTATGAGAGTGCTCAGGGTCAGAGTCACTAAATAGACCCCTATCCCCCTTCAGCATCCCATGAGTTGTACACCCTCCTTCCGATTGCCTGTGCCAAAGTTCAATATTTTCTAAAACGTTGTCTATTGAGCTCCAAATTTGACAAATAATAGGCTGAGAAGACTTTTTCACTAGGCGTGATGATAAAGCCAAAGAAAGGCGGCCGCCGGCATAACAAGGTATCCCAGCAACCGAAGGTCTTGAGAAAGAAAATTGCGTCACTTAGCAGCCACCTATACTGAAATCTGATTCGTCGCGGATTGCTTCCATGCTTGGATGGTGAGTTAATGTTGCTCCAGTGTCTATATATCCTTCTTCTCCCTCTCTTCCGAAATCCCCCCAGTTTCTTTCTCTGCTTCTGCCGTGACGTTTCGTCATTGGGAACCGGCGTGACCGCTTGAAATCGCTTACTGCTCACATCTTCCGTCGGCGGATCTGGAATAGCCAATGCTTGATAGAAATCATGAATGAGGTCCTCAACGTCTTCGGTCCCTACTGACAGACGAAACATCTCCACCGCGATTCCGGCTCCAATCCTGTCCTTCTCGGACATGACGACATGAGTAGAGCTCCAAGGGTGAGTAATCATCGTTTTCGAGTCGCCAACGCTATCGATTTGTTATTCACTTGAAGCAAGAAAAGATCTCAAGTCACCAACTTTGTCATGTTTGAAATGATGCGCAATCTGTCAACTAGAATATCACTCGCACGAGCGCCACCTTTCACACCGAAGGAGAGAACACCACCAAACCCGCCAGTCAAGTATTCCTTCGCGAGACTGTGATATTCATTTCTCTCAAGTCCTACGAAGCGAAGATAGGTCACAAAATCCGTAGATACCCAACCATGGAGGATCGCTTACCTGGATAGTTCACCCAGCTCATTCGAGGATCCGACTCCAAGAAACGTGCGACTTTCAGCGCATTCGACCCGATCCTCTCACACCTTAAGCTGAGAGTCTCCAAGCCAAGGAGAAGCTGCTGAGCAGCGAAAGGACCGAGAACTGAGCCTACTTCCATGACCACGTTGATTCGAAGAGCCACTGCAAAAGCGCAATTGCCGAATGCTTTCCAATAAGAAAAGTTCAAAGGTCCAGATTCTTCGATGAGATGAGGAAATCGAGCTGGACTTTGTCCCCAATCGAATCGCCCTGAATCTATTATAACTCCTCCTACAGTTGTTCCATGCCCTCCGATCCATTTCGTAGCTGAGTGAACCACAATATCTGCTCCATGGTCAATGGCCCGACAAAATGCACCGCAAGCCCCGAATGTGTTGTCAACAACAAACGGAACACCTTGTAGATGTGCGACATTTGCGATTCCTCGGAGATCCGGTACACTGCACCGAGGATTTCCAATGGTTTCTACAAACACCATTTTTGTTTTCTCGTCAATATATCCGGCGATTTCCTCAGGCTTGTCGCTTGATGCCCATCTCACCTCAATACCTAGTCGGGGAAGAAGGGTTTTAAATAAGCTGTAGCTTCCACCGTATAGGTTGACCGATGAGATAATGTTGTCTCCAGATCCTGCCAGAGCAAGAATGGTTTGAAAAACGGCCGACTGGCCGGAGGCGGTAGCCACAGCTGCGGTGCCGCCTTCTAAAGCCGCAGCTCTCCTCTCAAATACCTCGACAGTAGGCTATCAGAATCAGAAAGGCGTTGATTAAGGTGAGTTGAGGAACGAACGTTTGCAATCCTAGAATATACTAGGCGCCGAGTTAAATAGATATCCGGATGAGAAAGGCCGGGCGAGCTCACCATATCCGCTTTCTTGATTTGTGCAGACTCTCTTTGCATGCTCGCCATCGGTGAAAACATAGGACTTATTCATGAGTATGAGGTAAAGGAAGGGGTTTTTAGGGGCTTACTGCTGTTGCATATATTGGAACGGCTCTTGATTTGGTTGCCGAGTCAGGTTTATGACCTGCTTGGACCTGAAGAGTGCCAAATTTGCGACCTTCATCTGTCGCATCGACCTTCCAAGTTACGAAAGGGTCTGCCATCCTGTAACGTGAGAAGTAAGTTGAAAAAAAACCGACTATCTCCGGAGCTTCATCTCTCTATATCAATTCATGTCATGCCAAGGGTCTAAGCTACAGCGGACGAAACTAAGACCGAAACGGAAGCACCGAAGTCGTCAGACTTGCTAGATTCAGACTTCGCTCGATTTTCACATCTCCGATTGGAGTTAGAATGGGGTCATTGATAATTAACGATACTACAAGCCTTTTGAATTAAAAGCCGTTCAGAATCAGCACCTGCTTTGTAATTGGTCTCAGCTCATCGTCCAATATGGTGTTATCTTCGGTTACCTTCGACTATCTCCCCCTCAGCGTTCAAGCTTTTCAAATTCATTCCCGATTGATACCATGGCTGGGCACACTTTTAGTCATACATTTCTTGATCCAGCGATGGGCCGTGAAAAGACAGCCTCTTGTTCCTGGAGTTCCAATTGTCGGTGGTACTGATCGCCAGAGCATCCAGAAAAATCGCATCCGTTTTATCCACGACGGAAAGTCTATGCTTGAGGAAGGTTATGAGAAGGTACAAGGGATATCGCTTTGAGAAACTCTCTAACGTATCTTAGTGGGCAGGAAACTTTTTCTATGTTCCGAGTGTCTTAGGCGAACGTCTCATGATACCAGTCAAGTACTTGGAAGACCTCAAAACAGCCCCAATCGATAAGGTGGATTTTGTGGCCACTTTCCAAGAAACAAGGATTCCAGCTTTGCGGTCGATAAATTCTAATGGTAGATCCAGATGTTTGAAGGAAAATACACCACCATGGGGAGCAGATCAACATTGCATCCTCGAGTCGTCAAACATCAGTTGAACAGCAATCTTCCCGCAGTCATGCCTGACGTCCAACAAGAGATCGAGGAATCCATCGAGTCTCAATTTCCTGCTTGTGATGGTCAGTACCCGCTCCAAAAATTCGACATGTCGCTGACTTGAGACCGATAGACTGGACTGAGGTCAATGTGGTTGACTGCATAACTCAAATTGTTGCCCGGGTCTCAAGCCGCATGTTTGGGGGCCAGGTTCTCAGTCGAAACAAAGAGTGGATTGACGCTTCCATCGCATTTGCTGTTGATGGATTCCATGGGGCTCAGAAAATTAAGAAGTATCCAGAATTTCTCAAGCCCATTGCCAAATTCTTCATTCCCGAGATTATGTCGATTCATAAGCATTACCGAATGGCCGAGAAAGCCGCAATACCCCTTTTGAAAGAGAGGGAAAAGACGGGCGAGAAGGCGTTGGATTTGCTTTACTGGATGGCCGAACAGGCTAAAGGCGACGAGAAGGACCACAAATTCCTGGCCGGTATTCTGCTGAAAGTCAGTTTCGCTGCTATCCACACCAGTGCAGCTGCGACGTCTCAGTTGATCTACGATCTCTGCGCTATGCCGGAGTACATACAGCCGACGCGACGAGATCAACAGCGTCCTCGAAGATGGTGGACATTATAGGAAAGAAGGGCTTCTTTCAAATGCCGAAAATGGACTCCATAATGAAAGAGAGTCAGCGCTCTAACCCACTCCTGCTTAGTGAGTCATGAATGCAGCGCTGTCTGATGTGCTCAATCTTTGGTGACTAACAAACCTTTCTCCTTCAGTCACTTTTCAACGTGTCATCACCGAAGACTATGTACTATCAGATGGCTTTGTGATTCCTGCCAATACAACAATTGGAGTTCCTACCCAGGGAATTTCCATGGATCCCAAGATCTACAACGACCCCACCAAGTTTGATGGTTTCCGATTCGAGAAACTGCGTCAGGATCCGGAGCAAAATGGCAAGGCCCAGTACGCTGCGAGCAATCACAGTTCAATGTCGTTTGGCTACGGCCGTCATGCCTGTCCAGGTCGGTTCTTCGCCGCTAACGAAATTAAGGCGATTATGGCATACCTGTTACAGAATTATGATATGAAGTTTAAAGAGGGGCAGAAAAGGCCAGAGAGTTTACTCTTTGAAACGCAATACTTGCCAAATATGACAGCGACAGTGATGTTCAAGAGGAGAAGGAATGTTTGAATGGAAGTAGAGAATAGCGCAAAGTGATATGATGATAAGGCCCATGGGACGCATTTGGCAAATGATCTTTTCCGCATCCAGCCGATTCTATTTTTCCACTTTGACTATATTGGCGGCGAACATAATTGCGAGAGAGAGCACCATAATTTGACTACGACAGGTTCAGAATTACTCAAACACTCCTGAAAACTCACAACCCTCGTACAATCCTCAACCAAAATCAATAGAATGAATGTGGAGGATAGGATAAACACGATACTAGATAGAAGCGCTGGTAGATAATGGATTGACAAATCACGTTGCACAGCGAATGAACACTAGCCAAATCGAGATCGGATTCCAGAGGGATTTGAGTTTATTGGCAGAATTGATCTCCAAGTCAAGAATCGGGGGTTCTTAATCAATCTCGAGACAGAAGTCGTGCCAGCGCTCCTGAGCTTCCCCGGTGTCCGGTCCGCTGCAGCAATTATGCATGATTCTCGATTGATTGGATTCGTTACTCCATTAACGATACCCCCACAATCATTGCGGAAGGACCTTGCAAAGAAATGCGACTCGTTCATTGTGCCAGACGTAGTTCTTCCTCTGGAAAGACTGCCTGTCACGTCGAATCAGAAGATTGACACTGATGCTCTTAGAGCGACCATAACAGAGGAGACAACAGCACACAAGGGACTGACCGATCACTCCTCGCCATCGGAGTTAGTGAAGTACGGACTTTCAAAAGCCCTGGGGACGCCCATCTCACAAATCAATGATGATTCATCCTTCTGGGAGCTAGGAGGGAATTCTCTCTCTGCGGTGCGGCTTGCGTCTTTTCTAAGAACTTATGGGTTGAGCATCCCTGTCGGAGATATCTTTGTGCTGGATAAGGCCTCCAGTGTCGTGCAGAAAGTAGTCTCCACGGAAGCACCGAAGCAATCGGTTGAATCCTTCATAACTGGAAACGGGGGGATGCAGGAACTGGGGATTCGCTACCAATAGCTGATATTCAAGGTCAGCTCATCAGCGAGACCCTTCAAAGTCCCGCCAAAAACAACTTGGTGTTCTCTATCACGGTTGATAACGCAAGCGGGAAGCTAAGCAGGTCCGTATTGCGCAAGGCTTGGGAGACTCTGTTTGAAAGACATTCTATATTACGAACAACGTTTGATTTGGATACGAAAACTCAGCTCATCCAACGGGAACCAAATCTGCAATGAACGGAGATCCAAGTATCCGACTCGGAGTTTGATTCCACCAGTGAAATGATACAAAAGGCCCTGTGGAATGAAATATACAACCCGATTGAAGTCCCTTGGAAACCCTTCAACCACCTGAAAGTTATTGAGACTCCTGGGAAATCAATCAGGATATTCTGGATGATGCATCACAGTTTATTTGATGGCTGGTCGGTAGGAATTCTACTAAATGAGCTTGAAGCGATTCTTAATGATCGTGAATTGTCAGCCCCGCCACAGTTTTCTGACGCTGTTCATTTCCAAGCACACGTCAAAGTCCAAAGCAGATCTGAGAGTGTCATCTTTTGGGAGAAATCATTAGCATCAGCTCATGATTTGCGGCCTATCAATCTACCTAAGCCGGCCAATGTTCCGTCGCTCGAAACCCGCCAGGACTGGTTAAGCAAGAGCTCGGTTATTGGCATCTCAAAATCGGAGCTCGACAACTTCGCATACGGTCAACGCGTCTCCGCATCTTCCCTGTTCCATGCCGCCTGGTCCTTGGTTTTGTCAAAATACACCAACTCGAAGACCATCTGCTACAACAGCAGCTTCTCGGGAAGAAATCTTCCCTTGCCATCAATCGAATCTATTGTCGGGCCGCTGAATCAACGATGTCCGACCCTCACCACAATTGACGAGACAGCAACCATGGAACATTACTTAAGTGGTATTCACCGCGAGGTGTACGAGCTGAGAGACTTCCAATGGTTATCGTACGGTGTCTTGGAGAAGATACTGGGTCATGAAGCCCATGAATCGCTTCTCGTCAGTTCGATTACTATTTTCTTGGACATGTCGCCTGACTTCGGCCGCTGGAAAGTACAAGATGAGCAGAAGCCAGTCAAGCCTCTGGAACTGCGCATTGAGCAGGAAGGCGAGACTATCAATGCGCACTTGCGGTACGACTTTGCCCTTTTCGACGGAGAGGCAGTGCGTCAGATCTTAGCCGACTTAGAGACAACTTTGACAACCATCCTTATCTTGCCGACGCATACATTAGTAGCCTCGGTAATCGACTCGATAGAGCGTCGCAAATGAACGTCGCTGTGTTACTAGAGTGGGTGGGGTGTTCTTCATCTGAATTTCATGCTTTTCCTTATCAAAATCCTCTTGTTCGAGTACTCAGTTACATGTATACTGTGAAACTACCAGCTACATTGCAACTATCTTTGGTGTTTTCGTTCTGAGGGTCTATGTATTGACTTGATGCCTGCTCGAATGCTGGTTCTATACCTGGGCCGTTTCTCCACTCCACAGCACCTGGTGCATCCACGAACACATTGAAATTTGGATTCGGTAAATGAGAGAGCCCTTTCCTGATTCGTGAACATTCAATACAAGTCAGTTCCACTGCTGGCAAAAATGGAATTATGTCTTCCCTGTCACGCGCACTATGCTCCACTAAGGTACTTCATGGGTGAGTCGGTCACACAAAACACCATATTACATGCGAACTTTTAGGTCACTATATATCAACAACGATAAGTTGTCTTGGCTTGATCCTCAGTAGGATAGTGTTCTTAGCGTAAGAAAAAGTATAGCAGGTTAACTTAGATGTTGAGTAAATGATTGTTTACCTACATTGCCAAAAAAAAAAAAAACCTTCAACAGCAAAGCTGCCGTAAGAAAAAGACGAGACGGAATCAAACTTCCTACCGACAGTAGATTATACTGTCTCAGTAGAAGAGATGAGGGAACGCCATGCCCGGAAGCAAGAGTTAGAGTAAGGAGTGCAAAAATTTCACAGAAAACACGACCATTTCGACTTCCATATGTCCCTAAAAGTACACGATTTCCAACCAAATACCCCAGGACAAACCAGATAAACAAACCGCAAAGCAGAAACGACTCAGGCGATGCTACTGGGCCCCCCACTACAATACCTACACTGTGGGGTCTCAAAATACTTCACGGCCTGGCAAACATGCTTAGCGTGATATATTCAGCACTAGGATATCCTATGACCTTATATCAAACATTGAGTGTTGACATAGAGTGAGCTGAAAATCGCATTGACTATGGTGTTCTGGCTGACCGACTCAACCGTAAATTACATTAACTAACTAGTTATATGTATCCTTCTGTCAAAGCGAGCTGAATCGGTATAGACTAGTATGCATTGGAACGAATGAGAACTACCGGAATCATCAGAAGAAAGATTGATTGATTAAGAAGGAAACAACTCAAACGAATAGGAAAAGGGGCAGGTTGAGCTGTCCCATGGCGGTGTAACCGAGTATCGGAGTGACAATACCGATGTCGACGTGTTACCCGCATATTACATACAAACACATACAAAAGATGGGTTGGATATGGACCAATCCCATGTCACTATAATAAACCTCTCCAGTTTTCCACGACACCTTCACTATGACTAAAAGGGATTCGCGGGGACCATGATAACGCAAAGTAAACAAATAAGTCTTCCAAGTGGAGAAACTTCCTAGGCCGATCGGCCCCGACAATCATGCACTTGAACTACATGGATTCGATGGGTTGCTTCGGAGTTTCTGAACTTGTTAGTCGCGAAGACGCTTGTTCCCAAAAGAGCGCGGCCCGAAACCAGTTCTCACCCCACAGCGGCAAGATCACCGACACGGGTAAACTAGGACTCCTGTTGCCACTGTGATAGTAAGATTTGCGCGTAATGTTGGAATATGTGACGCACGAGAAGACAGATACGGGAATTGTGGCAGAGATAGGATGACGGCGTTCTTATACCAAGTTAAATATTTTCAAATTCCTTAAGAAAAAGAATCTTAGTGAAGTATCCTCATCCGTAAATTCTACCAAGTTTCTGCTTCAAATAATCCACCACTTGAATGAATCCACTATGTCTGCCCAATCCACACCCCACGGTGCTGTCCTCAAAGTCATCTCACTGGGCAAATTAATGTCTAGTCCGGCCGCCGTCGCCGCCGAGCTGCTGGCCGCCTGCACAGACATGGAGTTCTTCTATCTGGACTGCACAGACTGGAAAGACGGCTCTCTGTCAGCCAGTCAGGTTCAACGCCTGTTCCAAATCACCAAGACCCTGTATGATCTCCCTCAGAAGGAAAAGAGTGCATGGGCAGCCGACCATCATCATTCAGAGGAAACGATTGTGGGGTACAAGGAGGCCGGGATCGACCCAGGGCCAGTCGAGGGGCGAAAGGATGGGTTTGAAGGGTTCATGGTTCGCGAATACCTTTCCATATAGTCATTCTGGTTGTTGTATCCAGGCACGCTGATCAGTCGACTCGTAGATATTTGAACACCCCCTGCGGAATGTCGCAGATCCCGCTACCATGGTCGCGCCACGCCCACTCCAAGAAGATGGTAACATTCTGCAAGCAAATATCTCTGCACTTCGCGACATTAGCCTCGCCATTCTAGACAGCCTGTCGCAATCTCTGGGGTTGACAGGGATGTCCCACCTCACATCCACTCACCGGGTGGGTGAAGCATCAACCACAGCCCTCGGGCTTCTCAAGTACCTCTCCCATGGTACATCTGAAGATATTGGGGTGGGTCACATCGCGCATACGGACGCGGGCAGCTTGTCGTTTGTGTTCACGGATGTGCCAGGGCTGCAAGTAGCACTTCCAGGAACGGTTGAGTGGGCGTATATTCCACCGCGAGAAGGCCATGCGATTGTAAACGTAGGGGACTCGTTGCACCTTCTTTCTCAAGGGAGACTGAGATCGAGTTTGCATCGCGTGGAGCCGTATCTGGATGCCCTCAACCGTACCAAGTACACCATCGTCTACTTAGTGCGCCCAGAGACCGACGCAGTGTTTATTGATGGCGATGGAAAGGAGTGGAAGTGTAAGGATTGGTATCTCAAGAAGTTTGAGATTTTCGGAAAGGGAGCGATTGATCTGAGCGATAGTTTTGTGTTGACAGGACGGGAGAATTATGACGGGCGCTGGAACCCGTTGACTGCCGCTGCAACGGTTTAGACCATTTCAAGGGATCCGGCAGGCTAACACACCATCTAGATGTGCTCAATAGCAACTACATCTTATATTGCCTGTTTCGGATTCCTCTGCACGTGTATATTGAAGGTGTGTGTGTACTAAATCGTAGTGTATAATTTCTAGCCCTAGCTCAAACCTTGTCCAAGCCCTGTAGCTTAACCAACTCAAAGTATCTTCCACCCAGCTCCATCAAGTCTTGATGCGTCCCCCGTTCCACAACATTGCCTTCGTGCAACACTAGATAGACCCATAGGTTAGTCTCTCGAGTTGTCAATGGGATTGAGGTCTGTTCTCACCATAGATACAATCGGCCTTCTGCACCGTGCTTATCCGATGCGCAACAGCGACCGTTGTTCGGCCTTGTGCCGCCGCATTCAGTGCATCCTGGACGACCTTCTCCGACTCCGAATCGAGCGCGGAAGTTGCCTCGTCTAGGAGGAGGATGCGTGGATTGCGAAGAAGCGCTCGCGCAATGGCTATCCGTTGTTGCTGCCCTCCAGAAAGCATGCCGCCCCTCGCTCCTATAACTGTCGAGAAACCATCACTGAGTTAAGCATTAGTAGAAATTCATTCACAGTCAATGAACAGAGAATAAAGGCTGCAACGAAAGAGATTTCTTACGGCAGGGAGATTACGAAGTCGTAGATGTTGGCATCCTTGCATGCTTGGATGACTCTCTCCTCAGAAACATCCTCGTCATTGGTTCCCAGGATAATATTCTCCCTGATGGTTCCTTGATAGAGTGTTGGCTCTTGGCTGACCAGAGCAAGATGGCTCCTGTAGCTCTTGACATTCAACTTGGAAATGTCTTTCCCATCAACCAAGACCTGTCCGGCTTCGGGATCAAAAAACCGCTCCAGCAAAGAAATGACGGTGCTCTTCCCACATCCACTCGCTCCTACAAGACCTATGTATTGTCCCGTTTGCACACTCAAGCTGAGGCCGTTCAGTACCATTCTCTCCGGTCGGCTAGGGTATCGGAAATAGATATTGCGCATCTCCAAGCTGCCATCCATTTTCGGTAACTGCTCGCCAGTTTCTTGGCGGGCGTCAATGGTGACAGGTCGGCTCAGCAGCGTTTTGATATCTTGGGCTGCTTGGCGGGATTTGCTCATATCTGGCGCGAAGGAGAAAATCGCCCCGGCGCTGAATGCGCCAGCGATGACCGCAGCGTAAGCAATGAAGAACTGAACCATCGAATAGCCTTCGTAAATTATTAAACTTCCTCCATACCAGAAGGCAAGCGCAATGCAGAGGAAGTTGGCCGACTGAGAAGCAGCATAAAAAGTGGATGACTTCAGCGTTGAAACGACTGACTTTTTTCGCTGCGTTTCCAGTATATTGTGGTACTCTTTCTGCACATGACTTTCGAGATTTAGCGATGCAACCGTCTTGATAGCAGAGCTTGCCTCGCAAGCATACGTTGCTGAGGCTGCATACGCCGCCTTTGACTGTTGCGCAATTTCTCCAAGGATCTTCAGTCTGACGAGACCACAAGTAAGGACAATTGGAATGGTTGCGGTACAGACGAGTCCCAACTTCCAACCTATCGCAATCGATACAGCCACGCCAGCAGCCAACGTCGTTAAAACAATGAAGATGGAGCCCAGCGTGACACCACTCATCCCCGCAAGGTTGGTAGCATCCGTGGATAATGCCGCTGTAAGCGAGCCGGCCGAGAGTCCAGATTTGTCGAACATGAAAATATCCTGATGGAGCATTGCGCGGAAGGAGGAATCTCTGGCACGGTGAATCAGACGCTCAGAGCAGTAGGCGAAACAGAGACCAGATGCTCCCCAACCCAGAAATGCAGTACCTCCCAGCATCAGATACATCAGACTCCAGAAATTGACATCATGGCGGAGTTTATCATACATATTGGGAGGTTGCGATAATGCCGAGATGGTCTTGCCGTAGAACACAGCCTGACTAGAGGAATGGTCTGGGTCAATACTCTGCACACCGTACGTGGAAAGAAACTTACGTGGGATTTCCTGCGCCTGTGATAACCGAAAATAACAGACCCCAAAGCATTGTGAATGTTTCTTGTTTGTTGAAGTTGGCGACGAACTTCATTAACTCCCATAAGGAGTATCTGTGGTCGTGAGCCTTCCCATCGAAATTTGCCTCCCGGCCTTCAGTGACGAGGTCCTGCTTCATCTGGTACGCATGAATGTTGGACTCATTGCCCTCATGTTTCGAATCAGGAAATTCCGTATCTGCGTCGAACGTAGACTTTTCTTCACCGGGGCCGATATCCCTTTCCGTCGACATGCGCTGCTTATCTACCAATTCGTAATACACTGATCGCCTCTCAAGTAGCTCGTTGTGGGTTCCTTGCTCAACAACGCGCCCGTGAGACATCACAACAATGTTGTCTGCCGCCGTGATCGTAGATAGCCTGAATAATGATCAGCGTGTGTTGCCAAGATTGAACGAAGTACGCATACCGGTGACTGATTGTGATTGTTGTCCTACCTTTCCCAGCAACATCAAGTGCCGCCTGTACCAGCCGCTCAGCCTGGGCATCGAGAGCTGAAGTAGCCTCATCCAGTAGCAAGACCTTCGGATTGCGAATAATAGCTCGTGCGATGGCAATTCGCTGCTTTTGTCCACCAGAAAGCAAGGAGCCCCTTTCTCCAACATCCGTGTAGAATCCCTTCGGCAAGGCAGAAACAAACTCAAAGCAGTTCGCTTTCTTCGTGGCATCGAATACAAGACTTTCTACCACACTGGGAGGGGAGTTCTCGTGCTGTGTGCCGATCAGACCAAATCTGATATTTTCGAATACAGTTGTGGCGAAGAGTGTGGGCTGCTGTGTTACTATCGCTATTTGTTGGCGGTACCATTGCAGGTTAAAAGACGCGATGTCGTGACCATCAAGTACTGGTGTGCCAATATTAGGAGGGTTCATCTTTTACAGGGGAAATCTCTCACATATTTCCCCGTTGAGTGGTTCATAGAATCTTTCAATCAAACCTGCCAATGTACTTTTCCCACAACCAGAAGCACCAACAATGGCGGTCGTCGTGCCAGCTATAAATCTAAGATTGATGTCATCCAAAGTCAGGACATCTGGTCTTGAAGGGTAAACATAGCGAATATTCTTGAGCTCAATTGTCCCGGACACAGCTTTCAGTCTGCTTCCTGTGGGGGAGGATGGATCCAGGGGTGACACCCTAGACACGGTTGCAAGAATCTTTCCTGTGGCTGCTATACCTGTTGAAAATGCTTGGAAATTGGGTGCTATGTTACCAAATGTGAACGCTCCAGTCAAAGTAGCAAGGAGGATGGTGATCAGCTCCCCGAGTTCCACGTCTCCAACAACCAGAAAACGAGACCCTTGCCAAAAGGTCAGTCCGTAGGTCCAGAAGATGACACAATTCATGACGGCCATCATGGCCGCAAGAGCAATGCGGCTTCTAAGACCATATCCCTCGGCCTCGGTAAGAAACTTCTGGTACCGATCGGCCAGCCTATCTTGGATCCCAAACGCAGTAACGTGCCCGATTGAACTGATCGCCTCCTCGGCAGCACTCGATCCGTCTGCATATGCCGCCAGCGACTTATGGGTGTACTTAACCATAAATAATGAGAATAAACTCATAGATCCAGTTTCTGCAATATACGCTGAAATCAGAATGAGCGCCATACGCCAGCTTTTCACGAAACTGATGATAAGCGCCGCCCCGAAGTTAGAACAGGAGTACAGCGTCAGAGAAAGTTTGCCGGTTAAAGAATCTTGGATCAGATTCATGTCCGCGGTGATTCTGGTGGTGATCTCTCCAGCCCCCAGGATATCAAAGAATGCGATGTTTTGGCGAAGAATAGCGGCGAGGTATTTCTCTCGGAGTCGTTGGGTGATCTTTTCTCCTGCAACCATGAATCCGGCTGTCGAGATGTAGACCGAAATAAATTGTCCAATGGCGATGTACACATAATACAGGGCGAATCTTGCGACCAGGGATGAAAGATGCGATCCCGAGGACGTTCCGATGAAGAATTCTTTGAATGCTTGAGCCAAGCCTCCTAAAAGGAGCTGTATGACAGAAATCAGCCTCGGGGTTGAATACCAACGGAGAGCGACTTACAAAAGACACAGGTTGAAGGGCTCCGCCAACAATAGCTGCAATTGAGCTGATGACCAGGAGAAGCAAATCGTAGGGTGTTGCGCATGTATATAAAAGCGCCAAGCGACTCATCTGCGACTCCGGGGTGTAGATTTGGCGCTTAAGGATCTCTTTCTCCTCTTCCGTTAACTCTAGACGGGGCGTCAGAGGAGCGGAAGACCCTGCGGCCGCGCTTTTTTCTGACATTTTCACGGGTTTGCCCTCGAAGATAGGTTTGTCGACCATGAAGCTGATTGCGCTCCAGAAGCTTTGCGACAAGTGGATGGTCAACAAGATGAAGTATTGTTTTGTGCCATCTCTCATAGTCTTTTTCTGACCAATCATAAGCAACTGTCACCGGCCACTCATCATGACTCATATCACACCATAGTGCATTAAAATGTACCATCTCTCAGAAGTCTGGGAGGCATTGCAGTTCGGCGAGTTAATAAGAGAATCCAAAGAGCAGTAGACGCCAATCCGTGAGTCCTTCGGATGCGACAAATGAGACTATTACTTCGCAGTGGATAATTCTTTGCTGACTGCTGGTTGATACACTGAATGGGGAAGCCCGGCCTGATGCCCCATGTGCTCGTTCACCATTTGAGAAAGGCCCGTTAGTATAGTGAGGCATGCGGGCCTGGCTTGGCCACGGTTATGTTCGCCTGAAAGCCCGCTTGGTACCACTTGGGGTAGCCCCGAGTACCCTGATATTGGAAGGGAAACGTTTTTTTCTCTTTATATACAGAACAAGTAGTCCTTTTACACGGAGAGTGACTCCTAGCTACCGGCTTTCCTTTCGGATAGGCCCCTTCTATAGGCTAAGTGTAGGGGCGCCCGCCCCACGACCAGCGCGACTAATGCACGTCCTGCGTCCACGGACATTTTGTCCCGAAGCCTTCCGGAATCCTTGAGTGTTGACCATAATGTCAAGGTCCCTCGACATTCGAGGCTTTCCATAAGGCCCCATAACAGTCCGCTAAGTCCGCAATAGTTGGACTCCTCATTAAGACCCATGAACCCCACCTTTATGCAGATGGATGCCGATCATGCCATTATTGTACTGGTTGCCACCAAGATCGATGGAACCCTGCCAAGTTTGGCCATGGCTCTAAAAGTCACGGCGAAGGGAAGCGCTACGTGTAGCCGCCTGATCGGGCTTTTGAGCGCCGTAACGATGATGCGGCGGAGGGGCGATTACAGTTCCTGCCTGAGAAGGAACGGAGTGTCTTCAGACACAGAAGTCGCCGGGCTCGTGCTATAAAAAAGGCAACAAGGCCTGATGGGCTGTCTGGAGTCTCTGGACGGCAGAAACGACAGAAACGAAAGGAGGAGCGAGCTACCCCGTATATTTAGTCCTCCTGAGACTGTAGCCATTTTTTTGCGTCCTCCACTGATTTTTCGGGGCGGTCCTCCAGCTGCAATACCCTTTTTTCGGTGGCAGCCAGACAAGGTAATGAATGTGTGGGGCCGAACTGACCAGTCAAACTGCTGGTGGAACGGGCACCCACACCCCTAATAAAGCCTACTCCGAGTGCCAATTGGAACTCGTGCCATTGTTTGCTGATAATATTATGCAGGTAAGATGGCAAACTCACACGGTACAATCTTCCCCGCAAAGCCACCCCTAGCCGACGCGGATAAGGATTCAGGAGCAACTTGCTATCATCAGGATATCCAATTGGACTTCTCCTGATGCGTCACGAAATTGGGGTCCCAATCATCCCTGACAGGACCGACGGACACCGCTCCCTACTTTCAGAGCTCTGTAAGCCACAGAGATGATTAGGGTCCACCTATTCCTGACGCGCACCTTTTTTCCCACTACTCTGTATGACGGCTGTGGATGACAGATGCGCCTAGACAAGGCTCCCAACATGTGTGACAGCCAATCGCGGGACGAGCCGAAAAGACGATCACCCGAAGGCCTGTTAGTAAGCAAGTCGTGAGATCCATATCGAGGCTTGTGGGATCATAGCATACGAGTTATATCTGACACTCATCGGTCAATGGGATATACCTAAGGGCAGGTAATTTATCTCATACTCTATACCTCTGTCCGGGATAGTTGAACTTTGATGCTTGGTATTCCAATTCTAAGTCGTCCCAGGATTATATAAACCCGTCAGCTGAGTCCGCACAATAGCATGCAAGATGGATTGATGGACTGTGAATGATAGCTGCAAGCATACTACTTATCCAGTGACTGGCCTGACAAAAGGCAACTCTAGTGTAACATTCCCAGGTTTGATCCTTGGAAAATGATAGCAACTATCCTTAGGTATCTAGTACTCTCAAATGCTGCAGTTTGGCTCAAATGTTAGACTAACAGTGGGTTATACATATGCCATAAGAAGAAATACGTTTTCAAATCTTCTGTTGTTTTGCTTTGTTGCAATTTTGGGGAAACCGTTGAGGTTCATGATGCAATGTATAGATCCTACTGGGTTGGAATGTTCTCTTCCCCTCAATTCGATGTAACTGGCGGGACATAAGGCTTATCGACATATGCACAGTACATTTGAGAAAAGTGCAAATTATTTAGCTCTGTCCTTCGGAGCGCGCAAAAAAAAAATCTTCCTTTTCTACTCGCTGGCCGTCATTGATAATAATATTAGCCGTCACTTCGTCTTAATGGGGCCGAATGGTGTTAGCCGCTTGGCTTCTCAGTTACTCCGTACTGCAAATGGACATACCATTCGACATCAGAAGCCTCTCATACTCAGGAGACCTAGGCTGCGGTGATCCTCCATTCATCAACAGAGATATAGAATCACGTGGAATTAGGTGCTTTGTACCAAAACTTACGTCCTCGCTCCCGACATCGTTGCAATGATAGATCGTGCCTTCAGGTCGGGGTTAGGTGGTCGCTCGAATAGTAAGAATAGAATCTATGCCCCGCTTCGGTATATAAGAACCACAATGACCCCCTCTCCTTTTCTGTTCACTTCAGCCAACTGGTATTTCCTCATTCACACTATAAGTTTCAATCTAGTAGGGAAATCCTCTCTGGAATACTATGTTTGTCACACTTCGGTATGGAATGGCAAAGGTGATGAAATTCAGTGCATCGAGAGTACCACAAAGCCACCGCATGAAGAGCCGGCTAATCCCCACTTAGCCTGCAATTTGTGTCGAAGCAAAAAGGTATGCAGTCTCCAATGTACGTGATGCGAGTGGCTAATGGGCTTCAAGCTTAGATGTAATGGAGAGAAGACGGGCTGCCAGCGCTGTGTCTCGGCGGGCTTTGATTGTTCCTACAAAAATGAGAGGTCGACGGAAAGAAAACGTAAACATCATCTCTTACCGAACACTAGACCTGAAGGAAGAGTTGCTCAAGCACCCCAGAGCCCGCATCAGAGCAAACTTCAGATATCGCCGGGAAAAGAAAAGCCAGCGAGACGCGCGCTCTCTACACAAGAAATGTCTCCAGAGCTCGATATAATGGTCGTACAGGGGCTGGAAGATCAAGACACCATTTCGCCACGTCAACCCGAAAGCTATTCCAATACAGAGAGGCGGTCAGACTCAATCCATCAAGTGGAAAATATACGTGGGAATTTTGTTCCCACCACCCCAGCCTCTCTCCAGAGACCGACTTCCGCTGCTGTGCCCATGCCAGATGCTGAGCATTCTGCCTTTGAGAAAGAGTTATTCGATCAATACTTCACCACATTAGAGCAAGACAATGATATTTTCAGCCGTGCTCTGCAACAACACGGCGCAGTTTCACCAATGGAAGACGAAGGCGCAACTATCGATATATCAAATTCTAGTGAGACATCTACCCCACTCTATTGATACAATGGCTGGCTCACAGCGATGTTGTGGATTAGTAGACGGAAAATCCTCTCTCGAAGACACCTTCACGTTCAGTACCCACGACTCGCCCCCCTTTCCGGGGTCCCTCAACTCTCTCCCACAAACCATGACATTCCCGAGCACAAGCTCTCGCGGCTCTGGGAAAAACTGCAATCGTAGCCGCTGCGCCTCCATAGACCCGTACGTCGAATCCGACTCGACCCCTTACAGCTGCCAGTGCACCATGTCTGCGCTCAAGATTCTTGAAATGCTTTCCAGCCAATTCAAGCCCGCCGAGGGTCTGTACTCTATGGAGCAAGCACTCTACACGCTGAAATGAAACATCAGACAATGCCAGTCGCTGGTTCAATGCTCGGCTTCTGGGAGAGACTCTGGGGTTGATTTGCTTGTCATCGCGCTGTGTGAAAAGATGACGGCAATCTTCGAGAAGATCTCAGCAAGCTGGGAACGCCAATTACAAGCAGCCGCGCGCATGAAGCAAAAAAAGCCGGGCGTCGCGGCTGGAGTCAGCGAGGCAGACCCCGCAACGCAGAATGATTTTAGGCACTCTCAGTACTCACGGGTAACCACAGGGGGGTATCAAATAGATACCATAGAAGAGCGGCACATGGTGTTTGGGTTGCTGTTTCAGCTGCAGTTGAAGCGGCTGAGTGACATAATGACAACTCTGCGGAAGAATGCCATGGCTAATGATTTGGAGTCGCATCTGGCTATATTGATGCCTACAAATCAGAAGGTCATGGATTTGAAGGCGGCGCTAGGTAAAATTACGATTCACACTCAATGTGGTACCTGCCTTGCTCTCACTTCCTAAGATCAAGACTGATCTCTTTCAATGAATCGAACAAACACAAGTCATGACTTGAAATTCAATCTGCTTTCCCTGCACTTTATTCGCCATAGTGAGGGTAATCTTGTATAGATGATAGACTTCTAAAGTGACAAAGCGATGCCCTTAGTTCCGATCTCAATGACATGAAGTGTCAGGAAGATGGTGATCGGCACCGTATTGACCTGAACGGTACCTCTTGAGGTTTCCGAAGATACGGTATTCGGTATTGGGATTACGCGTACTTTTCGCCACATTTCACAACCTCGGATATGTATCCTCGAGAGAGCTGAGCTCGAGGGGTGAAAGGAGAGCAAGGGACTGGCCGGTTCGCGCCGGCGACAAAGGGAGTGGCGGAGCTCGGTGATCCGAATCAATGGCAAAAATGCCTCATTAGCCAGGCATGGGTGGGAAATGGAAAGAAAGAAAGAGCAGCAAGGGAAAAAACCGTGAAATGCTGATTCGGCGATGGAAGGGACTTTATAGAAACACGCACCAGGACGGAAGGCCGCCAAGCGACACTAATCCTAATCAGGCACGCTATACCGTTTCGCGTAATTCATAGGCAGCACCAGATACGTGATAACCAACTACACCATCCGGCCAGATAAGTACTGCCTATCGTCCAATTTTTGACCCATCAGCCAATTAAAGGTTGCAGAAAATTATTTTGCCATCAGGGTCAAGGGAGCTGTCATTTCCGCAAGCAGGCCACGAATTCCTATCATTAAGCATATTCTACGGGAAAAAAAAATTTGAACAAAAAAGATGATCTCCGTCAGCTTGCGTAGGTGGAATCGCGTACCTCGACCTCTCGCGAACGACAATAGTCTACGATCACGGCCCGGCAATATATATTAGAATCTCTTTTATGTACCCAGCAACAATGAGTAGCGACGGGGAGAAAATTCAGGGAACGATGCGTATAATTTCTTTGATCAGATTGGAAGACTAGCTAAATGAGGGAAGGAGGGCTCGAGGCCCAGGCAAACTGATTTTCCAATTAAAAGCCGAAATGGTTGAAACAAAAACAATCCCATGCCGTCATTTTTTCCACAACATCATCTGATCACGGCAACGTCTCCGGCCTCTCAGTTCTCCGACTCCATGTGTTTTCACCCACACCCAGCCACTTTCCATCGAGGCTACGTGAGACTGCAAATCCCAACATCTCTTTATAGTACACAAAATAATTCTCCCTGCATCTGAGCATTCCAAATTCCAATTCCAACTGTGCCCTACTATCGTAGTGCCTCGATCAAGATCGCCGAGGCTTGCTCTGCAGAAGGGCGCCAAGTGCCAGAATTAGTTGCGCTTAACTGGAACAGGTTGCACGTTCCTTTCCCAGTCCCTGTATGAATGTAATTCACAGCCTTCCAGTTGTGGTAGTAGGCGCATTCGTCAACACATCGTGCAAATCCCTTCGAGTCGAATTTCTTGAGGGACGCAAAATTGCCCACTAGGAGATATTAGTGATGTTTGACCTTACGTTAGAAACGCAATAACTTACCTTGTTCGCAATTAATCTTGAACTTCTTGCCATTGGGTGAGGTAAAGTGGGTGTTGTGACTCTGTGGGCCTAGAGTGCTGTAAGCATGTTTTCATTCCTCACGAGCCATGCCCACCCAAGGAAGAGAAATTCACATTCTGGGAGGCCAGATCCACCCGTCCCTTGACTCGACTGTAGTCCCTCCTTGTCCTTTAGACATTGCTCCAGCTTCTTCTCACAGTCTGCTTTCGTGCGCTTGCACTCCTCGAGCTGAGCGTTGCTTTGCTCCAACTGGTTGCATAGATCGCACAAACCACCAGCCCCTGTGTTACTTCCTTCTTCCGAAGGATTCTCAGTAGTTGGAGGCGGCGGAGGAGTCAATTTCTTCATGTATAGATACCACCTCCGTTCTTTGGCCTCGTTATCACCCGAACCTGTTCCGACGTAGCACGTCTTGAACTTGACAGCTCAGGAGCTTCTAGTACATCCCCGGCCGATCCTGGCATAGCTGCGTTAGCAACCTCTGGCACGCGATCGCCACTATAAGGACCAAGTAAGCCACAGAAATATTGAACCTTGAGGCCAGGAAGGGTTCCGTCTTCCTGCTGATCCTCTTCCGCACAGAGGTCCTCGTGGTCATCTTCACTTGAGGTCTGGGCAAGGGCTCCAGTCACAAGTAGCGATAGAAAGAGAGCCTTGAGCTTCATGATTGTTGTATCTTGCAAGGTAATTTCCGGGATGTGGTCGAAAAACAAAGGATATAATAAACGCAAGACCAAATATGACAGAACCCATACTCAGTTACGTATTGGACACATGTAACTTAGAGTGGATCGAAGCCCTCATGGCGAGTGATCTAGCTATACGAATGAGATACGTGTCATCTGGAGCTCTTTGTGCTGTAACGCAAGTTAATATCGAGACCAGAAACATGCTATGTCGATAAAAACCCCAAGGCCGATTACGGACCACATCAAGCTGGGTTGAGCTGAAGTCTCAGACCTCTGAGACCCAGTGAAGTATTAGCAAGTAAATTCCTTTTTGAAATTTGTGGATCTGATGATTATTCTGAACTTTGCGTGATGTAGCTTAGAAGGAAGTCTAGAGACTTCAGATAGGTTGTTTTAACAAACTATTTGCCGTGTACGCACCACGATGCGATTCTTCCTACCTCAGAGGCAAAGGCTGCCTTGAGATCGATGATAGTAATTTATTTAGCTAGCTGGAAGCTGTCTACATAGTCCATAGTACTAAGGAAGTCTGATAGTTAGGTTCGTATATGCGGTGGTATTATACATGGAGGATTGTGGCAAAGATATCACTGAAACATTCCCCCAGAAAGTGGCATCTTGCGATGACACATCAAGGCAAGGCGATTGATCTAGAGGGGGTATATGTTTGTTTCACAAAGAGATTAGTTTGAACACGCGATAAAATCTTATGTTCTTCAGTCAATGCGCCTCTCTCAAGGATGTCAAACCCAAGGATTCGCTTTCTTCGTTTCGGATTTCATGACAAATTTATGTTCATCCGATCTGATTCAACCAGAATCCTACGGCTTGCTTTGAGATGCAAGTCTATATTTGGGCTTCAAGATCGGAATGAGTGGAAAGCGCGTTCATGGTTGGGCGACGAAGTGGGCGCAGCGTATGCGAAGGGATTTTCTATAGTCTATCAGCGCTTGCCCAACTAGCTAGCCAATGGCAGCGCCCCCTTTTATGCTACCGTTTTTTAACGTAGCGCTATTCTAGCCAAGAGCAGACCGAAAACAAGGAGAGTGAATGATGGTATTCACAGAGATCTCGAATTTATAAAAGGAATAATAAGAAGAATATAGAAGACAATCTAAATACACACACATGCTTTCGGCCCGTTTCATCCACTGTTAAAGCTTCGAACTATTCATCCCCTGCTTGTTAAACCGCCGTCGCCATCCAACGTGCTATACATGTACCCAATGGTTGGTTCCACTCATGCTCAAACCCAGAATTGCATTCATGTTCAGACTTAGTCCACAACACGGATGTACCGGTAGGGCTTGGCCGTGAAACTGCCATCCTTCCAACCAACAGCGCGCTTGTAAGCGACGCAGCCGTAGGTGCCCCGGCACTCGAGAGTGTTGTACTCCTTCTTGGAACTGTCGGCCCACGAATGGAACAGAGTGACGTGGCCGGCAGCACCGCCGGTGCCGGGTCCGAGGGTACCGACAAAGTCACCAGGCTGGAGGTCATCCCAAGAGATGGCCTTAGCAATCTCAGGGAGACTGACGGTGTTGTAGCCGGGAGAATTTGCGTGGAGAGCCATGCTAACGAAGCCCGAGCAGTCTGTGCGGTATTCGCGTCCTTGAGGATCCGGGTATTCGGCGTTCATGGAGTAAGGGATGTGGCGCGAGACCCAGAATTCACCACGGGAGATAATCTCCTTGCGGCTGATCTTGCCATTGTAGGATGAGGTGCCACCGCCAGAGCTGCCACCACCACATTCACCGGTGACCATGCTGCTGGAGCCTGTCTTGACGTAGTAGTCGGTGACATAGCAGCCATCGGAAGTCTTGTCCCAGATAGTGCTGCCCTTGACGTTTTCACCATGAGTCTGGCAAGTGATCTTTACATCGGTACCCTTGGGGTAGCTCGTGACAACAGCATCGTTCGTGGAGGGACCGGTGCGACAGTTGACTCCATCACCAGAGATTGCGTACGCGTTGGCCATGGAGAAAGCCGCAGCTAGAGTCAGAGCCAAGTTGGTGAGCTGCATGATGGCGAATTGGTGCAACTAGTTCGGTATTGGTGATCTTTCTTTAATGTCGCGCTGTTTCTGAGGACTGTTGTGTCTTTGGATTGTGTATTCGCCGGTGGGATCTCTGGATTGAGAAGGAGATGAGGAGAGTTGAGGAGCTTGTTGCTTGCAGAAAAATGTTTGAGCTTTGGACTGGACCTGGATACTTATACCTTGACTGGTGCCTCGATCTTCATCAGGTGCTAGTCACAGTGGGATAGAAAACCAACGAACATGAACATCGTCTAGACGAATTTGTCTAAATTTAGTGCTGAGAGGCTCGTTTAGGAAAGTTGAGATGGACGTCTCGCACTAAACAATACGATGGTCTCCATCGAAGACATGTAACTATACGAAACGTGATTGATGCATTTGAGCTGGTGGTTCCAGGACTCCAATTCTCATCCGCGAGGAGCTCGTAATTAGCCTTTCTTAGCCTATTTTCTCACAATACGGGAATGATGTTACTTGCTTCTCGGGATCAATCCTACATTGGGGCCAAAAAATCACCCATATCAAACATCCGGGGTGAATACGATCTGGGGCCGAAAGCTCCAGAGAGGTATATCATCCGCCAAAAATAGTCCCAATATACGAACCGCACCGGCGATCGCCAGGGTCTAACCTAAAATAAAGGAGATCGAGTACGGAGTACAAGGAAAACACGAGATTGCTTGGCAAACCGAGCATGATCGACAACCTACTCCAGTCTTGAAGATTGAGACGAACACGATGTCGTAATTATTTCCCGAGTATGTCGCTAAAAATAGTCTCCTTTCTTCACGCTAGCCTCACCGTATACGAGTCGCATCGGCGATCGACAGGGCTAACCTTAAAAGGAGGCAAAATGCGGGTGAAGGAAATACGAGATTGGTTGGCAGGGCGAGTGGGGTCGAAAATTCACTTTAAGCATTGAAGAAAAAGATGAACCTAATATAACTACAGTAGTGGAGGAGATTATCTCATCAAGAGATTTCTTCTCATTATCCTCATTCTGAGAACAAAATTTCCAAGCCTCTGCCTTATCCCCCTTCGTTTTTCCTTCTTTTCATCTTGTCCTTTGATCGTAAAAGATCCTTTTTTCCTGTCCTTATTTCCTTGTCACCATCAATTCCCTCAGCCATGACACTATTGTTGCAGCAAGGACTGTTAGATGGTCAAAGCGCATATATGCACTAGGATCAGATCTATGTTGTGTCCTGATAGATCAGCTACGCTGTTCCAAGTCTTGGTTTGAATCACTGCTGGGTCAAAGGTTCCCCGGTGATGACTTTTTCTTGCGGATAATTCGACTTTGTACTCAGGTATTCGATTGGTCTACAAAATTGGCTCAGTCTGGCTTTTTCAATGCTTCAATCCAGCCGGCCCTAGGAGGAGAAGGAAGCGAAATGGCATGACATTTTCAACACAACACGAATAAGCCATCACACTAACACGCCCTACATAGTCAGGAATGTCAATTTTTGAGCGCACGCAACTACACCCGACAGTAGCCCAGCTCATTCACAAACTGCTGGAAAGCGAGAAGGTGTTGGGTACTATTATGCTGTCCCAAACCTCCACACCGAAAGCTTGTGAGCCAGGAAATAGCATTTCCATAAACCTCTCCCATGCGGAATTCGATTTGTCCACGTTCCACCAGCTCTCGGACAAACCAGTCATGGATCCCAGCCAAAGCCGAAAGTGGTACATCAATTTCGCTCTTGGTGACATCAACATGTTTCTTGATGATATGCTTTAGCGAACGCCATTCAGCGATCTCGGTGAGGACCATTCCAAGAGAGTAGTGATCCATGTACATAGCGTACGAGACGGACGGCTCACCAAGGGCTTGCGGATGCCGATAGATGTCTAAAATGGGATCTTCGGAGGCCTGATCACTGATCTCAACGGGGGAATCAGCACGCGAGAAGGCAAATCCGGTCAGATATGGCTGCGTCAGAGTTTGAGAGCTATTGCTTGAGTTTGTTCTTTCCGTGAAGAACAGAATGTTCTCAGAGCGGATGTTCTTGTGTAGCCAGCCTGCGGTGTGCACAGTCAACAGTGTCTTGCAGATCTCCAGCGCCAATTTTAATCTTGCTGTAACACTTGGAGACCTCATCTTGGAGTCGCGGAGCAAGTCTTGAAGAGATCGTGGCGGGATCGAGATGTCCGCCGCAGGCGGATACTCATACAGGAAGACAAACTCATCCATGTCTTCCAGAAACCCAAGACATCTCAAGGTCAGGAAACCGGGACTTTTGGGCAAAGAAAGCAATCGTGCTAGATTCTCGGATCGCAATCGGAGCTTTGACTTGAGCCGTCCATGAACTAGCTTGGCCTCGCATAACACCGGTTTTTTGTCATACTCTGCGATAAATGCTCCACTGGCGCCTGGCTTGGTTGTAGGCCGTTTGAGAAGACTTCTATGTAAATGTTGGGGAGGTTCGTATTCTAGTGGTTGGACACTGGTTGATTCACTGCTGTCGTCAGGAAGCTGCTCGCGCACCACTTTCAAGCCAACTGCGGCAGAGAGAATCGCTTCGCCAGGGAAATCCGTTGTCTTCCAATTTAAACTAGCCTGCAGGCCTTTCAAGGTTTCAATGTCGTGGCTCATGTCCACGACTGCCGTCAGCGTGCGGCCAACCTGTTGGGCGAGTTCTCTCTGCCGAATCGGCTCGAGCAGATTCCAAAGCGCATCCACAATTTGTCTCACGTCTCGAACGAGAGTCTGAAATTTTGACTTCTCCATTGCCGCCCACCAGAGACGCTTGGGCAGCCCGGTCTTATACTGGATCAATTTGGCGCGTTCCAGAATTTCTGTTCGCCGCTCATCGGAGACTGCATGGGACAGAATGACCGGGGCCTGCGACCCTCCCTCCGTGTTTTTGTTTGGTGCTTGACCGGCGACATTAGCAGGTTGAAGGTCAATTGAATACCGCTCCTTCAATTTGTCGCAGTCCAGCCTATCTCTCAGCTGTACCATCAGCTCTTCCGCGAGCACTTGGTTGATCTGAGGCAGCATTTTGCCGTCTGGGGCAGTCAGGCCTACTGTATCTGCCCACTGGACAAAGCGATACTCCTCCACACTGAGCATGGTTCGAAGGAAGGAGGCATCTTTGCCAAAGTTCTGTGCAGTTGACAGTAGCACAAATCCTTTCACACAACCTGCAAATACTTGAAAGGATAGCGATACTACTGAAAGGGAGATTCCGGCTGCTGAAACTGGGTCCATGATGCACCTTCAAACACGATTACATAGATTCTTGGAGTGGAATATTTTCCTTTCGGGGACTTGAGGTGGTCAAGCTCTAGGAGTCTCTTGATTTGAGTGACTTTTAACGTACGGTCATGGAGGAAGGTTTCGGTCGGCATAAAAGACCCATTTGGCCAATAGGTGGTTGCCTGATACCTATCTGCTCTGGTTTCTTGAACACCCCAGTCAAACTCCGCTCAGCTCATTGGGCGTTGAAACTGTCCAAGGATTTAGTCATGCAAAGTTATCGAGTCCAATATGCTGGCAAGTCAGGCTCGTCTAGGTGGCGTCTCGTATTCTCAGCCGCAAGCACGCCCGCGGGCGCTTGGAGAACAAATAACAGAACTGGTCAATGTCAAGTGATCCTGCTTCTGCGAGACCTAGAAACTTGAAAAAAGTTGAAGACAAGAAAGAGTCTCACTAAACTTCCGATCAAGCGAAAATCGCTCGAAATGGCCTCAAGTTCACTCTCTGGACGATCTCTAACATCGCTACCTCCATCGTCAGAAGCTATAAGTGAATCAACGCAGCCCTCAGTACAGCCTCCCCAGTCACCAGTTGAGCCATGGTTCGAGGGAACATTTGTCCCTCATGTCTATGACTTCGTCAGTGTCTTTGGTCCGGTTAGCTTCCATGGCCGATCGCAGATCCCGCCATTGTACTTGGAGCCCCTCGCGGTAGATCAATCGGTCACAATTGGCCATGGCGCTTCATTCACGACATTCAAGAGAGCCATACCACCAGCGCCAGAAAGGTCAATAACCCACATGCTAGACGGCTTATCAATAAGTATGCCTCAAGCTCGAGAGACCCGACCTAAACATGTTGTTTACAAAATTGCAAGTGTCGCCTTCATGGAGGATGGAACACCTACACCACAGACACGCCATGCAATGAAAGCGGCATTAATGGAATTGTACTCACTGAGGCATCCGCCTCTCCAAAGTCATCCCAACATCGTCAAGTTGCTCGGTCTTGCTTGGGGTGCGAACCACTTTGACCCATCCCATCGATTACCCGTTCTGGTGGTTGAACTTGCCGATCGAGGCAATCTGGCGCAACTCCAGCAGACAACGGAGCTCGCTCCTATTGTCAGAAGCCGGCTTGCAATTGACATTGGCGAAGGCCTCAGCATGCTGCACCGCTGCGGAATTATACACGGGGACATGAAATCAGAGAATATTCTCGTCTTTAGCGATCCAGAGAAGGAATATGTAGCGAAGATCTCGGATTTTGGTTTCTCTATGGTTGGAGAAGCGGCGAAAAAAGATGTGTACGTTGGTGGAACGAGAACATGGAAAGCCCCCGAAGCAAAATCTCCAGTTCCCAAAGATCTCCTCCAGGCTACAGATGTTTACTCTTACGGTCTACTTTTGTGGCGCCTGGCAACAGATGGCCAGGATCCATTTCGCTTCTGGGTCAGTTCCACCCTAAAGGGAGAAGCATACCTCCAAGAGCTTGAACGAATCAAAGAGGAAGATCAGCCAGTACAAAATACATCACTGGAGAATTGGTTTATCTCCTATATCTTGTCAAAAAGTAAATACTCTTCCGCAGAGTTGTCAACGGCTTGGCTCGCGGAAGCAATGTTTAACATTCAAGCGGCAATGGGTACTACGGGCACTCAGGAAGCAGGTCAACCCGGCGCCAGCTTGTCAACAACAGCCTGGGAACCTGTCATGCGGTATTTAGTGCCTTGCCTCAGATATCCTCAAGTTGCAGAAGCTCTGCTTGGCCTTCTTCTACAATGGGCAACGGGAGATGACTTCTACGGGCGGATGCCATCTGCTCTAGGGAAATGTCTTAGCATCGATCCCGCGAAGCGAAACTTGCACGAGGCCCTCAATGCGCTCACAGGAAATATCCAGCCACAGCTGGGGTAAGTAAATTTACCCTGTCAGAATGTGGAAGAAATTTTCTAAGGCACCTTTGTTTGCTAACAGACCCCAGGAGAATGGCAGAGACATCCTTCTCCGCATGAGCTACGATGTAGGTAGTCCGCATACTCCCGTCGCATTGATCAGAGGGTAGCTAATATTCTTCATATCAATATAGCATCACGTTCTGTCATGGCAGCAGATGAGAGAGCTCGAGCCAGCGGTGCAATCCTTTGTGTTCCAGAGCTTCCGCGCCAAAGTTGAGGGATTACTATCTCAGCAGCGGGTCAACGCGCCCGACTGTTTCGTTCTTACATCCTACTATATCAATGGCTACGGTACCAAAGTCAACCTTGAAGAGGCCAAACGCCTTTTCCAGATATGTTCAAATGCCAACTACAAGCACCCTCCTTCGCGCGCATATGCATACCGTATCTGGAAGTTTCTCAATCCAAACTTCGTGACAAGCGAATCCATGATTACCAACTTGATTCAAATGGCATTGGATGGTTCACGAATGGCTGCTATGGATCTCAAGGAGGTGGCGCCTGACAAATACCCTGAGATTGAGACTCTCATCCGCGACGTGCTTGCAGGCGTTGGAGGCAACTTTTTCCATGCGAAAGAGATGCTCCATGGCTACGTGTATGATCAATGGGTTCGCACCTTGGACAATCAAGAAGTCCTTGTTCAGAACTTCAAGAACTTGAATCGGATCGCTGATTATAAGGTGAACAAACGGGGAGACGGTATATTACACATGGCAGCCAATACTGGCCGAATACAAGCCATCGAAACCCTTTTGGCTAACTTCCCAGGCCTTACTCTTGATCAGCTCAATGATAAAAGAGAGACTCCACTTCTGTGTGCCTCTCGAGCTGGACAGGTGGCTACTGTCCTCAGACTAGTCGAACTCGGCGCAAACGCTTCCATTGTTGCTCTCAATGGGGAATCATGTCTGCACTGGCTGGTCTCTTTCAAAGATGACGACATTGATGTAATCGGAGGGGCGCTCATTCAAGGAGGTGCTGATCTAAGAGTGTTTACCCGTGAGAAGGTCGCGCACTCTGTATTTTGGCCCACAATCGAGGTCGATCATCAGATTCCCGGTACGCCTCTCAACTGGGCTGTTCATCACAACCGGGCACGCATTATTCAATTCCTCCTGAACAAGGCATCCGATGCGATGATTTGTCTCGATCGAGCGACTAATCTTGTTGGACCCTCACCACTGGAATACGCGGCCTACTATCACCATCTCGAATGCCTGGAGTTGATGCTGGAAGCACTCGACGAAGCGAAGACTACCTATAGTCTCGAGCCCATTATCCGAGCCGGTGTACACTCTGCAGATACATTTTCGATGATTCTCCGACATGGTGCGAGATACAAGGAGCGACTGCACAGGTTCTTGGATTTCTGCCTACGAAAATCGAAAGGTATTGTCTTTATGACGGGAATGGGAGGATTTGACACTCATTTACTCTACTACGCTGTCAGCGAGGGCCATGATGAAGTTGTCGAGTATCTTTTATCCGACGAGGGCAAGAGCTTGGTCGAGTCACTCAACATACATTCCAACGCTGGCCAGTCCCGTCCTGGCGTGTATGACCCAAGCGATATCAATCGACCGGCGCGGGAGGACTGGCGTACACCAGTACTGGAGGCGATACGGTGGAATCGGAAATCGCTCGTTGAGCTCCTAGTCACGAACGGAGCTGATCCGAAAGCATTAGCCAAGAACCCTTTCAGCGATGAAATGAACTGGACAGGCTTCCACATCCTTGCAATTGCCGGGCACAACACAGACTACTCAGAGCTGGTGCCGTTCCTTATCGAAACTGGCCTGCTCATTGACGGCATTCCTAGCAGCGACACCAATGACTCGAACGGTCCAGCGGAAACACCATTGCTCGTCGCAGTCCAACATAATGCGTTCAATCTAGCTACCACCTTCCTCGAGCACGGTGCAGATCCCAACGCCTTGTGTGTCAGCTCTGGGTTACTTTCTCTGGAATTCCCCACCACTATCCTTGGCCAGATCGTCGCCGCTTCGTCACAACACACAATACCGCGTCTAAGATATCTTATCGAGCAGTGTCCCAAAAGCAACGCCATAGAATTCATCGTAGAGCCCGCCCGACAAGTGAGCGTACTTCACCGCGCCGCCTGGGCTCATAAAGGCATAACGCATCGAGTACCGGACGAGTCAAATGGCAGCGCCCTGTCCCGAGAGGAATATGACATGGTTGTTAACCGGGACATTATGCACGAACTGTTGCAGAAGTGGGGAGATCCGGAAACACATTTGAATATTCGCTGTCAGATCCATGGGCGAACTGCACTTCACATGGCCGTCGAAGCCGGAAACCTCAAGGCAGCCGAGCTCCTGGTGGAGAAGGGAGCGGATGTATCGGTCTGTGATGATCTAGGGCTTACCCCCGTTGATCTGGCGGGGGAAAGGTTGAATGAGCTGGGCGATCAGCGCTCTTGGGAACAAGAGGTATATGCTGCCTTGATTTCCTTGCTGATGGGAGACAGGGCGGTGTTTTTTAAATGAAACCTCGCCTGTTCAAATGACAGCGGGCTTGAATTTTTGGTCCTAAAGAATATAATTTGTGTCACTGTCGGTATGGAGATCGATGCCCGGAGAGCGTGTTATTAGTCAACCTGCTTATGCCGCGAGCGGGGAACCTTTCAGGCACCCTGAGATATTTATTTATCCACGATTCTTTTTTCAACTTAAAGTTGTTTCCTTGCAATAATTTCCTTGCCACATCTGAAAATCAGTCTTGAGATTACAAAGTCTCACCATTACACCATAGACATTGAAATATGGCGCCAACTAGCTTCCCAGAGCGTCTTTTGAAGCAATGGTTTCCCCACACAACAACCCCATTCATCGCGAACGCACCAATGCTTGGATTCACGGATTGTCGCCTGGCCGGTGCTGTCACCAGAGCTGGCGGATTAGGTATGCTTACAAGATCCGAGATAAGCTACTTTGACCAAACTCTCAGTTACCTTGATTGCTAGTCAACCGGATCTGACCGGCTCGCTTGGTCCAGCTCGTTAACAACACTATAGGCTTCATCGGGGGCGGGTTTGAATTCGGACCCGAATCAACACAGCTCAAGAACCTAGATACACGTCTGACACAAGCGCGTGCTGAGCTTGGGACCATCGCTTCAACACGAACCCTGCCTCTTGGCATTGGATTCATCACGTTCACACCAACAGGATTCGAAGAAAATGCCGTTGCCATTCTCGAAAAGCATAGGGTCGCAGCGGTTTGGTTGTCATTCCCCAAATCAGACGCTGATCATCAACCTCTCATCGAGGCAATACGCAAAGTGCAGAGCAAGGGTCATTGGGATGTCAAGATTTTTGTTCAAGTCGGCACTGTCCAAGCCGCTAAAGAGGCCCTGGAGCAGGGAGTTGATGTCTTGGTTGTTCAAGGTGTTGATGCAGGAGGACATCAGTGGGCTCAGGGGGCAAGTTTGATGTCGCTTTTGCCTGAAGTACGAGATCTTGTGGCAAATAGTGCGAGAGCAAATGAGGTTGCGATTATGGCTGCAGGTGGTATTGTAGATGGACGAGGGTGTGTGGCTGCTCTGGGGCTAGGTAAGTTACACGCATCCTGGTCTATGAAGATGACGAGTTGATACTAACCTAAGCAGGTGCCGATGGCATTGTTATGGGAACGAGGGTAAGTATACTAGACCCATTTCGATATTAAGGAAATTGCTAATGGATTCTAGTTCATTGCTACCTCGGAATGCCCAGCTCCTCTCTCTATGAAGGAGTCGATCATCGCTGCTACTGACGGCGGCGTCGCGACCGTCAAGACAACCAGGCACGACATCTTCCAGTCTACCGATGTGTTTCCAAGACAGTATGATGGACGGGCTATTATTGGAATTAGCTATAATGAGTCTCAAAGCGGCGCTAGCGATGAAGATATTATCCAAAGATACAACGAGGCCAAGGAGAAGGGCGATGATCAGAGGCGCACCGTGTGGGCGTAAGTTTTCCAATGTGTTCCTTTGGCAAGAACATTATATGAACTATACTAAAAAGTTCTACAGAGGCACAGGCGTGGGAATTATTGACAAGATTGTATCGGTTGAGGAGTTGATCAAGAGTATACAGCAGGAAGCAAATCTGGCCGTTGCACGGGTTATGGAGAGGATCTAGATCGATATGAAATACTAACCTGTTAAGCTCTATTCTAAGAAGAGTCTAGGCTTGCAATATATGCTTAATTTACTTTGGGAGGCATTTATTTAATTCTTTATAGGAGACTTATTGCTCCAACAAAGTGCAAAGTGTAAGATTTGTACTCCAAAAGCAACACGGATATAAGCCTTGGGGTTGGATATTCAGCAAGACACTCAAGGCCAAGCAGGAATTCAAGCATCACACCCAAGAAGAAGATGCCAATTACCTACAGGGCTGGCATCCTGGTTACATCTCAGAAAATCCGACAAATCAAAAGTGCAGAGAGGACGAGGTTATCGGGAGCCACTGCGGAGGCCCCAATCAGGCAAGATTCCCCCCCCTCCGATTCCAAACCCCCCCCCCCCCCCCTCCCTCCTCTTGAATTTACTTCAGTCCGAAACAACCAGCTTCCCCCTCCGCCCCCCTTCGACAGACACTCACCTCCTCTCTCCGCTCCGTGAGGAACCCCGTTCACTTCGGGGTCGTTCACAATTAGCAGACGCGTCTGTCGCACAGCCCCAAACCTGGGGTCTTGGTTTTTGCTTCCGAGGCGCCTTCCGCAATCCACTCCGCACTGCTGGAGAATTGGCCCAGCGGGTCTTCCGCGATTCAATCTCGACTCTCCTACCCTGAGACCCTTCTCGGTGACCCTCATACCTATTAGGCACTCCGCTGTACCTGAGTTACTCGAATCGACTGCATACGAACCCCAGTCCGCCCCGATGAACGAAACAACACCCTCACCTAGTCCGGCGCCCGGGCCGAAAGCCTCCCCTCGCTCCAAGCCCTCTCCCTCGCCGACGGCCGGGACCAAGCGCAAGAGAACGACCGGAAACAAGCTTTATGCGGTCAAGAAGGGGAATAAGCCTGGGATTTACTACAGCTGGCCTGACTGCCTGGCTCAAATCACTGGCTTTAAGGGAGCTATCTGTAAGTGACCTGGTAGCTCTTCAACCCCGAGCTTTACGAGCTCTGCAAGTCCCGCGACCTGCCTTACCTTTTCGCTGGAGACTAACCCCAGACGCGTGCTTTTACAGTTCAATCCTTCCTTACCTTCGAAGATGCCACCGCGTTTCTATCTGGCGCTAACGTTCCCTCCGCAAATGCTTCAGCACACGGCGCCGAAAACACACGATTCTATGGAGTCCAACGAGGCCGGGTCCCGGGTGTGTATACGGACTGGACAAAAGCACAAGACCAGATCCGCGGGTTTACGCGACCCCGGTACCGGAAGTTCTCGACGCGTGAAGAGGCAGAAGAATTCGTGAATGCAGGGAAAGAAGGAGCAATTGCGTCACTTGAATTTGGCGCTCCTGGCATGACCACGGAGAATCCCAAGGACGCAGATGGTGTCGAGTTTGTAGCTGGTGACGGACCTCTGCCACAAGGTGCGGAGGACGGGTTCGATCCCAATGTCCTGCTAGATCCAGCCACCGGCAAGATGGTGTACAAGACAGTTGCCAAGAAGGCAGCGACAAAAACACAGGCCGCGGGAATCCCGGGCATGTTGCGGATATACACAGATGGAAGCTCACTGCGAAATGGTACCAAGCTGGCCTCGGCTGGGGTCGGTGTATATTTTGGACCCGGAGACTCAAGGTTTGTTGATCTTTGTTTATTGAACCAAAACATGGCCAAGTTATTCTGACCCACGATTGATTATCCTAGCAGGAATGTCTCGGAGCCACTCAAGGGAAGTCGACAAACCAACCAACGCGCAGAGCTGACCGCTATTCTACGAGCCATTGATATTGCGCCTCGTCATCGGGATGTTACAATCTTCACCGACAGCCGGTATTCGATTGACTGTGTGACAGTTTGGTTTGTAAATTGGCGACGCAATAACTGGATGACCAAGGACAACAAGCCAGTTGAGAATCGCGACTTGATCGAGTCAATCTTGGTGAAGATTGAGGAGCGTAATGAGTTGAAAGTGAAGACCTTGTTCCAGTGGATCAAGGGACACAATCGCGACCCTGGTAATGAGGCTGCTGATCGTCTAGCGGTCAATGGAGCCCACGAAGGAGTGAGGCAAAAGGCCGAGGCATTGGAAGTCAGTCGGAGGGTGCCTGCAGCGGTATTTGAAGATGACTTTTGAACATGTTCACTGTTTCTTGTCCCAGTGCCACGATAGTCATGAAACATTTCCAAGATCGGGTTTCCAGTTCACGGTTGTTTGATTATGCAGTGCAACCATGTCTAAGCAGCTATCGGTGTAGATGTAGATGCAGATGCATAGGTCACGGAGTAATGTTAAGGCAGCAAGGCGCATTCCTGGCACATTTGCGGATGTCAATACAAGCGATCAATGAATAAAAATTACATAGTCATGTACTTGATTGGAGATGGTTCGGAGATCTGGATCGGAACTTTATCACGACCCGCCAAGACCCGCGTCAACCGCGTGGGATTTTATCCTCCGCACTCGACCGTTTGCTTCCACTTTCACCTCCACCTCCACTGCCATCTCCACGTCCCACTCGACAAGATACTCACCTAAGAAGGAAGGAACACAGTTTCCACCGTGGCTCTCTTCCTGTTTCAACTCTTTCAATCTCACCACATGGTCGCCTTGCGTCGCATACAAGAACTCAAGACTATGATTGCCTAACATTTGCTTTTACCCCCGCTGTCACGTTTTTTCCCCTTGTGGCAGTTCGAAGCAGGTCAATCACGGATCTTTCTAGATCCCCCGTGAATCTTATCATTGTCAAGTCGATCAAGACATTTGACTTACTCCAATCCCCGACATCTCAATCATTATCAGTGGTTGCCACCTTGTTGGGACCCCCGCCGCCGAGCAAAAGCCAAGAGCGAGATGCCGACTCTCGCCTTGATCAACTTCAACATCGTCTGTGCGACGCTCGGAGGCTTTATTTCCCTCTTTGGATTGGTATCCTACCTATGCAAGGAGCGATTCTACCTGTCCGAAGCCTGTAAGTGATTATATCGATTGACGTAATTTCCATTGTAATGGATGGCTTCTGACCTCGTCCGCAGTGATCTCGCTTCTGGCAGGTGTCGCATTCTCTCCGCATGCCGCCAATTTTATCCGCCCGGATGATTATGCCTTGCACTCGGAGCAGAATCTCGAGGCCATCACTCTGCACTTCACCCGTCTAGTTCTGGGCGTGCAGTTGGTTCTAGCAGGTGTCCAGCTCCCCAAACGTTATCTCCAAATCGAATGGCGGAGCTTGTCGCTTCTACTTGGCCCTGGGATGGCTGCGATGTGGCTATGCAGTAGCCTGGTTATCTGGGCCATGGTTCCCAATCTCCAGTTCCTTCATGCACTCATTGTCGCTGCGTGTGTGACCCCCACTGACCCGGTCTTGTCCAATTCCATTGTTAAGGGCAAGTTCGCGGACAAGCATGTTCCGCGCCCGCTGCAGCGGATCATTATAGCCGAGTCTGGTGCTAATGATGGCCTTGGTTATCCCTTCCTTTTCTTCGGCATCTACTTGCTCAAGTATGTTGGTATGAACGGGGAAGGATACAGTGGATGGGCTGGGAAGGCGATGGGCCAGTGGTTCCTGGAGACATGGCTGTATACTATCATCTTGAGTGTGGTATATGGCATAGTGGTTGGCTGGCTGTCTCGGAAACTTCTCCATTGGGCAGAGGAGAAGCGTTATGTTGATCGCGAGAGTTTCCTGGTTTTTGCCATTGCGCTTGCCGTGAGTCTTTGCTCTTCATCTGGATAGGTTTCAATTCTTTGGGCTTTTTTGCTGACCCCTCGAACCAGCTCTTTATTGTGGGAACTTGCGGTCTTATCGGCACTGATGACCTTCTCGCTTGTTTTATTGCGGGTAATGTTTTCACGCAAGAGTATGTTACCGTTACAGATTTCATAAAGAACAGGACTGACAAAGCTTAGTGACTGGTTCCGACTTGAAACCATGGATGACTCGCTCCAGCCGACCATTGATATGCTTCTCAATTTATCGGTCTTCATGTGGTTTGGCGCCGTCTGCCCGTGGTCATCTTTTTTGAACAACGACATCATTCCTATCTACCGCCTCATTTTCTTGGGTATTCTAATCTTGCTTGTTCGTCGGATGCCAATTATTTTCGCAATGCACAAATACATCCATCAAATCGAGCACGTGTCCCACGCAGCATTCGTTGGATTTTTCGGACCCATCGGCGTCGGCGCTATCTTCTACCTCTCTATTAGTCGAGAATTCCTCCGGGAAATCACAGTTGATGGTAAGGTCCGAGAAGATGCCCAGCAAGTCATGGACACCATCAACGTCGTGGTTTGGTTCTTGGTGATCTGCAGTATTGTGAGTTTCTAGCATCCCTTCTATCCTAAAGAATACTCATTCTAACAACACCCCAGGTTGTCCACGGCCTATCAGTTCCCGTCGGAAAGGCTGGCTACAACCTTCCACGCACCATCTCCAGCGCTATCAGCACTAGTACTGTTGATGAGCCTGAGCCGGTGCCGATTTCAAACATTCGCCACACGCACAGTACCGCGACGCCCCGTGCGAATCTTTCAGGACCGAGTCACCGCTCTCGCAAGCGTGGAGCTCAGCATGAATCGCCTCACCCGCCGTTGTTCCGTGTTGGTCGGTCTGTGATTCGCTCACGTTCACCTAACAGGCAGCTCGGCGTGGGATCAATTGATGAGCCCGAGCGCCCTGTCAACCTGGTTACTCACGACACCGTGGTTGCTGTGAACGAAAGGGAGCAGGGCTCGATGAGCCCTGCGTAAACACACAAGGGCCAGCCCGCAGGTAGAAAGGCCTGGCATAGCTCATTCTGGCCCTGAACAGTATCTATCATCTACGGAAGATAGTTTCTTCATTCTCAGTCACCTATTTTCAATTCTCATGATACATTTTGTGTGGGCGAGGGTGGTTTGGAGATTTCGATTGTTCATAGATTACTTTTAGTTCTGTGAATACAAGAGAGCTTTACTTCGTGTGTTGCCACGACTATATTGTAGCCTTTGTACAAGTTACTAAGCTAAAGCCGACCTGGTTGTACAGTGGTAGTTCAAAAGTCTGTGTCTAGAGGCCAGAGAGACCACCTGATAGATATGCTTCTACTTCTTGATTTTTGAAAGGTCTTTCTAAAGATCTTTTCAATCGTCTTTCTCGATAACCTAGGTATCATTTTTTAGTCTATCATTCAACTTGTGATTGATAAAATGATTCTGAACCTTGGTCATGGTTTCAATCTTATGAAACCCTACTGTATCTTCTTGAGCCACATGAAATGGCATTACAATGGAATAGTGTAAGAATCTTTAGATTTTCGGAGCCAATGATGGTTTTATTCAAGAGAACACTGTTACACAAGTACCATTCCAAGCTCCTTACATTCACAAGTAAACAATCAGACAATCTGTAGTACAATCAACTTAACTCAATAATAGACCTTATCTTCGAACAGATGTTGGAGCCACGCCTCTAAAGCGCACTGGCGATAGCGTTGTAGGCAGCCTTGGGGTTGTAGTTGTTGTCGAACAACAGGGGGGAGGAGCTAGAGCGCCACGAATCCTGAGAGAACATGCAATGTTAGTATACCAATCATTTCCACTTTTATGTAAGAGGGGATGGGTATTCACCGGGTCAGCAACACCCCAAACGGTGATTCCAACACACTTGGACTGGTTCAGACAAGCCTTGACAACCTATTGGAATGAATGTTAGTCATGAGCAAATTACCATAGGTACACGTGGGGGTTATTTTTCTCGGAAACTCACATTGACGTAGTCAGTAGAGCTAGCACCAGCAATATCAAGCTCAGTGATGGCAATCTCCTTAGTTCCTGCGCCGGCAAGAGCATTCAGAGCTGTAAGAGGTTGTTAGTTTATCTATTTAAAATAAATAGGAAGGCAGGGGGACACTTATCCAGCAACATTAGCACCGGCACCAGCGCCCAGGTGGGTTTGGGAGCCAATTCCGTCAATGGGAATACCGGCAGCAAGCCACTTCTTGACGTGGCTGACCATGCCGTTCACCTTGGAGTAACCGGCGGAATCCAGGCTTTGAAATGTCAGAAGAGGAACATCTCGCGAGGGCGAGAGAGCTATAACTCACTTGTAATCGTTGATGTACAACTTGGCATTGGGGTCGACGGACCGGGCGGTCTCGAAGGCGATGCGCACGTAGTCTTCACCGATGACTTTGTAGAAGACGCTGTTGCGCAGGGAGCCGTCTTCGTTGAAGATCTCGTTCAGGACGTCCTTGGATATGTTAGAAAGGGGGCTTGATTGAACTTATTTTGTGGATGGGACTTACCCAGGCGTAGATCTTGCCCTTGTAGCGGGTCATCACGGTGGTGATGTGGTTCTTCAGGACACTGATGAGAGTGTTCTTGTCCGTGATGGAAGAGACCCATCCTGGGAGCTGAGAGTGCCAGACTTGATGGGGTTAGCGTTGGGGCTATGACTATAGAAACATGCAGTTCTAGGAACTTACCGAGAGTGTGGCCACGGATCAGCTTGCCGTTGGACTGGGCAAAGTTGACCTAGGATATGTAAGAACAAAGCAAACAAGCATATGTCGCAGGCGTACATACAAGGTAGTCCGAGCCGGTGAAGGAGAACTGGCCTCGGTTTGCTGTCTTCCAAATCAGTTTCTGCTACTACTAGTTGCATGGAAATAGTTAAAACTAACGCTCAGTAGCATCCCACTTCATGCTGTTTTCGGGGGTCAATTGGCCGAAGTCAGCCTTGATGATGGCCGGGTTCTTCGAGTTCTTGGTCAAGGTGTACTGGTCACCAATGGTTCCAAGATACTTCTTGCCGTGGGCCTTGAATTTGGCATCAATGCTGACGGAGGCCTGTCGGGAGTCGATCTCGACAGGGCTGGAAAGCGCCTGGCCGGCGAAAAGGAGCGCCAGAGCAGCAGTCTTGAGTTGAACCATTTTTAGTGATGTGTTTTGTTCTCGAGTAGGTCGATGATGAGAATTGTTGTTGATTAAAAGCTATGATTTGGAGGGATGGACCCAGATACTTATACAAATCAGTAGTCACCATCCTAAAGGAGGCCGTGCCATAGTCGAGGGGCTAACCAAAGAATATCCTTCCCCGATGCAAAACGGACGTCGCACCATGTATGCCTTCAACCGATGAGAAACGGATGTTCCCCATTCAATCCAAGACCCCTGTAACTGACGTGAAGATACTCAAACGATATTTTAGCCGACACGCTTGCCAAGAAGACTTCAGCCTGAACATCAAATACTGCCAAGCGCTTCTTCAAAAGGGCCATTACAAGTTCTAGCCTTGAGATGTAACAATAAAAGGACCTAAATATCTTGGCTTAGGGTCAGGAGGTGAAGACTACGGTTAATGGAAACAAAAGGGTGCCTGGCGAGTGGAGACAATGGCGGACAGGTGGATCACCAGGGGGCTTACCTAGTCAATTAACTTAAAACTAATTCAGCCATCGTTAATCAGGGTCTACTGTATATTTCTTCACAAAACGTCGGCCCCGCAAACTACTTTTCAACTTCGGCCCTCCGAGTCTACCTCCGAGGTACCTCCGGCGCCACGTCGGTTGTGTGAGCCCTGAAGAACATCCCGGTAACGCACGTTGTTGACTAAGGAAATATCTACCAAATTACTGTTATCAGAACTATTTAGTGCGTTTCATGGTAAGATAGCTCTCTCATTGTAAATTTTTAATATGGGAGAGGTTCGTCCAGCGCCACTATCATGATCTTTACCATTCCCTGTGGGATTAATGGACAGCATCACAATCAAAGACTATCAAAACTGTTTACATCCGCATCACGAGGTTCTCGGAGGAAATTGCGTTAATGCCAAGCATCGATGAACTTTCAAAGGCCACGTATTATGATAATAGTCACAATTATTGAGCGCAAGATTCTGCCCAGCTTTCATGACTTTCTAAAGAGATTCCAATCCAATAAACTCATACTCGACTAGCCCTACAAGGAGATTCTGAGGGGCTTCAGGATGACATCAGAAACAATAAGGGAAGTACACCGGCTGAAAAGGATTCTTCACAACATTACAGGACCCTGCATGACTTGTGTGGAGTAGCTTACCCAATTATTGCTCGTGATGGCTTGATGAAAAGGTTAGGGTGTTTTGACGGTGGACGCCTACCCCGGAAAATCTTCCGATGTAGTTAGTCCTGTTTCGGGAATCGAACGGCCACTTCCACATTTAGCTAGAGCTGTGGATAAAAGGAGTTTCTGCCGGCTGATTGTTTCAGTTCGGCATTGAGAGAGAAATACATTTGCCGGAGTCACAATGCAAAGACATGGACTCTTGCTCCTCTACTCTGTAGACTATTCTACCAATTAGTAGGCTTTCTTAACACCGGAATGCAAAACAATATGTCAAGGAATATCTGTCCTCGGCGGGATCATACCTATACAGGCTGTCCTGGCTTGGGCTCTTGTACAAGAGGACTACTGAAATGGATATAATGAGCAGGTTTCTCAATGACATACACAAAACTACTGCAGGAAAAACACGAGGATGCGAAAATGCGGGGATACGAGGACTTGCAGATTTTCCCACACTTTCGCCTACATTTCCCCAGGCCAAGAGCCTCTATTATGCAGCCACAGCCTGATTCATCACTCACCAATCCTTCCCTGCATGATCCTTCAGTCCCTTATGTCCACGAGTACACAGGACACCCGATGTCGGATCTGGAGTACCTATCAACACGGAAAATGATGCTCAGAAAAAACAAGAGATATTATGGAATAGGCTGAGGTCAGTAAACTCAGCAGCCTCGAAACTCATATTACCAAAATCCCCTACAACTCAAAGGTACTGGTCGGTCGAGGCTTCAATCCAGCTTTCTCATAAGTCCGATCGATGACCTCCATCTGCGCAATACTCTCTGCCCCATCAATCCACACACCAGAGCCCTCACGACCCTTCACCCGATTCACAAATTCTTCTAGTTGGCAGCGATATGAGGTCCACCAGTCTTTGTAGACTGCAGCACGCCTGTCTCCCTCGGGCCAGTTATATGCCGTTTTGTACTTTGTCTCATTCCAAGTCTTCGTTACGTGGTCTCCTTGGCGTAGTGTGTGCTCATCCGAAATATCGATCCGGTGGTAGAAGGTTGGAATTAAAGGATTCCACATGGTCAGAGTCCGTTGCACAAAGTGCTGGCTCGAGTTATTGTCCTCGCCATTCGGCATGTCAACAAGCACAGGTTCAAAAGTGACCGATGCCTTCGGCCATTTGAAAGAGGGCAAGGCCCTGGTCCAAGATGCTGGGAAAAATGAAGGCCATTTTCCTTTGTGAAGAAGATCTCCACTAACGTGGACATTGACCGATTCGGCCGTGCGGTATGTTGCCTCCATTGCCTCGTCAATTTGCGGCTCCCCGACTCTTCCGTCTTTTCCAGGTTGTACCCCACGGTAGCGCACATCGATGGGCTCGAGAATCTTCTCACGTCCCAGAATCTGGCGAGCGATAGAAAGAGGGTAGGTTCCCGCATCCATCATGCAACCGCCGCCCAGGGCATATCTGAACCGGATATCTTCAGATCCCAATATACCCGGTGAAAGGTGAAATTCAGCACGGACGTTTTTGATGGCCCCTGGAGACTTGCGAACCTCCGAGAGAAACGTCTGAAAGCCTGGGTGGAATTGATAGTGGAAGGCTTCTAGAAGGACAGGGGCATTTTTAGCGGTCGTCAATGGATGATTGAATAATTTCTTTGCCTCAATGGCATTTGAGCAAGATGGTTTCTCTAAAAGAACATGTTTTCCTGCGTGAATTGATCGCAGGGCCCATTCGTAATGCATGCCATTGGGCAGAGCCACGTAAACGGCATCAATCGCGGGGTCATCTATCAGCTCTGTTCGAATAATTACAAATGAGTATATGTTTACCATCGAGTTTTTAGAAGGGCGTGTCAGGACCTTGGTAAGATGCGTGCACGATAGGAATTCCATGTGTCTTGGCATACTTTTTGGCGCGTTCGATGTCGCGAGCTGCCACGGCTGCCACGATGACATCCGGATGGGACTTGGCTGGATTCACAACCACAAACGGTCTATTGAACAATGGTTTTAATCAGCTGATAATCCTGTCAATTCATGATGCCTAGAAACACGAACGCGATTTTCGAAGCACCTAGCAGGCCGATCCGGATAGCATCATCATTCTTAGGGGCAGTCGGAGGAAACACGACTGTGTAAGTCCTCTGCAAAACGTCAAAGAGGAACATATTAGACTCAATTAATGCCGGTATCCCAGCAATCAATAACTAAGCTGAGTTGTTGCTAATCGCTTGATGGTGCTGGCTAAGAAACTTAAGAAAGCTCAGGTCATGGCTCAAGGAGGCTGGGAAAGCCATGTCTCCGCCCCTTAACAATGTCAACGGTTAAGTTCCCCGCACCAGAGCACAAGGGTAGCCAATGACATTTATGATAGTGATAGTATGACGCGTAGCTACGTGACACAATGATCAAAGCTCTTTTGAATAGTTACATTAGTGTGTTAAGATACTTTCACTATCAGATCCAGCCCTTAAAATCCTTCCTCAGAAGACCCTCATGCTAATGCCTTATTCTCTCACAATGGATTCTCGAGTCCAAGGGAATAAAAACGGCGATCCCTAATAATTTCGACGAGACTACATCACTTCGATAGCTTTCAAAAATATATATGCTCGCCTGTCGGGCATTGTGTCCACCCGTGATTAGACCACAGCGCTACGTAATTGCGCGGCTGAAATGCGATATGGTTTATGCTGAATCATGCTATGATATGGGGTCTTATATAGGTAGGCTGCGGACTAAATGAATGTGGACATAGTATGGCTCAATCCCTTCATTTCTGAAAGATAGATGTGTAACACCCTACGAAGTTTTTCTCTTCAAATACCTTATTATTACAACTCTCTGAATCGGGTATTTGTAATTCCCATTTCAATGTGTAGCAAAGTGCAGGTTTTATCGCGAAGACCTTGATACTACAACAAGGTCGGCATCATGAACATACGCGCCCCGGTCTCCCATCAATCCCTGTCGACCATGCTGTAAGCTCGAGGACAAACAAGCTACCGCTGAAGTCATAGTTAGAAATTAAACCGACTCGGAGCTAAGAATACACCGAGCCTTGTATTATACTTAAAGGAGTCAACCAGGTAAGCCGTCCGTAGAACTCGTATTCCCGACAGCCCCCACCCTGATTTCAAAGCAAGCGGACAGCTTGTGGCGGGCACCTTAATACGAGTGAAGGTTAAGCTTCCTTTCTCCTCGCAACTTTGATTGGACACATCAATAGAATTAGAGTACGAGGTACCACTTTAAGTCCCTATATCAACGCATCAAAAGTCGGAGGTAAAAACCCCGACAGGCCCACCGGCCTCCGACTTACCGATGGCCGATCACTTGAGGATCTATAAAAATGTGAAGTTGAAGCTGTCAAAATGGACATTCAGAATCATTCACAGTAACGATCTATTCAAGAATACTAAGCTCAAAAGCATCATACAATGTCCGCTCCTACCACCATTATCTTCGGCCCTACCGGCCACGTCGCCTCCGCCGCAGCCATCACGGCACAACAGCTCGGTGCAAAGGTGGTTCTCGCATTGCGCGACACCACAAAGCCCATTACAGGCCTGACCGACGATCAAGAAAAGTCAGGAGGTTTCGAGCGTGTCCAGGCCGATCTCAACAAACCGGAAACCATCCAAGCCGCCGTCCGCGCAACCGGGGCCAAACACGCCTTTATCTACCTTGCCTACGGCAGCCAAGACAACATGCGCGGGACCATCGAAGCACTCAAGACTTCTGGCGTTGAATTCGTGGTCTTCCTGAGCAGTTTCTCTGTCCAGGGAGATCTCAAGAGCATCGAACCGACAGCTTTCATCCCATACCTCCATGGACAAGTTGAGCTCAACCTGAAAGAAGTTTTTGGTAGTGATGGTTACATCGCTCTTCGACCTGCTTTCTTCAATACGAATGCGAGATGGTGGGCGGGTATGATTCGCGAGGGTGAAGTCAAGATTGCCTACCCGAATAGCTGCTTTGACTGGATCTCTCCGGGCGATATTGGCCGTGTTGCTGGGAAATTCCTTGCCCAGGGGATTCAGGCAACATCCGGTGCCCAAGAGCGCAACTTTGTCACTCTTTGTGGACCGAAGTTGGTGTCACAGGGCGATGCTATGGGTATCTTTGGCAGGGCGATTGGCAAGGATGTTAAAGTCACGGAGGTGGATGCGGAGGAGGGTACCAAGATCTTGATTGAAGGTGGTGTGCCGGACTTTGTTGCAGGGCCTTTGGTCAAGGCTTTGGCTGGCGCTAGTCAGTATGAAGGGGAGAGGTATACGGAGGGAGTTCAGAATCTCAAGAAGTATGCCGGGCAGGTCACTAGTTTGGAGGAGTGGGCTGCGGCTAACAAGGAGGTATTCGGTGTTTGAGTAGTGTGGTATTATTGTAATATCTCAAGTTCATCCCAGATTGTTTTCTTGATCCAATATATGGTTGTCTTTTGTATGCGTCTTGGGCATTGTATCGACGGTCACTGATAATCGTAACCTGAGTATGCGAGCGAGAGATGTCATGGGTTGAAATGACATCTCAAAATGATCAAAATCATGTAAACAATGTAAACCATGTAGACCATGAAGTAAAAATAGCAAGCGTTTGAACCTAAGTCGTATGTGGGAAACAGGTCGCTCGCGACACGGCATAACGACTTGCCCCCGGTGCAAAGATTGATACAAGAAAAATTTCATAGTGAACCCGACGCCATGCATTGATACAGGTATCAATAACTACCGCACAGGTGGTATTGATACAAAAAGCAAATGAAAAAACAGGAGAAAAACCATTGATAGATAAGGGTCCAGAATTTCTTCAATGAAGAAGTTCCAGTCCCAACAACTACCACTATTGCACATCAAAAAAAAAGAAAGAAAAAGGAACAATGCCCGATCCGGTATTAACCATAAACATGACAAGACTCGGCATTACGAAGCTCGACAACGAATCCGAGTTCAAGCTTCCCGATTAGATCAATCATCCTCATGGGATCATATCGCAATTCATCCCCGCAGCTCACATTCATCCCCATATCCAGATCCACCTCTCTCCGAGCGTATCGTCTCCATTCAGTCCATGCGTTTAGGTTTGTCATGCATCAAGTATCGTAACACATCATGCAGAAAGACGAAGTTGACTCCGGTGATGCGTGTGGAAAACATAATTCAGGAAAGCGTCGTGTAGTTAGCCTTTGAGAAGCTAAACGGGTGCAGTGTAGTCGCCGAGAATCTTGCGGGTGAAGTGCATCATCCGAACAACCCAGTCAACAAGCACAGGGCTTGGCTTGTTCTGCTGGTTGGCCTCCTGGGTGGCGGTCATGTAGAAGCCGTGGAGGCGCTGGCCGAGTTTGTTCATCGTAATGGGGACGACCTGGCGCAGGTCTTCATTCCTGACAAGGGACATGCGAATTCCGGCGTTCTAGAAGGACAGGCCATGTTAGCAACGAAGACCAGGGAGGGGATAATAGACTAAGACGTACTTGGCGCGATTCGGGATCGACCATGGTGAGAACGGTCTCCAGCCACTTGAGGCGCTTGGCGATGTTGGTGTCCAGGGAGACGGTCACGGCCACGGCGACGGAGAGGTTGAGCATCACGTTCAGGTTGAGCATGTACTCCGGGTCGATACGGGTGAAGAGGAGGTCGAAAAGGTCGGCTTGGCGGCTGGATTCGATCCACTATGAGGAAAAGTGTGTTAGATAGACAGTTCTCCCATGTCAAGGATCCGGGGTTAACATACCTTCAGAGTTGCTGCTTCATATTTACCGTCCTCGAAGAAAAGCTTCATGATGGCATGCATCTCGGAATCACCCGAGGGCTGGGCAGGTGCAGGTGCCTGCTGTCCAAGCAGAGTCGAAACCTTGGCTGAAAGTTCCTGGAGGGCAGCAGACAGGTGATCAATCTTGGCATTGTCACTCTGGCGCTGAGCCTCGTATTGCTTCACCTGCGAGCGGAAGAACTGGTCAAGATCAGCCTCAACCTTCTGAGTGCTGCGAGTCGCGTTCTCCACCAGAGGCGCGATGGCATCCTGGACAACAGTGTCAAGACGGGGCGACAACTTCAGGATGACAGAGTCCGAGATGGTCTTCAACACGGCAGGCTGCTGCACGGCAGCGTTGACAGCCTTAGGCAGGGCCTGACGGAGCTCGTCGTTGAGCGCACCGCCAAGCTGCTGAGAGACGGCGGCACCGATCTGCTTGCCGACGGCGGCAGAGGTGGCATCTGCAATCGTAGGAAGGACTTCATTCTGGATGCTGTCCGACACAATGCGGGCCAGATTCTTCTCCACGTTGTCAGAAAGGGTGCTGGAGACGAGGCGGAGGACTTGATCCTGTTTCGCGGACGAGGCAGCATCCCAACTCCGGCGCTCATCGTCGAAGCGACGGTAGAGCGATTCGAATTCGCGGCCAATGGTCTTGTTGAACTCATTGGAGACGCTGGTCTGAAGGCTCTCCATGTGCTTGTTGAGAGCTTCGTCGGAGATGCCAGCGCGGACTGGGCCAGAGGTGAGACCAGCCGGGATGGCACGGTCGTGGGTATCGTCTGCGGTCATGGCTGGGGTGGATGATGCAAGGGTCTCGTTGTGGGTGAGAGTGGGAAGAGGTTCGACACCGACTGTGGCAGTTGGCTCCTTAGCCTTCACGTTCGTCTCAGAAGTGAGGGCAGGTGACTTCTTCTTTTTCTTTTTGTCAAACTTCTCCGCGCTACTGGGAGCCTCAGTCTGATCTTTGGCCGCCTCCTCAGCAAACTTTTTCTTGGGAGCAGCCTTGGTGGGGGACGCGTTGCGCGATGGGGCAATGCCGGCAGTCGCGTCAACGGTGTCTGCCTTCTTGACTGCCGCCTCCTTGGCAGAGCGGGACGGGTTTGACGCAGTGTCCCCATTGATAGAGGGCTCATCAGTGACGTAGCTTGGGAAGGTCTGGAGATCAGAAATTTCGATAGAACCAGCTTCCAACCCATCAATAGCACGAGAGACCTTGTTGTCCTCAGTCCAGCCTAGATCCTCCTTCTTGATGTTCAGGCAGGTAACACCACGCGAGTGCATGACATACAGCTCGAACAAGCCGGTCTCCTCAGTACCGCGCTTATCAGCAGCAGACTTGGTAATCGGCAGAAGCTCCAGGCTTCGCAGCTGACCCTTGGAACCAAGAGAGATCTCCCGGATTCCACTCAGGCAAGCAGTCGATTCGGGCTTGGGCAGAGTACTATCCTTGTCGGTGGCAGCCTTGATGAACGCCACCTGGGACATGGCCGGCAGGTTGTAGCGAGGTGCAGACAGGTGCACAAAGTAGATCGAGTTGCGCGTGGGATGACCAATGACAATGATGCCTGATGCAGGGTGGTACGCGACGCTGCAGATGGCATCTGACTCGTTCTCGTGGGGGAACTTGACCTCCTCCACGGCCCTGCCTAGCCCAATATCCCAGAGCTGCAAGGTGTGGTTCTGCTTGAGACCCACTAGAACGTAGCGCAATGCCATAGCGCGCGAGTACGCGCGAAGCTTATCGAGGAACAGCACAGATGTAGGCCAAGACTTCTCAGCAGGCGAACCGGTGACGAAGGTGTTGAGGGGCACCCGAACCTCCGTCGGGGCCTGGCCCTCGAGGAAGGAAGGGTTATCCAGGATATCGCTGATATCCCAGAAACGCAAACGACCGGTCTTGTCGAGAGAGGCAATGACAGTGTCATCGTCACTGAAGGCAAAGTCCTTTCCAGCCTTGCCAGTTGAGATCTTCAATGCGCGCTCCTTGAAGAACTTCTCGGTGTTGACAGTGCGCTGGGAACCAGCGACACCGTAAGCAGCAGACATAGCCGCCTGGGGAGAGATCACGTAGATGTTCTTGCCACGACCAATGGCAAAGAGGTCGGGGTGACGAGAGCTTCTCTTGGCCCGCGTTTTCAGCTGGCCGCCAGAAGTATTCTCGTCAGAGGCAGGGAAGGGCGGGAAGATCAAGCTTTCGCTTTCCAGAGCATCCTGCTCGAATAGATCCTTTCCAACACTGGAAATCAAGGCCCAGTAGACAGCACCGCTGACACCAATGCCGAGAATGGCTTGGACCTCAGACTGGCCAGAGGTCGCGTGAGTAGTGCAAAGAGAGACATTGAACACACGGTCACGGGTAGCACGGAAGACCTGTCGGTCACTTCCGTCGTCCTGACGAATGATTCTGATACCGCCAGTCTTTGCAAGAGCGTACACAATGTAGTCCGAAGTCGCTGCGGTCAGCGAACGATCCAGCTGGTCAAACTCCTTCTTGAGACGGGCAATGTCCATAATGCCATCATCACGGAACTCCACAAGCTTGGCAGTGGCCGGCTTCACGGTGATCGAGATGAAGGGTCGAAGAGGGAAGTTGTGAACAGAAATCACACGTTCTTCGTCCTTCTCGGCGCTGTCTTCAGCGCTCTCCCAGCTGTCAAGCAGGGCCTCGGCAGTTTCATTGCCATTCTGGCCAACAGGAGCGGGGGCACTGTCAATAACAGCCTCCTTGGCGGGCTCAATGTCTCTTTCAGGCTGTGTGGCTTCTTGAACATCTTGGTTCTCAACCTCAGCGCGAACCTCTTCAGCTCTGGCGATAGTCTCACGCATGTGGTTGCGAATGGACGCGAGAAGATCTTCGGGTTCTCTTGCCCGGGTGGCTGGAACTTCGACGTTCAACTCAACCTCACGCTGGGAATCAGTGCCATTGATGGAGCGACCGATTTCACCCACGAGACGGTTGACAACATCATTCATAGCCTTCCGCTGTTCAGGCTCCAAGATAGGCGACTGGTTTCGCTTCGGAGGGCGTGCCACTTGGGGAGCGACAGGTGGTTCAATGGTAGCAGTGACATTGACCTTCTCCTTCGTAGTCACTTCCACAACTGGGGCCTCGGTATCGGAAGCGGACTGCGGAGACTTGTTTTGAGGAGAGATGGCAGCCAGCTGATCGAACGGATTGATATAGGTGAACATGGAGTCCTTAGAGGGGGATGCGACCGTTTCCGGCTTCGCAATCTCCTCAGGGCTGACGTCCAAGATTTCAAAACTGCTCTCGATGCCCTTGTCCGACACCGACACATGACCATCTAGGACTTGGTGGGGAGAAGTTTGCTGATCAGCGGGAACCAAAGCGGGTGCCTCCACTACAGCCGGGCCAGGCTGAGCTCGGTTGAGCAGGCGTAGCAACATGTCCTGAGTGTTTTCACTAGGACCCTCCTGCTGAACAGGAGGAGCTGGTGCCGGTGCATCTGCGGGAGCGGCTGGAGGCTCTGCAGCAGCCGCCTTCTGGTCGAACAGGGTGGCTACCAAGTCTGACGCGGAAATGTTTCGTCCGTGCGACGGGACCGGCTCCTGAACGGAGGGAGATCGAGGCTGCTCGGTGGCGACAGGTTGGACAGGCTGAGCAACAGCACCAGGACCCTGGCTGAATCTCAGCAGGTTGAGCAGGCTAGCAGCGCTATCCTGGTTTGCTTGCTGGCGAGGTGGCGGCGGCGCGTAGGGCTGCTGCTGCCACTCAGCACGGGGAGTCGGCACATTAGGGCTGAGGATGTCCGAGCCATGGTGAGGTGGAGTATTCACAGGGGAAGGACTGTAAATGGCCGAAGAAACCGAAGGATGGTGATAACCGTGCAGCTGGGGATGGGGGAAGCTCTGACCATCGTACGGCTGCTGCTGGTGATGCTGGGGGTGCTGGGGGTGCTGAGGGTGTGGCGGGAACATGCCCTGAGGGTAGGGCTGCTGGTAAGGCTGCTGAGGCTGCTGAGGCCGCTGGTAATGAGGGTTCTCCTGAAGTTGAGCATTCGATGGTGAAGGTCTAGGCCGAATGCTGGCCAGCAGGGCCTGGAGATCGTTGGGGGTGGACATTTCTGCCGCGCGCCGTGGATGACAGGCGACCTCCGCACGAAACCCAAGCTAAGGAAGCTCTCAGATAGCTCTCTTTCGAGAGGGAGAAAGGAATAAAAGCCAGTCAAGTTGATGAAGGGAAAGTGAGTGACCAAATTGGGTCGGTTGCGAATCGAAGGATGGGGTATTGAAGAGAAAGAAGAGTGAAGGAGATGGTTGTGCGAGATGAAAAGGATTGTGACGGCCAAATTGGAGAAGTAAAACGTCGCGGTGGCTGGTGCCGTGGCTAGAATCTGTTAATAACGGTAATTACCATACGCCCATGATCGGATGCCGAGTCCCTCTTTACCACTTGGGCGATCGCCGCTACGCCTTCGAGTCCGATCACTTTTAATCATTCGATATTCTCTACACGTCATCTCCATCTCGCATGGCGCTCTGTGGATAACACCAGTCTGTTACAGAGCCTTCCCTCTACATACACCCTCACGCCCCAAATACATCTCACTTCGGCCCAGCTCCCGCCACCGGCTGGCGTCATCCACCATGTTCTGTCTTCGCAGGTAAGCACGCACCCAACTCGGCATACAAGGTCGGGCAACGACAATAAACTACCTTCAAATCTAATCATCATACTTTGCTCTTTTTAGTTGGCTCCCTCTACTATTCATTCCAACCAACGCCTCCCCTCTTTTCATCATCTCCTTCATCGCCCTCACCTATATCATCCACCGACCATGCATCTACTGCTCCGCACTCCTCCTCATCCTCTTCGTATCATCCTGCCACTGGTCCGACCGATGCATATTCGATCTGCGCAGTAACTGGTTCGCGCCGCGCTATAGCTCCGCGCCTGCCGAGAGCTTCCTTTCAGGCAACGCCACCATGGCGGCACCCTTGCCGGGCGACAGCCTGGCGGGCTTCGTCTTTGACACATTCAACTCGACTGCAAAGGCATTGGCCGGTGCGGCGCTAGAAAGCGCACAGCAAAAACTTGGTGTGGAATCAAGGCCGGAAGAGTGGACGGGTGTGGGCTTGGAATGGCTGCGAAGTCTGCTGGGACGCCGAGAATGGACGCTCCCTTGTGTGGATGTGAAGGTACGGTTATAAACTCATGAGCGACAAGATCTGATTCAGAGCTGGGCTCTGGACTGACTCTCTTTCGTGATTATCGCCTATTGGACGTTGAATTTGAACTCAATTCTCTACTGTTGCTATTGAGCACGCAGACGGAACCCTGGACATGAAAACTGCACACCACCCTTTCCAATACTGACATGACACTGGACTTTGACTTTGCTTCGATAATTCGATTTACCCGGGATTAACCTGGTTCTCGCCGTTGGTACTCGCATTGCACTGTATATATGAAATTGGAAGCACTATTATGATTAGACGGCCTTGGCCTAGCACAACAAGCATTTTTCCATTTCCATTCCTATTCAACATAACCACAATTATCCAATCCACAGCCTCGACATCCATACTATCCCTAACTCACAACAATCCGAACTCTCACGAGACCTTCCCTTCAAACCGTAATACTCGGAGTCGGCGTCACAGTCATCATCCCACAACTAACGCCACTCTTCCCCGGAACCATAGTCGAAGTCACAAACGTATTCATCTGCATCTGCATCGACGGAGTCGCAGTAGCATTGCCACCACCACCTGGTACCGACAAACAGATACCAAGGGAGTTCAAGAAGCTACTAAGAGCGGGGACGCATGCCGCGCAGGAACAGATCTGTACAAGCAGCATATCAGTATCAGTATCAGTATCGCGCAAACACCATCCAATATTTATTGGGAAAGGATCTCGGTAGATAGATGTATACATACCCCTTGTAACCCATTCGTCAAACACTTCGACAGTGCGGCGGAATCTCTAGCTTGTAGAGCAGACGCGATACAGGAGATTGTACCAGTAAGACCGATGCAGGCGTTTAGATTGCAGGTTGGGGGGAGAAGTTCGACTGTGAGTCTGTTTTGTTCGAGTACTGGTCATACATAGCTTGGTTAGTATAGTATAACACAGTGGTGTGTGAAATATGATTTCAACGGTGGCGACGATAGCCACTGTCTCTATCATGCGCCAGGATCATATCAGAGCAGAGTACATACAAGACAGAGGCTTAACGTAGCTTCGCTCATGTAATCTCGAAGATGACGCCACTTTCGAAGACGAGGACTCCATACTCGCCATGCCGGCTGTCACGCCCGCCAGAAAGAGTGTCGAAATACCGATGCGCATATTGGCTATAACAATATAACAAAGCAAGAATCGACTGTCCAATTCAATCTTTATGTAAATATCCACCTGATCTTCACCAGAAAAATGCCCAAAAGCTCCTATTTATCTTTACTCCCAACACCAACCAGACTCAGTGACGGCCTACCAACGTTGTAGTCTTCAGCATCCCGACCCGTCACACTATCAACATCACCCCCTCCCTCCTCACAACGCAAGCAAAGAAATACTGGCAGCTATGCTACCAACCTGGGCAACACCCGTGTGATATTGATACGGATAGCTGCGAGTATAAGTAAGGCAAACTGGGTAGATTGAGGTCACACTAGGTCACATCAGGGGGATCGAGCGTTATTGCGGTGATTCTTTTAGGTGGATAGGTGCACTCAAGCTATTCTGGTAGGCGAGGGGTGTCAATTTAAAGATCTGAGCTTAACTTTGGGCGAGTGTACGGTTTGATTGGGGTGGGTACATTGTAGAACTTCCATATTGTAGGTACCTCAAACCCAATTAGAACCGCCATCGTTCCTGAAGAATAGGATCTCCACACGTACACGATAATGCGTCACCAACACAAACATTCACACGTCTCCGGTCCCTAGATCACGCATATAGCGATGGAACACTGTATACCTTCCCAGTCAAACAGAGTAGCCCCTTACTAGGCACAGCACAAGATTAAGAATCGATTATGGAACATGGATTAGATATAGCCTAAGTACATGACGGAGAGGTATCAAACAAATAGACAAAAATTAAGCAAAACAACACACCCAAAAAAACAAATGTCCATAAGGCCCGGGGGGAAAGACGTAAATCACCGACCCGTGTACACATCACAATCTCCCACCCGGAAAAAAAAAATCGTGTCGAATAATCCCCAGAAAGATGGGAAGAAATATGAGCATTAGCATGATTACGCCTGCCGTGAAGGCACGTAGAAATGGAAACAGGTAACAGGGAAAGAGATACATAACAGGCAGAGCAGGCGCAAAAACAAAAAATCGTGAAACATGATCCAGAGGAATGTGGTATCACAACGTCAAAAGACTCTGTTCGTCGTTGACGAGCGGAGAGGGACGGAGAAAGGGAGGGGGAGGGGCTCGTCACCAGGAAAAGAAACTCAAAACGCCTCTGCGAGTCTGTGAAGACATAAAAATTCCATGTATGTATTGAACGAGCATGTAAAAGAGAAGAAAAAAATGTAAAGAATCAGCACGTTAGAAGAAGACGGATCTTCGAAATCATAAGGTCTTGGCTTTTTTAGTCGTCGTTTTACTTTAGTTGTAGCCACCACCGACGGGCAGGGGCCAATCATCTTCAGTGATACTGCTCCAGAAGCCCCAGACGCCCATGACGGAGAGCAAGGTGAAAAGGGTTTCGAATAAAGCACCATTGATTTTCCCAGATGTGGCCTGGCACAGGTGTGTGCTGATCACGTACTGGAAGATCTGGCCAATGGCGAAGAGCAGGCCGGCGCCAACTAGGTAGACTGTTACACGGGGTAGTTAGTTAAACGGTTGTCACTAGATAGATGGCTGTGAAGAGAACATACGCATTGGGCGAAACTCGCCCAGTACCCGCAGCACCAGGACGGTCTCGAGCAAGAAGAACAGAACCAGGCAAACCAGCGGGAATAGCTGGTACAACACGTAGAGGCCGATGTTGCGGTTGTTGCTGCCCGTTAGGCTGGAGTCGAAATGGCCGGTCCAAGAGAATGCGGTGTCGAGAGCGATGTACCCAGTACCGATGAACAAAGCGACAGCAGACGCGGAAATTAGACCAATTGAGGCTGGGGTACCGTCGTCAATGAGCTGGAAGCCGACAAGCGCGTTCATGAGTAGGATCCAAGAAGTGGCGGTGATCGCCGCGATGTGGACCGCCGAAAAGCCCTAGTCAACAATTAGAACGATGATCTCCTCCACCGGCTCGAGGCTGGCATTGAGTTCAAGTCGGGTCTCTACCTTTCGCACATTATCGTCAAGTGGAATACCACCGACGGTAAAGATTTCACAAATCTCAATCACGATAAAGCCCAGCAAGAACATTTGCATCTCGCTATACCACGCAAACACATTAGCCAATCGATTCCCCAATTCCGAATCCATTTTCACGGGAGATACGTACCGACGCCCGACGGCGGCATGCTTCCTGTCCGATCTCCACAGCAGGGCAATCGAGACCAGGATAGCGATGAAAGCAAAGATAATCGAGCCTATCTCCGGTTAAAACCAACCATCCCCACTTATTCGACCTCGAAGGACCTATCCCATGCATACCTAGGTTGGCAAGATTCCGATCTCCACTGAGGCTAATACCCTCCAAAATACATCCTCCGTAGTGAATACCAGGCGGCTGGTTGTCCTTGAAAAGCTAGACACGACAAGAAAACACACGGTTAGTCTGGGCGGGGAGACGGCGCAAACACAAACAAGCAAGAAGCTGTCGGGTGTAAAAAAAAGTCTCACGAACATTGCAGACGGGTAATGTCGAATCGCGACAAAAGTCCTGTGATAACCATCGACGGTCAGTGACTGATCAGATCATGACTTGAGTCCTAGCCTCCTAGGTATGCCATTGTACCCGTTCCGATTGCCGTTGCTACTGTCTGTGTCGTGCCTAATCGTTGTGCGCAGGCACAGACAAAGCACGCCGATTGGGTGGGGAGCACAGAGCATTCCAGTCGAAGATCGCAGGAAACTCACGTGGAAATTGCCGAATTGCGTCGAACCCATGGCGAATTGAAGGGGCTCACGACGCCGAGAACAAGTTAGTGAAGAGCGAAGGTGCGAAACGCCTCGGTCGGCGAGTGGGACTTTTAGTTGATGGGGGGCTTGGGGTGTCTCTGTGATGAGTCCCCTGACCCGTGGCTGGGGGAATCAGTCACGATCGCGCGGCGGGTAAGACGGTGTGTACGAATGGGCGGGTTCGCAAGGTCGGCAGGGGACGCGACGGAGGCAGCGAGCGAGCGAAAGTGAGTGAGGATTGAGGAGGAGGATTCGAGATGGAGTGGAGGTTGGTGGAGGTGAGAGAGGAGAGAGTCGATTAGTGTTGGCGGTGGTGGTGGTTGGCTAGCGCCTAGTGTTAGACTCTTGGGGTCTTAGACTCTGCTGTTGCTGGCTGCTGTCTCCGTCCTCAGGCCAACGGGACACTCGAGCAGGGAAATCGACCACGCTAACCATGCCTGTCTAGCCTCTTTGGTATTGAATGACCAACTCGCGTCCTGGCGATTGTGTCTACAACCAGTAGTACTAGGGGTGCTGCTCATTTCTTTTTTTTTCTCACTCTTCTCTTTCACTTTCACTTTTCTTACCCCGTATGTTCCCCTGGAGAAACTGTGAAGCCAGGGACCGGCCAGTTCCCCGAGACAATCCGTGGGTGATCCCAGCTCGGGTCCCGCTAAGAATAGAATAGACTGCATCGATACGAAGTACATTAAGTAACCCAGTAAATGCACTACGATGTGGCTGCAGTAGTATTCTCCCGAGTGCCTCTCTGCAGAAACAGCACAGTCCTCACAACGTGATTTCATACAGTGAGTCCATCACCCATCAGTTATGATCCGATATCACTTTCAATGGGGACGAGCAGCGATCTCTTCCCCTTTCAGTCCTTGGCCCGACCAACCAAGATCTGACCCAAAAACAAATCAGGAACCGGCTACAAACGCAAAATGCTACTAGTCTCCAATCACGACGTCACTATATAACTCTAAACACTACACCTATATCATAATAATATCTTCAAGATCAAACAATCTCTCGAGGATGATTAGAGTAACCGCAGCATTTGCAAACGCCGTCAGGTTCCAATGTCCCAAGGTTCCGACCAGCCACCCCCGGCCTGGCCCGCCGAAGGGGAAGCTGTCGATCGAAGTCGATCGGATACTGCATATCACATAGTATGTATAGACTCTTTCAAGATTAGAGATGTGATTTAATATTTTCATACTCAGAAAAAACTAGATCAGAAACTCCTACTAAGCTAGCCTCAACAGACGTATTCTATAGAGTGACCCTATAGAGTATGTATAACTTCCTTCTCCCCATTTCCGGGTCACCCATTGTACTCCCATCCATCCTTCCCCCGAATATCCCTTCCAATCCACACCAGCCCTCTTCCCAATCCACCATTCCCAGGCCAAACAACCCGTCATCCCATTCCCCTTTTTCTGTACGCTTCCTGTCCTACCCCAACCCCAATCCCAATTCCCGTACCTCGGAGCACCCGCGGAGCCCACAACGGAAGATACACCCACTTAGCAAACATCCTCAACAACCAACTTCTTCCCATCATGCTCGCCCAGATCCAACTTCAAGGTCCGGCCGAACAATTCCAGTAGCATCTCAAAGCAAGCTTTGGTGATGGCAGGGTCGTACCGGCCCTTGCTAAGCTCATCTCGGATAAAGGCATCTATGTCATTGTCAGTGAGACTCTCCCCAAAACAAAAAGAAAAAGAAAGTGGGTGGGAAAGAAAGTAAGTGTATAGATAAACTCACGTTGTGCCCAGGCAACCTCATAGAAACTGAACAGAACGCCCTTGTCATGCAGAGTCTTCCGAATCAAGTCACGGCCTTCGGGCGGGACGTGGTTGTCGTTTTTGCCGAAGATCTAGAAGAAGTATACTATGTCAGCCTCTAACAATACCAAAAGCCCTCCAATGGCACAACCACAAAGAGGATAAACTCACCATCAACAACTCCCCCTTAATATCCCCCGCCCGCTCCAAACTATCATCATTCTTCCCCAACGCAAGCGTCTTGCTATGAATATCAGTGGCAAAGTAACACACCGCAGCCTTAATCCGACTATCCAAAGCACAGCGATACGCCAGATGACCCCCTAGACACATCCCCGTCGCGCCAACGCGGCCATTGCATGTCGGCAGCGAGAGGAGATAGTCTACTGATAGACTGGCGTCTTCGTCGTAGGCGGACAGTTTCTGTTTTTCCATTGTGGGGGGATTCGTCAGCAATTCATTTCGTGGTCGATCGAGTGGATGAGATGAGGTAGTGTTCTGGGGGGATAGCCAACGCCTTGCAGCGTGAGGGGATATCCATGTTGGATAATTGGAGAATAGGATATATAAAGAACTAACCTTCCCAATCTTCCACGCATTCCCCTTATCCGTATCCTCCGCATCATACTTCAACGGCTCCGGACCCGTAAATTCATGATAACTAGACGGGGCAGCGCAAATATATCCCTGACCGGCAATTTGACGCGCAAAGCGGGCCACGGGGCCAGTCACTGGAAAAGCAACACAGAAAACGTCAGCCATCTTTCTCCTATGCACCGTCATGGAGTATGGTGGTTGGCCCATCCGGTGATAGGTCTCTCCGAACGGAGCTCATCATCCCGGGGGCTTATCATCGCATCGCACCTTGGTAGATCTCGCTGAAGACGACTACGCCTGGGAAGCGGGCGTTGGGGTAGCCCGGGATTGTGGGGTGGTAGATGTAGATTCCTGCAAAAATTTATCAGCATTGATCTAACTCTGGGGAGATGGGTTGGCTGGTGCTGTGTAGAACATCCATTGTCTTGGATAATCATGGCGGGGGAGCTCATGAGCGAGACTCGTGAACTTACGCATCGTCCCCTGGCCATCGGCCGTGGTGGGGACATCGACATGGGACTCTTGAATGAGCATGATACCAATATCTGTAGACAAGAAGGATCAATGGCTTCTTGTGGAATGATTGTCCGGAAATAAAGTGGTGGACGGTGCAGCTCGTGAAAACGGTTTATCGATAAGACCGCGGGGTGGCCCAGTCATCTGACCTGATAAGCATGGATGAGGTGGGCCTTTTACACTCACGGCTGAAAAGCGACACAGCAGCAACATGAGCTTACGGAAGAGAGAGAGACAGAGATATTCAAGAGTTGGTTCAACGATACTTATGTTGAAACCATCAATCATTAGTTTTGAAGGCTTCAATTATGTCATTTCCAAAAGTATACGAAACGCCACCTAGGATACATAAGAATGAAAAGGATCTCGACCGGAAATGCAGCACTCCAAAGAGATTGAAAGAAATGAATATTATACCAGAAATAAGGCAAAGGCAACATGAAAAAGAAAAAACTTCATTGAATAATGTACACGAAGCGGAATATGGAACCGTCACCAAGAGACATCCCTCAACTGGGATACCGATAGCCGTGACAACGGAACCACGGCAAGCATTATAAGAAAATATCTCGAATCGTGTTCAAGAAGTCCCCAAAAAGGTGGTCATGGAAATGGAGTTTTGGTGGGCTGCCAGGAAGCAGAAAGACCTCGAAGCCCCTGTACAGATATTATAAAACAAGGGGGATTTGTGAAAGAAAATGGGGGTACCCGAATTGGCGGGTAAATTAGAAGACGTACTGTAATTGACACTGATCAGCATAGTTCAAGGTGTGGGACTGGGTTCTCTGGCAATACTCACAGGAATGAACAGGTAGGGAACCTGCTTCTCATACTCAGTCCAGGTCTCGCCGTACTTGATACGGCACCGCTGGATATCACGCAGAGCACGATGAGAGATCATGCAAGCGAAGAAGACGGGGTAGAACCACGGGAAGGGGCTGGAGAAGCCAGTGATCAGACCCCAGTTCAGGGCAAAGTACAGATCGCAAGTGTAGTGGATCTTGCGAGCCTTGCCGTCTGTTGAAGCCGTTAGTATCTATTTCCACAGGAATAGCAGGTTCTTGGTATAAACTTACACCACCCATCGACCAGAATCTTAGATCCATCAGGACCAGTCAGGGTCTTGGGGTTCTCCACAGTCTGCCAAGGCAGCTGGGGGAAAGACTTGCGCTGGACCATAGTGCCACGCTCCTGCTGGCGGAAGCGGTTCTTCTGGCTGTTGGTGGTGTCCCAGACCCAGTAGACGAAGAGGTAGGCGATGTACAGGAAAGCGAGGAAGAAACGGTTCCAGTGGTACTCGGAGGGGTCGTGGTTGGCCAGGTAGATGGTGCAGTGGCAGTAGCTCAAGGGAACACCAGCCAGGTTCCAGAAGATGAGCATGAAGCCCCACTTCTCGTAGTACATGTCCCTGATCCCAGGGTTAGCTAGACTCCTTTAATCCTCCATGTTACAAGACAATGACTTACCAAGTAGACACGATGCACTCCTCGCCCTTAGAGCAAGCGTTGGCATAAAGGAAGTGGGCCATGACAAGGAACAAGACCTCGCCGGACACATAGCCATAGTTCTCGTACTGACGAGCGGCAGCGCCCATAGACAGGCCCAGCAGAATGTACCAAGGCAGACGGACCTCGAAGAACATCTTGAAGTCGAGAATGCCGAACATACGGGGGTTAAGCTCGGCACCCATGAAGAAGTCATAGATCGGGGAGCCGGTCATGCGGTGCTGCTCACCACGGTACAGAGCCGAGAAGTAGGCGATGATGGAGACCAGGTAGCCGGACAGAATCGCAACACTCAGAAGAGGGCCGAACTCGTCAATGATGGTGTACAGCTTGAAGAGGCCGGTGAAGTGGAGGACCAGAGCCAACACAATGCTAGTGTAGAACGACCACACGCCAGAGCAGTAGTACGGAAGCTGCTTACCACCCAAGTGAGGCAGCGGGCGTCCAGAAACAGAAACACCGGGCAAAAGAACGTAGCAGGCACCCTCAAAGATGAAGAAAACCCAGTAGATAGTCCACGCCTTGAGCGACGGGTATGCGCCAGTATAGACCAGATTCACCAGATGGGAGAAGAACTCGGCGTAGCTCTGGCCCTCCTCTGCCCGCGGGAATTTGCCATCGTAGTAGGTCGCGCCAATCCACATGTAGTACATGAGCATGGGGAAACCAATCATCATGGCCAGGACACCCGGAGAGCCACCAAACTCATAATGTCCACTGTAGTCGATCTTAGGGTCCAATCCTTCCTCCCAGCCGTCGACGATGCGCGACTTTGGCTTGGCTGAGCCATTGGTGGCGTGGCCATTGGTCGCAGCCTTCACCTCAACCTCAACCTCCTCCTCATCCTCGGACTTGACCTTGGTGGAAGTGCGACGGCGAGTGGTGGACTTGGACCTAGTCTCGGAGGGGGTAAGGGACACGTCTTTCTCGCTCATCTCGAAGGCGGCGCTCTTGCGAGTGGAACGACGGCCAGGGGTCTCGATATAACCAGGGCGCTCCATCTTCCTGAATGAATGCGAAAACACACAAGGTCAACGAAAAGAATTTCCAAGAGCCAATGCGCAAGAATTGGCAGGGGAGGTTTCGTTCTTATAGTAGCCCGTGCCGTGACGGGGGGCGCACTCGGTGGATCGCAAGACAGATTTCATGGAAACGACTTACTTGGGGGTTTTCCCCGTTTGAGAGCGGGTCAAAGTCATGATTGCCTAATCGGATGTCCGATATCCGACAGCAATTGAGGGTGGAGAGACGGCAGGGGAGGGAAGGAGGAAGTGGAAGAGAAGGGGTCACGAAGTAGCAGTGGGAAGGGGAGAAAAACAACGAGATTGTTTACACGTATGGAGTTACTGTAGTAGTACGGAGAACGGTGGCGGGAGTACCTGAATTATGTACGGGTAGCACAGTACGGATCTAATTCCCACCAAAACACCAGTTCCTCTACGTAATTTTACTTACAGAATACCGTCAATTACACCCGGCACATGCCTCATCCGCCCGTCTGTCTCCCCCACACATTAACCGGTCCCCTGTTGCCGATGCCCTTCTTCTACACAGTAGTACGTACGATGCTCTCTACAATCCATTGTAAATTATAGCAATAGCCTAGCCCCTGAATAAGCCTCGTCCCGCGGTTCGGTGCTCTCTACCCTTGGCAGCTTACGGTGTCCGTGGACTCCGTTGGGCCCCAATTTGGAACCGAGTGGGTATCCTCGCTATCTCCTTCCCTGCAGTGACGATCTCAATGCCAAGCTTGTGGTTCTATGCGGGCTGAGGTACTAAGGTGCTGACTGGGCGCCGAACGAGTCAGGGACAAGGATTTGCAGCTACATGGAATATGTCACGTATTAGATTACAAAAGAAAAATCAGTAGATAAGGTTACTAAGAAGAAGATGGATATCTAAGGTAATCTGTTTGAATTTATTTACTGTATATTTGAAGATCAGTTTGAAATGTTGTGTACTGGAATGTGGGTCCACTGGGCAGCCGATGCAAAAGGCCAAACAGAATTCAGGCACTCGGTTTAACAAGAAAAATAATGTATAGAATGATGAAATAGGATGATGCAGTGCGATACGCAAGAGACCGAAAACAGATACCACTCCAAGTCACTTTCTTCAAGGCATAGAGACCTCCCACGCTGTGATGAGCATCTGCGCCTGACCTGGCCGATTAGGTGTCCGGGTCTATGCTCCTCTATGACTGTTGGTCGACATCAAGGTGATCTTGTTCTTCTTTTTCTTCTTGCCGCCAGCTCCGCCGCCGCCGCCGCTTCCACTTTGTGAAGGCGGGGGTCCAGGTTGCTGGCTTTCATGAGCAGTCTGTGCAATGATTTCAGACTCCTGCCGAGCCAGTAGCTCGTCCTCCCAGCCCTGTAACCAGCCATCATTGGGAACTGCACTTTGAGGCTCCAAGGCCGGAGATAGCGACGGTATCGCAGTGGTTCCCCAAACAGTGCGACCACCCGGTGGGCTAGTAGAAGGGGGGATGCCAATGCCCCAAATTGGGAGGCAGCGCGAGGAGGCGACGCAGAAGACATGCCGCTGTCGAATTGCGACAGCTCGCCATTGTTGGCCAGTGGCTGGAAGTCATGGGCAGAGAACGGCGCTTCGCTAGCACTCCCAAAACTTGGTCGCTTGCGGCGTGCAGCAGCCCAACGTTCTTCGTCCTCTTTTTTCTCCGCGCGAATGCGATCTTTCTCTTCGCGGGCTTCCTTGTCCCGGTTACGCTTCCGCCTCTTCTCTGTCTCGGAGCGGAAACGGTTCAATACTTCCGGCACAACAACATCCCTCCAGTCACATTCGAGGAAGTTGACCTCACAGCCATAGGGCAGATGCCCCAGGTATTTGACACGCTTGCGAAGCTCATCATCAACCATGTGGCCAGTGGAGATATGCTCTACTCGGGGTAGGATGGTAGCAGGGAAAAGAGCGTAGTCGCCAAATGCTGCCTTGAGAATGCGAATGTCGAGAGGGGATAGATAGAACTGAGGCAATGCCTGATAGAAGTAATACGGCTGATCAGACGGGTGTGCTCCCTGAGCTTCCTTGCCCCTGTTATTTTGCTGTGGCTTGGATTGGGACTTCGTGTTGATTTGAATATTGCCCATGGCCTCTGATAGATGCTCCGCTTCATCTGACGTATTTGGGGCTGATGCTGTATCCGTCAGAGGTTGTGTGATATCCGGGCCAGATGCAGCTGCGGATTCAGCGGAAGACCCGTTACCGGAGGGATCCACGCTTTCGGATGAAGCAGATGCAGAAGCATCGGGCTCCGTTGCTGGTTCTCGGACCGGCTTGTTTGCGGCAGACTGGCGAGAGATGTCGGGTGGGTTCCCAATCCCCTGTACCTTCTCTTTGGCCTCATTGATCGTACTGATCGCCTTCCGCGTCCAGGTGTTCTCATCGCCAAACAAGAGCTCATCTTCGATTTCCTGTCTGCGAAGGTCTTCAATCTCAGCCTCGTACTGAGATACCATGTAGTCTTGCCCTCCCTTCATGATTCGAGAGTAATCAGCAACCTCCGCTACATGGAACCACGGAACATCGTCGCCAGCATTGAGTGTCTCGGCGCCGTCGCGCGGAAGAGCAAGAGTACTGCCAGGCTCTCGCTTGACAAGTCTTAAAACCACATCTCCGCCTTCGACGGGAAGATCGCCCTCTTGACCGCGGAACCATCTAACAGGTCGAGTTTCTGACGAGTAGATTGAGTCCCAGCAGATCGGACATTTCTTCCATCGAGGCTTTTTCTCCGGGACGTGGTGGTGGTGGTTGTCGTCGTCGGACGAGTGCATGTAACGAATCAGACAGGGAAGACAAAATATATGACCACATCGAGCCATTCGTGGCGCAACCGGCGTAGACAGGCAAATTGGACAGCTGGCAGCCTGGGTTTGAGCGGAGACCAGTACCTGAAGTACCGAAGCCCAGTCCAGATGGACGTCAGCATTAGCTGCCTGGGCATGGTAATTTTGTTCCGGCGAGACAATGAATCGGTAATTGGCATGGACGTAGCGCGCCTTGTCTACCGCATGATATCCAGATCCTGCTCCCCATGACGTGTAGCGCCGAGCATTGCGCGGCGGTGGTTGATATTGCGGACGGGGTGGCAAAGAAAAGTTCATCAGATGGGTGATGGACGTTTGTCCCTTGCGACTGTTTGTTGATCTCATCACGGCCTGGAAAAAATGGAGTGTGATGTTAGGCAGAGCTCGAAGCCAATCAGGTTCCCTGGAAACACCTACCGATTCACTATACTGGTCATCATCCAACAATTGGGGTTTCCTCTGTCGCTTATGCTGACTCTTCCGAGCCTGGTTATTCCTTGCCGCACCGAGGCTCCTGGCTGATAAACCTGCGCCAAGGGCCCCAGAGCCCCCTGTACGTCGTTGGAAGCTGTTGTCGGTCGGAGCTGTCGAATGAAATGTTGCAGAAGCGGTTGAGGTATTCGATGGATTTACCGCTTTAGATGTAGCCGGGTTTTGTCCTGCATTGAACGACATCTCCGAGCTGGTGGTTGACAAGGAGACAGGAAAGTCCTCAAATGAAGCAGTTCGGGTTCAAACCAGGAAATCCGGCCAGGACGCAGATCAGAGGGGTTTGCTAGGATCTGGATAGACCTGATAAGGTGGAGCGTCAAATCACCTAGAGCAAGCAGTATCAAAACCTCCACCACAGCTTAACCAGCAGATAGCACGTTGCAAAGGATAAGAATAGACGACGCCTCGAGAGGCCATCTAAGAATAGACGAAGCGTCCAGGAATGGGACGCTGTTGCTTCGAAGAGTCGTCGAGGAGGGGCGGCGGGCATGACATCGCCAGCACGTGCCGGATGACTCAGCCTCTGCTGACTCATCGCCCAGAATTCCACCTCGCGGCACTTCAGCTTCGCTTCGGAAGAGGGTCGATGAGGGACTATCTGCTTCTTCCCCTGACCCCCCTTTCACTTGACCCAGACTTGTTTGTCTGCTGCTCTCATTACCAACCCTCTCACTCTTTGATGTGACTACTCAGGTATCCAAATCCTCCTTTTCTAACTGTCCCTCGGCGCATCGTTGTTAATCATCATTTGCCTTGCTCGTTCAGCACCTTTAACCCCATCCGAATTCCGCTATCTTCTCTACGCTTCCAACCTCCTTCCCAACCTCCGGACGGAGCCAAAATGGCTGCTTAAGTGCGCCTGAGGCTTCAGGTATCTCTCTTGATTGCTCAATCATTTTCGCTCCTTCCATAGCGCATGGCTCCCATTGAGGCAACGCGTGCGGCTAGAGCATAAAGGCAACACCTCCCTCCGAGCCCGATCAAGATGAACCACCACTTGCCGGCGATGCCCCATGGGCAGCCGCCTATGCCTCCTCCATCGCGGAGGCAGTCAGACTTCTACAACCCCGCCCCTCCCAACATGCGTCCTCCGGCGTACATGGGCTATCCTCCACACATGAACGGGCACATGCCTCCTGCGTACTCGCCGCAACAGTACCCTCCTTGGTATCCTCCATATGGACATATGCAGCAGATGCCTCCTCGTCCTTATCAACCCCCATATGGACCTATGATTGTCTCTTCATATCCTCAAGCACAGCCGATCATGGCCCCTACTCATATGCCAACTCACTCATTCTCCTCGCAACCGAGAACATCGACTCCCATGCAGTCAACCATGTCTCCCTCGATCCCACCGCCACTCCAACCTGAGATGCATGATCCTCACGCCGTCCTTCCCGTGCAGCAGCCACACCCGCCTTACGGAGTTCCGCCTTCGCCTCCTCGATGGGAACCTAAACCTGTCTTGCCAGATCGCAAGCCTGTCTTCACGGCTCCAGTAAGTTGGTTCCAAAGTCAATTCTGAGATGATGAACCGAGTGCTGATCATTACCATAGGTTCCCTGGCTCTCTGTCCCCGAATCGCCCTTCCCCGCGGGGCCACCCTTCCGACGCAAGAACATTCGTCCCATGCCGGACCGACCCCAGTTTCCCCCGAAAGACGGACGCTGGATTATTGGAGATCGGAAGGGTAAACTTGTGAAGCCCAAGGCTGTCAAGTCGGCCGCTCCTGTCACGTCGGAACCTCAGACGCCAACTACCTCCGTCCCTCCTTCGGATGGTCACTCTACACAAGCTACCACGCCCTCCCCCACCGCCAAGTCTCAGACCCAGAAGAAGGACGCCAAGCCCGCCATCCCCATCGTCCCAGTTGTACCAAACACCCCAGTCGCCTCGCGCCGTGAAGCTAAGGACAGCTCCAGTGTCGGCTCGGAGACACCAAAGTCGACGACCGCCACCACAGAGTCGGAGACTGGGTCCACACCCGCTGTGGACGATACCGCTAAGCCAACCTCACCTGCTCGGTCAGTACCAAAGTCCTGGGCTGATCTTGTTCGATCCAAGAATGCCGCTCGTGCCTCCAGCGCTTCTGCTCCCCCGGATTCGAACACCTTGGCTGTGCAGAAGAGCGAGTCTCTCGCAGACGTCCTGAATAGCTTGGGTGAGGATGTCACTCAATACAGCGACAAGATCGCATTCCTGGAGCCTCGGGGATTGGTCAACACGGGTAACATGTGCTACATGAACTCTGTCCTGCAGATCCTGGTTTCCTGCGTCCCATTCCACCAGTTCCTCGACCACGTTGGTCGACGGGCGGCTCACAGCTTCCACAGCGATATGCCTTTGATCGATGCCATGATCATGTTCATGCGTGAGTTCAACGTCATCGATGCAGCTGCTTCGGAGGATCAGCTTAGACTCCGATTGAAGCCAAATGAGCTAGAGCAGTATGGCGAAGCCTTTGTTCCCGAGTTCGTGTACGAGATGATCCGACAATTGCCTCGTTTCCGCGACATGCGTCGTGGTCACCAACAAGATGCTCAGGAATTCCTTGGCTTCCTTCTCGAGGAGCTTCACGAGGAATGTGATCGCGCTGCGAAGCACCTTTCCAAGTCTCAGGATGCACACGGTATCGGTGGACATGCCACCAATGGAGCGTCCGCCGATGGTGAATGGCTGGAGGTTGGCCACAAGCAAAAGGCAGCGGTTACGCAGTCATCTGGTGCCATCGCTACGGAGTCTCCCATCACCCGGATCTTCGGAGGCAAGCTTCGATCGGAGTTCAAGGTGCCGGGTAACAAGACCTCGGTCACCATGGAACCCTACCAGCCTTTGCAGCTCGATATTGGCGCGCACGATGTCCACAACATCATCGATGCGTTGAAGGGATTGACCAAGCCTGAGAGTATCCAAGGTGATTTCAATTCCGCCCGTGGCCCCAACGTGACTGCTACCAAGCAGATCTTTATTGAAACACTGCCCCCTGTTCTGATCCTGCACCTCAAGCGCTTCCAGTACGACAGCCAGACTGGTGCGACTCAGAAGATCTGGAAAAAAGTTGGCTATCCTCTGGATTTGGAAATTCCCCGTGAGGTCTTCCCGGCCCACCGGCGCAATATTCTGACAGCCCAAGGTGGTCTTCCCAAGTACCGCCTGATGGGTGTCATCTATCACCACGGAAAGAATGCCAGCGGCGGCCACTATACCGTTGACGTGCGACGCCAGGATGGCCGCGAATGGATTCGCATGGATGATACCGTCATTCGTCGTGTACGCAGTGAGGATGTTGCTGAGGCTGGCGGCGAGGAGGATCCTAAGGTGCTTGCAGCTGCCCTTGAGCAACACAGACAGGACAAGATTCCCCGCTCCAATATGTTCGAAAACATCGATCACGACGACATGGAGTCTGCCGATAGCGAGAAGGGCTGGAGCCAAGTGAGCGGTTCCGGTTCGTCAGGGCACTCGAGCAAGAAGTCGATCACTGTTGTCACTCCCTCCTCAGGACCCTCGTCTGGGGTGCGCACCCCGCTCGGCAGATATGGCTCTCGGGACAACCGCGTTGCCTACCTCTTGTTCTACCAGCGTATTGCCTAAGTGGCTTGATGTTGATAAGCCTGGATCTACTTGGTCTTCTCATTTCAACTCATCATTGGCCCTGATCACACGCCCGAACACCTATTTTACCCCTCATCGTCATCATACATTCTTGTGACAGCATCATACCCTCCTGTCGTAGCACCTATCTCATCCGGTGCTATCGACTATCATTATCTACACTTTGCATTTCTTTCGATCATCCCCTCCTGCAGGACACGAACATCTCCCTGCCAGTCGGTTGTACATACCGCTTTGTGGTCGAAACACGACCATACAATTTTGTGACTACGGTCTGCTCCTGCACATGTAGGCGTCGACCAACATCTTTGGGCAAGATCTCGATAGAACTGTGGGCATGGCGGGCCTCTTGGTTTATCGACACTTACCCCCATTGCTCAGGTCCAGCGACCCATCAGAAATTTCGAACTTGCGGTCACCAACCCCCTACTTCAACACGGACCGCTCATACACATACACCACATACTCTTCACCAACACTCGATCATGGACCCTCGATCTCCTTGCTTTTGCGTTTTCTTATCACTATGCGCCGCATCTCTCGACACAACTTTTCAATCTGCACTAGCCGGCGAGTCGTTTTTTGATTCATTTCCTGGGCTGTATGTTATGGGATGATGAACTCGGTCTATACCCCCAGTTTCCGTTCTGTTTCTTCTCATGAACGTACTCCTGGTCTTGCGTATTCTGGGCGTTTGCGCCTCTCACGTGGAGAAAAGAAGAATCCCCTTTTTTCTTCACTGGGATCGATATCTTGCTTTGATATCTTTCTCTCTTCCGCCTTTCTTGCATGTTCTTTTGCCGACTCATTTGACGTGCGGGGTGGCTGGGGATCTGTGACGACGTCATGAATTTCCTTGTCTGTTTTCCTTTCCCTTCGAATAGACTGCGGAGGTTGAGGATTGGGGATGGTTTGGTGGTGGTGGAGTCGTTGTTATGCTCGGGTCTTTAGATCTGATGCTTATTTGCTTAGCCGGTCGTGTTGATGGCTTTGCGACTTCGGCTTCGGCTTGGCTTTTCGTCAAAAGGATTGCTGACTGCTGTGGGAAGGAGAGATGGCTGGAGGTTTCGTTATGACTGGCTGAACCTAAGAGTGTGTTCCTTGTCTCTAGAGGAGGGGAGAGAAGCGAATAAAGAGAAGGATAGGAAAGAAGTTGCTGGATTCGAGATGGCGATGGAGTGCGAAGGAGAATATGAAGTCGTGAATGGAGGTGAAGGACCTCCGAAAAGCATGTCTTTCCAGAAGCCCCCAAAAAAAATTCAAAGGAAGTTTCATTTCAATATCGTATTACTGTAGGCATGTATACGTAGATACGTAGATGCAGTTTTTTTTTACAGAATCGTTCATTATTTGTACAAGGTTGCTAATCTAACATTCGTAAGTCACCGTAAACCAGATGACCTGAGATGCACGCTCATCTATGCATGGAAGTTCAAGTTCTCATCATCGTCATTCAAGCCCGAAACAGCACCCTCATCCTCCTTTTCATCATCCTCCACAAACTCGAATCCGAGCGCGCGCCAGTTGAGCTCCTTGCGCCAGTGCAGACCGTAGTACAATCTATCCTCAGTCTTCGCGGCCTCCTTAGGCTCCTCATCAATCTTTTCCTCAGCACCCCAACCAGAGTCGTAATCCATGGGGGTGGGTTTAACGACAGGCTCCGAGGCAATGCCACCACTAGGCATACGTCCGGCTCGAGGGAAGATCACCGCGCGGAAGCGCGAAAGGAGCATGCCCATTGAGCAGCACAGGCATGGCTCGTGGGAGACGTAGATGTCCAAGTCGGTGCAGAGGTATCCGCCCTGGGAGCGGGTGCGGATCCGGGAGGTTTGGGGTGGGCTTGTGGTTCCAGAGTTGGATGGGGATGAGTTTGCGTGGGCAGTGGTCGGGGCTGGGATGCCGGGAGCACCTGGGGCTGTAGAGGAGGGTGGGAGGGGGGTAGTCTTTGGGACGGCTGGGGTGGTGGTATTCCATAGGTCGACTGGTTCAGTGGCAGTCGATGCACCAACTGGGGCGGTACTGGGCCAGCCGTTGACTGGCTTGTGGGGAACAAGTGGGATGACTGGTTTGGGGTCAGCCCATTGGTCGACTGGGACTGGGGTGGTTGCTTCGGGGGTAACAGCCCAGAAAGATGTCGAGGACTCTGGGTTGGGCTCTTCGTGCTTGCGCTTCTTAAGCGACAAGGGAGGAGCGATAGTGTGATCATGTTCGGTGGCTGTAGTATGGCCGCTGATTTCGTACAGGAAGTATGATTCGAGCGGGCTAAGCTTGTTGGACAACTGGGGGTCCGATGCAACGACGGGGAGGGCCGAGTCTCCATACTGAGCAAGGTGGTCGCCATCCTCACGTCGGCGGCGAGCAACTAGCTCAGTCGCACGCATCAGGGCATGCAGATCGGGTCCGCCCTCAATGTCAGCGTCATACTTCGTGCACGCAGGGTTCGGGGCCACACCGGGGTGCTTGTCTGCCTGGGATGCCGCACCGGCCTCCGAGCGTGCATATCGAACATCGCCGCCGACAGAAAGAACGGCATCCATCCAGTGCTCATTGGGATCAGTACAGTCTTCCCAGGCCTGGATTTCGATCTCGTCCTCGATAGTGGGGTCAACGATGACAGCGCCGACCCCACGACCACGGCCGGATTGCTTCGATTCTTCGGCGACCTTGCGCGCCAGGGAGAGGTAGTATCCTGCGCGGGGCTTGATGGAGTCCAGAGCGCGATTGAGGATTTGAGGGGGGGTGCGACAGTGGAGCGGGGTGCGGCGGGGTTGAAGACCACTGGCCACATTGTTCTGGTCCAGTAGTCGGCTTGGGTGGTATTGAATGGAGGGTAGATAGGAATGCGAGTCTTGAGGACGCGGATTTTGGGAGGCTGGGGTTCCGGAGAGCCTGGGGCTGAGATGGGGGAAGATGGGCGAGGAGAGTTGGCGGGAGGTGTAGCCGAGCTGCGACGGCGAGGTAGAGGCGCGAAGGGAGCAAGTAGGGCCTGCAGGGTCTCGACTTCCGGCAACGGAGGTGGTATCACGACGAAGATTGTCTGGCCGTTGTTCGCAGGAGCTGAGCCGTCAGCTTCAATGGCTGCGGCCAGATGTTCTGGAAGCATGGTCCGTTTCGAAAATCGGCGCAGATGCGACATGGCAGGGAGAGTGGTATCGCGAGGGAAGGCTGCGTCGATAGCCCTGGAAAGCTCCGTTAGACATCTTCAATATGATATTGATTGGGGGGGGATGCACTCACTTAATCACTTTAGAAGCGGCTTTAACATTGACCTCTGCGACGTAGGCATCGGCTGTAGATTTAAGTTAGCAATATTCTAGGTGTTGAAGGTGGAGGTTAAGCCACCGTATAAGTGACTTACTGAAATCCTCAGGTGGCCGGGTCTCTTGGATGGTTCTGATCGGGACCACTTCTCCCTTCAGGGGCTTGATGGCCTTGATCGTCTCTTCGAGATCCATCGTGGTGAGATCCAGGCTGGAATGAGGTTCTCGGGTGGTGTAGGGTGTTGACGGGAAAAGGCAGCTCAAGAGCTGATGGAGAGGAAGATGGAAAGGTTATTGCATGATTGGGCGGTCGGCATAAACCCCAGTGGAAAGAACACGTCCAGTCTGCTATCAACAAAAGGCGCGTCCGCGACGTGGGGATACGGTGACGCGGTGATGCCAAAGAAGTTTAAGATTTCATCCCCGCCGATGCCCTAGACCCCGCACCCTAAGCCCTACATTCCCCATTGGGGAATCCTTATCTATATGTCCAGGTGGCTGTAGGCATTGGATGTATGCGGCAAGGAGTCTTTCTAACTATCCTTAATACTGTTTCTTAATACAGCCAACATGTCCTTGAAATGAACCATTCACATGAGATATTATTCTTTCTTGTTGGTTTGTTTCTTGGTCTTTCTCTTTGTTCCCGACCAATTTTGTTCCTTCCAAGGGGGTTCACTGGGACCATCTTTACCATATATATATCCGCGACACTGCCATCGCATAATCGATACCTTACAGACAAGCTATTCCCGGCATTAACGCAAACACCTCGTCGATACCCACCCAAGAGTGATTTCGCAAGCTATAAAGCGTCTCCCACAAGCAAGAATCCCGGGCAGTAGAGCTTCTATATGCGGACTCACATGGAGCCGCATCGATGCCCTGGGAGTGAGCCAATGGTCCTGTATTTCCATGATTTACTCCGCACATATACTAGATTCACCCCGCATGGTGTCCTGATGCTTGGCTTATATGATTCCTGTAAGTACTACGTGCAAACAGTTTTGCTACAATTATATAAGGACCAGTACCCGACTTAAAGACTATACCTATAGTTGCTCACACAGCGTCCTGTTTTTTGAAGATAACTTTCCTAATTAAATTCCGATCAATATTATTTTGACAATAGGCCACTTTTCTCAAAGCCGTTTCATCAATAGCAGGTTGTGTAGTGTAATGGCTATCACTCCAGATTCTGATTCTGGCAATCCCGGTTCGATCCCGGGCACGACCTCATGTCATATATTTTTGCTATTTTTTTTTCTAGTCACATTCATTGCACTCGGCGGAGGAATTGTCGAGACGGCCTGCTTTTTCCCTTGGTAAGAAGAACATAATGTTTTAGCTAGGCCTGCTTGGTAAGTAGTTACAATGCCAGATCATGTCACCTCCGCTCATAGTGGTAGAGAATGATCAGAATCGTACTGACTAAGCATCTACTGTTGGTTGACTAACCTAACATTAGTTAACTAACTTAGTTAAGTTAGTTAGTTAACGTTAATAACGAACTTGTTCTTTCTCTAAGAAACCGATCCACAATGCCATCTGGAATCATTCCAATCACTCAATAGGGTTGTGTAGTGTAATGGCTATCACTCCAGATTCTGATTCTGGCAATCCCGGTTCGATCCCGGGCACGACCTTCTTTTTGCGTGTTGTTAATAGAGTCTGCTGCTTAATATTAAAATTTTTTTATTCGCCGGACCAATTTATCCGCCCCCAGATGCGGGTAGAAATCTATTTCTGACTAGTCGCTAAAACTAGGCGTAGTTGTGATATAGCCACACAAATGAAAGGCACTTCTTATCCTGACTACAATCATGAAATAATGCAAGTATGTCTAGCAAAGTTGGGCGACAATGTGCCAAAAAAATAACTCATACTGCACTAACCCACGCTCTAGTAGAAAATCCATATGTAGTCACAAACCCGAACAGGGATAGTATCATCAAAGTACAATTTCTCGTGACCAAAACTTGTCGTTCCCCAACTCTAAGTATGGGCCACTTAATGAGACCATCCTGTGGCCCAGCATCCATCAATCCAGGTTGTGTAGTGTAATGGCTATCACTCCAGATTCTGAAATATGGATCTTCTGGCAATCCCGGTTCGATCCCGGGCACGACCTTTTTGCTTGAGACTATTTTTGATGATTATTCTACCATGTAGCGTTGTTCTATGCTTGGAGGGTCGATTGTGGCCGTGCGGCTGCAGCTTGCTTCCTTGTGTGTGTGGCCATGCAGATTTTGGCGGGTAGCTATATCGTTAATTTCTCTTCGAGAAGCCTGGCATATGAAACGAGAATCGAGATAGATTACTGTAGATTTATTCAGAACTTAAAAAATCATTTCCGCGCGCAAAGGGAAGAAAAGCTGCCTCTCTATTTCACAAGAACTCACTGAATGTCGGGGGAAAGTGTGGTTCAGTCCTAATTTCTCTAGCTTATGATCACGAGCGCTTATGATAGATAGTAGGCTAGTCCGACCTTGTACAGCTGGTTCTTCGTAACAATTACTAGGTAAAAGCAACGCAGTTATCCGGCATTCAATGTCAGCTAGTCCTCGCGGCAGTATCCTGTATGCCTTAAACGTAAACCGGTTTTTGACCACCGCCCGAGTGTTTCTGCATGATAAGAGCCACTACTTGCAATATTGCAGAGAAGATAGATCACCTGCAATAAATATTGTCTAAACCTCTCACAAGAATGAGAAGAGAAGATAAAAAGGGCTATATGAAAGCATCTATCCACCACCTAAGGAATAAAGCAAGATAGAATGGAACGATTAATGTCTCATAGCCTTTCATCTTTATTAGCTTCGTAGCACTGTGGCTATTTATCCGAGACTAGAACAGCAACCCTCTCATAAGCAACAAGGTCACATGAGTATCGGATGAAAGGCAAACAGGGTTGTGCCAGCAGAGCTCTCTCATCCCATCTCATTCTCCATCTATATCCGATATACCTTGCTGAATGTATAGACGCAAAGAAAAGAAAATTAGATACTCAAACTCAAACAAGCACTGTATACTGCCCACCAATATATTAAAACCCTTCCCCTCGAGACGAGACACCCTACTGTACTTCCATATGGCGTTGCGGACTAAGAAACCGCGTCATCCCCTCCAAAATCGCGCTCTCACAAGCCTAGACCCTCCCCACGAAACAACCCCCAACAAAATCTAGATCTGTCACCTATAACCTACATATTGTGCATAATACAGTTTCCAAATCCCGGGCCAACCCCGGTTCTCTCCCATGCTAGCATTGGAAACGGAACGGAATGTCAGTAAGAGATGCCGATTGCTCGGCGGCACCCCGCGCCAAAGGAAAAAGTTTAATTTAGTTTGAACAAAATTTTTAAAGGGGCTATGCTACAATACTACTGTAAGTACGGAGCATCATCATTCCGATGAACTGGACAAACGAAAATTTTAAAAATTGATTGGATGAAAGAATATCTACAATGAATGCAGAATCATATCAAAGAACGGGAAAATTTTGTGGTATTTGGTCATAGATAACACTCTCGTCATCCCATAAAACATAAAAAGACAGAAAACGCCAGAATCATCCGCTTCAAATGAACCGCTATAAACATGATACAAATCACCGCCCCGCCATGGGTATGCTAAGATAGAACCCTTCTATTGGTGACCGCGCCATGTAATGCGTGTCTCCTGACTAGCTGGACAGATCACGAGCATGGCGGGTTCGGCTGTTTGAAAACAACGCCCTCCCTGGAATGCAAGATAATGGGTTCATTAAGATCAGGTGGGTAAAGCAAATCAGGATGGAAGGAAGAAGGAGAAGTTGTGGTGGATGATGAATCGTAGGGCCAGCTCCGGCATCGGGGAGGCACTCGAGACCAGCCCAAGGACTCCAATGCGGGAGGATAGATGTAGTGAGAGGGGTTGAGGGTCGCGGTCGGGTATTGTACTCCAGACGAAATCAATCGGAGGAAAACCCCTTTATGCTGATGGAGTGTTGGCGGCCGTTGTCGAGGTTGTTGGTGCAGTGCTGTGATTTGTACTGGTGCGCTCGATTTCGAAGCCATCGCATCGGTCAATCAGACTCTGGTAGTAGTCCTCTAGCACCTCTGGTTGAGGCACAATCCGCCATTGAACCTTGAATAAAAACTCAAGTTCTAGCATGGCCAACTCGTTCATGGTGATACCCCCGACTCGCGCATATGTCTTGTTCGTCCAGAAACTGTCACTAAGACCCTTGCTAGCCACTGTCGCACTGACGATCAGGAAACGATGGATGGTCAAACTGGAGACTGTGAAAGCCGGGTACAAGGCGCAAAGGCGATCGATATAGTACACCATGCTCAGCAGGATTGGGGGCGAAAGGGTAGCGTGAGTTGTCAGACGTTGTAGGTAATCCAACACGGAGATCCGAGGTGGCGAACGTGAGTGGAAGCGAGTTAAGCGCCCCTGATGCAGGGGGATCTTGTCATTGAAGCGAATCAGCTCCATCAGCATGCTGGAAATCAGCACCACCAAGTCACGAGGATCAACTTCCTCGTACTGGGCGGGCAAGATCTTGACATCTTGTCGGGAGGACCGCTGACGCTTAGTCTGTGAAGCCTCCCCATCCTGAGCAAACCCCGCCGGCGCCGTCGCATCCGACGGGTGATGGTCGCTCGGGCTGTTGCGCTTGTTGGACCCCGAACTATCCGGGGCGGGCATCGAGGGAGCGGTGGCTGTGACAGTAGCAGATGTAGGAGGTGCGGCGGCGGGGGTCGGAATATTCACGGGGGCAGTCGCGGCTGCAGAGTCAGGAGGGACAGTGGCAGGAGTGGCGGCTGAAGGACCGGAAGAGAGAGCCAAGGCGGAACTGGGGGCCAGGGTATCGACAGAGGCGGTGGTGGATGCCGTTGATACGGTTGATACGCGCCGTCTCCACGATGCAGGAGATTCAGGAGAGGAAGGATCGACGGTATGGCGATTTAAGGCCGAGCGCAGCTCCTCAATGGCCAGGCGTGATGAGCGAGGACTATTGAATTGTGGAGCGGACGAGGGATCATAATGCGCCGCAGCTCCGGCTGGATGAGGAAGTGGGTGTGGGTGCGGATGGGGGTGAGGGGATCGCAACGCCGCGGAGGAGGGCGAGGGGGAGGAAGCCAACATGACTGGGGGAGAAGCGAAGGGGACGCGCTCTGGAAAGCGGGTATCCCGTCGATCAGATTATTGGGGGAAAAGGGTAGATTGATGATTTGATTTAGTTCGAAGCTTGGAGGATTGGAATGCTGCAATCCAAATATCGACCGCTCAAAGTGCACGATGGCACCACGTGGGCGCACGAGTCAACGGGGCGCTGACGCTGCGGACCTGGATTGGTGCTGGCGCACGGCCTCATCCTCGCGAGGCAAGTGATAGGGGAAGTGGAGAGACAGGGAGAGACCAGAGGAAGTCGAATCCGGGGGGTCTCACGCTAACTGAAGAAATGGGATCACATCGAAGTTATATCCTCCTAAAAAAGGGTGAGATGGATACGAAAAGGAGGAGAGAGGAGGGAGAGAAGTGGAAAAGTAGGGCATAATAATACGGGACCTGCTGGAAAAATCCTGCTTGGCCATGAGGTAATTTATTACAGCCAATACGTGGAGGACAGGGTTGTGTACAGTAGTGTATGGTAGTATGGTACCTCTCCTACTAGAAGTGCCCTAAACTCTACTCCGAGTCTAGAATCAGGAATGTAATATTGGTAACCTTCATACGATAGCGGAGTGTATTGAAAAGCGGTGCCGGTTCTTCCAGAGCCCCACCAGTCTGTCTCCTGCAAGGCGGGGGAGTCTGCTGACTGGTTGGGCGCGCCCCGAACCGACCGGACAGCCTCGGTGTGACAAGACATGACAGTACAAGAAATCTCGGCAGTCAGGGTGATAAATGTGTTGGGGTAATAGAGGAAGAAAAACGATGGCAAACTTTGATGGACTTCATCAAAGAACTACGAGAATGGGCTTGGCAGTGGCTTGGACGCTCAAAACCGCGTCGTATCATGTACTCCGTATGCGGGGATTAATTACTGATGGTATGGTCTTTAGTCTCACTATTGAGATGATGAGATCATTTTGTGATTGAGACTAAAGAGACTAAGACCAAGTTGAACAAGCGTTGAATAGGCATGTCTTGCATTTCGATGCCTGAATATTATGGCTGGAGCACTGGACTAACTTAACTAACGTTAGTTTGTTAAAATGAGATGCCTGAATCGCCCGACAATGAGTTCTGCCTCAGGTCTCAATTCTCCCGCCTTTCTTACGTAACCGCGAAGTCATCCCCTCCGGCCATTGCGGAGTCGGAGGCCATCAATGATACAGGGGAGCTAGACGATTGATCGTCAAATTGGCTATCAATTATGCAAGCTTAAGGAAGGTCCCATTGCAATAGCATTTCCAATCATCGCCTATCAAGTAAACCATCCTCCACACCCGTTGTCCAATGCCCCGCCGTGAATCCACGCGACCTCTCTCCCCCGACTGGCTGAATCCGGACAAGACCCATTTACTGCCAACTCCTCCGGCCCTGCAACCCCGACGGCTTGCCACAGCTGCCCACGCGACCCTGCGATACCGAGGCTGATATACCAGAAGCACAGAGAAAGCCGATTTTTGCCTTCTCCCTCTCAGATTCCCATCAAAAGTGATACTACAAGTGCGAGAGGTTCTGTGAGAGCGTATCTCCCCGCTTGGGAGACGGTGGTCTTCGGACGATGACACGAGCTGTTGCTCCGCCGATTCTGCTGCAGCTCCAGAGCTCGGAGTCGGCTTCCACACAAGTTCCTTTGCTGCGAACGCTGAAAAATGAACTGATCGGCCATGATCAGCGCAAAGAAACCTATGTGGCGGCCGGCATCATTCCAGCTTTGGGGCAGTTGCTTAGCACGCGACGTCCGGGGAAAGCTAGCGGAACAGAGTCCAATGGGGCCGCCTTGAACCAGCCTTCACTCTATCAGAATTCCGACGAATCTGAAGCATGTCTCCAGGCTATCCTGATTGCTGGCAGCCTGGCACAAGGTACGTTGAAATCTGACGGGAACAATGATCGCTTTATAGATAGGGAAGCTTATCAGACCGAACAGGGGGACCAACATTCCTTGCTCCTATCTTCGCCAGCGACATCCTTCCAACCCTTCTCGCCATTCTATCTTCCCCAGATTGTCCTCCCTCGTTTACTCTCCCGATCCTGCGATTCCTGAATACCATTGCAGACCGACTGCCACTGCAAAGCCAAGATCAATGGCCCCGAGACACCCGGCTGGCAGATTTGGTCTTTTCAGGCGAGAACATTAACTCGATTAGACGGATCATTGCGCAGGATTACGGCTCTGCGCGCAGTCGGGCCTGTATTGAGCTGGCAGCTACATTGATCGGAAAGCTATGCACGGAAGAGATTCACAAGACGGCCTTGGCAGAATCCGGGGTGCTGGATGCCCTGGCTGTCAAGATTGCCTCTTTTGTGGTGGCGCAAGGCTTTGTCCTCCCCGGTGCTGAAGATAGTCTACAAGACGCTGGTGCATTGGGGGAACTTCCAGCCCCAGCCCCGACATCCGCACGCCTGGCTCCTATACTTCGTGCAGTCACGGTAATCATCGAGCAGTCGAAATGGCGGGCAGAACATTTTCTGTCTTCACCGGGAATTGTTACTGTATTTCCCAAACAAGTGCCCGGATTCGCTTCATCGGATATCAGAAAGGGTCCCTGGGGATCGACGTACCTGTCCGGCTCCGCGGTCCCGCGTAACACGGGCGCGAATCCAGTCGATACTTTGCTACCATCAGTCCCTTTAGCGCATGGGAGATCATCACCAAACTCCGCCAATTTCCCGCCTTTGGGGAATGGTGGCTCTCAGCGTCGCCATAGTCACTCCTTCCCTACGCCGTTTTCGCTGGCCGAGACGCCAACCCCGGAAGAGGAGGAAAACTCCATCGTCCCGTGGCTACTATGTATTCTCCGCTCCGAGGGAGGTATGGTGCGATTGATGGCTGCTCGGCTGGTCACGGTTCTTTTCCGCCTCGGCCTCTCGAAGAAGCATCGGGTCCCGATGTTCAGCTACTTATTGGTTCCAATTCTCCTTCGCATGCTGGACAAGGACTTTGAAATACCAGACGACCATGACCCTTGCGACGATGGTCTGATCACACCAACGCAGCGCTTGAAAGAGGAGGCCCCGGCCGTATTGGCCAATCTGGTCATGGATGATCAAGATCTTCAGAAACACGCTGTCGATGGCAATGCACTCAAGAGGTTGTCTCAATTGCTGAAAGAGACTTATAACCCCGTTCCGGAGAGCCTGCGGCCAATGTGGTATGCGGAAGGCGATGGCCCAGCTCGGGATCCCGAGTCCATGTCGGCGGACTGCCGGCTCGGACCTCCTGGGTACTCGCCCACTCTGTGTCATGTGATGCGGTACCGTGAGAGTATCTTGAAGGCTCTAGCGGCACTTGTCCCATTCAAGGACGAGTACCGTAAGGCGGTTTGTGAGAATGGCGTGGTTCCATACATCATCGACTCGCTCAAGCCTCGGCCTAGTGATGCTCCCGCTGATGCTGCTTCAATGCCAAAGAATTCAGCCACGGACGGCAATCCCACGCCGACAATTTTGGCTGCTTGTGGCGCTGCTCGGATGTTGACCAGATCAGTCAGCGTGCTGAGGACCAGCCTCATCGATGCTGGTGTTGCCCAGCCGCTATTTGTTTTGATCAAGCATCCCGATTTGGAGGTTCAGATTGCGGCCACGGCAGCGATTTGTAATCTGGCGCTGGATTTCAGTCCCATGAAACAGGTCAGTCACAGCAAACTTTTGTATAGCGTACCCATGCTAACGCAAAGAACTAGGCAATCATCTCGGCCGACATTATCCCGATTCTCTGCGAGCATGCCCGCTCATCCAACACCAAGCTGCGAATTGAATCTCTGTGGGCACTCAAGCATGTGGTCTACAACTCACAAAATGACATTAGAATGAAAGTGATCGAAGCTCTCACCCCAGCTTGGATCCGACAAATCATAAGCCAGGATCAAGTCAGCGCCTTGGCACGGCGAGGATTGGAGGAGGACATGGAACAAAGCTCAGGAATCGCCATGGGCCGTGCCAATTCGTTTGGCGAACAGGTTGATATTCTCAATCCCATGGAGGACTCCGGCGAGCTAGGCGAAGACTTTAAGATGTCCGACAGCATGCCATCGTCAAAGATAAGCTTGGATATGTTCCTGCCAGATGTCAGGCGCCGACGCAAGCTCGTTCTGCATGGATCGCTGGAGCAGTCTACCCAGTCTCGCCAAGATGATATCGCAGTCCAGGAGCAGACCTTCGATTTGCTACGCAATATCATCTGCGGCGAAGGTGCCTTTGAGATGATCGACTTCCTATTCAAGGAAATCGGACAGGATGAGCTGCTCAATGCTCTCGCCAATAATCTCCGCCCGCGCACGATCCAGCTCGCTCATCGTCGCGAAGCGTCCAGCCGTCCTCTGCATGTCCCTTCTGAGATTCTAGGCTCCGTCAGCGCCCTGATCATCCACCTCGGCGCCGGTCATCCACGTCATCGACAGCTGCTGATGTCGCACCCCGATCTTCTGCACTCGCTGACGAACTACTTCAACCACTCCAACCGTGAAGTCCGGCTCAATTGCGTGTGGGTAGTCATCAATCTCATCTACGTGGAGGACTCGAGTGATCGCGACGGATGCCGAGAGCGGGCCAGCCAGCTGAAGGCTCTGGGGATTGTAGACCGTCTGGCCAGTCTTCAGAATGATCCGGATCTGGACGTGAAAGAGCGTACTAAGACTGCGGTGCATCTCATGAACTCGTTGACTTAGCCCTGGGTTTGTTTTTTGCTTGGATACTGATTTTGAAGGTAGGAACTGGACATGGGCGTCTTCATTAAGACTTGAACTGTGCATAAGCCGTTTGCGGGTATATTCATTTTCAAAATGTGCTTTAGATAGGAAATATTTATTTTGTGTAGCACATAGCACACTTCCTCTTTCCAGTAAGGTGCTTGCTCACCGGATAAATCAGATCATCACCTTATCTTATCAATTTTGTGGAGAAACTCACGTCATAGTCACAAGGACCCCTTCAAGTATTCATTCTTGTTGACATTTCTCATCCAACCCCAATATCCAGTCCTTCATCTTCTTCAACTACTCCCCGAATCAATCAAACCATAGCAACAATGTCCCCCGTCCCAATCCCAATCCTCAAAGCCCTCAACCTCCCCACAGACCCCCAAAACTGCACCCTCGACTCATCCGGCCTAGGCTCAGGCTTCACAAGCACAGCTATCCTCAACGCAACAACCACATCCGAAACCAACACTCATCAACAACGAAAATATTTCATAAAAACCTCCCAGGATGGCCCTGCCGCAAAAGAAATGTTCCACGGCGAATACGAATCCCTCAACGCTATCGCCGACGCTGTCCCTGGTTTCTGTCCTAGAGCTTTAGCATGGGGTCCGCTGGACGAGAAGAATGGGTACTTTCTCGCAACGGAGTTTCTCGATTTACGCAGTTCTAGGAACCGAGGGTCTTCTGGTGATGAAATGAACAGTCTGGCGTATCGATTGGGCAAATTACATACCACGCCTGCACCCGTCGATCCCGTTACTGGTCGATCCAGATACGGGTTCCCCGTACCGACGTTCTGCGGGGACACGAGACAGTCGAATACCTTCTATGATAGTTGGGCTGATTTCTACGCTAACGAACGACTTCTAACTATCCTGGCCTCGTCGGAGAAACGGAATGGTCGGGATGCAGGGTTGAGGGATCTCGTTGAGAAAACTGCTCGTATTGTTGTGCCGCGGTTACTGGGTGATGAGCATTTGGGGTATAATATCCACGGTGAAGGGGTGGGGCTTCAGCCTGTTGTTGTGCATGGGGATTTGTGGAGTGGGAATGCTGATCGGGGCAGGATTGTTGGGAATGGGAATGAGAGAGATGAAGAAGAGGAAGAGGTGGTGGTGGGAGATGTGGTTTATGATCCTTCTGCTTGTTATGCGCATAGTGAGTTTGAGTTGGGGATTATGGGGATGTTTGGGGGGTTTGGGGGGAGGTTTTTTGAGGATTATCATCGGATTGTGCCGAGGACGGAGCCTGTGGAGGAGTATGAGGATCGGGTTAGGTTGTATGAGTTGTGAGTATTTGGTTTCTTGGGTTTCTTGGGTTGATTGATTGATTGATTGATTGATTGATTGATTGATTGATTGATTGATTGATTGATTGATACGGACTGGAAGTTGTACTGTGCTGATTGTTGGATTTAGGTATCATCATTTGAATCACCATGCAATCTTTGGTGGTGGGTACCGGTCTGGTGCGGTGTCGATTATGCAGAAGCTTTTGAGGAAGTACAGTGACGGACAGTGAATGATTGGGATCTTATGCAAGAGGTTTCATCTTGAGACTATTCGATTCAGAAAATGGGTTGTCCGCTCAGGTTTTTATGTCGAATATCGGAGGAGCCACAACTGTCGTCAGATACTTGTGAAGGAATGTATGCGAGTCTAAACCAGAAATAGCATGTAGAGACTTTTCAGCACATTTTGCAGAATAAGATCTTTCCCTTCCAGATTCCAATCTTGAACGGATCACGGAGGATACCCAAGGTCCTCTGCCAAGCCAAATCGGGCCGGAGTCCACTCGATGCCAAGCCCAAGGAATCGAGGCTGCCTTGGGAGTCAAAGTCGGTGAAAAGAAGATTCTGTTAACATGTAAGCTTGTCGCTTATTCAGTCTATACATCCAATAAACCAAAAGGCAAATCTGAATACTGTATCACTATGAATTGCCCTTCCCGAACGGACGACACTCTCGAACATGACGAGTGGAACCAGAATCCCCCGCGCCTCGCTCCGGATTTGACCACGTGCCAAGACTTCAATGGTATTGTGAATGCCCGCGAGAATCAGGATGACAGAGGAGGGCCTTCTGGATTACATGGAGGCATTAAGTGGAAGGATGTTCCGCCATTTAAGGAACCTGAGAAGGGGGACTCGCTCGACTGGGGACGCGGGATGTCCCTGACGTTGTCAGGTATGGACAGCTCTTTTCCTGCAATGACTTCAAGTGCTAATTAATCGGACAGGACATTCCGCTCCATCCAAGGCTAGCCCACAGGCTTACCAGAAAGACCAATACTCAACCGATCCTCCGCCACACCAGACAATCAAAAGATGGGCACTATGGCTCCTCTCCGTACTCTGTGCTTCAGTACTCATCTCATCCAGCAAATTAAGCGGGTATCTCACATTCAACCAAAACCCCATTATCACCGAAACATCCCTCGAAAAAGAACGCCCAGCACCAATGAAACGATCAAAATGCGCAACCGGGGGCGTCGGCGACGACACATATGACCTCCCCCTACACGTCGCCGCACTATTCATCATCCTAGCAACATCAACAATCGCCTGCGCATTTCCAATTCTAGCAACGCGATTCCCTCGTTTACGTATCCCACCTTCATTCCTGTTTTTCGTCAGTCATTTCGGAACAGGCGTTCTGATTGCTACTGCCTTTGTGCATCTTCTTCCGACGGCGTTTACGTCACTGGGCGATCCTTGTTTGTCTCATTTCTGGACGACGGATTACCCGGCGATGCCGGGTGCTATTGCGCTAGGTGGGATATTTATTGTTACTTTGGCGGAAATGGTGTTTAGTCCCGCGCAGCATATTTGTCGGGGTGGGAAGTCCGATCCTATTAAGCCGGGCCCATCGTCTGGTTTTGATAAAGAGGAGTCGTCGGGGAGACTAGCACCTGGGATGACGGGGACGAGAGATCCCGGTCGATTTCCGGATCAAAGTTCTTATTTATCTACGCTTGATGGAAGAGCTCATCTACGGGATATGGGACCATTAATTGGAAGGTCATCAAGTATTAGCAGGGCTATGAACCGAGTTGGAGACGGTTCCGAGGAAATAGTCCGTGTCGCATCGGCCCCCGAAATTCAGACTCATCGGGAGAAAGATAACGGAGCTATCCATGAAGACATCGAGCGACATGAGCACTCCTCCTTCGAATTGACCCCAGAGCAGAAGCAGAAGAAAGAGACGATGCAGGTGTATCTTCTCGAGATGGGCATTCTCTTCCACAGTGTCTTCATCGGCATGTCACTCAGTGTCTCGATTGGAAATGAGTTTGTGATTCTGCTGATTGCCATCGTTTTCCATCGTGTGTTCAAATTCCTTCCACCAAGCATCCTGTTGATAAAAGCTGACGATCAACGCCATAGAAACCTTCGAAGGCCTTGCATTGGGCTCACGTATTGCTTCGCTCCCCTGGTCTGAACGACAGCTTCAACCCTGGATCATGTCCCTGGCATATGGATGCACGTAAGTTGTTTATTTAGACACAAATATCATATTACCCATTATCCATGAAGGGAAATCATTCTGACAATATCCCAGTACCCCAATCGGACAGGCCATCGGCCTGGCCACGCATACACTCTACAGTCCCGATTCAGAAGTCGGCCTTCTCTTGGTCGGTGTCATGAACGCTATCTCCGCTGGATTGTTGATCTTTGCTTCCCTCGTGGAATTGATGTCTGAGGACTTCCTCAGTGATGAGAGTTGGCGGATTCTTTATGGGAGACGGAGGGTTTATGCTTGTTTGTTGGTGTTTTTGGGGGCATTTTGCATGAGCATTGTTGGTGCTTGGGCATGAATATGCTTGGGAGGATATACCCCAGTCTCTAGCAGCAGGGGTAAAGATTTTATACACCATTTTTAAAGTGGGATAGTTCAGACTAGACTGTTGATGGGGTTGTTCAGACTTGGGTGTGTTGTTAGTATGACGTGATGTCAATTTGAAATCACGGCGAAGCCAAAGGAGGGGAAGTAGAACGGGCGATCAACCACTTATTGACCCCGCAGTTTCCTATGATTTGTTTTGAATTTACCTTTAAATTAATTGACCCAATAATTGAGCTTGTTTCAAGCATAGGCAAAGTTAACCGCTTGCATAAATCTTGCCGATTACAAATCTAAAAGTGGAGATCCTGATTTAAAAGGAAGACGATGTGATTTATAAGGTTAGGATTCTACCTTTCGATTCAATTAGTTTTTGCAAAGTCATATCTTATCATCTGCTTCGAGATGCCTCCTCACCCTGATTCGAAGGTCCACCCAGAGGCCACCGGCCTCGCCAAAGTGCTAGTTGAGAAGCATCGCGCAGAACAGCCACTGAAGTTGTACGCGGGATGGTTCTGTCCGTGAGTAGAGACCTGCGACGACTTGATATGTATCTAGCTGACCCTTATGCAGATTTGGTATGCTTGTTGAATACTGCAACATTATTGATTCTAACATTGCAACTGATCACCATTCCAGTGCAACGCGCCTGGCTAGCTCTCGAGGAGAAGCAGATTCCCTACCAATACATCGAAGTCAATCCATACAACAAACCAGAATCCCTTCTTTCTCTCAACCCCCGCGGCCTCGTTCCAACACTCTCGTGTCCGACCGGCCCACAACCTCGACCACTCTACGAGTCAACAGTGATCCTCGAGTACCTGGAAGAAGCATATCCGAACCACAAACCGCACTTCCTCCCACAGGACCCCTACGAGCGCGCTCGTGCCCGAATCTGGATTGACTACGTCACCTCGCGCATCATCCCGTCCTTCCACCGATTCCTGCAATACCAGCCCGCCAAAGCTCAAAATGCAGCGGGCGATGCAGGATTATACGAAGCACGACAAGAATTCCTAGGCCACCTAAAAGCCTGGACAAAGGAGATGCATCCTGAGGGACCGTTCTTCCTCGGTTCCGAGGTTAGCTTGCCCGACCTTGTACTTGCGCCATGGGCGGTGCGCTTGTGGGTATTTGACGAATTCAAGAGTGGTGGATTGGGGATTCCGGTTGAGGGACAGGGTGGATCGGATGAAGCAGTGTGGTCTAGATGGAGAAAGTGGCTGTCTGCTATTGAGGAGCGGAAGAGTATTCAAGAGACGACGAGCGAAATGGAGTATTATCTCCCGATCTATAAGCGCTATGCGGATAATACAGCGCAGAGTGAATTGGCCAAGGCTACTAGGGCCGGTCGTGGTGTTCCGTAGACCGACCATAATAAGGAAATTGGCCTCTTGTCTTGTCTCTGTCCCATGATTACTGTTTATAGTGAAAGTTTCCTTTTTTTTTGCTGTAAGAATGACTTCTTGACTCATGATTCCGTTTTTGATACCCCACATATACCTTGGACTATGTAACCTTCTACCACACATATTCTGCCCTCCATTTTAGATAGCCTGCATATATTTTAAAGATGTGCCTTCCTTTTTTGGCAGCCTACTTGTACCTGCCTTCCTCTATACCTATATATACTTCGGATTGAACTTTTTCCGAGTTTTTTCCGCCTTTCATCCCTCAACTTCGGATTAATCTTCTTCCTTATATTTCTCTCCGGATCATCATTATTCCTGTATTACGCCTATCTTCACGTGACTTTATCGGCCATGGCTCCACTATCTCGATACCCATCGGTCTCTGAGCTTGTTTCTCACCTTAACGAAGTCGGGAGACAAAAAGAAGCCCAATTGCAGAAGATGGCACGAACTCAACGTGATGAGCAGCGTGAAGAGCAGCGGGACTCACGCCTTGTGCCTGGTCCTAGCAGCCGTCCCAGCAACCCAAATCCTCCACTGATTCACCCATCATTTACCCAGACAACGCAGGCTTTCATTCCTGAGGTGAAAATCCAAGCCTGCTTCGACGCGATGGGGGTGAGTCGCTCTCGCGAGGAGTCACTTCGTCTGTCGGGTGTCAACTGGATCCACAGTGTGCGCAAGGCACTCCACCTGTATGTTACGGTCTTGCCAAAGAGCTACAAGTGACGAGATGCTAACCACATATACAGTCCGGTCCGAACTTTCAACACTGCGGTGATGTACTATCACCAATTCCGACTGATGCACCCAGACAATGACTTCAACTACGTCGTATGTCTCTCACCTGTCTTTCTTTGCCCCTCATTCTAACCTTTACCACAGGATGCTGCCGCGGCTGCTTTGTTTATTGCATGCAAGATTGAGGACACGCTGAAGAAGTCCCGAGAGATTGTGTGCGCGGCCTACAACTTGAAGGCGTCTCCTGCAGAGCTTCTGACTCCTGATAATCCGGTATGCTACCCTCTAATCCAATCCCGGCTCAAACACACAGTATATTGACACGTCTTTCAGGTGTTTGAGGCCCAATCCCGTGGTGTCATCGGCCTGGAGCGGCTCATGCTGGAGGCATCTGGCTTTGACTTCGTTACCCGCCACCCCCAAGAGCTCCTGGCCAAGCTGATCAAGTTCACCTACAACATTCCCCCGCAATCACAAGTCTCCCACCTGGCCTACCTAATCTCCATGGATCTGTACAGGACCTTTGCACCACTCAAGCAGACCACCATGACCCTGGCATTTAGTTGCCTCGAGCTTGCGCAACGGCTTTTGGATCAGCACGAACCCCTGGAGTCTGGCGCGGATTATGAAACTTTCCGTACTAGCCGTGCGGAGGTGATGGGTATGATTGTTCCAATGGCAGAGACGTCTCAAATGATATACTGACACTTCCTCTAGAAACCCTCCTTGACCTCCTTGAGCTGTACACCCACAGCCGTGCCTTGACCTCCGTTGGCCCTGACTTCCCTGCGGACCAGTTCCTGAAGGTCCGCATCCCACTCAACCAGGAGGCCAGGGACAAGCAGCTCCCACGGTACAACGGCCCCGAGACTCCTGCTCCTGCCGAAGAATCCGGCACCCGTCAGCGCCCTCTCCACCCGCTGACGCCGCTTGCCGCCAATGGAGACCGCCGCGGGGAGAGTAGCCGTGGTCGTGATGCGCCGTTGCGGTTCATCCTCGACCCGGCCTGGGCGGAGCAGGAGGGACGCCAGGTATCGGAGTTTTTCAAGGTGGAGACTGAGGAGTACGAGATTGAGGAGTGAGGGGAAGGATGGGGAAGCTATCAGGCGAATATGATGTGATTGGCTTTCAACACCACGTTCGACGAACGTATGCCTGGTCGGAGAGCGAAAGATACAGTGGTGAGGCTTATCATGTTAATACGACATGATATGGCCCTGGGACACAGTGTCTTACGCACGATTACCGGGCGACGATCGTTGGACGTGGTGATAAATCCGATCATATCCATTCGCCATGATATGTATGATTACGAAAAAAAGCGTTTGATGATTCCCGGGCTTTCCTGTGACGATACTTTATGATACCCTAATATTCAATTCATCCATGAGTCCAATTGATGACTCGAAACATAATGGTGCTACTCTGATTCTTGTCCCAGTGCTCTGCTGTAATTCAAATGATATCCCGTAGCAAGCCACTGGGGTCAATATGCAGGAATAAAAATCCGTACAAGAAGTCCCTTGTTCCCTTGGTTATTGATTATTAGTTTTACCTAGTGTCTATCTGCATACGTTCCTTTTGTTCGAATAGACTGCCGGCGGTTAAGAATGCCTCTTTGGGCTCTACCACTCTGACTGCGCCCAGGCTTGAACTTGGCGGAGGCAGCTACATTTCGTCAGAGCAAGTCTACTGACCTGGAGCAGACCCTCCGAGAAGTTAGAGGCAAATTTCCATCTTATAGTCCTCTAATTCCCAACATCTTTATTTGTTTTTCAACTGTCCGGAACCCTCACAATGACCGTCGATTTAGAGAAACTCCCCACTTTCGCACAAAAGCCCCGCATTTTCATTCTAACAGACGTCTTGAACGAGCCCGACGACTCGCAATCACTCGTTCGATACCTGTTATATTCCAACGAGTTTGAGACTCGCGGTATATGCGCGACGACATCTACCTGGTTGCGTTCCAGCACCCATCCAGAAGAACTTCGTCGCATCATCACGGCATATGGCGACGTTGTTGACAACCTGAATAAACATGTGCATCCAAGCTGTCAATACCCGTCTACCGAACACCTTCTCTCGCTAGTGACATCGGGGCCAAGGGTACGTATCTGAACCTTGCTAATCGGAATTCATCATTGGAGAGATCTTGAACTCACACTTCTATCTACAGGTCTACGGCAAAAAAGCGTTGAAAGAGCCCCATAGCGAAGGCGCGCAACGGCTGCTAGCCGCCCTCCAAGAATCCGAAGAACCACTCTATGTCCCTGTCTGGGGTGGTGTGAACACACTCGCTCAAGCACTCAAATACCTCGCCGAGACATCTTCGCAGGACCTAGCTGCCAGAGAACGAGCCAAACTGCGTGTTTATTCCATTTCCGACCAAGATGACACCGGGGCATGGATTCGTGCCAAGTATCCCGGTGTCTTCTTCATCGTTTCTTTGCACGGCTGGAATCAATATAGCCAGGGTAGCTGGCTAGGCATGAATGCCAGTGCTGGCGACGGAGTCGATCACACAAAGGTGCAAAACCCATGGCTAAACGAGCACATCCGCATTGGTCCGTTCGGAGTCAAGGCTTATCCCGAGGTGAAATTTGGCATGGAGGGTGATACGCCGTCTTTTCTATGGTTGATTCAAAATGGATTGAGTTACCGGGATTTCATTAATTGGGGCGGTTGGGGTGGCCGGTATATTAGGCCGCAGAGTGAGGCCGATTGGGAAGATGGTATCGATGGGAATCACTTCCATAATGCTCATGACTTTGGTGTTGTTGGAGCTGATGGGAAGCCTCATACTGATCACAGAGCGACGATTTGGCGATGGAGGGATGCTGTTCAGGATGATTTTGCGGCACGAATGCATTGGACAGTTACGGACGATTTCACCAAGGCGGGCCATCCACCGGTTGTTGATGTCAATGGCCATGCTGGAACGGAGCCGCTGATCTTGAAGGTCAAGCCTGGCGAAAGGCATACTCTGGATGCGAGTGGGACCTATTGTGCCGACGATGGAAGCGCTGGCGATGACCTGGAATACACCTGGATGCTCTACAGCGACGTCAATGGATTCCATTTCTTCGGCATGGGCCCGAAAGTCAATATTGAAGCTTTGGAAGGCATTTCCTCAGACAACAAAGGCAATGATACTGCAGGATTTGCTACATTTACTCGAGCACGCAAGATCGCAGTAACGGTGCCAGAAATTGAGAAGCATCCTCAAACGGGACTTGTGACGCCGGACTTTCATATCTTGCTGCAAATTACCAACAGGGCGGGTCCATATCCCATTCGGCGGTACAAGCGAGTCGTTTTCTCTTATATCCATGAAGGCACATCCGAGTCTCTCAAAAAGATGCCGGAGAGCGCTGGTGAAGCAAACCGGCTGTATGGAAACATCGATGCAGGAAGGCCAAGGGTCGTCTACTCACAACCACCAACTTACAGACCCTGTAACTGGTGGGGAGTGAAAGCCAAAGGAAACAAATAAATAGAATGGTAGGAGTCATAAAAAATTTGGCAAAGGAAGTAAACATGGCAACCTCCATCAGTGGGTTGTCCCTGTTTCTTGCGGGGGGTTGTGTATATAAGCTTGCTCCGCGGCACCGCAACTTCCACCTTCTCTCATTACCGTCAACTTTATTTTTCCTCATAATATAATCTTTGGCAATGCTTGGCAAGGTAACTCTCACCATATTACACATGACCACTATCCAAATCAGGTTTCTATCACTTGAAAGATTCTAACATCCAGCCTTCTTTCTCCAGGTTCTTCAACTAACTGGACCACGTCTATATAGCCCATCCACTGGAGATAGCTCGATATTTCCCCCAATTTACTAAGCTATGCGCGTTGCCGACTTGGGCAATAGAGAACAAGAAGACTGCCCCTCAGCTGAAGACCTCTCTTACCGTTGAAGATCGCGCCAAGGGTCTTGTCGAAGCGTACGACCACCCTTCTATATTGCCTCTGTCTTCATAAATTTCATGCGTTCTCTATCTATTCCGATCATATTTCATTCAAGGTAAGCCTCTTCTCCATCTTCTTCATCGCCTCCATCGCCTCCATCGCCCAGCGCAGCCCTGTTTCCGTGTCTTCCTTCGACCGATACCTTGACCCCTGGGCTTCACAACATGGAGCCCGCTGGCTGAGTTAGCGGGGAGAAAATCTGTCAAAGCAAAAAGGAAACCCAAATGCTAAGAAGGGGTGTCTAAGAGACCACTGGAAAGCGAAAGGTGTGAGAGAAGCCCTAGTCGGGGCTCCGATTCACACACGGCGATTTCATGAGCCTGGTCTATCTGACCCCTCAAAATTGACAGGGAGGTCTATGACCATCAGTTGCTCGTTACTCAGGTGGAAGCCCTAGGAGACGCACCTATGGCTGTGGAGGCTTCTCCCTTAAAGCGCGCTGCATTCACCCCGGTGTTCTGTGGAGCTACAGATCCAGAGCACGGATGGATGATCGGGGACTCGTGGGGTCTTGCATAAAATTGGGCAAAACTGATACCCAGGTGTCATTTTCCCTTATCTATCCAAGGGCACTTCGAAACTCGACCACCACAAGTCCCCAATTATCTCAGACATCAAGTTCGAGAAGTACCGTACACCCGTACACCTACAGCCGAATCCGGAGATGTTCTCGAAATACTTCTGGCAGCAGGTGGGCATGAGCCAGTCCAGTATTGACTTTCGAAGTCGACACTAAAGTCGTGGCAATACCTGAGAATTGTGGTCTAGTTGTTCCGATCCCAGGAACACTCGGACTGCCCCCGGCATGCTACCAGCACCTCTACAGCCGCTAGCTAGCTGGCTGGCTCCTAATGAACTGTATCTTGCTCACCAACAGACCGTCCACAGCAGCCCACATAACCTCATAAGAAGCTGACAATTTTCCAACAACGACGATATTCTGACGCCGAACCTGGTATTGGCCATAGACTATAAATTCTGGAAATGCACGCTGCGGCGTTAAGAAAACTGCTTTTGAAACGGAAATGGCTCCATGTCATGATTACAAGGGGTTGCTACTGTTTCCCTTTCCCTATGAGCGTGAGTGTTTTCAAACAAAATCGAGCATGATACTTATTCCTCATCAGTTTTTCTCGATATACCGAATATCGGAGATGGCTCCCAATCTACCACGCAGTCCCTTTTTCCCAAGGACTGGGGATTCTGCCTGTTCAAGAGCCGACCTCGAGTGGATGGAAGGATAGCGGCACGCAGATAGACTATTGGGTGTCTGAAGTTCAACATGTTATTTATGTTCTGGGATTGTTGGCTTTCTGAGATAAGTTGAGAGAAAAGCCTGATTTTGCCGAATAGGTGGAGTGTGGCATCGGAATAAAGATTTGAATTTTTGTATTTGCAATCTTGATAATCCTTATACAGGGTAGTAGTGGTAGGATTTTGGTTGCGTGGATGGCTGTAGATGGCACATGTATCTAGTCAGAACCCCTTTAGAGAAGGTCCATTCACATAGTATGGCGTGGAATTCTATGTTACAAGAATGACTTTCAAGCCGTTCAGACTACAGACGCAGTAGTGTTCATCAATCGTTTGAATTGCTTATAGTGACTAAGCAGATAAAGAGTCCTGTAGACCCAACCAGCGTGGTCGACAAAGATAGCCAGTCCACTCTCCTTGCAAAATAACAAAAAGCCAATACCTTCAGGGCAACCAGTCATAAAGATATGAAGAGTCCCACCTAAGCAGCCGTAGCCCCTAAGGATAACGCGATAAATCCCTTTGTAGAATGAAACAAAAGTAACGCCAAGTAGCAAAGAGTCATAAGGATATTGGTAGTCGAAGCAGAGACGCAATGAATCCAGCAAGAGCAGCCCTTGAAAGAATCAACCATGCATAGAAATCAAGCGCCAGTGCGGTTTCCTTCCTCGGGGTCTCCGGTGAAAACAGGATCATTCTCAGGAATTTCCTCCGTCTGACGGTAAGCTTTCTCGATGGCGTCGAAGCGAGCGAGGCAGGAAGAAATTTGAGTGTTGCGAGCTTCGTCGTTGGCGCTCACGCCGTGTGGCAGCCAAAAGGCAAAAAGATTTCTCGAAGGCGGAACCTCACCACTCGGAAGCAGTGTTCCTTCTCGCTCATTTTCACGGCCTTCAGCTGGTAGCTCGGCAATTGGGTACATCAGTCGATACAAAGCCAGTATTTCCTCGTCGCATTGCCCCAAGATCTTCGTGGCGGCAATCGTGTCGAAGAGGTTGTCTAGCTCCATACCGGTACGGACAATCATGGTAGCTAGCCTAGAGTAATTGAAATTGAGAATATTAGTTAGTAGTTGTAGAGAAAATTGAATGCACTTTGGTAGTATAACAAAGCAATGATAGGAGGGGGCAGACAATGAACTTACCACTGAACATCTGCAGCCCATTCAACCGACTGAAGAGAGATTTTGTCGTCGAATGCCAAGCTCACGTCAGTATGTACACCGCTGAAGCAGCCAAGAAGGCCAGTGACAAGACTGGTAGATGGCGTTCTGCGAAGCAAATCGACGGGACGTTGCAGGCATGCTGGATCGATGAATCCTCGGGCGACCAAGATCTGGAAGAGGACCCAGATCGCCGACTGGCGACGGCCACGCCACCACAAGTTTCGCAGGATGGATTCCAAATGGGGGATTCTGATACTGGCTTCATCATAGATATTGAGGTCGGCGATGATTACTTGTTTGAAGTCGCATTTCAAGATCTCTTTCTGAACGACAGCTGCAGCTGCCTCTGGGATTGGAGCGAGTGCACTGGCCGGGCGTTGGGTGAGAGGGCCGCCAGCGAGATGAGGGAGGATGGTCGGATTTAGCGTGGGCCACTCGATTCTTCGATGGCGAGATGTGCTGCGAGGGTCCATGTTGAGGTCAACCATGTAGCGGAATACCTGTTTCTCCAAGTTGAGAGTTGAATCGAATCTCGAGGTGTGGTAAAACTCAGGCTCCACCACTACAGAGGCACCTGGTGAGAGGACTCGAGTATGTTTTTCTCTCAAAAAATCTTCATGCCGCTGCATGGTCCAGGTCTCATGAGTCGCACGAGGGGTGTAGCCGGGGATCTCGACCTGGGCGAGGGAAAAACGGCTGTTGCGGTAACGACCACTGGTGCTGCTCGTCTGGGTAAAGGGGGACTGGTCGAACGGCATCCAAGATAAATCAAGGCATGAGTTAATAGCAAAGTCTAATCGTAATGGTATCTGTTTGTCCTCGATCTTAATCGCCGGTTTTGTTTGTTTGATATAAGTCCTCGTAACTATTTTATCGCTTTAAGGGACTGACTTGTTTTATAGCTGTCTTAGATGTCTTGTTGAGCATCCCTTGGAACATTTTTGAAAAGTTATTCAGGTTTGACTTTTGAGACACCCTTCAAATTATCTTTCTGGATATTTGCTTGATACTTCTTCCAGGGAGGATTCGTTATCGAGGGTTCCCTCGATGATTGCGACTGCGTCATGATCGCAGAGGGAGGCGGGAAGTTTGTTGGCGTTTCGCACGAAGAGGGTGAGTGTATGTCCTGTCTCGAGAGCAAGATCGCAGAATTGTCTTCCTACGGCACATTTTCAACAGATGGATGTATCGCGGTCAGCTAGTAGATTCGATCAGCACGCTCGGACAAGGAAAATCTGGGATATACCTGAAGCACCGAGGACGAGGAAATGTCTTTGCTCCCTAGTAATATTAGAGGAGTCGAAACGAAATATTGTTATGACCTTCCAACTCCCTGATTGAATGTAAGGAGCAGGATATTATAGCGAAGCATACTCCCAGGAGGCGTCTTCATTTTTAGACAAGCTGATTAGAGTAGTGAATTGAGAGGAACTTTGTAGAAGAGGTCGTTCTATAAACTGTGTTTCTATATGGCCTTCAGAGAACGAAGACTCCACCCTATACACTGACTGTGTTCCGAACAGAGTAATGTTTACGCCATAGGGACCTGTATGCAATAACCACATCATTTTCATAATTTACTCATCCACGGTTTCCCATCTCAACATATTGAATATTTAGCAAGACAATACATACATACAAAGGTCAGCTCCAAGTAGGTTTGATTGAAAGCTATGTACAAATTTTACACGATCGCGACAGCACCACATCTCATCTCATCGGAGACAGGCACCACCCGAAACAAAAACAAATCACATGGTTTCTCCCAAAGTGGGCTTTGTCTTTTGCCTTCTTTTCCTGGTATGCATTAAGAAGGACCGTGTATTCCGTCCACGGCCGCAAAGTATACCAGCATGCATTGAGACCCCCAGCTCAAGCACTCAAAACATAATCATCAACTGGGGTCAATATCCAGACCCCAGAGCCAGTCGGCAGAAAACGTAGAAGTAGGAAAAGAAGAGAGAGAGAGCGTATAATACCGAGCCAAGAAAATATTTGTGACAAAAACAAGCATGAAGTGAAAAAAGATGGACCCCGTGCTTCAAGCGAAGTGTTTTCTTTTCTTTTCTTTTTTTTTCGCAGCCGTCATATTGATCTCGAGGTTTATTTGATGTCGTGTTGAAAGGTAAGATCGAATGTTGATTGATTATCATATGCATGCAAGCAAGCCGAGCATGCAGGTCCCAGTGAAGTAACACAACAGTATGCACGTTAATGTACCAGTGGAAGAAAGGAAAGGGAGAGATCGACACGGTAAGAATTATCTGACTGAATCAAGACAGAAGCACGGGGTTGAGAAAGCGCCCTCGGAATGGAGTATGAAGAACGAGAACGGTAAATAAAAGTCGTCATTTTGTGGAATTATGAGGGGGTTGGCCGAGTCAGACTCATCGGCGCTTCAGCTCAGTGGCGAGACATTCCAGGATCTATGAAAGTTAGTGAATATGAAAGGCAATCAGGCGGTGCGGATACATACAGATTCCGAAACGGCACCCTGGTTATACAGGTACTTGGAGAGGCCACGGACAACATCGAGCTGCTCGTCAACAGTCAAGCCGTTGATAACGGTCTCGATAATGTCGCCCACGCTCGCCTTGTAGATGGCAATGAAGCTGTGGTAGTACATGAAAGCGAAGAAACCCATGATGAATTGGCAGTCCATGCGGTCGGTAATACCACCGTGGCCGGGAATGGACTCGCCAAAGTCCTTGATCTTGAAGGTGCGCTTCAGACCAGAGGCAAAGAAGCCGCCGAAAGGAGCGATCAGAGAAGCAAAGGTAGCAAATGCCAGGATGTGGAACTGCATAGGGGCAATGTAGATAGTCTTGTCCACGCCAAACACTGCCAGCGAGTAGGGCTGAGAGACGAAAACGGGGTTAGGCACACACTCCAAACCAGTCAGGACGTTGGCACCAAGGTCATTGACAGGGCAGATGAAGTACTTGTACTGCATGAGCAGGTTGGTCATGAAGTAACCGAAGATGATCGTGCAGATCCAAGCTCCAAGGAAACCCTCAACAGTCTTCTTGGGAGACAGTTGGATCAGCTGGGTGCGACCAAACGTGATACCGCAGACGTAGGCGAAGATGTCATTGGTAATAACGAGGGATGCGGGGAGGAAGAACCAGATCATGCCCTCGAAAATGTTGTTCATCACAAAGTGGGCCTGAAAGACAATAAGGTACAAGGCCATATGAGTCCAAGCGAACTGGGTGAACTGGAATCGGTAGTGACCCTTTTGCAGCGATCCAACGAAGAATACAAAGCCTGTCGATTCCCAGTCAGTACTGGTATGCGGTCAATATCCAACTGCCGAGGTACACAAGACTCACCCATGACGTAGAGAGTGAAGCTAATGAAGCGGTGGTGCGTCGCCAGGGGAAGAAGAACTTTGTCCACCAGCAGAATGTGCTTAAAGTAGTAGATCACGCTCTCTCCATACAGGAAGTACATGGTCGTCGCGAGGAAATACCAGTTTAGGGACTTGGTGAAGCGGAGGTTCTTCTCCTTGCTGGGGACGTAGGCGATGGCGATAACTTCTTTGAATGAGACAATCTGAATGGCAGTCACCAGACCGATGATATAGATGTGACCGGAGAACAAGGCGACAAAAAAGCCGGCGATCATCACGAAGGTCCATATCGTCCGGGTAATGAAGGTCTGCTTCTTCTTCTCGTATTCGGATTGCTGCGGCTTCTAGGAAATCGGGAGAAAAGACCACATTAGCCGTGCTAAACGCGACAACAGACATGAACCAATTCAACATTAAATTCTTGCTCACCTCTTCGGGTATCGTAGTCGGATGCGAGGCGTTGCCATTTTTGCTTGGGCTGGATGGTTCCGAGGGACCATCGCTGACGTCGGACATGCTCAACCGCCGCTCACCATTACCCCGGCGCTGGAACCGAACATTACGGCGAGACTTGGACATGATGGGCGGAAAAGGGAAAAAGGGGGGAAGGGGGGGAGGGGTGAAGAAAGAGTGGAGAGATTTAAGACCAGATCAGAAAGAAGAGGAAGAGTGGAGTTGGCAAGTTCATGAGCTCATGTGAATCCGAAAGCGGTCAGCTCCGTCAACACAGGCGCGCGACAGTTTTTGGGGGAGGAGGAAAAATTACTGGGAGGATGATTGTTTAGAAAAGGCAACGACATAATTCGAGACAACCGTGGAGCTGCGCCTCACCCCGTCCGAGTTTCCCATTTGTTTCTCACACCCTCAGCCTCGACCAGCCCTAATCAGCTACGCCCCAGGATGATCGTGCCCCTGTGAAGCTCAACATCTCCGTTCGCGTCTCCACTTTTCTTCTCCAGTTTACACATCTCCCCAGTCTCGTCCGAGTACGCCGGTAGCACTATTCATGGCGGGGGCATGGAAGACATTGACGATGATTACTTCTCCGACGACCTTGATTCCCTGCCTCCGGGTACATTGTACGAGCTCGAGCAGAATGCTTTCCAGGCGACTCAAGGTCCAGCGACACTACAACAGCACAATGCGCCGCTAGCTCCGAACGAGCCCGCCCTCGTGCACACGAGGCACACGACTGCCACCTTGAAGCCGCCGCCTCGCCTGCATACAGGATTGACGAATGATTACGATACACTCGAGGTGGGGGAGTTGGAGGCGGAGGTCTATGACAATGTGGAGGCCCAACAAGCAATCGCGCAGGCGCCTGCAGTCCTGGTTACGGAGAATGGATGGCCTGCCGATGGCGGCATGGACGATATGATGGAGGTGGATCACGAGTATGGCCAAGCCAATGCATACGAGATGAATGCACGCATGGAGCAAGTATGTTCGATCTCGAGCTCCCCAATCTACTCCATATGACAATGCTAACCATGCTTGCCCACAGCTTGAACAAGAAAGAGAACAAATGCGACGGGAGTTGGCAGAAGCTAGGACGTTGGCCGAAACAAAAGCTGGAGAGATTGCCATCATTCGCTCGAAACAGGCGCGAATGGCCGAGGAGTATGACCGACAATTGGCGGCCCTGCGAAAGGCCATGGTCGACCGGGAAACCACACACAAGGAAGCAGTCGACGCGGCCATGTCAGAAGGCAAGATGCTGGCGACGGAGAACCTCTTCCTCCAGCACGACCTAGCCGAGGAGGTTCATCAGCTCCGTAATTATAAAACGAAGCAACGTGCCGCGGAGAAGGGTCCCCCAGTTACTCCGAAGAAATCTCGAGTACTTCCTTTCCGTGATGGATTCGACGATGATGAGATTGCCGTGGTGTCACCGAGCAAGTCGGCAGCACGATCAAAGCGAGGAACCCCAACCGTCCCTGGGAAGCGGAAACGACAGGCAAGCGTTGACAGTCCGGCTCCATTACTGCTGAACCCTGCCGGGGAGCTCAACATGGTGGATGCTCCCACCGATAACTCCGGAACAGTATTTGATGAGGAACCCAAATCGCGCGAATCGGGCGCTCATGACCATCTTATGAAGCGAATTCTGAACCATAGGATGCTTCCTGATCAGCAGACCGATATTGAAGCGTTTGCCAGACTCCACTTTCCGTCCGAGCCTCATAAGACACTATCTAGTATTATCATGGATGAACTGGCTCGGATAGATATGGGCAACTTTGTGTTGGAATACATTTATACTGTCGGACAACTCTGGCGGCGAGGACTGACAGAGAGGTTCTACGAGCCTGTCCCCCGATTCATGTCTATTGCCAGATACGTCCTGATGATGGATGAGGCTCCGCTCCCGGACCTAATCACCTCTCTAGTTGGTGTGCTACAGGACTCGGTCGAGGTCAACGCAGTTCCTCGCTTCAAATACTCTCCCGCGGCCCGCGAAAAGGCAAGAATTCCGCGCTCGACACCTCAATCCGACTTGCATCTGGAAGTTGATTCCACTGAGGCACTGCGTCTGCTCTACTATATTTCGTGTCAACTACTCCATGTCAAGGGGGCTCTAGACAGTTTCTGGGCACATATTCGGTACACCTTTATTCTGGTGATGTTGCATGGATCACAACCGCTCAAAGATATCATGGTCATATTACCCTTGCTGTCAACGAGCATCCGGGCAGACTCATTTGGCCCCATCATGTCTTCGGAACAGGACCAAGCGGACGTCCAGAAATGGATTGTCGACCGCTTGTCATTCATGCTCAGTGAGGCGGCCATGCCAGATGAAGGTTGCGAGCCCTACACAGCCTACGACATCTGCGCCATGCGGCTCGAGGTTCTACTTTTGCTAGAGTCCTTAGCATTCAACCCAGCAGCTCCGTCCAAAGAACACGGAAGTGCCATAATCGCAGCACATCCAACAGCCTTGCCACGTCTGTTCCGCTCAATGCACGACGAGTTAGATGCGCTCTACTCCTCGCCACCCGAACAAGAACTCCGCGTGGCGATGGTGAACGGCCTGATGCGCCTCATCTTCGGAGTCATGCGTCGCCACGGCCCATCCATCAACATGCAAGAGAAACTGGCGTCCGTGTCGGGAAGTAAACAAAAGCACCTGGTAGTTCTCACACGGCTGGCATTTTGCGACGGATCTGTTTTGGAGGCGGGCATCGACGACGAGACGGTGGATATGGCACACGAGTTGCTAGAAGAGTGGACGAACCCACAAGAGGCGGAGTCACTGGCCGAGGCTTTCCCCAGTTCTCGGCGAGACTGATGGCAGGAAGGGATGATAGGGATGGCGTTTGGGTGAGGGAGGGGAGGAATGGGCTTTGCATATTTGACATGGCGCTGAGGATTTGGGATTTGAGTTGCATGCATCCGTTTCTACGAGCTTCATGAATTTGAGATACCAATATTTACTTGAAATGACTTAAATAAGAATCTCTTTGAGTCTCAAGGTTCGCGTAGAGGGCAGGCAAGTGAGGGCCTGGTCTCCAGACCGACAATGGGATGGATAATCATGCGATCTTCAGTTCAAAAATGGATGGTGACTAGCCAGCACCCTAGAAGTGAGGCAAGATAACAGGCACAGTAAACAAATACAGAGGCAGCGAGCCAAGGCAAATTAAACCAAGGGGAATGAATGTAGGCCAACGCGAGCTTCGGTTGACAGCTATGGCCTCGTGACAGGGGGATAAGCTGCCACGCTACAGTAGTTTTCGAAATCAGTTAAACCTGCATACACTTTCGACTTCAGTCCCGGAAAATATATCCGATATATGCAAGGCCTGATTGGATCAGGTCCCGTGGGACCCATTTCAGACCGCCTTCTATAATAGTCTGTGTATTTTACAATACGATCATGGGACTGCAAGCGATACTGTATTTTTTACGCGAAACTAACTCCGTACTATACACGCTCTACTTTATACGAGGTCAACTTCTCTCTGTAAACCCCCGTCGTCAATCCACTCAAAGCCATGGGCAAGTTCTACGAGTCCATTCCAGGCGATCTGCGTGACTGGGCTCTACGCCAAAGAGTTTTCTTTGTGGCTTCTGCTCCTCTGCGTGGCCGACATGTCAACCTTTCTCCAAAGGGTTTGCCAGATTCTTGCTTTGCGATCCTCGGTTCAAACCAGGTAGCGTATATCGATTCAACCGGGTCTGGCTGCGAAACCATCTCCCATATACGCGAAAATGGTCGCGTTACCGTGATGTTCTGCTCGTTTGACACGTCTCCTCGTATCTTGCGGCTATTCTGTACTGGTTCTGTTATTGAGTGGGATCAGCCTGAGTTCCTTAGATATTCACAGCGCATGGGTAAACCCCAGACCGTGGGAGCGCGTGCTATCATTAAACTTGACGTTTTCAAGGTTAGCGTTTGTCTCTGGTGTGGCTTTGGCTCGAGGGTCAATTTGTCTGATGGACAGCAAAACTGAAAAGCATCCCGAGCATAATCCGTCGGAGAGATGTCACCCATAGTATGCATTGAGTCTAACACGCAATATGCAGGTCCAAACCTCCTGTGGCTATGGTGTCCCACTATTGACTCAAATAATCGATCCCGAAACCAACAAATCCAAACCTTATCTCAAAGACCGCCAAACACTGGGCCACTTTAGCACCAAAAAGGTTGATGCCGGTGAGATGCAAACATACCAGCGTGAATGGAATGCCCGCAGCCTAGACGGACTCCCAGGTCTCCGATCTGCGCTTAAAGATAGCGGCTATTATACTTGGCGGGTGGAGTTAGAAAATTGGTTGAGCCGACACCGGAATGAAGTTGAGACAGTGAAGTCGTTAGCTTTGGTTTTGTTCGTGGGATTAATGGTATTGAGGTGGAATGAGTATGACTTGTGGTTATAGACGAACGACTTTGTTCGTTTGAATGCTCCATTACAATAATTTTATTTGGGATTCCTCTATTAGATGTTCGCTGTATTATAGGAGCTATCATAGATGCCAGGGGCAACAAACTGAGATATATAATTAAGGTAATATAGGCTTATCTCTAAAAAGGTATCACGAATCCTTCGAAAGCCCCTGTAAGCTAACTAGGCGAGCCAGATTAGTTTGGGGCTAGCAGCAAATGAGACGTGTAATTGATAAGAAAAGCCACGGACATGAAAAAAAGGCAGAATGGAAAAAGAAAGAAACCCCATGCATATCAGCGTAAACATTGCCTTCTGTTGATAGGCGGCCGTCTATGAAGGCTGTGCTGCCGATGGGAAGAATGCGGGGAACGGGAACAGGACCACAGGGAACGGGAAAATAGGTGTCCAACTGATTCCAGGTAGTATTACGGTATTGTTACGATGACTCATCACTATGGTCGGGCCGTTATCGTTACGTTTCTGCCGCAACGCCAGAGCGGTGAATTGAGAGAGGTTAGCGTATTCCGGATTTATTTTCCGGAAATGAAGTCGCAAGAGATTGCAGGTATAACTGTTTTCGAAATCTAGTGTACAGAAGGTGACATATTTATTTTCATCTACAAATTAGAGATCTCTTCTCCAAGACCGGGTCATTGACCCAAAACTTGATGAAAAGAGTATCCACTGGGTGGAAGGTGCCAAAGAATACGCCTGTCAATGACCCGAAAGCCGTTGAACAAACTGTTCCGCCGCGCTGTGCAATGCAGGGACCAATCTGTGGTGGACCGCCTTCATGATCGCGGCCACCCAAACAAGGTAAGTATGAAGAAGAAAAGAGAAAAAGAGGAGGAAAGCCGGGTGGGAGGTGGAGGTATTTATAAGAAACGGGGATCCACGCTAGTGCTCGCTTAGCTGCTAGCGCCATTCTGCGCGCCATCACGTGATGACAAAGCAAACAGGGTCACGGGTAACATACGGTGATGTCACGTGAATTGGTACTGTTAAGGCACTCAGGCCGTCAACGATTTCTCTAGTCACGTGTCCCGCGGAAGTTTTGGGAGAAGGGCATCCACCAGGCCCCGTCCCCGATGAGGATACCGCAACAACCACCTCCCAGCGTCTTGTTTACAGAGTCGCCAATATGAGGAACAGGGCCAGCACCTCTTTGTCTAAGGGGGTAAGTCCAATTGCATCTCTCGCCCCCCAAATCAGCCTCGCAAAAGCTAATATCTGTCACTCCCAGAAAATCCGTCAATCATGGAGCAAATATAACCTGTATAACCTGCAACGATTCCGTACCCCAGCTACCGCGAACCGAACTTTCTTCCAGCAAAAATGGTCCGCCAAGGCCGCATCGCGTGCTTACCACGGTGAGCAGGTCCGCGAGGGCCAGTGGAAGCGCATGTTCTCGAAGCGCATCCGCAGCGTCATTCCTATGAACACGACCGATCTGGCCGCCGATGATGGATCGAAGGAGTCTTCTGGCCGTGGCTCTGGTCTGAGCAGCGAGAGCAGCGGTGGCAGGAGTCGGTCCCGTCTTATTCCTTATACACAAATGGCCTTTGCTCCCCTGGAGCGTCGGTTGGATGTTGCGATCTTCCGATCATTGTTTGCTAGCAGCACGCGGCAGGCGAGGCAGTTTGTTATCCACGGTGCAGTAACTGTCAATGGACAGAAGGTATGACAGATATTAGACTTGACTTGGGAATAAAGCTGAATGGTTACTAACATGTATCCTCGATTTAGATGAGACATCCCAGCTACCTGCTCAACCCCGGTGACCTTTTCCAGGTCGACCCCGACCGCGTGATGTACGCTACCGGTGCCCCGAAGACCGCCTTTGAGCGACGCGAAACCCGTCAGCTCAAGCAGAAGAGTGACGCTGAGGGCGAAGCCGAGGGTGAGGAGGCCGAGGCCAAGGCGGAGGCCACCGAGAAGGATGAGAAGGAGAACACCCGTGATTCCCTGCGGGCATTGATGTCCCAGGCCAAGACCATCATGTCAACGGATAAGGACGTTCTTCCCGCCAAGCGGAAGCAGGAGCTGCGCGGTTTCCAAAAGGCCGTTCGTCGGGTGCTGTCACGCTCCGACACCAGCACTGTGCTGACAGACAGTCTGGAGGCCCAGTTCTCCGAGCTGACCCTCCTCCTCAAGGCCAAGCGGGTTGAGAAGAAGCCTGCCAAGGAGTCCAAGAAGGATGTCAAGGAGGAGGCTGCTCCTGCTGCTACCACGAAATCAGAGGAAGCCGCCAGCGGCGCGCTCTCCGAAGCCTTCCAGGCCGCTGCCGAGGGCGGCGAAGTCGACACCTCCGAGCTTACCGAAGAGGAATTCGACATCCTCAAGCGCGCTCTCACCCAGATGCGCGATAACCCCATCGACCACTCCAAGCCCTATGCCACCCCCTGGCGCCCGCGCGACTACATGTCCGCCTTCGCCTTCATCCCGCGCTACCTCGAAGTGAACCAGAACATCTGCGCCGCCGTGTACCTGCGACACCCCGTCGCGCGCCCCGGCTCTGCAGAGGTGCCCACTCCCTTCGGCGAGTCGATCAGCACCCCAGCTTATGGCTGGTACCTGAAGAGACGGTGGTAGAGAAATCGCTCGACGAGTGTTTCTCTAAGCCTCCTGTTTTCTTCTGTGTCTTTATTATTTGTCTACCCTCTTCCCCCCATTTCCCACGACTGTATTACTGGGTCTCTTTTGGATCTTATTTTTTCTCCCTCCTCTGCTTGCATATTTCCTCTGGTGCTCATAAAGGGACCCTGAGATGGGATCATGTTGACCATGGTGTTGGTGCCTTATTGTCTCGCTTTTTGTTGTTGGGGCTTCTATGCCCCTGTGTATCACCATAGCCATGAATGGATTGTAAATGGAATAAATTACTGCAGTTAGTATTCATTTTCTATAGTATCACAGTATCACTACGTCTGGACCTAGACGAGGCAAATGCGCCATCACTACGACGGGACTAGGTCAGCGCCGGTTGGGCGCTGACGTCCACCCCTCCAGCACAGCCATCAGCCTCATTTCCTACCAGCCCCGCCTCGGGCTTGCGTGTTTCTCCCTTTCCTCTCCTCTTTGTCTACTCGCTTGGGGTATGTCACAGCTGGCAAGATGAGCTTCGGCTTCGGGATCGGTGATTTTCTAGTCGTTCTCAAGCTAGCGAAAGAGCTGAAAGACCGCTTTGCGCAAGCTCCAAAGGAGTATAAGGGGATATATCAAGAGTGAGCCATCTACCATGCATTTGTAAATACCAGTGATACTAAGCGCTAGGTGTAGGGTCGAGTCCATATCGATCGTGCTACATCGCATCGAGGACCTTGACGAAGATGACTTCGAGGAAGAACAAATCGAGGAGATGGAAAGGCTCCTTCAAAACTGCCAAGATCTTCTGTCCGAGCTTAGTCTAAAACTGGACAAGCTTCAAGTATTGTCGAACGATTCAAGTCCGCACTGGAAACAGAAGGTTCGGCGGGCTTGGAAAAGGATCACATGGGATCAGAAGGAAATTAATGAGTATCGATCACGTATCGTCTCCAATATAACCTTGTTCAATCTTTTGGTTGGAAGTATCAATCAGTATGTTTTACTCACCTTGTCTCCCGTTGCCATAAATGTTCATCTTTGCTAATCAGTCGTATAGAAGCCTGACTGTGGAGATCGCCAATGGCATCAGAGCACTCTCTTTCAAGCAAGATGTCTTCATCCAAAGGCAGGAGCAAAAGGAGGAGGATCATGAAAGGGACAAGATTCTTTCCTGGATCAGCCCAGCCAGTCTCGCAGCAAGACAAAGCGAAGTATTCAAGTCTCGCCAAGAAGGCACAGGGAGATGGTTATTGAAAACTGAAGAGTTCACGCACTGGTTATCTCAAGAGAAACAGATTCTACTCTGTACAGGTATTCCAGGTGCTGGCAAAACAGTGCTTGTGTCCGTGATCATTGATTATCTGGAGACTACCTTTTCAGGACAAGAGGATATCGGGATAGCATACTATTTCTGTGACTTTCGTCAGGAACAATCACTTTTTGGGATGTACTCGGCTATTCTCAGACAATTGTTGCAAGGAAAAGCATCCATCCCTGAGCATGTCGTCTCGCTGCATCAAAAACATAATCAGAGGGGAACTCTCCCTTCGATCAACGATATTATCGAAGCATTAATAGTCACGATGTCGAGATATCGAAGGAGCTTCATCATTTTGGATGCACTTGACGAGTGCCCACTATCTGATTCTCTAGGCAGCGTGAGATACGCGTTTCTTCGCCAAATCCTCAGCCTACCGAATGAGCATGATGTTAGTCTTCTTGCTACATCCCGGATTGATCAAGAGATTATAGCTTTGTTCGAAGGCGGTACATCTATGGAGGTACAAGCTACAAGGGAAGATATTCAACAATACATTGATGTTCGGTTGAACGATCTTCGACCCTTTGTCCATCGCAAACCCGAACTGAAGCAGTGCATTAAAGACGAGATCACAGATGCAGCAAAGGGGATGTACGTTTATACCCCAAGTCGGCCAATGACTATGTACTAACAATTTCCGCCCAGGTTCCTTCTTGCCCGCCTTTATCTCAATTTATTGACAGACCAACCAAATGAAAAAGGTATTCGAAAAGTCTTGACAAGTTTTCAAGGCGGTTCTAGAACAAATATATACAAAGCCGCCTATGATCAAACCGTGAAGAGAATGGAAAGTCAGAGCCCAGATGCTTTAGAGCTTGCAAAGCGGACAATCGGCTGGATCACGAATGCAAAACGGCCGCTCAAAGTTGAGGAACTCGAAGAAGCCCTCGCTATCGAGATCAAGTCCTCAGATCTGGACGAGACAAACATCACAGACATTGAACAACTCACATCGTATTGCTGTGGCCTGGTCATGGTCGATGAGGCAACAAAGCACGTTAAACTCGTCCATTATACCACCCAGACATACTTTGAAGGACTGTGGGAAACTTGGTGTCCAGAAATCCATCAAATCATCACCAATAGTTGTCTCACCTATGTGGCTTACGACAGTTTTGAAGAAGCCGCCTCCGATTCCGTGATTGAACTGGACACCTTACTTTCGAATCGCCCGTTCTACAAGTACCCGGTTCATTACTGGGGACATCACTTTCGAGAACATCCTGGAAACCACAGCATGGCGCTCCATTATCTGAGGAATAAGAACAAGGCGAAAGTCTTTGCTTTCTACTTCGAAAAGCTCGAAAATCGCTTCAAGATATACCGGGACTCCCTTCGCAACATTTCCGAATCCTCCATCACAGTTGAGATGTCGGGTATTCATCTCGCCAGCCGGTTTGGCCTGAGTGATTTAGTCAGAGACCTCCTTGACGAGGACCCTAGCAACATTGACGTTCGAGATTATTCAGGAAGAGATGCTCTCCATATAGCTCTTTCCCATGATCACGAGAAAGTGGTCAATATCCTACTGGACCGGGGCGCCAACATTGAATCTCGCGACAAATTGAACCACACTCCGATGCACAGAGCTTGCGAGATTGGCAATGACCGCATTGTGATCACTCTGCTGGAATCCGGAGCATCTGTCACGCATTGGGCTATTCCTGGCTTAACGCCATTGCACTTCGCAGCAGGCGCTGGCCATGAGACGACAGTCAAGCTACTTCTCGAGAACGGGGCTGATATAGACTTCCCAGGCGGGTGTTTTGAGACGCCATTATTTCAGGCTGCTCGAAAAGGTCATGAATCAATGGTTCAACTGCTTCTCGAGCATGGAGCGTATGTCAATTATAAACATTATACCGGAGCAACCCCTCTACACGCCGCCATAACCGATGCTATAAGACCTGTCCCAGATGTTGTGCGTTTGCTGGTGAAGAATGGGGCGAGCATTAAGATCCAGGCTAGCAAGGAGGCGGACCTGGGTCAGAATCTTTTACACCTGGCCATCAGGAAGCGTCAGAACGAGGTTGCTGAATATCTCATGTCTCTTGGTCTGAAATTCGATTCTCTAGACAGAGCTGACAGGACCCCGCTCCATATAGCCGTCATGAAAGGCAACGAAGCAGGCGCGGAGCTGCTACTAAGGAAAGCGCAGCTGGTCTTTCCTGATGGGTCGTATGTCAATTTCAAAGATGGAAACGGTGACACGCCACTTAACCTCGCTATATGGCATGACTATAATCATACTTTGGAAATCACCGAATTGCTCGTGAAGAATGGAGCGGACGTCAATACTGAGAATTATTGGGGAAACACCCCTTTAGCTGGCGCCATTATCCGTTGGGCAGTTGATGTTACCCGAGTCCTCCTCGAGAATGGAGCTGATCCCAATTTGCCAGATAATAATCCCAAGGAGCCTGATATGCTGTATCTCCCCTTTGGTCTAGGCCCGCATGATCACGAATTTATTCCAAGTCATTTTTTCACACATGCCTTCCCTTGTTGGCGATTGCAATGCCGCAGGCCATTGCAATGGGCGATCTCACAGGGTCATGAAGATATTGCGAAACTGCTACTTGAATCTGGAGCAGATCCGAACATTCCTGATATTTTTGGGAGGACTGCTTTACATACTGCTGTCTGCAGTGGTCAAATAGAGATGGTCCGAATGTTGCTGACCTTCCCTGGCATTGATGAATCTCACGTTGATAATTGGGGTCTCACGGCATTTGTTGAGTCCCAGAGACGCCAAAATGATGAGATATCCATGTTCTTTGAGAATACAGAAGTGCCTGATCCGCCATCAGAGGAGTATAATTCTGATGTGGAGGAGATCGATTGGCATGTTTCACCTCACATATGCTATGTCTGCTTGAAAAAAGTTGATGACTCCAAGGAACGATATTTCCTATGCCGCAACCTCGCATTTTGCGAGTTCTGTTCACCTCTGGAAATGGAAATGGATGAACGACGCTGTCCAGCGTGTGGGGACTGTCTGGTCGAAGGGAAACTCCACCAAGAATCAGATGATTCGGATTATTAAGGTGAGAGGGTTAGAGCTAGTTCAGCAAGCAACAATCTTCTTCTCGAGGCTACATGTGTTTAGAAGGAGTCGGATATTGGCAAACCAGATATCATGAATCATGCAGAAATACTTCACATTTAGTATGTTCAAGGATTGTAGAGATGATATCTTAATGAGGGAGCTTCCTCGGAAGCGCCTTTCTGTGACGAGACATCCAGGAAGTTTGTAACAGGTTCAGAGTTCTGGGTTATCTCAAACTCTCTTAATTCAGTCTACTGAGCATAAGAACAGTGATATAGATAGCCTGTTTGGTCTTGGCAAGAGACGATCCGAAGGCGGTGAGTGTTCCAGTCCAAGACCAACTTAACCACAATTCTATCAATGTCAACGTCATCGTCGCAAGTATCCTGGTATTTATGCCGATGCCAGTGAACATCTTCCAAGGCGGCGAAGACAGCGCGCTTGGATTTGCGTCATCCACGCGGGGCATGAAGCGCACGCACGATTTCGACCCGGACGACGACGGGGACACACCACGCAAAGGCTGGAAGCGACTCACAACCAAAGAAGAAGTCACGCTCTTCGAGATTTGCAATCGTAACGCAGACAGTTTCGGCCGACGCAGCGATCTCTGTAATTGGTGGAAGACCGTTGCGACAGAGTTCTCCCATGCAAATGGCCGTCCGTATTCGTGGCACTCGGTGCGGAGGAAGGTGGAGATGGTTACGAAGAAACGCATCCAGTTCCTTGAGGATCAACAACAGCGACAACGGGATTTTTCGGGTGCGAATGCGGTTCCTGATGTGATGAATCCGCAGTGGTGTGCTGTGTTGGATATTTGGATTCCGACTTGGCAGCATTGGGAGGAATCGGAGGCGCGACGGATCGCGAAGAGGGATACTATGAATCGCAGACGCTCGCGAAATAAAGCGGATGATGTGTGGAGGCCACAGTCCGGGGCCGGTCCGGTGATGGATCCAGTTGATCTGACATCCCCTGCGAGTCCCGATGATACGGGCATGGAGGCCAACGATTCTTACGAGGGGCCCATCGTTCTAGTGACGAGTAGTCCACAACCATCAGCTGCCCCAACGGTAGCGCCTTCGATTGGCAAGCCTTCTATTCCCGCATCATCGTCAACCGGGGCTGTCAGGTTACCCCCAGGATTCGACACAATGTTTTCAAACAACAACCCCCAGCCCAACCGCTGGCCTCCAACTTTCGCACCAGCACCCAAAGCAACGGCCGAGTCACCAACGGATAACCGCATGGTCAGCGCAGTCCTCGAAACTCTCGGCAAGCTAAACAAACACCTCGATGCAGCATCAGGCAGTAATGCTCCAGATGCCCGCTCTTCACCAGTGATATCCGCCCTGCTGCAATCAGCCACCGATCCCACTGCTCAAAATCAAGTTTTCTCAGAAGAGTCACAACAAACAGCCTCGAGTAACTCTTCCAGGGATTTTGAGCAAATGAAAGAAGAACTGCGGCAGGAGATGAAAGAAGAATTACGTCGAGAGATGAGGGAAGAGTTGCGTCGAGATCGGGCCGGGTTGGAAGAGAAGCTGGATGCTGTTCAAAGAACACAGGATATGATTCTAGAGATGTTGAGACAGGAGCCGGCTTGATGGGATGGGATGGGATTGTTTGACTTCCACGACACTCGGAGGTTCTTTCGGCGTTTTATGTCACGGTTTGTATGCTTTAATGTTGATATGATACCCACTCGCGCCAACTTGGATTATTAAGAATTCATCTTATTTCTACCCCAATCTTAGTTTAACGAACAATAAGATAAAAGCTGAGCCCTTGGGAAAAGTTGATGACAATTGTTCTACTCTAAAACGGACGCAGACAGGGAAACGAAACACAAATGGAAGAGGTAGTAGTCATCGGCTAAATTACAGATAATGGTAGGTAGGAACAAACAAGGGAGCCATTCGGGAATCTTCTTCCAACCAAGATACCCCAAAGGCCCCCGGAGACACCAACAAGCTCTCTTTCAAGCTCTTTTCGAGGCCCCTCTCAAAGTTCTACGTTCGAGAGAGACCCCCGTACCGTCAAAACACATTCTAGTAGTAGAAGGTCTCGTCAACGGTACGGCCACGCATCCAGCGGGGCTCGGAACCGCGGACGTAGATGTCCTCGAAGAGAATGCGGGGGTTGGCATCGGGGACGGCCATCTTCTCGGCCTCGGCGACCTCGGCGTCGACGTAGGCACGGGCAGCCTTGTCGATGCTCTTGAGCTCCTCCTCAGAGGTAACGCCCCACTCGAGCATCTTCTGCTTGAGACCGGCGATGGGGTCGTTGGTAGAGCGCATGCGCTGGATCTCCTCACGGCTACGGTAGGTGGTACCGGGGTCGGACATGGAGTGACCACCGTAACGGTAGGTGACGTACTCGAAGACGAGAGGACCCTTGCCGGAGACGGCGTAGTCCTTACCGTACTGGACGGCGGCCTTGGTGGCCAGGACGTCCATGCCGTTGACCTTCAGACCGGGGATGTACTGACCACGCTTGTAGTACTCGGTGAGAGCGGAGGAGCGGGCAGCGGAGGTACCCATACCGTACTTGTTGTTCTCACAGCCGAAGAGAACGGGCAGGTTCCACAGCTTGGCCATGTTGAAGGCCTCGAAGACCTGGCCCTGGTTGGAGGCACCGTCACCGTACAGGACGATGGAGGTGTTGGGCTGCTCGTTGTACTGCTGGGCGAAAGCAAGACCAGCACCGACGGGCACCTGGGCACCGACGATACCGTTACCACCGTAGAAGTTGGGGGCGAACATGTGCATGGAGCCACCCTTGCCGTAGGCGATACCCTCACGGCGGCCGAGCAGCTCACCGATGATGGACTTGACGGTAGCACCGCGCATCAAAGCGAAACCGTGGCAACGGTAAGCAGTGATAACCTTGTCATCGCGGTTGATAGCGTGCTCAATACCGACGGCAACAGCTTCCTGGCCGGTCGACAAGTGACAGAAACCACGGATCTTCTTCTCCTTGTACAGGCGGTCGGCGGCCATCTCCATGCGGCTATAAGAAAGAAGCTAGGGGTTAGAAGCTGGATCCAAAAGCATTCCGGGGAAGAAAGGAGGAAGAGAGCATAGGCGCGTACCGCATAGAGACCATGTCGCGGTACATCTGCTTCAGCTCGTTCTTGGTGGTCTCCAGAGTGTAAGGAGGAGGGTCGAGCTCATAGGTCTCGAAGCTCTCGTCGGAGAGACGGACGGTGAACGGCTTGTCATCTTCCTACAATGCGCAAGCACCAGTATCAGCATTGAGGTGTTCCGGGACTCGTAGACGATTTTCCTGTTTTCCGGATGGGTTCTCAACAAACCTGCGGGATGTTCTCGGCGTGCGACGAAGCGGCGTCGGTGGTGACGGAGCGACGGGTTAGAGGAGCAAAAGCCTGGCGACGCAGAGGCGCAGCCTGACGGGCCGCAGTACGGAAGAGCATGTTGTACGTCGAGAAGCCCAATTGAAGATGGGAGAATTGATGGTTGGAGATAGCGACACTTTTCCGTCAGATGTTGGGAATGCAAACTTTCCCGATTACTTAAGCGCTTCCCGTTCGGGGGCCGCCGGTGTGTCTACACTGCAAACAGTCCAAACCGCGGAGCTGGCCTACCGCTAAGATTGGAGTAGAGCTCTTCATGAAGCAGGTAGAATTGGTTATAAGTTCTATCGAAGTTGTATCTCAGGTCAAGGAAGTTTTTCCGGCATTCAGATCGAGGTTGAGTACACTGGGTGAACATCGGTCATCACTCCGACCGAGTCCGGAAGTGTCTGCAGTTTGCCCGGGATCCCAACAAGACTCAGCCTAGATAACAGATGCCGGATGACTTTTGGCCGGGATGGTGGAAAGGGTTCGATGGAGCTTGACATATAAGACTTTTTGGCATATTGAATAAATCAATCTGTCCGATTTCCCCGGTAGGATTGTAGCATCTATAGGTTTCATGCCGAATGGTCAAGGTCACTTCCTAGACGGAGCTCTTGCAAATATATATCCAAGGGCAAATTTGTAGTATGGACACTCTAGACTCATGAACCTACCCGTCCTCCTATCCCGAGTACACTAAGCTTGATACTTGATACAATTCCTTTAGATTTACCTGAAATTTGATGTATGTGCTTTTAACTTACTTATCGCCCCTATTTTCATTAATAGATAGAGTATCACAACTCTATACTTGAGTACCAGCCAACACGTATACTGGAATATTTATTCGTTACCTACGCTGGGTGGCTTCGTGATACTCTGATAAGCTCAACCTACCACCGTAGACTGTTACGACAAACTCAGTATGACTTCACGGTAGATACCTCTTAGTAACCACGCTTTCTTCTTTAGAAAAAGCAAACCACAATTCCTGGTGTAATACATAACCTGGGCTCGGTTAACAGAATGAGAAGCTTTGCCTTTGATACTTTGTTTTCTCCCTTTATCAGATAAGCCATCAAAGAACAAAAAAGCAGCAGGTTACTGCGACCCAAGAATAAGAAAACATAGATCACACTCGATCATTTCTCCGTATAAATAGAAGATTAGTCGGTGCCATGCCCACTTGTCTAGGTCAATATCAGCGGGGCACTACCAATCTAAAAAGCTAACCTAGATCAATGCCGCAAACACCCGGAGCCCGAGGACCTGCCGTATACCTATCGGTCACGCCAAAAGTACACACTATCTAGCCACTACCGACTGGGCGTGGACTCGCTGAGTTAGGTAGCTCGTCCAGCCAGTAAGCAGAGGAATTTAGCGAAGAACAGGCGTCAAAACTGTAATTTCCCGAGACAAAGCACTGGCCAGTAATTGATCCCTTAATCAATAGATGTTCCCAAGGAACGGCGCTGGTCGCGGCTTTGGCGCGACCGATACGTGCGTGATTCGTCTGAGACATCTCAAGATTGATTCCTCGGGATTCCCGACGTTTCAACCTAGTTGCTCAACTGGGTAAAGTACGTTTACCAACGTGTTTTCTCCTCACGAGGTGATCAGTCTAATTGTATCTCATGTTTGTCTTGACCCCGCAATCACCATTCGAACGATAGATCAGATCTTCCATATTTCAATAAAAACAGAGACAAACTGCAGTATTACGAACCAGGAAACATGATTCAAGGCCTGACCGTTACGGAAGATATAACCGAGCGCCAACAGCCACTGAACCAGCAACGCCTGGTCCTAGCGGAGACAAAGCACGATGCTACTTTGATAGATCAGCCTGGTTTACTTTTGCATTGACTGAAACGTCGTATACGTATCATACAGGTAGGGACCAAAGCGACCTTATGACATATATCCATTTTAGGAAGGATCAAGAAACAGGAACTTTTTTGACCGGATCAAAATCATATTGAAACGCTGGTAAAGCATGATATGTCGATCGTGGAATCTGAAAAAAAATCCACCAGATGACGATGTGCGCATTGTAGAAACTGTACCCTATACTGTAGAGATTTTTCGGATTTAGAGGCTCCGATGACTGAGCAGTGTGTTTCAGCGCCAGGTTTAGCAGTTTCATCCCTGACGATTTCCATGTTCTAGAAAAACGAGATCCATTTCATTCTGTCTCACACTGAGTCTGGACCTGCCTAGAATAGAAAGTCCTACGACATAGGTCGTTGACCTTGACCTAGCGATCGATGTCATGAATATTAAACGGGGTGCTATCCACGATACAGAAAATCGGAAACACACTTAGAATGAGAAATCCTCGGAAGGTTCTCAACATACACATCAGTGCAGTACGTAGCATGAAAACCAAGGATCCCCTCTCCCAAAACTCTCCGAGACGAGTAATGACGACAGCATGTATTGAATATCCCAGAACTGTGATCGCCTTCGACGAAAGTATCCAAGTTAAGCCCCCGATTAGTCTAGTTGATGCGTCCACCCGCCTGAAAAGGCTACTAGTCATGCACATAGAAAGGCTGCATGCACCGTTACAGCGCCCGCGACATACGACCACGAAGCTCGAACAAGGATTCTCAACGGCCATCCAAACCAGCCCGCCTAACGTGCAGCACACGCAGCGCTTGTAGCCAGGCCTACTAGCCACCAATCGGGCCTGGAGCAGACCAGCGTAAGGCGTTTCATCGCCTAAACCTTATTCCAGAGAGGGGTCATACCTGCCAATCGTTATAGAGCTAAGTGAGCTAGGCTATGTAACTACCTGCAGGCTTGGAATACTGGGAAGTGTAGTCGGACTAGCGTTGAGATACACATGCGAGTGCCATCATCTCCTATCTCGTAGTCATCCAAAGAATCTCAATCCAGGGTTTACATTACTGCTCAGCAGCCCCCTGAAAGTGATCGTTCATCGTCTGAAACACCGGCTCCCGCAATCCCCTGGGCACGGATGCGCCTCCGGCATTGGAGTGTAAGCCCGTAGGAGAAATAGAAATAAACCGGGATTCGTAAAGACCGGGCTAGAATGTGTCTTACTTCACAGTCGTAGTAAGAAAGTAATCACACCTACATTCCCCAATATGTATGTACTCACTTAACTAACCCCTTGAGAACGCAATCATTCGACATGATCTTCAGGCATGACCAGTCATTCTGTAGTTGATGGCATATGTACTCCGTACGAGTCACGAGTAACTTTAGACCAGGCTAGGT